TTTTGGCTTTCTTTAGCATAGACTTTGGTGGTCCAAAACATGGGCTGGTTGTAATATTTAAAAAAAGAGTGATATTTTGTCTGAATGGCGTGGTTGCGTGAGATTGCGTCGAAAGCGTGAGTCCCTAAAGCGTGAGACTTGGTCTGTATGTGCAATGAGCTACAAAACACTATGAATGTGTTAAAACTAAAGAGCGAATAGTTTGTGTTCATCACTTTGTCTGATTCACCCTATTTGGAAACCCGTTTGTTCATATTGGTGGGTAGCAACCATCCCCTGAGAGTAAACGAATAATGAATGCTCATGTTGGATGAAATTTGCATTGCACATAAGGAAAATCTTTTGTTAAATTCATCCAACATGGCGACAATGACGTACTTGCAACCCAAGAATTAGGTGTGGGGAGGGAGGAGGGTAATAGGTAAGGCAGAAAACTGCGATGCCATTCTCTTTTGCAAGAGGCTGAATTTCACCCAATAAATTGATAGAGCAATGAAAAGTCAGCGTTCTCTGCTTCGGTGTTCGTGTTGTTAGTAAATACGAATAGCGGAGATTGTCAACATTAACTTTTGGAAAAGTTGCTATTTTCATTTAATGTCGGTTGTCGTCACTAAAGGCCGATTTATGCTGCGCGCGACAAGCGTCGCGCGTACTTTCGATTTGCGCGAGACAGGTGCGCGCGCTCTAAGCTGTGTTTATAGTTAACGCGCTTACCGACGCGTATTCAACAAAATCGGATAACATGAAGTAATGCGGTATTCTCACGATCAAACATGGCAACTCGAGTTCGAGGAGAAATGGATGACCTTCTCGATCTGGAGGAGGAGGAAATGTTGTGCTATTTACTTTGTTGCTACAACAGAAAAACGAAAATGAAGAAGATGGTCAGTTCGACCACTTCACGCTTCTAGAAAAGTGAGGGTGAATACGTTCTTGTTCAACAAATGAGAGGCATAGACGAAGAAATGCATTTTAAGTATTTTCGTATGTCTTCTGCCCGTTTCGACGACTTGGCACATCGAATTATGCCTCATGTAAAGCATGCATCTACGCATTTAAGTCCTGTTAGTGTAAAAGAAAGGCTAGCAGTTACGTTAAGAATTCTATCGTCTGGCGCCTCACAACAAACTGTGGCTTCAAGTTACCGATTAGGATCAACTACAGTTTCCTAATTTTGTTGGAGTGTGTGTAGCTATCTGGTTGGCATTGAATGAAGAGTTTGTTGCCTTTCCTTCTGGTTCACAATGGGCAGAAATTTCGCGTGAGTTTTGGAGGCTTTGGAACTTTCCAAATTGTCTGGGCTCTATAGATGGAAAGCATGTGCAACTCAAAGCACCTCCTCTTTCTGGAAGTGATTTCTTTAATTATAAAGGAACTCATTCTGTTGTACTAATGGCTGTATGTGATGCTTGCTATCGCTTTCTAATGGTAGATGTAGGTGCATATGGAAGGCAAGTGATGGGGGATTTCCAAGAAAGCAAATTTGGGGAGCAGCTATTAAATGGACAACTTGGTTTGCCCTTGCCAGAGGATCTACCTGGTAGTAAACTTACATACCTTATGTATTTGTTGCGCTGCTTTTCCTCTTCATGTTAATATGATGAGACCTTACCCAGGTACATTTTCTTTGTTAACTCCATGCACTTTTATATATATTTTCCGTTTTCAATGAAAATAATTTTCTTATGTTTAATCAAAACATAGTTATTTCATATATTTTTAAAAATTTATATTAACTGTTTGTGACTTCAAAAATGAAATAAATTTATTCAATTTATGTCTGTGTAAGACTCATTCAAAATGTTTTTTTCATTCCCCACAAGAATTGTGATCAAAAAAATTTCCTGGCTGCTTGTTGGCAGAGTTTCCCAAGACTCAGTAAATTGCTAAAACAGTTGATGTTAATGCCATTTTGTTCTATTTACGCTTAAGGTAATAACTTTGACAATCCCAAGAAAATTTATAACTACCGCCATTCCAGAGCTAGAAGGGTAATTGAAAATTACCATTTCAAACAATATTTTATGAATGGAAAATTTAGCTTCAGATTTCAACTTGCCTGGAAGCTTCGAGTGTCAGCCACTGTATCCAAAGCAACTTTCTTCATCAATTTTCATATGTTTTGTTTCTCTTTCTTCTCTAATCTTTTCAAAGAATCAAGTCTTCACAAACTAATGTCTCTAAATGTGCAGATCTCTTTCTATAGCCCTTGGTCGGGTTTACCACAGCTCTACTCAAGCAATTGTGGAAGGGGCAGATGGGTCACTACTTACTGTGTGGTAGGTTTGGTAGGTAATGTAGGTGTTGTACACGAATTTTCACTGACATTTGAATCGCTTCTACTTGTTGAGGGAGACCATGGGTTAGGTCAAACTCCTCCATATTTATCGTCACAAAATTTCTCCTAGTGGAAGGGATTCTGATGTTGTTATAGGTTCTTCAGTGTTCTCCTACAATCACAGCAACAACAGATGTAACATAATAATCTACTCAATCAGTCAGCCTGTCCCATATTGCATCAAATTTTTTTAATAGCGATTATAACTACCTCCCGAAAATTAGTTTCTGTGTCCCTATGCTTTATATGATCAGACAAGACAGACTGAGGAATATCGGTGGGATAGATTTGCCACCAGCATCTCCACTTCTAGACTTCATTCGTTTCTTGGCTTTGTGTAACGATTTCAAATTTTTCCATTTCTGTCGACAAATTTGTTCATTTGTGTAAGGTTTCTCGCTATTTCATTCCAAGAATTATTGGTTTTCTGAGTATCTTTATAATCTCGTCTCGAAGAATCGTAAAGATGACCATATTTTCGGACTTCTGCTAATTTTTCTTCGAACCCTTCCATTGCTGCTGCCATCTTGTGTTAGTAATTGGATATTCATTATTCAGTATTGACAAACAACTCAAGAACTTCCCCCCGAAAGAAGCCTTTCAGCCAATCACAACGCGCGACAACGCGACAACTTCGAATTAAAATCCCCTGAAGAGTGAGCAATCACGAAACAGGCTTGTCGGGATGAAATTGTAGTTTTTGTGTATTTTCTTCTTCTTATCAATATTTACGCTCTGCTCTCGGGCATCGAGCACTGTTTTATACGGAAAATCATAAATTATAAACTTCCTATATATATATATATATATATATATATATATATACTTGTGACCAGTATATATATATATATCTAACCCTAACCCTAACCCTATATAGTCGTATGTCACTCGTATGTACTCGTATGTCAGTCGTATGTACTTGTATGTACTCGTATGTATTCGTATGTACTCGTATGTACTCGTGTGGTGTTTTAGTCACGATCCCTGTTGTATCTGATGTTTTAAAGAACAATCGACGAGTTATCAACCGCTTACCATAAACTACAAAAGATTTTTACCCATTATTTTCTACTAGTTTATCTGCTTTTCTATTCACCTTTGTGTCCACTTAATCTTATCTATCGCTTCTTTTTTGTTTGTTATTTGTTTTGAATCGCATTAGAACAGGTTCTTTTGTTTTATCTAAGATTTTGAAATAGTACCCAACGAGTTACCTTAAACAGTAAACGTTTTCCCTCGTTTTTGTTTGCTTTTTGTCTACTTTCGGGTGTAAATAATCTCTACTTTTGCTTTGTGTTTTATGTCTTTTTTGTGTATACACCGTATTTTTAAAGGGTCTAGTATTTTATTAATAGTAGTACATGGACGATTTATGGTCAAGTTCACAACGAGTTACCACAACCTACCAACATTTGTGTCAACGCATCCATGAACGTTTGCATCTGCGTTTGTATAGTTACTTTTTGATGTAGTTTGTAGTGTGTAGTGTTTCGAGATTCTCTCGCGGAGTGAAAATTGATTGAACTACACACGCGTGTCTAGGTGTAATCTCGCGTAGGGGTGTAATATTTGGCTTTAAAAATTATTTGGCTTTTCTATTACAGGTAGCGTTCCAGATGTATTTTAGTTCAATGACTAATACCGACGTCTTAGCGGCTTCCAACGCTTTAGCACAAAATTTATGTATTTTTTATCGATCATTTTTCTGTATTTTTTTTGTCTAATTTATGTTTACTTTTAATTCTCTTTAGTGTTTCCTCTATGTCCTTACTGGCGAATTTCCGGAAGAGGTATCGACGATTTTACCTCACCAATTCATATGTTTCTGTAGGTTTGTTTCTGTTTTGAATTTCTTTTTGCTCATTGTTTTGTTTTGGTTTATTTCGCTTTCATTTTCATTTCTTCTTCGTCTTTGCGTCATGAAAGTGAAATTCCTTTTATCAGTAGTACAAACGAGTTACCAACCGGTTATGTCAGCCTACAAATATTTGTGTCCTTTACTTCTTCATTTATGTTCTCTTTGTGTCAACATTTTGTTAGTTTGGATCTCTTCTTTTATCTTATGCATTTTGACGAATACTCGACGAATGAACGAGCTACCAACGAGTTACACACCAAAAGCGCTACCTCCTTTTTTTGTCTACTTTAGTGTCGGTTTTTGTACTCGTTGACGAATACTCGACGAATGAACGAGCTACCAACGAGTTACTACACACCAAAAGCATTTCCTCCTTTTTCTGTCTACTTTAGTGTCGGTTTTTGTACTCGTTGACGAATACTCGACGAATGAACGAGCTACCAACGAGTTACTACAAACCAAAAGCATTTCCTCCTTTTTCTGTCTACTTTAGTGTCGGTTTTTGTACTCGTTGACGAATACTCGACGAATGAACGAGCTACCAACGAGTTACTACACACCAAAAGCATTTCCTCCTTTTTCTGTCTACTTTAGTGTCGGTTTTTGTACTCGTTGACGAATACTCGACGAATGAACGAGCTACCAACGAGTTACTACAAACCAAAAGCAATTTCTCCTTTTTTCTGTCTACTTTAGTGTCGGTTTTTGTACTGGTGATTCATCATGATTTATCAAAAATAAATTGAAAAGAATATCTATAAACTACACGAATACTCTTACGATGTGACTTTGACTTACTAAAACTTTTAAAGTAAAATGCGATGGTTTAAAACTTCCACCGATATTTTTGTGCAAATAACCTCTTAACATACACAATTACAAATATAATTTATGTAAGTATACAAATGCTATTATAGTTGCTGGAGTTTGATTTCTTCACTCAGCTGTATAGAAATATAGTTGCTATATATTATCTATAAAGTGTCTATACACCGCGCGGTACTATGTAATTTGGAAATGACCTTCTATGGACATAGACCCACAGCTTTATATTTAAATCGATTGCACAGTTCCCATTAATTGATCACTTCATCTTCCTCCTTAACGTGCTTATTGTTGCTGAGGTTGCGGCCTTCTGCGCCCGCTGTCCTGTCAAAATACAGTCTTCTTCATCGTCGCTTTGTACCAGCGGTTCAACGCTTGGGTTGTTCAAATCCTAAATGGGAAAAGATACTTAAAGGTTTGTGAAAATATAATGTTTTGAGCTCTAGCAGGGTATTTTTAGAAGCCTTAACTAGTTGGAGTAGTTTTAGTCCGTTATACAAATTAAAAGTGTCTATATTTCTCAGAACCAATTTCAATAATGTTACACAATTAATAATCAAAAACTAATTCTGAAATTCCGGAAATTTCAATTATTGCAGTACAGGACTTAAAAGTTTGTGAACGTTAGTCGTGTATTTTTTCTATGTTTTAAAAAGTTATTGCTTACGTAAGTCCCATGCCAAAGATCACAAAATTCTCCTCGAATGAGACTGATGACGATGACCGTGAGCAAGGTACACGGCACGAGATACACCAAAGCCGGTTGACCTTCTTCCATCAAAAACAGCGCGGCAAACGTCACGACTAGACCAACGGCATACGCTAAATAATGAAATTATACATGTACCATGTGACGTAACTCTTGACTCATAGAATGTAACTCCTCATGTGACAGAACACTTCACTCATATGACTTTAACTTCCCACGTGACCTAACTCTTCACTCAAGCGACTTAACTTCCCATGTGACACAACTTCCCATGTGACCCAACTCTTCACTCATATGACTTAACTTCCCATGTGACACAACTCTTCACTCATGTGACTTAACTTCCCATGTGACCCAACTCTTCACTCGTCACTCAACTTCCCATGTGACTCAACCCTTCACTCATATGACTTAACTTCCCATGTGACCCAACTCTTCACTGTCACTCAACTTCCCCTGTGACCCAACTCTTCACTCATTACTTAACTTCCCATGTGACCCAACTCTTCACTCATGTTACTTAACTTCCCACGTGACCCAACTCTTCACTCATATGACTTAACTTCCCATGTGACCCAACTCTTCACTTGTCACTCAACTTCTCATGTGACCCAACTCTTCACTCATCACTCAATTTCCAATGTGACCCAACTCTTCACTCATGCGCCTTTCACTGTGATGGCCCTCCTCGCATAATCTACGGTTTAAGAGCTGATTACACAGGATCGGTAGATGTTATTTTAAACTCGCCCATTTTACTTTCGCAGTTAGTTCATCGTTCTTTGATTAACTGCCAAAACAAAATAGAAGGGAGAGAGCTATAATAAGAGGCGCTAATCTATTCCTTTCGTTTGTTTGTGATATAATTTAAGCCAGGCTCAAACATACATTACATAACGTTATTCGAAGGTCTTCTATGTTTTTCAAAGTTCGATTTCAAAATCGCCTTTGAGGTTATTTTCTTTCAATCGTTTAGGTTTAATTTCACTTTTTTTCTTATTGAAACAACTCCAAAAAGCATGTCAGTCAAACCATGACTTACCTATTGAACTGGCAACATAATATATTCGTAACGAGTATTGGCCATTCGGTCGAATGAATGACAGAATGACACAAATAGACCTTAAAGAAAGACGGAGATTTATTAACTAGAGAGCGTTTATCTTGTGGATGATCCAGTCGTAAGACTGAATTATGTACCTGGAACTAAGATATCCCCAAATCTAGCAGCGAATAATCCCTCTCTGACAAATCAACAATGGTGAACGGATAATTCGTGGAACTTTCAGAACCATCGGTAGCTGTTCTTTATGACCTTCGCCTACGTGAATATTTAATAGAAATTTATTTTCTTACAGATGTCGGTTAGGGCATTCTTCAGTAGTGTCTCGTGTGTAAACTTCAGTCTATATGTACTTAAATGTAATATCTTCGTCAGGAGTGATTTAATATTGAAATTGAGTCCTTATAAACTCCAGTCTAGTGTTTTCATCAGGAGTGATCTGATGTTGAAACTTGAGTTCTTATATACTCCAATCTAGTGTCTTCATCAAGAGTGATGTGATATTGAAACTTAAGTCCTTATGTACTACAGTCTAGTGTCTTTATCAAGAGTGATCTGATATTGAAATTTGAGTTCTTGTGTAGTCTAGTCTAGTATCTTCATCAGGTGTTCAAGTTCAGTCCTTAGATATTTCAGTGTAGTATCTTTGTATTGTAGGGATCCCACAAAAATTCCACATGATAAAGTGTGTTGCTGCTTTACCTGTTGCAACATCAACCATTACACTGTTGTGACTGGCTGAGAAGAGAGGTGTGATGAACACAAAGAATACATCATAAACAAGAAGTAAGAGAAGCAGCAAAGTACAGATTTTCATGCTGTAAGCGAAGATTCTTTAACAGTGAAATGCAAAATGATACACCAAGCGTGTCTTGTAAAATCCAACCATAACTGTAAGAGAAATGAAAATCCTGATAAAGTGATAAAGTAAAACCAATTTTCACTAAAGTCAACACGACGTAGTTTGACCTCAAAAATGAAATTTCTATTCCATTAATTGGTGTGGTTTTTTATCATCTTGACCAGTGATATTTTTACCTTCTATTTCGTACAATCACCCACCAAGTACTGACTCCAAGGGAAATTGCTAGCACGATAACTGACTTCATTGTGAAGCTTGTCTTCTTATAACATGGCAATGTGATTCTACATGCACCTTCAAATATCACCAAAACAATAATGACATAGTTCAGTGGCATTATAAAACAACAGCACATAATTCATTTTCAACACTTACAGAAGGGCAGTAGATGAGCCATCGCATCTAGGCATTCACATGCCAGATGCCGATGCAAATGCAAACACACCAATGATTGCATATACAACGTAGGAATAGAGATAATAGACCATCACAAGAAAGAGACATATCAATAACACAAATATGACCACCATCAAGGGGTGATTTTCATGGCGCCTCTTCATCTTCTGAGTCGCTGGATGATAATGAAATCTCTTGCTTTAGCCTGAAATCAACAAAACATACCATGAACAACATGAAAGGTATTGCCTTCTAGCAATAAATAGAAGTTTGTCAATAAATGTGAAACACTTAACCTCAATTCGCTTGCAGTATTACCACTCCAGTAAGCACCAATGACAACTGTACCAACTGCCAGGAACCAAATGACAGCAAGGTTTGTATCTACAGCAGCAAGTGGTGGTTCATAGAGTTGAACTCTGACTTTCTTACCAAGTTTCTATAGCAATAATGTGTGTAATTAGGTGGAGACACAAGATATTGCCCTTGTCCCATGGGTTTTTTGTTGTTCAAAATCACATCATACCTTCATGGTACCAAAATCCGAGGTCTTCATCACAGCAACAGAAATTGTGGAGTTAATGTGGTCTGTTGAAGGTTGGGCAGTAAACTGAACAATGGAAAAGTACACAAAATGATAATAATAAATTGTGTTAGAAGAACATTAATCTCAAAAGTTGAAACAACCACCGCACAGAAATGAGGTAAAATTACCAAAACTTCATTCACAAGTATTAGTTCCGTTCCATTTCGAGATTGGACAGCCTTGGGCCCTTCTGTGTATGTACAGTTGTAACCCTTTGTTTCAACAAATACAGCTTTATTGTTGTAGTATTTCATCGACTTTCGTGAACACAATTCTTCAACAGACACGACAACATACTCATATTTTGGCTGGAAATAAATAAATAATGCTAGATGATAGATAGCGCCATGTGATAAACAGTGATGTGGTATGTGGTCAAATGCAATCTGGTTTTTTTTTTTTAATGTTTTTCATTCATGAAAGGAATAATTATTTTAAAACAAACAAACGGCGAGCAAACAAATTTTTTTAAAAAAATTAACTATCTGCTTAATCATAGACTCTTCAATTGTCATCATTATGACTGAAACAATATATTAAGGAAAGATAGCGTTTTGTAATTTCCCGGTAACACAGTTATTGTAATTGAAAAGTCTACGAAAAAAAATCGCTTAAATCCAATAAAACTGAAATCTATTCTCAACGAGAACACTAGAGCCAAATTTAAAAGTTAAAACCACAATCTTTGACAGAACAACAACGAACTTCACAGCAAGAATAGCTTGCAATAGAAATACGCAAATACGTACAGTATCTGATAATTTCGTTGGTAACTCACGCCATAAAGGAGAATACGCAACGCAAAATCCTTTGACTGTGACGTTGTCGAGGCTCGTAGAATAGCGTATTCACCACCGTGACCCTGGAACAATAGTGTTTACAAAGTCAAACTCTCGTTTCGAAATCATCGTCTTGCTAAAATTTTCTTCACAGTAGCGAATGTACGAGTATGAATATAAATGCTATTACCTGTTCAAAGAGAAAGAAGATCAATGTCAGACAATGAAGTAAAAAAGCCATAATTTCGAAGCAACATAAAATGACTACCGTGAAATTGGCACCACATTGGGCACAACATTCAACACAACATTCATCACAACATTCAACACCACATTCAACTAAAATTTATCATTCAAAATGATAAATCAAAAAATCGTCTTTAAAACACGTTTTCCATCAAATACAACAGTAAAAAATAATTCTTAACTGTTTATTACTATTTTAGAGTCCTTAAACATCACAAAAAATGTATAAAAGTCAAGAAATTGAAGAAAACACTAAGATTTATATTACAGTGTACTTTCCATTTCTCTTAAATAGCCTATAATTTAAAAACTACACGGTAGAATTTTTTTAAACTTGGCCAGAATATAGATAATTATATTGTCTAAAATATATCCAAAATCTGGAGGTGGCACAAAAAAATAAATGATAGAAAATCATCGACAAAGTCGGATGACACGAATGCGCGTAATATAATCTTATATAATTAACTTCCTATATCCATGTAATTTTTCAAACAAAGGCCTATAAATAAAAAACTACACGGTAGAATTTTTTTAAACTTGGCCGTAATGTAGATATTCTTATTGTCTATAACATATCCAAAATCTGGAGGTGGCACAAAAAAATAAATGATAGAAAATCATCGACAAAGTCGGATGACACGAATGCGCGTAATATAATCTTATATAATTAACTTCCTATATCCATGTAATTTTTCAAACAAAGGGCTATAAATAAAAACTACACGGTAGAATTTTTTCAAACTTGGCCAGAATATAGATAATTATATTGTCTAAAATATATCCAAAATCTGGAGGTGGCACAAAAAAATAAATGATAGAAAATCATCGACAAAGTCGGATGACACGAATGCGCGTAATATAATCTTATATAATTAACTTCCTATATCCATGTAATTTTTCAAACAAAGGGCTATAAATAAAAACTACACGGTAGAATTTTTTAAACTTGGCCAGAATATAGATAATTATATTGTCTAAAATATATCCAAAATCTGGAGGTGGCACAAAAATAAATGATAGAAAATCATCGACAAAGTCGGATGACACGAATGCGCGTAATATAATCTTATATAATTAACTTCCTATATCCATGTAATTATTCAAACAAAGGCCTATAAATAAAAAACTACACGGTAGAATTTTTTCAAACTTGGCCAGAATATAGATAATTATATTGTCTAAAATATATCCAAAATCTGGAGGTGGCACAAAAAATAAATGATAGAAAATCATCGACAAAGTCGGATGACACGAATGCGCGTAATATAATCTTATATATTTAAGTTAAGAATTCCGGTTCTTTAACAAACAAAGCCTTATAAATAAAAACTACACGGTAGAAATTTTTAAACTTGGCCATATTGTAGATATTCTTATTGTCTATAATATATCCAAAATCTGGAGGTGGCACAAAAAAATAAAAGAAATAATATTCCTTGAGAATGTACTCTGGTATAAACCGTGAAGTTGGCACCACATTCGACAAACAGCTCTATAGCTAAAAAACTACACGGTAGAATTTTTTTAAACTTGGCCGTAATGTAGATATTCTTATTGTCTATAACATATCCAAAATCTGGAGGTGGCACAAAAAAATAAATGATAGAAAATCATCGACAAAGTCGGATGACACGAATGCGCGTAATATAATCTTATATAATTAACTTCCTATATCCATGTAATTTTTCAAACAAAGGCCTATAAATAAAAAACTACACGGTAGAATTTTTTCAAACTTGGCCAGAATATAGATAATTATATTGTCTAAAATATATCCAAAATCTGGAGGTGGCACAAAAAAATAAATGATAGAAAATCATCGACAAAGTCGGATGACACGAATGCGCGTAATATAATCTTATATAATTAACTTCCTATATCCATGTAATTTTTCAAACAAAGGCCTATAAATAAAAACTACACGGTAGAATTTTTAAACTTGGCCAGAATATAGATAACTATATTGTCTAAAATATATCCAAAATCTGGAGGTGGCACAAAAAAATAAATGATAGAAAATCATCGACAAAGTCGGATGACACGAATGCGCGTAATATAATCTTATATATTTAAGTTAAGAATTCCGGTTCTTTAACAAACAAAGCCTTATAAATAAAAACTACACGGTAGAAATTTTTAAACTTGGCCATATTGTAGATATTCTTATTGTCTATAATATATCCAAAATCTGGAGGTGGCACAAAAATAAAAGAAATAATATTCCTTGAGAATGTACTCTGGTATAAACCGTGAAGTTGGCACCACATTCGACAAACAGCTCTATAGCTAAAAACTACACGGTAGAATTTTTTAAACTTGGCCGTAATGTAGATATTCTTATTGTCTATAACATATCCAAAATCTGGAGGTGGCACAAAAATAAATGATAGAAAATCATCGACAAAGTCGGATGACACGAATGCGCGTAATATAATCTTATATAATTAACTTCCTATATCCATGTAATTTTTCAAACAAAGGCCTATAAATAAAAACTACACGGTAGAATTTTTTAAACTTGGCCAGAATATAGATAATTATATTGTCTAAAATATATCCAAAATCTGGAGGTGGCAAAAAATAAATGATAGAAAATCATCGACAAAGTCGGATGACACGAATGCGCGTAATATAATCTTATATATTTAAGTTAAGAATTCCGGTTCTTTAACAAACAAAGCCTTATAAATAAAAACTACACGGTAGAAATTTTTAAACTTGGCCATATTGTAGATATTCTTATTGTCTATAATATATCCAAAATCTGGAGGTGGCACAAAAAATAAAAGAAATAATATTCCTTGAGAATGTACTCTGGTATAAACCGTGAAGTTGGCACCACATTCGACAAACAGCTCTATAGCTAAAAACTACACGGTAGAATTTTTAAACTTGGCCGTAATGTAGATATTCTTATTGTCTATAACATATCCAAAATCTGGAGGTGGCACAAAAATAAATGATAGAAAATCATCGACAAAGTCGGATGACACGAATGCGCGTAATATAATCTTATATAATTAACTTCCTATATCCATGTATTTTTCAAACAAAGGCCTATAAATAAAAACTACACGGTAGAATTTTTAAACTTGGCCAGAATATAGATAATTATATTGTCTAAAATATATCCAAAATCTGGAGGTGGCACAAAAATAAATGATAGAAAATCATCGACAAAGTCGGATGACACGAATGCGCGTAATATAATCTTATATATTTAAGTTAAGAATTCCGGTTCTTTAACAAACAAAGCCTTATAAATAAAAACTACACGGTAGAAATTTTTAAACTTGGCCATATTGTAGATATTCTTATTGTCTATAATATATCCAAAATCTGGAGGTGGCACAAAAAATAAAAGAAATAATATTCCTTGAGAATGTACTCTGGTATAAACCGTGAAGTTGGCACCACATTCGACAAACAGCTCTATAGCTAAAAACTACACGGTAGAATTTTTTAAACTTGGCCGTAATGTAGATATTCTTATTGTCTATAATATATCCAAAATCTGGAGGTGGCACAAAAATAAATGATAGAAAATCATCGACAAAGTCGGATGACACGAATGCGCGTAATATAATCTTATATAATTAACTTCCTATATCCATGTAATTTTTCAAACAAAGGCCTATAAATAAAAACTACACGGTAGAATTTTTTAAACTTGGCCAGAATATAGATAATTATATTGTCTAAAATATATCCAAAATCTGGAGGTGGCACAAAAATAAATGATAGAAAATCATCGACAAAGTCGGATGACACGAATGCGCGTAATATAATCTTATATTTTTAAGAATTCCGGTTCTTTAACAAACAAAGCCTTATAAATAAAAACTACACGGTAGAAATTTTTAAACTTGGCCATATTGTAGATATTCTTATTGTCTATAATATATCCAAAATCTGGAGGTGGCACAAAAATAAAAGAAATAATATTCCTTGAGAATGTACTCTGGTATAAACCGTGAAGTTGGCACCACATTCGACAAACAGCTCTATAGCTAAAAACTACACGGTAGAAATTTTTAAACTTGGCCAGAATATAGATAATTATATTGTCTAAAATATATCCAAAATCTGGAGGTGGCACAAAAAATAAATGTAGAAAATCATCGACAAAGTCGGATGACACGAATGCATGTAATATAATCTTATATAATTACGTTTAGAATTCCGGTTCTAAAACAAACAAAGCCTTATAAATAAAAAACTACACGGTAGAATTTTTTTAAACTTGGCCGTAATGTAGATATTCTTATTGTCTATAACATATCCAAAATCTGGAGGTGGCACAAAAAAATAAATGATAGAAAATCATCGACAAAGTCGGATGACACGAATGCGCGTAATATAATCTTATATATTTAAGTTAAGAATTCCGGTTCTTTAACAAACAAAGCCTTATAAATAAAAAACTACACGGTAGAAATTTTTTAAACTTGGCCATATTGTAGATATTCTATTGTCTAAAATATATCCAAAATCTGGAGGTGGCACAAAAATAAATGATAGAAAATCATCGACAAAGTCGGATGACACGAATGCGCGTAATATAATCTTATATATTAAGTTAAGAATTCCGGTTCTTTAACAAACAAAGCCTTATAAATAAAAACTACACGGTAGAAATTTTTAAACTTGGCCATATTGTAGATATTCTTTTGTCTATAATATATCCAAAATCTGGAGGTGGCACAAAAAATAAAAGAAATAATATTCCTTGAGAATGTACTCTGGTATAAACCGTGAAGTTGGCACCACATTCGACAAACAGCTCTATAGCTAAAAACTACACGGTAGAATTTTTAAACTTGGCCATAATGTAGATATTCTTATTGTCTATAATATATCCAAAATCTGGAGGTGGCACAAAAATAAATGATAGAAAATCATCGACAAAGTCGGATGACACGAATGCGCGTAATATAATCTTATATATTTAAGTTAAGAATTCCGGTTCTTTAACAAACAAAGCCTTATAAATAAAAACTACACGGTAGAAATTTTTAAACTTGGCCATATTGTAGATATTCTTATTGTCTATAATATATCCAAAATCTGGAGGTGGCACAAAAATAAAAGAAATAATATTCCTTGAGAATGTACTCCGGTATAAACCGTGAAGTTGGCACCACATTCGACAAACAGCTCTATAGCTAAAAAACTACACGGTAGAATATTTTTAAACTTGGCCAGAATATAGATAATTATATTGTCTAAAACATATCCAAAATCTGGAGGTGGCACAAAAAAATAAGTTGTAGAAAATCATCGGCAAAGTCGGATGACACGAATGCATGTAATATGATCTTATATAATTACGTTTAGAATTCCGGTTCTTAAACAAACAAAGCCTTATAAACAAAAAACTACACGGTAGAATTTTTTTAAACTTGGCCGTAATGTAGATATTCTTATTGTCTATAACATATCCAAAATCTGGAGGTGGCACAAAAAAATAAATGATAGAAAATCATCGACAAAGTCGGATGACACGAATGCGCGTAATATAATCTTATATATTTAAGTTAAGAATTCCGGTTCTTTAACAAACAAAGCCTTATAAATAAAAAACTACACGGTAGAATTTTTTTAAACTTGGCCGTATTATAGATATTTGTATTGCCTATAACATATCCAAAATCTGGAGGTGGCACAAAAAAATAAAAGAAATAATATTCGTTGAGAATGTACTCTGGTATTAACTGTGAAGTTGGCACCACATTCGACAAACAGCTCTATAGCTAAAAACTACACGGTAGAATTTTTAAACTTGGCCAGAATATAGATAATTATATTGTCTATAACATATCGAAAATCTGTCTATAGCATTATCGAAAATCATCGTTGATGTATGGTTACAGATGTCCGTAATATGTAAGTAAGTAGCGGTTCCGGTTTTATTGGAAACAAAGGCGTCTAACTTGTAAATCAAACGACATGCGTATTTGGATGACAACAGTATTTAAAGTTTTTATTTATTTTAAGTCATATACATTAATATATGTTAATAACTTTTTTGCCTCTTCTTCCCCGTTGCTTCCTTCTGTTGTTTTGTGGGCATCTCCATTTTTGTGGCCAAGCTGCCCACAAATAAAGCATCTCACATCTGTAAAAGTGTTCGCACTCATTTTACTTGTATAGTTCTAGCGTTACTTTCTATAAAAGATGAATTACCTTTTAAAATGGAGGCTGAGTCGACGCCTGGTGCATGGGTCGATCCGTTTTCTCCTGATGCTCAATAGATGGAGCTAAAATTAAAATGGAAGAGAATTCTTTATCAGCTAAGAAAAATGAGGTTTTTCCAACATTTATTTTCAATATAAAACTGCACCTTGGGTACGTGGAGCTTGTTGTTCGCTGGGTGGAACCTCACCATTTTTCCGCAAATATTCTTCAAACACTGTAAAATTATAATATATAACTATTTTATAAAGCTCATTAGATGACTTGAAAGGATATTTTTATTTACAGCGAAATCTTTGGAGCATTTCTTCGTCCAATGTTATCGTTTTTCCCCCACTGTTTGGGGTAGCTACTCCTTGCATTGCCTCCTCGATTTTTTCAGCATCTATAATAAAAAATAAGTCTTGTTGTTAGAAGAAAATATAAAAATATTGATGAACTTTTCTTTCTTCTATTCAAAAATATTACCCATTGGCGAAGACATATTTTTTTTGAACTTTAACTCAACTGTTCAGATTTCAACGTCTGGCTGGTCTGTAAGCTGTGAACAGTGATAGGATGTTATGTTCTAGGATGCTTTGTTATTAGGATTTGAGACGAGATGACAACAACATAGCCAATGACGGCACTGCTATTTTTGGATGATTTGCATATCTCAATAGAACAATAACAGCTCCATTTTCCCCCACTGTTTGGGGTAGCTACTCCTTGCATTGCCTCCTCATTTTTTTCAGCATCTATAATAAAAAATAAGTCTTGTTGTTAGAAGAAAATATAAAAATATTGATGAACTTTTCTTTCTTCTATTCAAAAATATTACCCATTGGCGAAGACATATTTTTTTTGAACTTTAACTCAACTGTTCAGATTTCAACGTCTGGCTGGTCTGTAAGCTGTGAACAGTGATAGGATGTTATGTTCTAGGATGCTTTGTTGTTAGGATTTGAGACGAGATGACAACAACATAGCCAATGACGGCACTGCTATTTTGGATGATTTGCATATCTCAATAGAACAATAACAGCTCCATATTCTCATTAATTGAAGTATATTCAAAAGCATTTCATCGGTTATAGTTAACTTTGAAAATTACATTGCTGATAAACATACTTTTTTGAACAGGTAAGCAGTGGGCCTTTTTTGATTTTTTGGCACCGAATTAACCAAACCGTTATGATTTACTCACTTTATTTCAATTTGCATTTCCTGATGTAGCATTCACACACTACAGAATTTTTTAACTGCATTGCGTTTATAAAATGTCGGTATGTACCAATTTCTCTTTTCTGCGTAATTTGCGTTTATTTGAATGAATTGTTAGGACACTTTCTTATCTATTTATAGACACGATTTCAAAAAGCAAAAGTCGCAGGATGTTTTGCTCTAAAGGAGAACATTAAAGAAATTGCATCCATAATGGTATCGTTGAATTGTGCCAACATACATGAATGTAAGTGGAGGAAAATTGATGGTTTTTGGGCTAAAGTGTTGGAGGAGCTTGGACAACCAAACCTAGTAAATTCACGCAAATACCTTTATATGATGTGGCAACGAAATTGGGGAGGGTTTCAGAATGCATACGAGAGCGAACAGCAAAGGCAAACAAACATCGCTAAAATGGAGGTAAATTATTGTGAATAAGACATTAATACATTGTTTGTGTAATTAACCCTTATTTTACAATGACGATGCAATCTCGATTGCGCATGCAAACAGTGAACTCAATATTTAAACAACTGGCATGATGTCTGAAAGAAAAAATTGAAGCCAAAAAATCTTCGTGTTTCTCGCGCGTTCATAAATAATTTGTATTTTTTCGGACTTTAATTTGACCTCAGTTGATTTCATTTTACTAGTCTGTTTTATCTTCATCAAGGAAACATTTTCAACTTAATTTATTTCATGCATGAGTGATTGTTTGAATGACATAGCTAACACTTCATTTGAATAAAAAAACGTTTTGCGATAATGAAACGAGAAAACGTCTAAAATCTTGACTTCCGTAACAAAGCCGTGTGAATGAGGCTAACAAATATGTTTAACCGCATTATTTAATTGACAAAATTTATTGACAAAAGCCTTCTTACAGCTAATGCGCGGTCCTTTGCTATTATGTAGACACCCCCATTCAGTGAAACATTACAGAATCGAGACAAGAAAAAAGTCCTATGCAGCAATAAAGTGAGCAGATTTTTTCTTCTATTATTGTCAAAGCTAATTTACAAGCAAGGCATGAAAATAAAGAACGCAGGTCAATTGTAAAACTCCTGTCATAATCTTTATATATTTGTAGGTTGTTGGCTCTAGCATTCCGGGAAGTCGTATGCAATCACATGAGAAACGGGAAAAGGAGATGCAGACAAAAGCTCCTATATCAGGTGATAAGAACGTATTTATTGACATAAATGACTTTACACCATTGACATGTTTAGGGGAGAATGATAAGTCTGCAAGAATACAAGTTAAGAAAGACGAAAATATGCAAGTAGAAGTGAAGACGTTGGAAACTGTTCTCCAAGATAAAAAGTCAGCATGTGCAACACCCTCTAGTCATATTCGTGTTTCTACTAGGCAGCGTCGTGCCCCAAAGTGTACACCCGAACTGCAACGAACAAGCTGTTTATTGCTTTTGCCAACGAGAAGACATTGGCTGGTATTTAGTGTGTAATTTTGAGAAGGCAGGATGCATGAAGTACTATCATCCTAGATGCGTTGGTTTGGAGCACTTGAAAAATAAAGAAGATGGAGAATGTTTTAGTAACTGTGTAGATGGTGTTTCATTCATGTGTCCTGTATGCATAAAGAAAACGGAAGAGGAAACAAGTGGCTGGATGAAAGACAAGAGTGTAACACATGAGCAAAATAGTTCGAAACAAACAAACCGAGCCAACACATTTGTTCACTGAAGAAAATGAATGTGCGGTCATACAAGAAGTTAGCAGACTCAACAGCCCAAATGTGCCAACAAATGACGAAGTATTTACTGCGGAGAATCAAGATACTGAGATTGAAGGTGCTTGGAAAGAAGAAAATATAGTTTGCTCTTATTCATCAGATGACGTGAATTACGATGACATGCCAGATGACGTTAATTACGAGGACATGGCAGACGATGTGAAGCATGATGGTATGCCAGATGACGCATCAATAACGCTCAGAGAAATAAGAGACGACGATCTAATACAGAATTATAACATCAACAGCTTAAAAAGGAGTGATTTGACGTATGTTTCCAAAGACAAAAAGCCATTGGGAATGAGAACGGAGTGACAAAACCATTTGATGCAAAAGAAGCTGTTCATGTAAGACCACCAACTGTCAACATTTTGCCAATTCCTCATGACACCTTAGGTCGCATGATGGATTGTCCAAAACTAACATTTGATTCATTCTTCACTGCGGAATGTCCATCAGAAGCATCGTTTACACTAAGTCAGGATGAATGGTCGCAGATGGTACCCACGTATGTATCACCAAATCGCCTTCAAAAAAATTGGACTAAGATAATTGCCGGACACCTGCAACTATCTAATCCATTTTGCAGTTTCATCTTCGACAGGCATTATGTTCAGAAACAAAACTCACGTAAGCGACGTTACAAAATCTATTTCAAAGCTAATGGTCGATGTATATTTGAAGACTGTTCGTGCCGCTTTACTCTCGCAATGAGCAAAGATGATTTTCATCAAAAAATTGTTCATGTGAAATACACTGGTAGCATCAAACATACAAATGGTGAAAGAAAATCTCGTCCCATTAAAGGAGAAGAACGCGCTCAACTCAGGGAAGAATTCTGCAGTGGCCTTCTCAAGCCATCCGTTATGTATCAGAAGAGAAAACTGGATGTTTTCCCTGATGCAATGGCATCTGGAAATAGAACAGGCTGTGGCAATAAACTTGAAACAATGAGAAAAATTTCAAGTGAAGGAAAACAGTTGTTGCAACAAGATAAAGACCTTTCATGCTCTCTGGAAAAAATAAGAAGAACGCTTGTTGAAAAGGAAACTGCACGCGAATTTCCACCATCAAAAGCCCACGATGGTTTCGTACATACTATTGCAATGTATCCTCTCATCGTTCACATGTGGATAGAGAATCAAGTGCGTTTGTGGCACGATAGGTGCAAGGATGATATTTCTTATCTTGACGCAACAGGAACATTGGTTGCTGATCACAACGGGAAGCGCGTCCTTTATTATGCATTAGTAATACGCCATCCAGTAGAAAATGAACCATCGTTTCCAGTAGCAGAAATGATTACTTCGGATCATACAACGGGAAATATTCGCTCATTTTTAGAAAGATTTCGGCGAGATGAATCAAAGTTATATAGAGGCATCTATCATCTCCAAGGCAGGTAAACACAGACTATTCAAGGGCTTTGTTAATGGCAGTTTTGCAGGAATTCAATAACGAATCAATGGCTGCATTCTTCAAGAGAGCTTTCAGGATAGTCAATGGAAGAAGTCTTGACAATGATTTATCTCTTACAATACCTCATGTTGGATGTAGTCACTTCATGCACATTGTTCACAGGTATCTCAAAAAATTGGATTCTGCCGAAAAATTTGTACGGCCTGGAGACGAACTTAAGGAGAAAGAAGAAAATTGGTATCGTTTCAACATGTACGCCATGTCCTTGCTTGTGAATGCCAGGACTCTACACGAATTTCAAACGACTTTAGAAGACATTATTACATGCTTATGCAGCAAGAAGCAAACAACGGTGTTAAGGAACGCATATGCAAGAGTTAATGCACGCATCCAAAACATGGACAAATTATGTTCTGTAAACATTTCCGAATTTCAGAAGGAAAGCAATTACACCAGTTTGGATTACAGCGACTGTGAGAACAGTGTAGTGATCCCATCTTCCAACCCTTTTGTCGATTTCTTTTCTACCATCGTTGGGAAAGTTAAAAGATGTGTTGAGAAGGATTCAGAAAATTCCTGCGAATCACCAGGAAATGAGAATCGTTCCTACTGTCCCAAATTTCTCTGCTTCATTACAAAGTATTTGAGTGAGATGGCATTGTGGTCTGGTGTTTTATTAGGAGATATGACACGCTACGGGGAGAACGGAGGAATTCAAGAAAGTAGCTCTTGTAGGTTTTTGTCGTTCACATCGGCAAACGCTAAGACTGAAGGCTATATAGAAGGAGCTATGCGAAATCTCAAACAGGAAGACTTCCCTGGAAAAAGACGGTTAAGAGCTGACGTATTTGTTCTGCAAAATTATGAGCACAAACAACGTCGTGAGCGAAATTTTGGTGATCGATTGCATGTTTACTTGAGAAAACAGAGAAAGAGAAGGTATGAAAAGAAGACAAAGAATATCGCTGACACAAACAATGAATCTGATAGTGATTTGCCGGAAATGACATATCACACAAGCCAAGAGAGATGGGGTAAGAAAGATCCGGAAACTCCTAAGCAGAATCCAAAGCTTGGAAGGTATCAACAATCACCATCAATTCCCCTGAGTGTAACTCAAGATTTAAAGAACAATAAAACTAAAAGCAAAACGCTTCTTGATAAAACGGACAGAGATGCAACATTGGTGCAAAGTTCACCAGGTAAAAGAAGGTTTATGAGTGATATGACATACAAACAGAACGAAGCAGATAATTCCTATTCCAGTGTGGTGGTTGAGAAGATGAAAATTGACGATTCAGCAGAAAATAAACATGAAGATGTTCAGGTCATAAAGAAGGACAAATACGTAACGAAGCACACCTTGATCCATGTTGAAGAAAAAAGAAACTAAAAATAAAGTGCAAGAAACGTTTGTCAAAAAGCGAAGAGGAGCAGGAGATCAAAAAATGGACCAAATGGATGTGGAAAGGAATGGACAAATGCGGCACAAAAAATATCAAAGAAAAAAATAATCCCAAAAAAACAACAATGTTGTAAGGAGTTAATAATGCACAAAGAAAATGACCTGAAACTGCTAGAAAAAAATAAGAAATTCTATGGTTTAATCAACAAAAGAAATTCTTGTTGGGTTAATGCTCTTTTGCAATGTTTGTATGTCTTGCCCATCAGACGTATTTTCTTAAATAAAACAGAATAAAACGTTAAAGAACAAATTGATTGTGCTCTTTCAAATGCATTGAGAAAAAGCATCAAAGAGATGCATTATAGCACGGGATCAAGTTTTTATCCATCTGTCTTCCACAACGCGTTTACAGAAGAACACAATTTTCCATTGGGCAAGCAATGTGACGTACAGGAAGCGTTCACAAGGCTGTGTTCCAACACAAAGGAAACGGCCATCGGCGATGCATTCAACATTGGCACTCAAACCAGGAAAACATGCATGTCCTGTGGTAATTTCGAAGATAGCATGCCCGAAACACAAACTTCATTAATTGTATCTCCACGCAACGGCATAGATGATTTAGAAAATGCTATTAGAAATTGCTTGGAGGACACAGTAAATGCCTGTTGCAGCTCGTGTAAGTCAGAAACAAATCATTTCCAACACCGAAAGTTCATATTTCTTCCCGAAACACTGGTTATATGTTTTGCAAGATTCAAATTTGGTAATGGACGTATTTGCAAAAATCAGGCGATCGTAAATTTACCAAATCAATTAAGAATAGGACCAGAGTCCTTCCACTACAACCTTCGTGCTTGTGCTCTTCATCATGGTTCGCGAGTGCAAAGTGGTCATTATACTGCTCTCATTTTAATGACAATAAAGTTTTGCATATTGATGATACCAGATGTAGTGACGTGACTTTGAGTGGCAATTGCTAGCGCAACAAACAGTATATTTAACTTTTTTCACAAAAGTTGGAAACGGCTTTGCTCATATTTCGCAGATAAGTTCTGGTTGTGGATTAGATGAGTTTGAAAAAGGTGATGAAACAGGGAATTGTAATGAGACGTTCGAGGAAAAGGCTAATGTTCAGCGAGAAAATGAGTCACCTAATTATAAATATGATGTACCAGGAAAACAAAGTAATGAAGTACGCTGGAAGGAAATTCAACAACTTTACGACGTTCTCAATAAGAATAAAACAATTTGTTTAAACGCAACTCATGGGTACGAACTGAAAGGGGAAGACTTCAAGACTCTAGAGCAACCACTATTAAACCAGACTTATTCAGTAAAACATACTGGGTGGTTGAATGATAAGATAATAAATGCTTACACTCATTTGATTGTCAATGCTGCGCGTGAGAATGGAAACCGTGTACTCGCATTCGACACACTTTTCTATTCCAGGCTTCGTCATTGCGTGGTACAACGCGCTGACGAAAAGAAGTTAGTAAGAATGATGTTTGAAAAGAAAAGTGATTACAAACTCGAAACCTACGACTACGTCATTATTCCAATAAACGAAAACGAATGTGGTCATTGGACTGTGATGATCATTGATATTTGGAAGACCTCTATCCCTACGACCCATTGAAACAGGGGATGCAAAACGAGACAGCAGTAAAACTGATCAAGTTCTTCTTTGCTGCTGCACTCAAATGGCGAAGGAAATGCGAGGTAATCATAAATAATCGTATTCTAGTTGAGAATTTTGAGGTAATATGGGAGAAATCATTCAATTACCAGCAAGATTCTTTCAGTTGTGGGGTGTATGTTTTAATGTATTGCAGTTATCTGTTAGGGCTTGCGTTTTTCAACCCATCTAGAAAAGATATAACTGTCATCCGAAACAAAATTGCTGGAGAGTTACTGATTGGTAGGAAAGACAACACACTGAATGAAATTTGCAGACAAATTAGGAGCAAAGAGCGGTGTATCACTGCCGAAGTCTACCGACAATATGTTGAAGGTGAAGTTTTATTGTACTGCAGTACTTTAGCAAAAGGAAAAAAATTCATTTGGCGACATCAATCTGAAGTGGTAGGTCGTCAGCAAATACATAAGTTTAAGTTAACACCAAATACTAAGGGTACATACACATGCTTCGTCTCAACTAGAGATGACATTGAAAACAGCAATTACCTTACATGCTCTTGCAATGTGGAGTGCATAGAAAGAGCTATTAATTACAATGAAAAGGAAGTAATACGTGAATTGAAAAACGATATTGAAAAACGTTTTGTAGCAAAGAAAAAGTGATGTGTGGAATCAGTCACTGTAAGAATTACAATGCGCGACTAGCAGCTTACGAGGAATGCGCAACGTGAGCGACTTGTTTTGAAATAACGAGAACTTTCCCACTAAATTTGGAAAGTTCTCGCAATTTCATTTGGCGCTGTTGCTGCTTTATTCATGTTTGATGTTTTTCAAACTGACAGAACGCGCTGTCGCAGCATAGTTAGGAATTTTTAAACAGGGCCGAAAATGAAACGTCCATTTGGGGTGAATATTCGTATATTCAGGTCTGTCCGACTGATTTTGTTTGTTAGCGATCTTTAGCGTTCTAGTTTCGGCCCTGTTCTCAAATCTTAACCCATTTTTCAAAAACAATGAGAGAAATACGGCATGCAGATTTTCAATAAAGACTTAATATGCAATGCACGTATTTCTCTCTCAACATATCTATCACGAAGCGATTTTTTTTATCCACGCATGTACGATTTAAGGCACAAAATGCCTCAAACAAAAAAATGACATTCATGTAAATAACATATAGATATATTCAATATAGGCCATCGCCAGCCATATTTTATTGCATGCGAAATAAATAAAAAAATTCAACACAGCTTTCCTTTCAGCGTTGTGAAAATGAACATGTTATTGCCATTCACTTAAAATCAATGAAAAGCACAAAAAAATTGTAATTATAAATTCTAAAAGAATGGAAACAACGTTTTACTTGGCACTTCGCCTAGAAACTGGAATAGAGCAATCGCGTTTCCGCTGATTACATATGTATTGTGTGTATTCTGACCATTGAAATGCAAGCATCGATTGGAGAAGCAAAAATAAGCAAAGTACGTATTCGTAACGAATGTTTAAAACACGCTCAGTTATTTAACAAACGTCTTATGGTAAAATCTTTTCAGATTTCGACGTTCGTTGATGTCATGATCAGCACAAAATGGCCGCTTCCACTTGTGCCTCAAACTACTGGTATGTACCTGTAAAAGCAGATTAATTAAGCCAAGTACGTAATTGCTGAAATCTGCCGAAAACCAAATTCAAGTCTCTAACAATTATTGCAATAACGTATTTTCATTTACTTTCAGTATACATAAATAACATTTTCAGAAAAATCTCTCCATGGATATTCCAATTGTAACCGTTGTTAACACAATTAAATTCTTCAACATCAACAAAACATACTGTGGAAGAAAAATGAGGACTTGTGCTGATAAATTGTAAGTGCTGATTTTAATTGTAAAAATATATACTAAAGCATTATAAACCTGTGAGAATACATTGAGAATACTAAATCATCTATGAATAACTGCATTTCTATTTAGCTACAAGTGACGTGTTAAGAAAGCGGAAACGGGCATAAAGTAACTTCATATAAGTTCAGAATGCAAGAGGAACATTTCCAGAAAAATTGAAATTGTTAATCGATATTCTGATCGTGTCAACAACGTAAAAAATTGCGATAGAAAGGAAAATACTGTGGTAAATAATAGCCGATTTCTAATTATAAGATAATAAAGTAAAGTAATTATCTAGTAAGTCTGTAAAAATACAATATAAATAATGCACATGTCTAATTATACCGTGACGTAAAGGTCCTGCATTAAAGTAATACTTGGTCACGACTACTCCAAAAACAAGTCATTTACTTCATTCACTAAATTTTGAAAAAATTAAAGCGATGAGCAACTAGAACAAATTTTCAAAAAAAATAACCAGCACTGTTACGTCACTGCATAATTAATTTGGTACTAACAACCAAACAGAGTTTACTATTTTTAAACAATTTAGTAAAAAGTGAATTGTACTAATAAATTTTTTGTGCACTCTCCAGATTTTGGATATATTTTATACAATAAGAATATCTACAATATGGCAAAGTTTAAAAAAATTCTACCATGTAGTTTTTTATTTATAGGCCTTTGTTTGTTAAATAACAGGAATTCTTAACTTAAATATGCAATGTCATGCAGGTTGCATGATAAAATCGTTATTTTTTACAACGAAGTCGTCAAAAGAAAAACACTACGTTATTCAACAACAACAACATCTCGAATTCTTTTATTTTCAACAACACTCCCTTCTGTGATAATCCCAAAATTTCAATCACGTGAAATGCACGCGCACGTCACAACAAAGCAAAATAAAAACAACTGTTCATCACATGCAAGATTATATTACGCGTATTCGTGTCATCCGACTTTGTCGATGATTTTCTATCATTTATTTTTTTGTGCCACCTCCAGATTTTGGATATGTTATAGACAATAAGAATATCTACATTATGGCCAAGTTTAAAAAAGTTCTACCGTGTAGTTTTTTAGCTATAGAGCTGTTTGTCGAATGTGGTGCCAACTTCACGGTTTATACCAGAGTACATTCTCAAGGAATATTATTTCTTTTATTTTTTGTGCCACCTCCAGATTTTGGATATATTATAGACAATAAGAATATCTACAATATGGCCAAGTTTAAAAATTTCTACCGTGTAGTTTTTATTTATAAGGCTTTGTTTGTTAAAGAACCGGAATTCTTAACTTAAATATATAAGATTATATTACGCGCATTCGTGTCATCCGACTTTGTCGATGATTTTCTATCATTTATTTTTTGTGCCACCTCCAGATTTTGGATATATTTTAGACAATAATTATCTATATTCTGGCCAAGTTTAAAAAATTCTACCGTGTAGTTTTTTATTTATAGGCCTTTGTTTGAAAAATTACATGGATATAGGAAGTTAATTATATAAGATTATATTACGCGCATTCGTGTCATCCGACTTTGTCGATGATTTTCTATCATTTATTTTTTGTGCCACCTCCAGATTTTGGATATATTATAGACAATAAGAATATCTACAATATGGCCAAGTTTAAAAAATTTCTACCGTGTAGTTTTTTATTTATAAGGCTTTGTTTGTTAAAGAACCGGAATTCTTAACTTAAATATATAAGATTATATTACGCGCATTCGTGTCATCCGACTTTGTCGATGATTTTCTATCATTTATTTTTTTGTGCCACCTCCAGATTTTGGATATATTTTAGACAATATAATTATCTATATTCTGGCCAAGTTTAAAAATTCTACCGTGTAGTTTTTATTTATAGGCCTTTGTTTGAAAAATTACATGGATATAGGAAGTTAATTATATAAGATTATATTACGCGCATTCGTGTCATCCGACTTTGTCGATGATTTTCTATCATTTATTTTTGTGCCACCTCCAGATTTTGGATATATTATAGACAATAAGAATATCTACAATATGGCCAAGTTTAAAAATTTCTACCGTGTAGTTTTTATTTATAAGGCTTTGTTTGTTAAAGAACCGGAATTCTTAACTTAAATATATAAGATTATATTACGCGCATTCGTGTCATCCGACTTTGTCGATGATTTTCTATCATTTATTTTTTTGTGCCACCTCCAGATTTTGGATATATTTTAGACAATATAGTTATCTATATTCTGGCCAAGTTTAAAAATTCTACCGTGTAGTTTTTATTTATAGGCCTTTGTTTGAAAAATTACATGGATATAGGAAGTTAATTATATAAGATTATATTACGCGCATTCGTGTCATCCGACTTTGTCGATGATTTTCTATCATTTATTTTTGTGCCACCTCCAGATTTTGGATATATTTTAGACAATATAATTATCTATATTCTGGCCAAGTTTAAAAATTCTACCGTGTAGTTTTTATTTATAGGCCTTTGTTTGAAAATTACATGGATATAGGAAGTTAATTATATAAGATTATATTACGCGCATTCGTGTCATCCGACTTTGTCGATGATTTTCTATCATTTATTTTTGTGCCACCTCCAGATTTTGGATATATATAGACAATAAGAATATCTATTATGGCCAAGTTTAAAAAATTCTACCGTGTAGTTTTTAGCTATAGAGCTGTTTGTCGAATGTGGTGCCAACTTCACGGTTTATACCAGAGTACATTCTCAAGGAATATTATTTCTTTTATTTTTTGTGCCACCTCCAGATTTTGGATATATTATAGACAATAAGAATATCTACAATATGGCCAAGTTTAAAAATTTCTACCGTGTAGTTTTTATTTATAAGGCTTTGTTTGTTAAAGAACCGGAATTCTTAACTTAAATATATAAGATTATATTACGCGCATTCGTGTCATCCGACTTTGTCGATGATTTTCTATCATTTATTTTTTGTGCCACCTCCAGATTTTGGATATATTTTAGACAATATAATTATCTATATTCTGGCCAAGTTTAAAAAAATTCTACCGTGTAGTTTTTTATTTATAGGCCTTTGTTTGAAAAATTACATGGATATAGGAAGTTAATTATATAAGATTATATTACGCGCATTCGTGTCATCCGACTTTGTCGATGATTTTCTATCATTTATTTTTGTGCCACCTCCAGATTTTGGATATATTTTAGACAATATAATTATCTATATTCTGGCCAAGTTTAAAAATTCTACCGTGTAGTTTTTATTTATAGGCCTTTGTTTGAAAAATTACATGGATATAGGAAGTTAATTATATAAGATTATATTACGCGCATTCGTGTCATCCGACTTTGTCGATGATTTTCTATCATTTATTTTTGTGCCACCTCCAGATTTTGGATATGTTATAGACAATAAGAATATCTACATTATGGCCAAGTTTAAAAATTCTACCGTGTAGTTTTTAGCTATAGAGCTGTTTGTCGAATGTGGTGCCAACTTCACGGTTTATACCAGAGTACATTCTCAAGGAATATTATTTCTTTTATTTTTGTGCCACCTCCAGATTTTGGATATATTATAGACAATAAGAATATCTACAATATGGCCAAGTTTAAAAATTTCTACCGTGTAGTTTTTATTTATAAGGCTTTGTTTGTTAAAGAACCGGAATTCTTAACTTAAATATATAAGATTATATTACGCGCATTCGTGTCATCCGACTTTGTCGATGATTTTCTATCATTTATTTTTGTGCCACCTCCAGATTTTGGATATATTTTAGACAATATAATTATCTATATTCTGGCCAAGTTTAAAAATTCTACCGTGTAGTTTTTATTTATAGGCCTTTGTTTGAAAAATTACATGGATATAGGAAGTTAATTATATAAGATTATATTACGCGCATTCGTGTCATCCGACTTTGTCGATGATTTTCTATCATTTATTTTTGTGCCACCTCCAGATTTTGGATATATTATAGACAATAAGAATATCTACAATATGGCCAAGTTTAAAAATTTCTACCGTGTAGTTTTTATTTATAAGGCTTTGTTTGTTAAAGAACCGGAATTCTTAACTTAAATATATAAGATTATATTACGCGCATTCGTGTCATCCGACTTTGTCGATGATTTTCTATCATTTATTTTTTTGTGCCACCTCCAGATTTTGGATATATTTTAGACAATATAATTATCTATATTCTGGCCAAGTTTAAAAATTCTACCGTGTAGTTTTTATTTATAGGCCTTTGTTTGAAAAATTACATGGATATAGGAAGTTAATTATATAAGATTATATTACGCGCATTCGTGTCATCCGACTTTGTCGATGATTTTCTATCATTTATTTTTGTGCCACCTCCAGATTTTGGATATATTTTAGACAATATAATTATCTATATTCTGGCCAAGTTTGAAAAATTCTACCGTGTAGTTTTTATTTATAGGCCTTTGTTTGAAAAATTACATGGATATAGGAAGTTAATTATATAAGATTATATTACGCGCATTCGTGTCATCCGACTTTGTCGATGATTTTCTATCATTTATTTTTGTGCCACCTCCAGATTTTGGATATGTTATAGACAATAAGAATATCTACATTACGGCCAAGTTTAAAAAATTCTACCGTGTAGTTTTTAGCTATAGAGCTGTTTGTCGAATGTGGTGCCAACTTCACGGTTTATACCAGAGTACATTCTCAAGGAATATTATTTCTTTTATTTTTTGTGCCACCTCCAGATTTTGGATATTATAGACAATAAGAATATCTACAATATGGCCAAGTTTAAAAATTTCTACCGTGTAGTTTTTATTTATAAGGCTTTGTTTGTTAAAGAACCGGAATTCTTAACTTAAATATATAAGATTATATTACGCGCATTCGTGTCATCCGACTTTGTCGATGATTTTCTATCATTTATTTTTGTGCCACCTCCAGATTTTGGATATATTTTAGACAATATAGTTATCTATATTCTGGCCAAGTTTAAAAATTCTACCGTGTAGTTTTTATTTATAGGCCTTTGTTTGAAAAATTACATGGATATAGGAAGTTAATTATATAAGATTATATTACGCGCATTCGTGTCATCCGACTTTGTCGATGATTTTCTATCATTTATTTTTGTGCCACCTCCAGATTTTGGATATATTTTAGACAATATAATTATCTATATTCTGGCCAAGTTTGAAAAATTCTACCGTGTAGTTTTTTATTTATAGGCCTTTGTTTGAATAATTACATGGATATAGGAAGTTAATTATATAAGATTATATTACGCGCATTCGTGTCATCCGACTTTGTCGATGATTTTCTATCATTTATTTTTTTGTGCCACCTCCAGATTTTGGATATATTTTAGACAATATAATTATCTATATTCTGGCCAAGTTTAAAAAAATTCTACCGTGTAGTTTTTTGTTTATAAGGCTTTGTTTGTTTAAGAACCGGAATTCTAAACGTAATTATATAAGATCATATTACATGCATTCGTGTCATCCGACTTTGTCGATGATTTTCTACAACTTATTTTTTTGTGCCACCTCCAGATTTTGGATATATTTTAGATAATATAATTATCTATATTCTGGCCAAGTTTAAAAAATTTCTACCGTGTAGTTTTTTAGCTATAGAGCTGTTTGTCGAATGTGGTGCCAACTTCACGGTTTATACCAGAGTACATTCTCAAGGAATATTATTTCTTTTATTTTTTTGTGCCACCTCCAGATTTTGGATATATTATAGACAATAAGAATATCTACAATATGGCCAAGTTTAAAAAATTTCTACCGTGTAGTTTTTTATTTATAAGGCTTTGTTTGTTAAAGAACCGGAATTCTTAACTTAAATATATAAGATTATATTACGCGCATTCGTGTCATCCGACTTTGTCGATGATTTTCTATCATTTATTTTTGTGCCACCTCCAGATTTTGGATATATTTTAGACAATATAATTATCTATATTCTGGCCAAGTTTAAAAAAATTCTACCGTGTAGTTTTTAAATTATAGGCTATTTAAGAGAAATGGAAAGTACACTGTAATATAAATCTTAGTGTTTTCTTCAATTTCTTGACTTTTATACATTTTTGTGATGTTTAAGGACTGTAAAATAGTAATAAACAGTTAAGAATTATTTTTTACTGTTGTATTTGATGGAAAACGTGTTTTAAAGACGATTTTTTGATTTATCATTTTGAATGATAAATTTTAGTTGAATGTGGTGTTGAATGTTGTGATGAATGTTGTGTTGAATGTTGTGCCCAATGTGGTGCCAATTTCACGGTAGTCATAAAATGCGGTTTTGTATCTTGTTGTCATTTGCAAGTTTCTGAGACGGAAGCGGGGACGTTTACCGACCGGGAATTATTACCTTCTACAAAATAACATTCGTTTTTACCCTTTCGATGTTTGAATTCTGCAATTTGCTCTTAAAATTCTGGACGTGATCTTTCACGTTTAAAACCAGCTATTTTGTGTGTTCAATTTAAGCCAAAGTGCAGCAACTCAGATTACTGCCGGTAAAAATCATTGCCGGAAATTTCTTTCCCAGGTGAAATGGCTGTAATTTGAACAGGTGAAGGGCAGTCAATCAAAAGTGGAATTCTTCAAGTGAAATGTCCACTTCAGCCGTCGTTCCGTTGGTATTCTGGGGCAGCACACCTCCTAAACATGTGGTATCCTGTATTTTGGTCACTTACGATCAAAAGACGATCATTACTGGTTCCAAATCAGGTCAACTTGGTATATGGGATATAAGGCATTTGGATGGGGGCAAAGTCGAAGTAAGATGCAACACGACGCTGAAAATCATACATTGATGTCTTTTATTGCTTTCCATATACCTCGAATAACATATTTTAAAGTGTTTTTTCCTTTCACTTGGACATTTTAGCTTTTCTTTCAAGTTCTTGCCTAATATCCGGCACTCAGGGACTCAACTTGGCCACACATAATTTTTCTGATTTTTTATCACTAGGTTGTTGCTAAAAGTTTGATATTTGGTCATAATGATGTTGTGACAGCACTGGCCTGTGCCTGCGTTGGTTTGGAAAATCAATCAGCTGTCATTAGTGCTGCAGAAAACGGGTAAATTTATGTCAAATGGATTGATTAAACACTCATTCTCTTGGCTGGAAAGTTGGGCAAAACCACCCCCCGATTTTTGCTTGAAGAAAAATATTTGCAGCCATGGGATCGCCTTTCCCATATTCTCTTATGATTTGCCAAATTAAGAATCCCTTTCTTTTGCTTGACTTCTGTTGGTGTAATGAGATGGAAGTCTTTGAAAAAGAGCATTATTATCAAGTTTGGACATTTTTATTCTAACCAAAGCAAGATATTTCACATAAAATGCAGAGATCTCATTTTAAAGTGCTCAACTTTCCAGCCCGGCTCATTTGCAGTCATGTTTCTCACACAATGCCATTCTACTAGCGAGCTTTGTCTTTGGGATGTCGATGATGGTCTTTGTATTCAAACCAATTTTATACCTGGTGCACACTAATTTACTGGTATGTCGAAGAACATCTTTTGTTACATTTATTATCTTGTAAGTAAAGATTGTCTTTTTCTCTTATTAGCCATTTCGTGTTTCTACTGGTGGCAGCAAGGAGTGGAGTAGTGTGTCATGGATATTACTTGGACGTGTATATTGTGGATGTCCTTACATTGGAGGTGAGTTTTCGTTTTAATTTTTTGCTGTAGTGTAAATTGGTACCGTTAACCATGGAGGGATTTTCTGGGGTACCATCCCCCTCTTCCCCAATATCTGATTTCATCCCTCTAAAGAAAATTGTTAAACCCTTCAAACATTTAACATCTACCCAATGTTTAGCTAAACAAATCAATTGTACAGCTTTGACTTGAGCAATGTTTCAACTTTCCACTTGACCTTCGGTGGCTGTTCTACTGCCCCTAAAATATTTACTCCCTTACCTTGTCTTATGTCACTTATTTACCAGCTAATCCCACCCTTGTAAAAAATATAAAAATCCATTCATGTTGTAAACAGAAAAATAACATGTTTAGGTTCTTCACACTTTGTCGCCTTCAGCCTCTTCCAATTGGCTAGCAACTGCATGTGTAGTCAGGCCTCCAGAAGGTTGGTATCTATTTGTGTCTGCTGTTTTACATGTTGGTCATGTGAATTTTAAAATGTGGCATTTTAGAGGATGTTCTTGTTGGGACATTGTTAGGGACTATTAAAATTTGGCCTCTCAAGAGAAATCCTGATAACAAGGTAGAGATGTTGGCTAATACACCATTAGAGCACTTTGGACATTCAGTGACATGCTTTGCCTTGTCAATAGTAGAAAATCATTAACAAAAAACAATCAAGAGCACTTATTGGTAATCAATAGCATTTATTTGTATTATGAACTGCCATGACAATTAGGAGTATTCAAGTAGCATAAACATGCATTCATTGAAATAAAAGGACAGACCATTAAGATAAAGCAGATATTCAGATAAACCTGTGCAATATACTTTGTTTGAAAGATGTTCGTCCAAATAGAAATAGTTTGTCATCGCACTTCTCTGTTGTACAAAATATGTTTAAGTTTATTTAAATGTCTGCTTTATCTTCATGTTCCTTCCTTTGATTTTTATTGAAAGCATGTTAATGCTTCTTAAATATCTTCAGTTGTTATGTTGCATACATAAATGCTACTGATTGTCAACTGGTGCTCATGATTGTTCCATTGTGTTAATGAATATTCTACAGACATAAGTCAAAGCATTTAATCCAATGTCAAATGTGCTCTAATGATTTGCAAATGGTGTGTGTGTATTTTGAGTGTTGTTTAGTAAAGCATTTGGCATTCTTTTGAATGAGATATAACACCAAACTTGAATCTAATTTCAGCCTACAGAAGCCATGTATGATCAAAGTCTACCACAAATGGCTGGAATCAAAGCACTTCATGTTGTATGCAATCCATTCTCCCAAAGAACCATTCTGATTGTATCTGCCAAGCAATGGCAGGTTAGTTGTGCAATGGTTGTTCATTTTTCTCACGCCCTTATTAAACACTGTCTTCATCCATTTTTTTCTTTGTACAGATGTACGATGTGAGTAACTTTCAGTTTCTTGTGGCTGTGCCCGCTGTTGCTGGAGAAAACTGGACAGCTGCTGATTTCATACAAAGTAATTGTGTCTTGGTTTGGTCTAAGGTACATTTAGTGTTTATGCAATGTTTCAATGTTTCACTTAAGAAATGAAAGATGTTTATGTTTGCACTGGCTTATGAAACCGAGGAGACCTTTGGGAGAACTCGAGAGCTCTCACAAACATCTCCGAGGTTTGCAAAAGCCAGTGCAAACACATAAAACATCTTTTATTTCTTTTATAAAATAACAATAGTGTGAAAAAGACAAGCATTTTAATATTTCCTCTTAAATGTATTCATGATCGATTTACAAATTCACTTTGACTGGTTGATTGTTTTGATTGGTTGAGCTCAGATGTGTTTTGCAAATGCTAATGCAAATACGGTTCTAGACCAATCACTGCACGTGTCTTATTGTTTTTATTTTATAAATATTCTTATTGTTTAGAACAGGGGTCTCCAAACTACGGCCCGCTGGCCAGATGTGGCCCGTTGCGCCTCTCAATCCGGCCCACAGAGACACTTAAGAAAGCCAATTTCACCACTCACATTGAGAAAACTGAACAGACTAATTGTGATTTTGTTATGATATTACACTTGGTTGAAATTTAACCTTTACATTTTGAATAAGTATTTTCTTAACTAATGAAGCTTGTGTTATGTACTTCGTTTTATTAAAATATTCGCTCTTTGACCAGCGGTATACGGTTCGTCGGCCCTCAACATGCTGGATGAAAGTTCATGTGGCCCTCTGGCTGTAAAGTTTGTAGACCCCTGGTTTAGAAGGACAAAAGTGAATTTACGTTTACATGTTGCCTTAAAAAGTCCAATTGCCACGGTGAATGTCTTGCACCCAAACAGAAGTGGAAGCTTTTGTTTTAAAAAACAATGGAGGTGCTATTTATCAAGCTTAATGATCTGGTCCTTTATGAAAAGGAAGCAATTTATTTTCAAATTGGCTTTATTTTGATAATGATACCTGATAGGTTATCTGCCGAAATGTATGGTGTTTCAAATCTCTAAAACAGTTCTTTTCAGAACTCTATGTTTTCTCCCGGTTTTCTTTTGAATTTCTTGGTGTTTTTTTGGGGTTTCATGCCTTTCACCGTGGCAGTTGCGGTTATTAAGTTAACATTTAAACTTTTACCACGATAAAGTCTCGTCTGTTTTATTATTACATTAACATGCCATTTACTAACAAACAAATCAAGAGAACAACATGGTATTTGATCTGTTTATTTGATTCGTTAACGGTGGTCTCTTACCAAAGTTGTAACAGTACTATGACTAGGGTTTTACCCCATACTAATTTCTATACCAAACAACTTTATTACGAAATATTATAAAAGATCTGACATGTTGTCTTAACTGTATTTTAAATTGTTTCCTTTTGTATATTTTATTTGGCTTTGGTTCCATTATACTAACGTAATCTTTTCTTCTATGTTATATTTATCTGTCATAACATGAACAGACAACGTCTAGTTTTCCTTTCATCCATGTAAGAATTGATCCATTTATATTTAGGGAAGGCATTCATGTATTGTCTACCACCAAGGTGTGTACCCCATTGTTCATTTGACATGATTACTTTAATTATGATTTTGTGTCATGTTAGTTAAATCAACAAAATCACTTTCTTCAGGTGTTGCCCTGAGAAAGAGAATGTTCCAGGTAAGTTGCTTTCCATGAAAATTGTAAAGTTTTTACACTAAATGAGAAGGGAATGGGGACGATTAGTTGGTTGATTGTTATTTTATTGAAAATGCTTTAGTTTGATTTTAAGCTACTCTCTATCTATTTTTAATAGATAGCGAGTAGTGAAAAACAAACATTGCCGCCGATCCTGATCCTGTCTCGCTCTCGCGTCTTCCTTAACTAATTGCATCATAGAAATCGAGAGCGAGTAATCTAATTATTGATAGTACGAAATATTATAGTCTAGTATGAAGCATAATATAATATAATACAACACATTATATATTATACATTGATATAATATTACTATTACTATATAAAACAATATTACTTTCTACAATTGTCACGTGGTATACGACCATTATGTACGTCATCAACAAGAGAACCTGGGCCTTTGTCTCATTATGCGTCCCAGGCCCTTTATCTCTTTATGTATCCCAGTCCCTTTGTGTGATTATGCGTTCCAGTGGCTTTGTTTCATTCAGTGGTTTCATTATGTGTCCCAGTCCCTAATCGTTAAATGTGTGCATGAAACATATTGAAAACATTTGACAGTGAAGACAATTTTTCTATATTTTCCACAGCTGGACAAGTTACCGAACGTTCGCCTAACTTTAATGGCCAGCCTCAGTTGATTTGCTCATTTCATGATAGAAGTGAACAGGTAGGATTAGATGTACATGGATAATCTAAAAACATTTATCCTACGTTTAAATCCAAACATCTGGGTTATTTCGTCACATTTTTCATTCATCCATTTCGTGCTAACGAAGGAAGAAAGTTTTCTTGAGAATTATTATACGCTATTTTATAACGATTGAACTTAGCCATGCTTCATTAATAGTTCATCAATATTTAGTTACGTAATAGTTCATTCCTCATATCTGATGCATCTCCAGACTCGTCCCAGTCCGCCTTCATTTGTTCTCTTCAAAAATTGTTAGCAAAAGCATTGTGCATGTTTTCAATATCGTTTAGAGGACTTTCAGTGGTTCGAAAATGATGTTTTCGTACGGTCGTCTGGAACCATTTCACAAGTTGATAATCGAGGGAAACTCTAGCGGAAGGTACGTTAGAACCAATGGCGGATCTAGGGTAAGGCAGAATAAATTAAACTGCTTCATTTTAAATTGAAAATACCATTGCAATGATTCTGTTCGTCAAAATTGCCAAAGAATATTTTCAAGCAAAATTTTACGAATAGGATTGTTGCTAAAGTATTTTGAATTTTGGTTATATATATATATATATGATAATATAAAGGATTCTCTGGATTTTTATTTTGAAATTTTTATTAAGCTTTCAACTCGGTGCTTCGAGCCTTCGTCAGAATGTGAGAATATATTATTTACAAAGATTTTGTAGGCGTTAATTTTGTAAGCTTAATAAAAATTTCAAAATAAAATCCAGAGAATCCTTTATATTATCATAATATGCCAGGGTCACCAATTTTCAAATATATATATATATATATATATATATATATATATATATATATATATATATACATATATATATAGGAAATTTATATGTGATGATTCTCCGTATAAAACAGTGCTCGATGCCCGAGAGCAGAGCGTAAATATATGTAGTGATGATGAAAAAATTCACGAAAACTACAGATTCATCCCATATATATATATTAACCGTACGTCCTGTGTCCCAAGTGCAGGAGTCACCATTTTAATATGGTGATAGCCGGGAGGGCACATTGTAATACACTTTGTGTATATATATATATAAAAAATGAAAGTTTTTCCAGATTGTTTTAAAAATTATTTTATTGAGCTTTCTACTCGTTGCTTCGAGTCTTCATCAGAAAGAGGAAAATAGTTAATTTCCTGGATTACCAATTCCTGTATTAAATGCCTGGATTACCAATTTTCAAACTTATATATATATATATATATATTTATTAATGTATTCTGACTTACCCTTGATGCACTACTGCATAGAACGTGATGAAATTTGATGATAGAAAGTATGGTTGGGAGCCGGATAATCTTTTTGTGAGAAGCATGCAGACGCGACATGGGAATTAAAAATTAGCATTAATTGTGGGTATTGAATGACTGGAGCAAGGGCTCGTATTATTAATATTATTAGGGAGGTGAACCACCCCTCCCCCCCCCCCACTTTTGTAAAAAATGTATAGTGCATTGAACTGAATATAAACAGGATGGCTACCTTTACGTATATAAACATGTCTGTAGTTGCACGAAGCGCAATATTACACCCAAACACGCGTGTTTGGGCTTCGAATGACGTATTCTAGCTTACCGTTGTCAATGAACTTTCTTTGGAACGTGCGTGGAAAGATTGAGACTAGTTGAACTGCTGGCTTCAAATTTGGCGGGAGGTAGCCTTTCATGCTTGTATATTCAGTTCGATGGTATAGAGTCTGACACTCCAGAAACAGTGGTTCGGCTAAACTTGTGAATTTGTGAGCTTTTCTATCAAATAAAGACACTTAATCGCAGTATGTGGAACTTCCCACAGTTAGGAATGTGCGCGCCTCCCCGGAAGGGTGAAGTTTCGCTTGAGTTAATCGCTAAAAAAGAGGTGTTAAACAAATTCAGGCGGAGGGTGATTAAAAATCACTGACAATGCTCATAAATTTTCTGTCAATGTTCAAAAATGGATGATATATTTCAATGTGAAAGTGTGGCTTTTAGTAAACCTAACTATCGTCATATTTTGATAGAATTAAGGTTTGGTCTATCGATGACATCGTTCTCGAACTTGGCAATTACGAAGAGCGTCTACTTACGAACTCTTCCGAAGGTTGGTAGACGGGGGTTAAATGTCTTTTACATTGTAAGAACAATGAATGAAACCAAAACCTTTCCAGAGATTGTTGTTGAAAATTAACTCTTCTGCTGTCTTAATCAGCCCTTACTTATTTCAAACGGAGCTTTGAATAATTCTTGTTGGACAAAGTGATCTATTGAACCACATAACTATTTCGTTATCGATGTTTTAAAACTAATTTAATTACGATCAACGTTTAAGATGTATCAAAATACGGTAGGCGTTATCTTATTACGACTGAAGAACTTGAGCAGGGCTTGAAATTGCATTTGAAATCTTTGCAACCAAGTAGAGCATCTCTTCTTCGGTGAATTCATTTTTTCGTGGATCTAATTTCATCACAAACCTCTATTTTGCTATGTTCTCTGTTTTAACAAGTTTTTAACGTCGGAAGATTCAAATTATCGTTCTCGTTAAAATCTTCCAGAACTAACTCTTCTGTTGGGCATTTTTCTATTCTGACGTCTAACTGTTTCTTTGCGTAATCGCGTTCCAGTTCATCACCTGTTGATATTGCGTCCATAGTCGTCAATCTCTCGCTTCCGAGGTCCTCTAAAACTCGTACATTACCGCCGTTGACTGGAAGACAATCGTTTCCCGCCTTTTGTTTTCTTTGAAAGTCGAGTTTTGTTGAAGTCGGTTTCTTCTCTCGTGAAGAGCTTTTGTCTTTTAATCTTTCATCGCTACGTGGACATTTATGGTTCGTATGTATATTCTTTATAAAAACAATGTTTTGTGAGACATTTTGTGTGAAGCTTTTCGTGAAGGTGTTTTTTTATTTTCAAACAAGTCCTGTTTCAAACGTCGAATTTTGCATGTGTCGAATAACAATTACTACACGACGTCTTCGCTTTATCTCGTTCATGACTTTGTTTTGAGTAAAATGCGAGAGCCCAATTGTAATCGACACGTGCAACATTCAGCGTTTGAAAGGACGTCGCACTTTCGTCGCATAATGCCACCAAACCGATCGAATTTTAATGTTAAGGTCGACCTCAAGTAAACAGTCGAATTTAATTGTTTCATACGCTGAATTTCGCATGCACTTAATTCAAATTATTTTATTCCACACATGCAAAATACTACGTTTGAAAAAGGCGTAGGTGTATTTCAGGTCAATGTTTTTTAGTTGTATTTTTGAAGCATGTGTTTTTTCGGATACTTTGCATTTGTTCGTTTGTTATAATATTCATTATCTACTACACCGTGTATTTTTCTTTTTAATGTTTCAATCATGGAAACACATTAGTCTTTTCTAAGAAATCATCTTTCACAACGTATTCAAACATTTCTACATTTTCATTAAATGAAATCTTTAGTTTTGAAAATGTTTTTGCAATAACTCCTACATCATACATCATTCTCCAGTCATTCTCGATATATTTTATGGTGAAGTTGTATTACCTTTTGGGTATTTGGTAGTACAGTATCTTACCTGCGACTGGGAACACTCGATGCCAACATCTTCTACGATCTTTTCCATAGTATTTAAGTGCGCGTCCATGAGTTTGAAACGCATTTGTAAATGACGGTGATTGTCAAACATCGTCTGGTTCCTTGTATAATAAGCGACTATGTCAATGGTCTTCTTCCACTCTTCCATGTCGTCAAAATTGTTGCAAAATATCGCCCTTTCACGAATATTCGGGCTGCATACTTTAATTGTTGGCGATGGGGACGGTCTGTTTCACACGTAAATCTCTTCCTAGAAGATTATCTGGTTTCCACTTGAGATTGGATTCCATGATCCAACTTTTCCCAGGCAGCATATCCTCAGTGAAGAAAATATAATCTGATTTGGTTTTAAACCAAATTTCACGAATCTATATATAATCAGTCGATTTGCTGTGCTTTATATGCACCTACCTCTCAATGCTACTAAAGCGACTTGTGGCATTAAACAGCCTTTCGTGCGCGTGCTTTGTTTGTTACGTCATTAATTAAACTGCAAGCGCCTGATTGTTTACGTCAGTAATTCATCGCTTTGACAACAGCGTGAGATGGATCTTTTGTTGTGTTTTATTTAGCTTGTCTTTTTGCAGTTAGTTGCTTGTAGATGGTGAACACGAAAGTGCAAGGCAGAAGTCGTTGTGATTTTGTGTTCAAGTCACAGTAGAATCCTGATAAATCAAACTTGCTTTACCCTCCAATGTCCCTTATGACAAATGCGTAACAGGCAGAAAGCCAAATAAGAATGAATCTAGAAACAACTGCGGGCTCTTAAGGGTTAACTCCATATACTCTCTTTCACTTGGTTATATTTCTCTGGATTGTTTGAACTCTTATGTCAAAACGTTAAGGGGATGAACCTTTAGCGTCAAAATTGTGAATTCGATTCATACAAATGGAAATTACTCGCCACAGTAATTAAGTTGCCACAATGGTGTTAGAAATTAGATTTTATTTATCTACTTAGGAAGTTCTTGTTTATACAAAGTACGTATCTTTTAAAGTGTTTTATCGCACTTGAACTGTTTGTTTATTGCTTTGTCGTAGCTCACAATTGTAAATAGTAAACCTCTAATACTTTTGGATTAACATTATGTACAGAATTTAACAACCCCTTCGCCTAATTCAAACTTTTCCGTTTCCTTGAAAGTTAAAGTTATCGGGGTTCTACTGTAATTGGTTGTGAACTTTGTAATGGAAGTCTCGAGATGTTTTATAGCTGATTTCCTTCTTCTCTTGTGTATGTAGCGATCCCGTGTGACGTAAGCACTGGTTATGCTGATATTTGGAATTCTTTGACGAAGCCTTGCGGTTTGTTGGATTCCTTGGTAAGAAAGACTTCCGTGATTCATTACAATATTTTTATATACGGAAACATTAAACAGAAGATGGAAAAGCTCTCATGTTATCTCTACATCTGATTATGTTAAATCCATCTTTGACGAAGGTTATTCGAAGTTTATGAATTTTTAGGCTTAACTATGTATTAAATTTATCTTAGTAGACAATTTCAAAACATGTTTTTTTGAAAACAGATTGCTTGCGTTAGTAGTAGTTCAAAACGTGAATTTTCACAGATGCATTTAATAGGCGAAGTGTTTCCGTCAACTTGAGTTTAGAAGTCAGATCAATTGTAATGAAGAGACCAGACTGTGTATTCAGGTTTCTGCATTAGATCACTCCCGATGAAGATACTACACTGTAGTATTTAAAATTCAAATTTCGACATCAGGTCTCTTCTGATGAAGGCACAAGACTAGAGTATATAAGAACTCAAGTTTCAACATCAGACCACTCCTGAAGAAGGCGCTAGACTGGAGTGTATTAGAACTCGTGTTTCAACATCAGATCACTCCATATGACGACATTACACTGCAGTATATAGGGACTCGAGTTTCAACATCAGACCACTCCTGAAGAAGGCGCTAGACTGGAGTGTATTAGAACTCGTGTTTCAACATCAGATCACTCCATATGACGACATTACACTGCAGTATATAGGGACTCGAGTTTCAACATCACATCACTCCTGAAGAAGACACTAGACTGGAGTATATAAGGACTCCAGGTTCAACATCAGATCACTTTAGATGAAGACACTAGACTAGAGTATGTAAGAAGTCAAGTTTTAACTTCACTGCTGTGTAAAGACTCAAAAAGGAAGTTAAATTATTTTAAATGGAACATCGGAGAAAAAATAATCTTTTTTATTCCAGGATGGAAATCAAAAACCAATAAAGATAACTTCAAGCCTCTTTCTTGGTGCTCAAGGAAAAATTGCTTGTGGTCGGCAGGATGGAACTATTATCATAATATCAGCAACTAAAGCAGCAATCACCCAGTTTTGACCAAAGACAACACAAATGCGGCTTGTAAAAACTCCTTATTTCCTTTGCCCACGACATGTTATGGTCGCGACTAAAATTTGCTTGTTTTGTTTTACTTTGTAGCTTGGCCCAAATACCAAAAGTTGATTGGTCATGGAAGTAAGGTCACGTGTCTGCTCTACCCTATGGAGAGTATGACCGATATGCTCCTGAACACTTTGTGTCTGGGTCAGCGGACTTCACTGTCAACTTATGGAATCTTGCCACTGGTGTTCTGGTTACATCTTTTCAGCCAATGGTGGCGAGATATCGCGACTCACATGTACACCACCTGAATGCAGCGTAAGTATTTTCCCATCAGCCTTCACTCTAATAATCTGAAAAAAACATTCCCTTTTTGTATTTTTCGAGAAATGACTATCTTTGATAACGAGTCAATTACTTTACTGTCAGAGCAAGAAATAGTAACTCATACCGTTCTTTTTATCATTTTGATTAGATTCGTATTCAAAACTGCATCTGCTCAATAGCTCAAGATCACTCCGTTGCATTGCTAAATCTGCGAGATCATCGTTGTGTATTACTGGCATCGTGCCACCGGTTCCCCGTGCAGACTGTAAAATGGAAACCTGCTGAAGATTTCCTTATCATTGGCCTCTCGGACGGGAGTGTATATGTATGGCAGATCGAGACTGGTAGGTTATGCAAAACTTTGAATGAACCAATTCACTGATTGAAACTCTAATTTTAAGTGAATTAGTGAATCTAGTTTTATCTTTGTGGGCGTTGTGCCAAATTTTGTTTGTATTTAATCTTTAATTATTCTAATTTCACATTTAATTGTATGTAATGATATATGCACTAAATCACAATAGGAATTTAATTTAATTACCAAAATTAAGAATATGGTTTAACTTGGTCTAACTTAAGTTTGTGTAGATTTGAAATAATACTTAAAATAATGAGACTACAAGTTCACTACGTAAAATTATATACAAACAAGACGCCTGCTTAGGCGTATACTCGTGCTCTGGTGATCAAATAATTTCCGTTTTGACGATGCGATCAAAAATGAAAGAGTGTGGAAAAATATGCCGAAAGAAAGTGATTTTTACGGGTTTTTAATTCGAGCAATATTCCCAAGTGTTTGGATCGGGCCACCGGTCATTTAATTGATCTCACATTTGAGAAACATAAAGTAGTTTTATTAAATACCAACAAGAGGGTAGCGTTTCAAGTACTATCAGCAAAAGTATGAAAACTAAATTCCCTTAAATGCCGAATTGCATTACTATAATCTCTCAAGAAAAGGGAGCTTTTTGAACAACAAAGTTTGTAAACAACAAAGTCAAAATATTGATGATATTTCTTGCTTTCATATAGGAATTTAAAAGTATATATCGCACCATGCATTATGTTGTGGCGTAGCTTTGTCTTTCTTGCGTGTATATTTTTGCATCCTTCGTGTTATTTGAAAAAGGATGGCTTCAATGTTTGTATTATCGAAGAGTTATACTTTGTCGCTCCTTGCAGTCGCCATATTGTGGAAGCGCAAAGCGTTCTGGGTCAAAAAGTCAATTTCTCGACACCGCAAGCCGAAACCGCCGAAACCGCCGAAACCTCCACTCGTGCCCCTCCAGAGCACGAATAAAAAACGTATTGTTAAAATCATATGTACAATAAAATTTCACTACTTCATTACCATTTGGTTACAATGTTCAATCTCATACACAACCGGGCTATTTCGAAATCGTTCGGTTCGGTATGTAAAATCATACAATTTTTCGCCATTGGGTTTAGCCGATTTCTGCCTAATTTTTGTGGTAATATTTGCCAATATTTTGTCACTTGTACTACATAAAATATATTCATGACGGTAATAAACAATCAGTTTAGAGTCCGTTTCCTTCATTACTCGCTGCTCAATCACCCCAAAGAGGTTAATTTATGTCCGCTTTACCCTTCGGAATTAATCATAATAATAATTAATAATTACTCATAATAATAATTAATAATTAATCATACAACGCACAACGCTGTTATGTTCATTTGTACAAATCTAATGAAGACTTTCGCTGTTTGTTTTTAAGTGTGCATGCGCAGTGAAATCTACTAATAGATTCATACTTCCACTTGTCACGAAATTAATAAAATCTGTGAGTGATTTTGCGCAGACTATGTTTCCACAGTGATTGTTTTTATTTTCGAAGGAAACTTGGACCGTCACGTGACAGGTGATGCTGCTCTTGATATCCTTAATGCGTGTGACGATGAATCAAATAAACAAACGACGAAAGGAAGCCCGAGGCCCAGGGAACTTTTCACGAAAAAATTGTCGTACATCGCAACGAACATTCCCAAGATGCCATCACAAATATCGCTTCGGAAAGTCAAGAAGTCTCGCATGTCTGACAAGGCTCGGAACCACGAAGGTACACGATCATCAAGTAATTTATAACAATTGGTCCCTCACAATTCCCCAGCTTTCTTGATGAGCCTATCAAATACTTCAGTTAAGAAAGGAAAGTTGTTTATTTTGTACTGGCTTATTCCACCGACGAGACCTTTGAGAGAACTTGAGTGCAGATAAGTTTGCACACATTCGACAGTTTTCACAAATGTCTACGCGGTTTGGATAAGCCAGTGCAAACTCGGCCTTAGACCAATCAACGCATGCGTTTTATTGCTTTTATTTCATAATAATCAATGAAATGTTGCTGTAGTATAAGTTGAATCAAAAATTTCCATAGAGCATAAATTTTCCTCTGCACAATATGAAAACTGTATCTAAACATCTAAACTTAATTAATATTTACAGTCGATAGCTATCAAGAAATGAGCAAGAGCGTCCCGGTTCGAGTGACGTCTCTGAGGACTGGACCTAGTGAATCAGAAATTCATGTTATGCTGTTCGATCTGGAAGCACTTATCTGTCATCTTCTTGTTGAAGAATTCAAGATGCAAAAAAGTGAGTTTGAAATGAGAAATATTATCAGAAAAAGGACATATTTTAAACTCTAATTTAAGTTATAAAACAAGACAGTTCAAACTGTAATATTTCGGTTTTATTTTTCAACCATAATCACTCAATCATTCTGTTCGATGATGGTTTAGAAATGAAGCCTAAAAGTGAGTTGCTCATGCATGTTGCTCATACATACTTGCACTTAGACATTCTCTGGTTTTTGTTGTTGTTGGATTCCTTGGTGCATTGCTAAGAATTATTATGAGAACTTTACTTTAAAAACTGCGAAATACTATCTTTTTTTAGTCGGTTCGAACTCTCGAAAACATCGGAAAGATTCGCAAAAGCAAGTTTCATTCACGTCCGAAAATCGAGTTAGCCCAAATTTGAAGTTTTTAGAAGAAATCCATGATGGTGCTCAGCTCTTAGTCTCTTGTTTGCACTCCTGGGGCCTGGATCCAGAGATTGATGATATTTGCACTGCGAAACTTGGGCTTCTAAAACCTGTTAAACCTGTTTTGTTTGGCCTTCTCACGCATCGAAAGCTTAGCCTTATCATGCCTGGATGGTATTCTCATGCAGCCCGTTCATCGCCTTGCGCCCAAAATTTGCCAGGTGGTAAGTAGCGAAAGATATATAATGAATAGCGTATTTACCATCACCCGTGAATAGCAACTCGGTAGTTCATAAAAGAACTCTCGAAAGCCATGTGGAAAAGACGTGGCAGTTAATAAGAAGTCTGCCGAAATGCGTAAAACCATCATTTATTTAATATGTTAATTTTTAAATCTTTTTAGAACAACCGAGTTACCATTTACCATGTTAAATACGCTATTCAAAAAAATATTCAAGTTTATTACCACTACCAACTCGTTGCTTCACAGCTTCAAAATCTTTGAAAATAAAATTGAGAAGGACAAGAATTGTTTGTTTTTGGTTTTTTTTTTTCTTAAAGAATTTATACATTCTATGGGAAGGACCTCCTTTCAGTTGACATCGTGTTTTTTGCTCGTTATACAGGAAAACTCAATCCTGACGAACTCTACGAATCACGTTGGCAATTTTGTTCTGCATTAACAACACAACATTCACTAAGTATCGTTGCCTTGACCAACACGCTGATGAGCATGAGTCAGATAAGCTTTTTGCCAGACGCAAAAGGTAGTCGCGCTGACAAAACTACGAAAGGTTCTGATGTTGAAGCGATGCCACCCGATGACGCAAGCATGGCTATCGCTTCCATGATCCGTGCCAACATCAAAGCCGGTTGGAGTCGTCTCGCAACATTATATTGTTGTTTATTACCCGATAAACTGGACATGGCTCATTACAGGCCACCACTTCTACATGTTTTAGCCAGACGTTGGCAAGACCGCTGTCTCGAGGTATTGTTGACTCACAGATTCTCAGCTTTAAGATGTTGGGGTAGAATGAGGGAAATACTTGCATAATATGGTCACGATAAGATCTTATGAAATAGGTTGATTCTGGAGCAGATGATCAGATATAATTAATGAAGGGAGAGGGAGGGTAAAATAAATGTAATGTTCTTGACTTTGTTTGCTTATATGATCTAAAGAGAATACATCCTTTTGCTATACTTTACTTTATTGGTTATATGTTTGAATGGAAATTTTGTGCGACATTGGTTTTGAGTTTCTATTCTCGATCACTCGTGGATGGCAACTCTTACTTTATTTCAATATAAGACTACAAAGGACTTACGATACTTCTATATAAGACTTCTACTATCTTAACATACTTCTACATAAGACTACAAAGGACTTACGGTACTTCTATATAAGACTTCTACGATCTTACCATACTTCTATATAAGACTACAAAGGACTTACGATACTTCTATATAAGACTTCTACGATCTTAACATACTTCTATATAAGACTTCTACTATCTTAACATACTTCAATATACGATACTTCTATATAAGACTTCTACGATCTTAACATACTTCTATATAAGACTACAAAGGACTTACGATACTTCTATATAAGACTTCTACGATCTTAACATACTTCTATATAAGACTACAAAGGACTTACGATACTTCTATATAAGACTTCTACGATCTTAACATACTTCTATATAAGACTACAAAGGACTTACGATACTTCTATGTAAGACTTCTACGAACTTAACATACTTCTATATAAGACTTCTACTATCTTAACATACTTCAATATAAGACTACAAAGGACTTACGATACTTCTATATAAGACTTCTACGATCTTAACATACTTCTATATAAGACTACAAAGGACTTACGATACTTCTATGTAAGACTTCTACGAACTTAACATACTTCTATATATGACTTCTACTATCTTAACATACTTCAATATAAGACTACAAAGGACTTACGATACTTCTATATAAGACTTCTACGATCTTAACATACTTCTATATAAGACTACAAAGGACTTACGATACTTCTATATAAGACTTCTACGATCTTAACATACTTCTATATAAGACTTCTACGATCTTAACATACTTCTACATAAGACTTCTACGAACTTAATATACTTCTTTATAAGACTGCTACGGGCTGAAAAGCAATACATGTGCTTGACAGTATGGAATAAACTCTGCAAAACTCTGTCTTCACTGTAAAGCTGCGAAGTTCCGCTGACCCTCTTGTATTAGAGTAAATGACTGCTTCAACACATCTTTGTTAATTTTACTGTTTTATTACTCCTTATAGATTCGTGAGGCGGCTCAGGCCATTCTTGTTACTGAGCTCAGAAGAATCAGCCACGATGGTCGAGTGAAGGTTGTCGAAACCTGGGTACAATATTTACCTCAACAAATCGAAGGGTCCAGTATAATGGAGTCAAATGATTCTGATACAGGTTTGGTGACTTTTGTTTTTAGTTGCGGTACACGTTGATGGTACAGGTTCCCCAATCTTTAATGACGCTTACGGGCTATTATTTGTTTGGTTGTCGAAAGCAGGGATGGATCTATGATGGTTTTAGAAAAGGGGGGGGGGTGTTCTTGTAATATGTGTTTTGTTGTCGTAAGTAGAGATGGATCTACGATAGTTTTAGAAAGGGATGGTTTCAGAATTGTTAAAGTAATTCCTTTAGAACTTTTCATTATTTTATAATGACGTTGGTGATGTTAGGCTTTTACATTCATTCAACAAATTCTTTGAGATTTGAATCTCTTTTGTTGTTGTTGCTTAGAAGTATCTGATTCAAGCGGAGTCACAGCTACGGAAGACGATTTCTCTGAAGACGTTTCTAATGTTCTTGATGGTGCGAAAAAACTCTTTCAATATGACGCGAACCGACGCCAGGCCACCTCGATTATAATGTTGGCCGTGATTGGCTGGAGTTTCAAAAGACCTGGCTTTGACCAGTAGCAAGTCAGAGAAATCATCCGATGCTGTTGAGAAAAAGTGTCTCCAAGGTATTGGTAGTTGAATGTGATTTACAATTTCTGTCAGCAGCAAATCACGTAAGACGGTTGGTTACAAAACGTCGCTTAATTTCTGATTTGTTGCTTCGTAAAATCATAGAATTGCGTTTGTAGTGGAAAAAAAGACAAATTGTCTTTTATTTTACACGAAGTCAATATGAATTTCTTTAGCATTAAGCCATTCAAACGACTTGCGATGAAGGTTGTCAAGTTGGGTAGATTGAAGTTTTTGTACAGCGATATGAGAAAGCTTTTTTATTCGTAAAAAAAAATTTTTGGTGGTCTATTACTTTTCCCTAGTACAGGATGGATTTAGGATGATTTTTAGGCGGGGTTTTCCATTATAAACGTCAGTCAGTCTAGTGTGGATTTCAGCTGTTTGTTGGAGGGTGTTATTATGTGATTCACGAGAAGGCTAGGAGGGGAGGGTGCGCACCCCCCTGCACCTTACCCTAAATCCATCTCTGACCATTGATCCGTTAAAAAAGAAAGTAAACAGATTTCTTAAGCACACTGCAAAAGTGCTATCGTAGTAAAAAACACTTAGATACAAAGTACCCCGTTTGGTTAATAAGATCATCGTTTCTCGAGTCGTTTTCATTAATAAAAATTCTTAGAGCTTTAAAAAAATGTGAAAATTTACCATCTCCAATATCTGGTACACTGGCATACTGCATGTGTTTCAATTCATTTGAAAATCACCTGAGGCCGCTTGCACGAGTCTTGTATAGCGTTATCCATTGGATAGTGAAAATTTTCAAACTTGGAAAAAGGTGCTTGTATTATATTCTTACGACAAAGAAATTTTGTAATCTTGGACACAATACTTAATTTCAGTAATTGCACAGTTCAAATTGTATATTTTTTACTATAAGAGATTTTATGAACGTTTCCAAGAATTTGCTATTCAGTGGATAGTGGTGTTCGGCCTTCGTGCAACCGCCTCCTGGTCGTTCATTGTATCATATTTGGATGCGCTTTTATGTATATATTTGCCATGTTCTTATTCAACTATACATTTTTTATCATCATCGTATAATCAAGGCGAAGTTTTGCTCCAACCACGTGTTGTGTATCTCACAAGCCGAGCTCTCATGTACATTTTACTGAAGTCTCAGTCACTGACCTCGCGAACTTTATCTTACACACCTATGCGACGAACAGCGATCGATTTGATTGGTCGAGGATTTCCATTATGGGAGCCGCACATGGATGTTTCAGCGGTACTCATGGCTTTATTAGAATTGTGCCCGGACAATAGGAGTCACGTGGCATCTTTTTCCAGAGGGTTGCCGCTGTCCAGTGCTGCTGACTCGCAAAGATCAGCACGACATGCCTTGACTCTTATATCGACTGCTCGACCTCTGGTTTTTATAACCACCTTGGCTAAAGAGGTGAGTTTCTAACACAAAATGCATTAGCTACTGTAATGGTAAAACAAATATTTAATAATTTCCAGAAACGTAGCCTTCTACTTTTAAAGATGTTTGTAATTGGCAAGAAATAGCTAGAATGATGGGGGTTTTTTGGATTTCTAGGAATTTTGAAAATTATTTGATAGTACATGATACACGATAAAATATCTTTGATTTTTTTCAACACATGATGATATTGTAGAATGGTGTAGCCAGGTCACTGTTACGTAATTTTCTTGTGTTCACTAATTGCAAATACTAAAGATTTTCAATGATTTTGACTACGTCGCTAATATTTTAATATGAAAATATGAATAGGTAGCACGAAGCTCCTCCGCTCAAGCATTGCTGTCATTCAATCAAGCATCCCCGGCAGCCATTGCGGTTTACAGTCATGTTCGTCCCCAGCCCTCGCCCACCGACATCCAACATTCGTCCACGCTATATCGTTCGAAGAAAGAGATATTGCGCGTGCTGGAGTTGATGATTGATAAAACGCAAAGCGAAGTAATGAAATTATTAACGGAGGTATGAGAATTTTGCTTTGCAAAAACTTTAATTGCCGGCTTGTTTTTAGTGCAAGAAATATCTGAGGTAGAGACAAGTATCTGAGAGATACGTAGGGTAGATAACACCTGGTAGTAACCATTAATGGAATGGGGACATTTAGGAGGGTGACAGCTTGTAATAATAATAATAATTTAGTAATAAAAGATGTTTACTGTGTTTAGACAGGCTTATGCAAAGGAGAACTCGAGAGCAGATCAATGCAAGCCCGAGGCTAAAGGTTGAGAATTGAACCTGCTCGAGAGTTCTCACAAATGTTTAAACTGCTCTAAATTAATCCCTGATTCAGTGATAAACTATATCAAACATACCCCTGCTCTAAATTAATCTCTGATTCAGTTATAAACTATATTAAACATACACCTGCTTTAAATCAATCCCTGATTCAGTGATAAACTATATCAAACATGCCCTTGCTCTAAATCAATCCCTGATTCAGTGATAAACTATATCAAACATACCCTAGCTGATAAACTATGGCATATCGTGGTGATTTTAGGTCGTTCAGATCGTAATTTATTGCGTCGAGTCGAAACAGCTGAAAGAACGTGGCATGATGGAGATATTTCCAGCACTCTTTAAGTAAGTTGACTGTTTTTCATCATTTAAAAGCTATTTCCACTTTTTTTATACCGCATGCGACTGTCATCTTGTGGCGGATAGCTCAGAATATATTACCGTCATTCATACTTATAGTATTTAAAATGCTCCAACAACTGCACTGTTGGTAAGAAATTTCTGAAGAATATTTAAGAACCGAAACATTACCTACAGGATTTTTTGTACGTCTTGAACTTTACATTCATTAAACCTTTTCCATCCCCCCATCTTTACAGGTCATTGCCGTATAATATAATATTATCCCTTCCCATCTCCACTCCCGTCCGTATGTAAGCTCTTCCTTGTGCAAGTCCCTATAAGAAAGCTTATGAACTTATAAAGAAATTAATTCTGATTCTGATTATCTGATGATGGTTTTGGAACTTATCTAGGTCAGGGCTTATAGGAAGAGGTCTACGGTATATTTATTGTGATGTATTCTGACTTGCCCTGAATTCTTTCTGCTGACATCAATACACTGATCTCAATATAGAACTACGTCAGCAATAAGATGAAACTATCGCTCTTTCTTTATGGTGATTTACTAAAAAAAGCTGACATCCGGTTTAAATATTAAGTGTTTTCACTGTCCGCCATGTTGGTAGAAAACCCCATTCAGTGAAAAGAATTTGTATTGATTTCATGGTTGTTGATTATCAGCCCTTTGACCGGTCACTTATCAACATGGCTGACGTCACATGAAAACACGCTAACGCCAATTAACTATCTGTTGTTTTCTCCAATTTCGTGTTATTTTAGATTTCACATGATAAGTTATTGTACAACTACAAGACGTCTTGCAGTGGGCTTAAAATCTGGGCAGATCACTCTCTATGATTTGAGATCATCTAAAGATCAGGTTAGCTCGGCGAATATTTTTTTCCATCTGCTTTTCGCTACAGAAGTTTGAAGATTCATTTGAAAGTCACCTTCAAATATTCGCACTTAGCGCCAGTATGATATCTATATTGATAAAAGAAGATAGACTAAGACATATAAGATCTTGACTTCCAAAATCAGATATTTTCTGATGAAGGCATTGCACTGGAGTAAATGAGGACTCAAATTTCAACATCAGATCACTCGTGATGAAGACTCTAGACTGGAGTATATAAGAACTAAAGTTTCAACATCAGATCACTCCTGATGAACACACTAGACTGGAGTATATAAAAACTCAAATTTCAACATCAGATCACTCCTGATGAACACACTAGACTGGAGTATATAAAAACTCAAGTTTCAACATCAGATCACTCCTGATGAACACACTAGACTGGAGTATGTAAGGACTCAGGTTTAAACACAAGATGACTCCTGCTCCTGTCGGAAATACTATAAAGGACAATATTCCAACATCTGTTAAGTTTCAATATCAGAACATTGGACGTATATTTATGAAAATTATATATTGTCATAGATTATTTCTGCACACTCCTACGCAATCACCGCGGTAGAATTTTCCAAAGATGGTAAACTTCTAGCTACATATTCATACCAAGACTCAAAGGTACACTTTTGGCAGGTGAGTTTGCATGCAAACCATAGCGGGTATGTGCAAGAATGTTCGGGACGTTGTAGAACCAGGAGGGTTTAGTGGTACTCTAAGTGCCCCTTTCAGCAAAATGTTTATTGGCGATATCATAGTTAGTTGTGAATTCTAACGTATCACTGGAAAAAGTTTTAAGTTGGTCAAATCGTTGCATTTTTATGGCTTGTTAAAGTTGGCAAAAATGCTCCTTTTAATGGACCTTCGAAAAGTCTGGAACGACGTACTCTTGATGTCATGTAAGGACTCCTCAATACAAGATATATGTACCAGCTACCTTAGATGACGTCAGACTACGGCTAGACCCAGGCTTCATGCCACGACGGACAAGGTCCATTGTAAGGCAACTTTAAACCGCCATTACAAGATGAGGATTTGACCAAATTGAAAAAGTTTTTTACGGATACGCTAGATGTTCCACTTAGCTTTCATATCGCAAAAAGTTTTTTGATAGGGGCACTTAAGAAATAAAAGATGCTCTCTGTGTTTGCACAGGCTTATGCAAACCGCTGAAACCTTTGGAAGAACTTGAAAGCATATCAGTGCAAGCCCGAGACCGAAGGTAGGGAGTTTGCACCTTCTGGAGAGTTCTCACAAACATCTCCGAGGTTTACATAAGCCAGTGGAAACACGAAAAACATCGTTTATTTTCTTTTTTTTAATAACAATAATGCGAAACATATTAATTTAAAACAAACGCTTTAATTTTCCTGCTGTAAGAAGTATTCATGATTGATTTGCAAGTTCTCTTTGATTGATTGTGAGATTTATTTCTTTTGCATCCTCTAATGCAAAGACAGCTATAGACCAATCAGCGCACGCGTTTTAGTGTTTTTATTTTATAAAGCTCTTTAACTCGCTCTCATTGTAATCTAGACGAGTTCCTCGTTGTTCGGTGTTCTTGGATCAAGTGTCAATGTATTCGCACGCATAACGTGTGGAGAAATGTGGAGATCACACCTGTTGGTCTTAAGCAGACAAAACTTGTATGGGTTAATCAAAAATCTGTCGTGTTACTTTTAGCGGATGGTAAACAGCTTACTTTCTCGGTGTGAATTAATTCGATGCTCGTGTACGATAAAGACAGTTCTAGAATTTTTATTTAAAATGTCGAAATTTTTTCTTCAAATCATCGAAGAAGAATTGCTGATACAAATGGGCCGCAAAGATGCTTTCCCAATTCTTGCTTCAATTCTAGTCTTACTCGTGCAATGTTTGTAACTCAAAAACTGTATTTTGGTTTTATCAATTAAAAATAAAAGATGTTTGTTGTGTTTGCACAGGCTTATGCAAACCGAAGAGACCTTTGGGAGAACTCGAGAGCAGATCACTGCAAGCCCGAAACCGAAGGTCGGGTTGCACATGCTGGAGAGTTCTCACAACGTCTTCGAGGTTTGCATAAGCCAGTGCAAACACGAAAAGCATCTTTTATTTTTATAAAATAACAATAATGCAAAACAGATAAATTTAAATTTCCTTTACCATATACTGATGGTTGATTTGCAAATTCTTTTAATTAATATGATTAATGGTTTAGCTCAGATTGGCCTGCACTGGATAATGCAAACTTAGCTATAGACCAATCAGCTCACGCGTTTTAATGTTGTTATTTTATCATAAGACTTAAAATAGTGCAGCTTGAAAATTTTGGCGACATGCAGCGTTCCGGTTTTTACATCAATGCGTGGAGTACACGCGAGAAATTCGAGTTTTTCGGTAGTTTGTTCCCAGGCTGCTCACTAAAATTTTAGATTACGTAGGTTGCATTTGCTTTTACGTATGTATTCTCCGTTTAAATGGCCTTCGAACAAAAGCACAAGATGTTGATGTTTTACAAGCTATGAGCTTTGCTCCTGTAATATATATGGGACGTTGTTGCCGACGTTACATCAGTTGATGGCGGTCAGTCGTTGTGAAACTTGTATGTATGATGTTGCATCACTTGATGGACATAGATCGCAGTGTGGAAAAATGTATGTATGTCTTTCATGTGCATCAAATGACCGATTTCAGCTTAGGAATAAATATTTTTGCAGATCAAGTTGTGAATGAGGTCTAGTATCGTGCAAATCATGTTATCATCATAATTGTGTATTTGAAGCTTTAAGAATTGACAATTTTTCAATTGATTATTACATGGAAACCGAATTTGATTTACAATTTACAATGACATATAGCTATGAATTATGACTAAAGTGTCAGATAAACTAGCTTTAAATGTATGAAGTCTCTAATTCTAGACATTCGCATGTGATGGTCATTCGTTTTAATGTTCACATGCATTCCTCGGCTGTTCCATTTATTTTATGTAGTTTGGGTTTATGTTGGCTGTCCCTTATTGGCTAAATGTCGTCAGCCATCTTCGCGATAATCAACGTAACGACCGCTGACCACTGTTTCATCCTGCTCACCGAGTACAGAAAATTGAACTGAAATTTATCTATTTACACTTGCCTCTTCCATTGGTGACGTCGCATTGACCGTACGCATCACATGATCTTTCGAGCGACAACCTTTATAAAATGGTAAGTGTTTTGAATTTCAAAGTTTACAGAGTAAACATACTAAACATAGCATAAACAGCACGAATGACTTAAAGAATTTAGTCTGGACTGGGGTATAGTTTATTTTCTTTATAGATGAAAAGTAGATAAATTAGATCTGTTGTGATTCTCTTCGGGCCTGTGGCGAAGACAGACCGATCTTTACTTCTACAATGGAAATTTTTCATCAAAATTTTTATTGTATTTCTTCAGTAAATCAATTCTATTTATTGTTTTGCATTGAATGAAGACAAACATATTTGCATTTTAGGGAAAAAAACGAGCCGGTTTCGCTACTTCATGGGGCATAAACAAACTCGAGTATGTAGGGAAGTTAGAGCTTACAAACAAACATCAATGATGTTTGTTTGTAAAAAACTAAATGAGTTTTGATGTATGTAGTATATTGAAAATGATTATTTTAGAGAAACCATGAGTGGTACTTGAGGTGATTAATTTGAGATATTAATGTTATTTGACCGTCCATTATTTTATCCTGCATTTGGGTCAGTTTCTTTGCATTTGTTTAGTATTTCAAAAGTACTTTTGTGTAAAGTTGTCTTGAAATTCGTGTAAAGTTGTCTTGAAAACACTGTTATAGAATACCTCGGTTGCTTAGCGGAAAAGTAACTGTTTTAGTTCTTAGTTCTTAGATCAACGGTACACTAGCATTAGATGTTTGTAAATGTAGATCATCCATCCAGGCTAGTTGAGTCCTGAGAAGGAATGTTGGTGTTGGTGCTGACTGACGTTTCGACAACCTTAGCTGTAGTCATCTTCAGAGTCAAGATGCGACAACCATTGCTCTAGACATCTTCACTTGACTCTGAAAATGACTACAGCTAAGGTTGTCAAAACGTCAGTCAACATCAACAACAACAGTTCTTCTCAGGACTCTACTAACCTGCTGTCGACCTTATTCCAAAGCCATCATCAGAGAATATATATAATATATTAATCCTATTATTAATAGCATTAATATATTATATATATTCTGCTATCGACCATTTGTCGAACTCAACATCTGAGCAACTGAGCAACTTGCATACAAAATAAATGTATGATGAAAACTTGAAGGACATAAAATGCTGTGAACTTTGTAAAACTAAACATTTATAAAGTGAATTTTGTATAGATGTAGATTGTCCAGGTTTGCAGTCAGTGTCACTTGACGTTGAAGAAGACTTCCTCTAAGGATGTCGAAAGATTGGTCTAAACCTCACTAAAATGGGCGATCTACATCTATAAACTTTAATTTATACTCTTATGTTATAAATTTTCTAATTTGCAAGTAAGAATGATTAATATCTTGTCGGGACATATTAGAATTCATCATTTTGTATGTATTGTAAGTCAATCTTGTTTTTTTTTTTAACAAATTTTCGTCGTAATTGGAGAAGTGGTGCAATTAAGCACTTAATTTCAGACAAGAACAGCATTATGTTGAAAATGATGTGACATTGAACTTTTAAAATATGAATTTCAAGATATGAACAACAAGATGCACAAATGCATGTATTCTTACATAGATGGTATTATCTGTTGAAATTATTCTCGTTGCAACAAAAGGACTTATAATTTGTGAATTGTAAAGGTCAACATTTTATGTTTGAAGTGAATTGAAATGTCCTGTATTCCAGAAAAGATCACACGCGTTGGGGGCAAAGTTCATACATGTTTGAAGACATAACTTACTGAAATTACATGGTGTAATATAGCTGTTTACATAAATTGATGGTCTTCACTGTGCTAAAACGTCGCTGTTTATTTTACTTGTGTGAGCACATGATTGCTTATGACGAGTTTTAGCTACGTTGAACGCCGCAAACGAGCAAATGTGGTGGTAAATTACCATTTTTACCGCGAGGATCATTTAAAAACTAATTTATTTTCACGCTCTTGTTTACGAAATTGTTCATGCTGTGGCGAAGCAAGCTATAACTTTGATCGTGTTATGTAACCTTTAGATTATTAGCAGAATTTATTTTTTTAGAAATCTATTGTTTTTACGGCGAGTGAAAACCTAATATTTACATAACATGACTAAACTTTCGGGCTGGATATGTGCGAAGGTGGAAACGATTTGTGCAGGTGATCTACATACCAAAAAAGACGGAATCTTTACACGTTCAGCGATTGACTTTTTAGTATCTTCTAACTGCCTCTGGACCGACTTTCTGTAGAAAATAGAAAATAGAAAAGTTGACTCGTTTATCACAATTCCCCATTCTTCCCACACACCCCAATGTGTACCCTCATGCACGTGTTTCAAGCATTTCAAAGTTAATCCATTTGCCAAATATCCTGCTAAATAAAAAGTTGTTTACACGAGCTCTTTAAAACTCATGATGTTCAGTGTATGTCGACTATTTACGCTTTCTGTAGTTAAAATATATCACGCATATAGGCTTGTGCGTGTATGTGCTTGCACGACTCAGCGGTCAGCACCAGCGATCAAATGCTTGAAGCTCGTGATCGATTATAAAATGGTGCAATCAACATTTTTGGTAAATTTGGCCTGTTTTCAAAGAATGGCCATCACATTTTGTGTTCATGATTTTAATTTGAACCACTTGACTTATCTTGTGTTTACTTCAAGTTTATTTTGATTCTATTCATGAGAATGTCATCGATGGCTCTCTATTTACCACCATTAAGCACCATGTGAAATCCACTTCATTGTGAAATGTTGCCAGTAAGGTCTCATATGAGTATGGTTGTCCTTGACATAAGTTTCACTTGTGACAATTTTTTTAGTATAATTAACATATCCTTTACCAAAAAAGAATCACAACATCTATCGAAAATACATACATACCAATCAAGAGTAGCGTAGCCAGCCCGACTTTTTACTCCCACCATGCAAATATTTTTGTGTTCACTAACTGTGAGACCTGAAGGTTTGTAAAAAACAAATAAATGAATAATGGTGACCTTTAGAATTTACTTAGCGGAAGTAAATCTGCATTCTGATTGTACACATCAATTATGATTGTATACATCATTTAATATTTATGAAGAATAGCGTTTTCGTTAAAGTTTACGCTTTCATGGGCATTTTAAATAAACACACCGTTCCTTTTAAAGTTTTTAAATATACAGTCAATGATTGCATTCTTTATAGAAATCCCGTGAAAATGTGTAGCAAACATCGTCTGCCACCCCTGCCTATCGGAAAAATTATTTTGGAGAAAGGTAATAAACATTGGCCTTTGCGCAACAAATTAAACACCTGTTAAGCATACAGAAACGAGGCAGAAGATTATCATGTGTAATGTTTTTTTACAATGAAATTACTATTTTACAAATTTTACATCAAACAAAATAAAGGATATTGTGTGTTTGCGATGTTGACGGATGGCGTTGCATTTAAGAAATAAAAGATGTTTACTGTGTTTGCACAGGCTTAATGAAACCAAGGAGACCTTTGGGAGAACTTGAGAGCTGGTCAGGTCGAACCCCGAGGCCGAAGGTTCAGGGTTAGCACGTGCTCGAGTGCTCTTACAAACGTCTCCACACGTGGTCGAGAGTTCTCACAAACGTCTCCTAGGTTTACATAGGTCAGAGCAAACACGAAAAACATCTCTCATTTCTTTATTAAAAGCAATAATGCGAAACAGATAAATTAAATTTATTTCAAACAAACGTTTTAATTTTTTCTCCAACATTTATTCATGATTGACATGCAAATTCTCTTTCACTGATTGATTCGTTGATTTAATTGGTTGAGCTCAGATCCGTTTGCACAGGCAAATGTATACTCAGCTATAGACCAATCAGCGCACGCGTTATATTGTTGTTATTTTATAAAGCCTTTATGAACGAAGAAAATGATCTTAAGTAATATTACACAAACGTGGGATGCCTCCATGGTTATTTGCATTAGCGTCAATTTATTAAGATAAAAAGATTAATTCATTTGTGCGCATTTTATGACACCCTTTTTTTAAAGTTGTGAGTGTCGAACCAATTCTTATTTTTGTGTTATCTAGTATTTCCAAAATTTCTCTTTGACAGAATATTGTTCGAGCATGCTGTGTTGTAAGAGTATGGCTAACGGTGTATTGTGTTGTCAAGCATAGGATAACAATTGTACCCAACTTGCTAGTTTTACTTCTGTTACATATATTTCGGGACATTATCATGATTCACATCCTTAGAAGTCTATGGCTTCTTGTTATGAATGAACATAGAAAAATTTGCATAACAGGACTAAATAAGCGGGCTGACTGCGTCACTTAGTGGCTATGTTATTACCATTACACCAAGTTACCAAATACCAAAGTGGGTATACTTTTAGATAGAAAATTTATTTCTGGATTTTTTGTCTTAGTTCTGCGAGCAAAGCAAGTAATTAACGAATTACGATGACCAAGTTAAGTACCTGCAAACTGAAGGAAAATGGAGAGGACAGGAAGGCATCACTCAAAGGCACGTCGGGACGGTATGTTAAAAAAAAAGTCGAGGATTGGTCTAGCTATTTCGACATTTTCTGGCGTTAAACTGTTCTCATGAAATATCATGAGGCATGCATACTATATTCCGACATCATTCATTTCATCATTCAACTTCACTATAATTACTTGTGTGACTTTGTACTTTGTGATTCGTGATGTTCATACCACATGTGTAGTAAATATGTTTTGTTTATATTATGGCTTGTGTAATGTTACACCGCGTGCATCACGTGCCCTGTAAGCATCCATGTGGCCTACTATATATACTACGTGTCGTTTGTGGTGAGGTCTCAAAGCCGAATTACGATCTTCCGTCGTAAATAATTGTACTACACTTTCCATTTGTAATTTCCACAAAATCGACGAACGCCGAACTGACATTAAACAATGGTTAGTCAGGACTGCGGATTAGTTAACAACGGACAAGATGATGTATTTGTCGTCGACTCAGCCCCAAATGAAAACGGCTCCGTGAATACTCAGACGCCGGTAATGAAGAATGCTGTGAGTGTTACCATTGAATCGAAGGATGACCAGGAGCGCGATTCTTGGGGCAACAAATTTGAATTCCTGCTCGCCACCATTGGCTTTGCTGTTGGCCTCGGAAATGTTTGGCGTTTTCCATATTTGTGTCAGAAAAATGGCGGAGGTAGCACCCTTTGTTTAATTTATTAGTTCAAGTATTTTTCCGCACAATTTTCCATCGCACAAAGCGCAGTTGTGTGCCACTCTGTACTGTCGCCTCGCGAGCTTTTACACATGTTGTTGTTGAAGCTATATTAATGCTTTTGGTTGGTAGCGTCACTATTTAAATATTTTCTTCATATTTTTGTGTTTTATCGCGTGCTTTTTTTGCGCAAAGTAGTATAGTATGTATGTGTGTTTATGTGTGTGCGTCTTTTGTCTTCTTGAAATTGGACGCGGTTAATTCGAGTAGTCTGATGATTTCCTGTTTCTCAATTTTAATGTTTCCAGATCTTAAATGATACAGCATGGGTAGTGCTGTTTGTTTCATTTGAACGTACAGTGTTTGAATTGGGCGCTGAACTAATTGTTGTCTTCGAGATCTGTGTTTTTGGGGGGAGGAAAATTCAACGTTATGATAATTGGTGTCTTAGGGTACCCCCGAAGCTAGGTTTGGGTACCTCTTCTCCACTAACAAATCACTTTGGACTTTCGATACTTTACCAAAACACTGAAGTAAATTTCGTTCTTGGGTTTAGTAAAATCTTTAGTAAAATCTCTGTTGTCTTGCTTACCCAGCCTTTTTGAGAATCGTGCTACATGGATATAGTTTTAGATAGCCGTAGTAAAATATTTATCAACTTTTGCCCGCGTTTTAATGAAAATTCTCAAAGTGCATTATTTTCGAAAATATATATATATATAAGCTCTAATGTAAACTTACGAATAGAGAACTGTTTTTAAAACATAAAATCGCGATAGCATCGCTTTATCTTTCCAGTCCTTCACATTTAAAAGTACTTATGTCGTTATGCATGTCGCAATTAAGAATTGATTGCGAGATTGTTGTTCCGAAATAGGGCGATTTTCGACTCATGCTTCTCTGTTAAAAAGAGACAAATTCATAGAAATGTTGAATATCGACGCAAATGTTTTCTGTTCATGTTGTATTGATAACAGCACTGTCAAAAATTTGTAAGCAATTCCTTCAACGTGAAAGGGCATGTCGCTGTAGTTAACTGTTTTCATACGTTGTACAATAAAATTCTTTCAATTTTTTGCTGTGACATTATCACTGATATACAAAGAGACGTCGCTTTCCTCGAAAATATGCTTCATTGCAAAGAAATACTTTTTTCTTGTATCCTAAGCAATAGCACATGGATATGTGCGTTTGTTTGTTTAATGCTTATTTTGCGCGTTCACGCTATTGAAACCCCCCACAAAAAAAGAAACCCTTTCACAGTTTGACCGAGAATTAGATTTAAAAGTTGTTATAAGTTTTCATTGTAAAACAATTGAATCAAGTTAGGAAAAGTTAACGGCGTGGTCTTGTGACGGTGCTATAGTTGTTTCGCCCACGAATGAATTGCACACACGCAAAGCATATGAAGATACATCGCTAAATTCGGGGTGTTTTTACTCTAATTAAACTAGTTGCGAGTAACTGAGCATGTTTTCCTTATAAGTGATTACCTACAAACTCATCAGACTAGTTAAAAGAAAACTAAATTTTCTAAAACTTCAGTTGTTGAAAAGTCAATTTGTTTTTCCTGTTTTTTAAGGGTTTACTACCTGCATGTCATTAAGGTGAAACATGCTTCATCGTTGAACAGGACGTCTGTCATTGTATGTGTGTGGGTGTAGGACACAATGCAGTCCTCAGTTTATAATCCATTTCTCTCTATATGTTAATTTTTCTCTTATAGTTACGTGCTTTCAAGCCACTTGATAGCTAACGCGATTTTTTGACCCTTGGTTATGTTTTATGAAAAACAAACGTATTAAACAACATGACGAAGGTCTGTTTTTCCCATTTTCAGTTAGTAAAAAATGACCTTGTGAGCTTAATCTGTAAATTCTGGAAAACCATATGAACGCCCACCACTCCACCTTCCTAAAAAGTAGTGTCAATAATGTCTGCATTCATAATGTCATGCTGCCATTTCATTGGCTGTTCACTCGCGAACCGTTGGCCTGCCTGTAGCGATATTCAATTTTCAAAGTCTCATTGATTGGCGTGTCGGGCAGCTTCATTTTACACTGCACGTGTTCGGGAAACGTTTCTACGTTGTTTGTGTCCATTCACACCTCGTTTTAATACATTCTAATATTTGCGTGCTGAGTGTTATGTAAGATTTTATGTAAGATCCAGTCGAATGCCTGCATGCCTTGGCATGAAAGAGAATTCACAATTTCTTAAACACCGTGCATTTTGCGGTTCACCAACCAGTAAGATACCATGAGTATAGTTACGTGAGCATAGCTGCAAAAGTTTACGAGAAACACATAAATTGGTACCCCATTTACCCGAACCTGCTATTGAAGAAAAAATATGCGATTTCCCTGTGGACGCATTTTCTATTTGACGCCAATTTCATACACGAGTCTGGGTTAAGCGCCCTTCATTTTTCAAAGTGTGTTTAGGAGGATTTTGAAGTTTTAGTTAGAGGCGCTAGATTTAAGTAGGAAAGAATTTAATGGAGTTCGGAGAATCGGTTATAGCGTACGTCTGTATCTAAGGAAGCCTATTTATAGCGAGACTTTAGGATATTGTTTTGGAAGGCGGCATACGCAATTTTAGTGGGCAGTGATAAATTGAAAATCAGTAGATTCACATGTTATTTAAAAGGAACATTTTAGTGGGTTTTATCCTGACTAGTTAAAGTTTAGTTAGAAAATGTGCAGTAAAAAAACGCTTAAAATTTGTCATGAAAGGAGGTAACGTATTTTTAAGAAAGGATGTCAAAATTAATGGTAGTCTTGCATGGAAAGATCTCTCATGTTCTTTGAATGACGCTCATGTGATTTCAATTCAGCATCATGTGACTAAACAAAATATTTGCTGCATGTCGTGACCTTTGACCATAAAAGTAGATTAGCGCACAGAAGTTAGACAAAACCGCAAATAGATGAAGTAATCTAAACAAACTAAAGGAAACCGTGAATAGGTAAAATATGCGAGGCTGAATAACGTCCGGCAGTTAATTAAATATTATTTTGGCAGTTTGCATAGTACAGTGACGAATTGCCTCATTTCAAATTCAGTGAAGTTATTTGAATGACGTTCGGGTGGGCGATTGCCTAACCTCTTCTCATTTTAATTACATGGTTTTAAATATGAATTAAACATTACATATAAAGCATTAGTCCTTGGAGGTGAAAACTTAAAACAACAACAACAGCCTGCATCATAAACACCTTAAATGCCACTGACCGTGGTATTTATGTGAGAACAACCGTGTTGATATTAATTCTGAGAGATCGCAAACTGTGTTAAATGCATTAGTAATAATGAAATGGTGAAAAAAGGAAGTTTTCGGTTGGTTGCGGAGACGTGAAGATCAATAATTGTGCCATCCCTTTAGAATTTATTTATGCAAATTTCCCTCTCTTGATGATTATTTCGCTATCTACGCGAAGTGAACTTGCTATTTTGTCATTTCGTAGAAAAATTCGAAATCGTCCAAGTCTCGTGTTTTTTTAACAGTGTTGATCTAACGACATTGACCATAAGGTTGATACAACAATTTCTGATTATCTTAGTTAACGAGAAAGCGACCTTTAGCAATGTCGAGAATTTTCATCGGAAATTGTCGGGGTTTTTTCCGTCTACGATGTACATTCGATCGTATAATCACTCGAGATTCTAAAAACTTTGGATGTAACAACGATTGATCTCTTAATAGACGCTAAAAAAGATAACTGAATAAACATTATGAATGAACGTTTAGGGTATTTCAGGATTTTTAATTACATGTATGTGAATATTGATAAGATGTTTTTACTGTATAGGGTTAGTCCATTTGGTACATACTCCAAATTTTTCAAATTGTTAACACTCCCCTTTGCACACAAATGGACGCTATCCGGCTACCCTCCCTCTTCACACGCAAATGTGTTTCATATGCGATAATAATTTTATAATTAGCGACTGAATTAAAATGAATGAAATTACGAAATTCTGCTCGCGACGCTCATCTAACTTTTTGCGTTTAACATGATGGCAACAGCAGTACATTTTATATACATAACGCCCTTTTCATACGTGTGGCCATATCCCCCTGCACGTGTAGCCATATCCTCCTGCACGTGTCATCCTATAATAGCCATGATATTTTTTTTTAACACCTGAAGGCTTTTCACCTCAAAGCAGCATCGTATGATTAAGTCGTTATTAGTTAGTGTTGTGATACCGTTACTGTTGGTGGTCACCCTGTTTTAAAGTAAAGCCAAAAATCCATAAAATTTGTTATCTTAAGCTGGCTTAAGTGTCAATATAAGCAAGGCTATTCGAGGTCACCAGATTAAGTGTATAAAGCATTCCAATTATTTGGCAGTTAATTCGCCAGTGTCATTAAAGTAGCATTTAAAGTAATCGATTTGATGTCAAAGTATATTACAACACTTCATTGTTAGAGGTGTTTACGTCTCAAAATACCTCATTAAAGCCTGAAGCAAATTGTCTGTTTCGAATTTCTGTACTTTTTTGGGTAATCGGCTTAAACCTCAGGGAGTTTTTTTTTTAAATAGTTTTAAAGGACTCAAACTTTGTTTCGAAAAATGAAAAAAATTCCGTTAAATGTGGTCGTCACTGCTCATTATTTACTTCTTTCTGATACATTCCTCCCATTTTTCTTTCAGGTGCATTCCTTATACCGTATTTTCTATCCCTCTTTGTCCTCGGCATCCCCATCTTTCTCATCGAACTCGGTATTGGACAACGTCTGCGTGCCGGCGCTGTCGGAGCCTGGAGCCAAGTGAGTCCTTCTTGGGCGGTATAGGTGTGACGTCGATCGTCTGCTCCACCTTAATCTGTATCTACTACAACATGATCGTTGCCTGGTGCTTCTATTATCTGTTCATATCCTTTCAAGATCCCCTTCCATACGAACACTGCCCCATAACTTCAGGCGGTAACCTAACCGATCCTGAATGCCAACGGGCCGGAGCGACGTCGTATTACTGGTATCGTAAGACGTTGGATCTTTCACCTTCCATTGCAGAGTCCGGTCACATCCAATGGCATCTTGCTCTAGTCTTGTTACTCGCATGGCTTGTGGTATTCTTATGTACGATGAAGGGTGTGAAATCGACGGGAAAGGTAAGCACATCGATGATCTTCTTCGGGATATCATGGCGGTGTTGGAATTTTGATGTCAAAATGGAATTTTCATTCTTTATTTAGGCAGTTTACGTAACTGCATTATTCCCGTACGTGGTTCTTGTGATATTTTTCATCCGGGCAATCACTTTAGACGGCGCCGTTGGGGACTGAAAAGGATGTTTACACCGAAGGTGAGTATCTTACAGACTGCGTCATGTTTCGATGAGTGTTTCAAATTCTATATGGTGAAATAAGGAAACACGCTCCTAACGTTCTTGCTAAGATAGATATGGAAAGGATTTGGAAACGGTACGAAGTTTATTTATCTCAGTGTAGTGAAGAAGCTCCCCATCCCCTGCGCAATAAATGACATTACGGGATCTTATGGTAAAAAGTATTTTGGCAGTCAAATGTTGAAATCAGGATTTCACCTTCTTAATACACAACATTGGAACATATAAGACACGCGTTGACGACAGCTTTTATTTTAAGTGTCTAACCTATACAAATATTTGTTTATAATAGTAATAATAAGGTACTGGGGATTCAAAATGTAAGACTCAAGTTTTAACATCAAATAATTTTTCATGACGAACTTACACTATTATTGTTATACTTAAAAATTTAAGCTATTACAACAGAACACTCCTTTAGAGACATTAGACTTATTATATTGAAAACACTGATGTTTGGAGGAACTCAAATCTTAATGGCAGGTGACTACTGATGTAGACTTAATACTGGAGTGTTTAAAAAATTCGAGTTCTTTTGATCAGATCACTCCTGTTGAAGACACTAGACTGGAGTAAATAAGAGTTCAAGTTTCAACATGAGATCACTCCTGATGAAGACACTAGACTGGAGTGTATAAGGACTCAAGTTTCGACATCAGATCACTCCACATGAAGACATGCGAATATAAAAGCACTCAAGTTTCAGCATCAGATCACTCCTGATGAAGACACTAGACTGGAGTATATAAGAGTTCAAATTTCAACATGAGATCACTCGTGATGAAGACTCTAGACTGGAGTATATAAGGACACAATTTACAATGACTCCTGCTTTGGCCATTAGACTACAGTATGGTCACCTTGGTCACCTTTCTCCGCTCTGTCCTGCTCGGGTAGCGGGTCTTTGCCGGAGACCCAGTTCTATCAGACTTCTCCAGGCTGCTCTGTCCTGGGTATCCTCTTCTTTGACACCACATAGCAAGGCCATTAGACTACAGTATAAAGGCACTTATTTTCTCGATGAAGAACCTACATCACCGGACTACATCAATAAATATAAGGAAAGATTAACTTCATTATAATAATTAGTAATCAAAATTATTATTTATATTTTTACAGTTTGAAACACTCGCCAACGGTAGAGTATGGCTCGAAGCAGCTACGCAGATCTTCTTTTCGTTAAGTCTATCGTTTGGTGGCCTCATTGCCATGTCTAGTTATAATCCAGTAAAAAACAACTGCAAAAAAGACGCCATCATGGTTTCGTTAATAAACTGCGGCACGTCCGTGTTTGCAAGCGTTGTTGTTTTTAGTGTTCTTGGATTCAAGGTAAGAGGGGTGGACGGGGATATGTAGGTATGTCGAAGTACCGCGTTTATGTTTAAGAATATAGACGTGCATAACACCATGCACGAATATATTACATAATATTGAAAAACGCCTTTCTTTTAATAATCTCACGCATTTAACAGTACTGTTTCTCTGACAAACGCCTTTCTACTATAATCACGCTCCCTCTTCTTCTTTCATTGTTTATAAAAAGATTTTTGTATCAACAAGAACAATACCTGCTGTTCACGAAACCTTTTCTATCATTCTTTTTCTACTTTAGGCAAAGACTGCACGTGACGAATGTATTGAGTCTCTTCAGTACAGCATATCTGACAATAAGACTTGTAAAAGCTTAGATGATTACCTCAGTGACGTAAGTAGAGCCGTTGGCCAATCATATTTACCTAAACACTGCTTTGAATAGCGTATTTGCCATGGTATATTACAACTAGGTAGTTCCAACAACTAGCCACGTCCCCATTTTGAGGGTGATGTCACTTCTTGTCGTCTTCGCTATATTTCATTTATGGATATCTTTCAACAGTTCCTGTTAGAACTACCTATAGTTTTCATTTACCATTGAAAATACGCTCTTCTTTATTACCGCAAACAAGTCTTTGTCTTACAATTTATTTAACTTCGCGGTTTTGACGAATGTTTAATGGCTAACTGCAAAATATCACGTGACCATGATTGGGGTTTGCGGTTCAGGTTTTAAGAGGCCCTTCTTACTGTAGGTTAATTACGGCAAGCTTTTAGTACTTTTAGTAGAACAATCAAGTGGAGTTTATAGCTCAATATAATTAATTTATGTAGCTATACATCATGAATATGCCTTTTTATCGACAAACTCTTAACACAACATGAAATTTAGCTCAGGACAATGCGAATTCTAAATTACAAATTTAAGACGCCATACTAAATTCAAATTTTTCAAAACGGCAAACCTCTACGGCAAGCGGGTAGATCAGGTTTGCCGTTAACACTAACCAGAACTCTAATGACCTACAACAACCACTCCTTACCCTGTAAGCGTCGAACGATGACCGACAATTGATTATGAATCCCATGACAGGTTGCCCAAGGTACGGGATTATCATTCATTGCGTTTACGGAAGCTATAACCAAGATGCCAGCACCTCAAGCTTGGTCGGTATTGTTCTTCTGTATGTTGCTCACTTTGGGATTGGGTAGCATGTTCGGAAATGTCGCTGGTATTGTCACACCAATTAGGGATCTCGGTTTAGTCAAAATAAAGAAGGAATACTTGACTGGTATGATATTTCTGACTTTACTACAATGAATGAGAAGATATGAAATTCATAACGATAAGGTAGATTACATCCAGTAGGGTGGATTACCTGGGTAGTGTAGAATATCAGGGTAGAGTAGATTACCTGGTTAGGGTAGATTACATGGGTAGTGAAGATTACCTGGGTAGGGTAGAATACCTGGGTAGAGTAGATTACCTGGGTAGGGTAGAATACCTGGGTAGAGTAGATTATCTGGGTAGAATACCTGGGTAGAGTAGATTACCTGGGTAGTGTAGAATACCTGGGTAGAGTGATTACCTGGGTAGGGGTAGGGTAATGGTAGAGTAGACCTGGGTAGGGTAGAATACTTGGGTAGGGTAGAATACCTTGGTAGGGTAGAATATCTGGGTAGGGTAGATTACCTGGGTAGGGTAGAATCCCCAACACCTTTCACAAGTATACTTTGACCATTTACATGTATAAATTTCAAATTGACCCGGGTTATTTTTTTGCATTGACTTTTAAAAAGCGTAGTGTAAACACAAAGCTGTGAAAAACCACTTTGAATTGAACCAGATCTAGGGTAGGTCAAAATAAATTATTGAGAGTCAATTTAAAGTCAAAATACCATTAAAATGGCGCTGTGAGTTAGAAATTTTTAAAGAGCATTTAAGGCTAAAAATCTCCCAATAGAAATAAATGTAAATTGAAATATATTTTTAGTGATATATTCTTAGGTAGCCTTGATTTGCCTCTGAGTTTAACCAAGCTCAGGTTATGTTGTGTGAATAGGGTTAAAGAATTTGCTCGAAAGTTTATTTGTTTGTGGCAAATTTCATAAATGGCATCCAATGAAGTTGTGAAATGGGGATAAAAGCCTTTTATGATTGAATACTGTTTAATTAACTATGACCTGTCAATGAAATTAGGATTCTAGTTAGAATTTTGCCACAGGATTTTAAATCTCAATTTAATCGTTCTTTTCTTTTTTTTTCATAGCTATTGTATCATTAGTATTGTTCTTGATCGGTCTTGTAATGTGTCTCAACTCTGGGGAATATTGGTTGCAGTTCTTTGACTCGTACCCACTCAATCTGGGCTTATTGTGGGTCGGTTTCTTCCAGCTTATTGGAATGAACTTCGTCTATGGAACTGAAAGGTACGTATTTATAAAAATAAATGCATCTTGCAAGCAGGGATGATTAAGAGTAGGGACTTTGGTTGGGAGTAGGTGTTCGCCGGTCTGTAGCCACTCCTTTTTGGGGCTTGATTATTCTGTCAAGCATGGTTTTTGCATGAATGGATTTGAAAAAGGTTTTGTTTTCTTTTGGTATTTTGATCCAATTTTTCACCCACGAACTGTACTTCTTGCAGTTAAGACTAGGCTACTATGCAACCCCATCCCAGTAAATCCAGCCCTGCCTTTCAATGTCGTTCAATAAAGGCCTTGTAAATCAAGTATATACGACTCATCAACCCATTAGTAAGTTGTTAAAAGGCAAAAATGCTCTAAGTCGAAGATTGTATGTAAACAATATGATTATGATGTGGTATTGTGACGTGTTAAAACAGTCAGGATATGTTTAATTCTTCATTAACATCATAGCAACATAAATTCATCAAATCTTTGTCTGTGTGTCCGTCCAGGTTTCGAAATGACATTGAATTCATGACGGGCTCAAAGCCCAGCTGGTATTGGTTAATCACGTGGCGATATCTTGGCCCAGTCCTCAGTGTTCTCCTTTTCATTTTTGGTCTCTATGATATGGGCCGTGATGGGATTGGGTATTACGCGTGGAAACTAGAGAAGGTACGTTTGATTGATGGTATTTAGTCTAGCGTCGATCGCCTTAATGATCATTATGAAAATTCACTACGACACATGTGATGCAAATTTTTCATCAAAATTTTCATTTATTCTCATTTATCTTATATCAAAATAAGTTTGCGCGCCCCTCCTTACCCCCACTCCCCCTTCAAGTAAATCCATCTCTGCTTTAGAACATCAGTCTGAGAATTTCTAATTTCTTCTCAGGGTAAGACTGAGCGAATACCGTTTCCGGTGTGGGGCAGCGTGCTGGTAATATTGTGCGTTTGCTTTGCTCTACTTTGGATCCCTTTGATTGCTGGACTTCGCTTATTTGGAGTGCGTTGGTATCGTGCCCAGGTGACGGATGACAATATTCATGAAACCATTTCGGAATTCGAGTTGACCAAGGAAAGTGCAAAGAATGCGGTTAAAAATGGTGACGGTAAATTTGGTATCAAATTTTAAAATCTTTTCAGGCATGTAATATATATATAGGGTTGATCAATTGAGACACGGTCTCGTGATAAAGTTTTTATGTTTTCATTTCAAACTGTACAGGCTGTGGAACTGGTGTACTGAAGTTGACAAAGCCCCTTTTCAAATTTCGTTTCTATTATATTCAATTGGGGGAAAACATTTGCACTTGCCAAACGACTACAAAACTTGATTGTGTCAATGGTTCCACTGCAGTTGACCCATGGTTGACGTTGCCAATGGTTCCACTGCAGTTGACCCATTGTTGACGTTGCCAATGGTTCCACTGCAGTTGACCCATGGTTGACGTTGCCAATGGTTCCACTGCAGTTGACCCGTGGTTGACGTTGCCAATGGTTCCACTGCAGTTGACTCATGGTTGACGTTGCCAATGGTTCTACTGCAGTTGATTCATGGTTGACGTTGCCAATGGTTCCACTGCAGTTGACCCGTGGTTGACGTTGCCAATGGTTCCACTGCAGTTGACTCATGGTTGACGTTGCCAATGGTTCCACTGCAGTTGACTCATGGTGACGTTGCCAATGCTTCCACTGCAGTTGACTCATGGTTGACGTTGCCAATGGTTCCACTGCAGTTGACCCATAGTTGAACCAGGCACTAGTTCCACTGCAGTTGACCCATGGTTGAGCCTGCCACTGGTAGCAGGCATGCCATTAGACATAGTAATTTCAACAATTTTAATCTTTCGCCGCCATTTTTTAAATGGATTGCGCAAGGAAAGCGTTCATCGGCGATAGTGTAATATTTTAGATAGTATTTAAGTTATTGTCATCTCATCAGTTCATCTCGTAAATGAGCTTGTGTTGAACGCCGGATCTAGCCGTATAGGTTTGATTTTCATTCAGTACAAATGCTTTTTGCAACCATTTGTTTCTAAAGGCTGATTTCCATTCAGTGCAAATTGTCGCGCGATCGACTTTTTCCGATCACTTTCTTTTCAATTGTAAGCTCTCGACCGGAACAGTTTCACACAATTGCTGCACACAATTCAAGAGAAAGAGATCACAAAAGAATTGCACTGAATGGAAATCAGCCTTAAAATGCACTCGTTATGCTCAGAATGGAAATCCGCCTTTAGTCAAAATAAATTATATGCGCCTAATTTCAATTATAAAAACCTACGATACTATTGGTTTGCAACTTCTAAACAATAGGATCTTATCAATTGGACTAGGTATAAGGAATCTTGAAAAGTTAATACATTTAGTATATCCATACAATTTATTTTGCCTAAGGCTGGATCACTTGAATCCATTAATCTATCATTGTAAATTCTTGTATATCCCTGTAAATCGATATGATTGCTTTTATGGCATTTTTTTCTTTCAAAATTGCAAGTTGTAGATAAAAAATCTCGAGTTCTTAAAATGAATGTCAAGTATCGAGAAGAAATGATCTGCTCAACTGGTAGTTTCGGCTTTTGTTGAAGCTATATGAAGATAATTGTCTTTCCTAGCATTACGATGGACGGTTAATCTTTGCATTCCGTTTCAAAAGTTTGCCCAACTTCAATGCACAAATATAAACGTCCCACTGACAATCAGTTCCACTGACAATCAAATAAATTCTCTAGAAATTATCATCGACGTGTGGTTTGGCAATGATTCAATTGTATATAGTCAATTACCAATTATAAATGATATGAATATGATAATAAATATGCATTGTAAATACGTTTTTCCGTGATCGCGCTTCTGATTAAAATAAATTCTGTGTAACGAGATTTCACATCTGTTATTATGACTCCAGTATAGTATATATAGAATAAACATCACATGTGCAATCCTACTTTCCAAAACTGAAAATCTTTGATCTTTCACTCTGGTGGGTTCAATGGGAGGTTGAGGGAACATGTACACTCCTCCTAGACTTGACTACATGGGAGCAAGGTGGGTGCCAGGGTGGGTTCTGTGGGGGTTGCGGGAACATGTACACTCCTCCTAGACTTGGCTACATGGGAGCAAGGTGGGTGCCAGGGTGGGTTCTGTGGGGGTTGCGGGAACATGTACACTCCTCCTAGACTTGGCTAGAGGGGGGCAAGATGGGTGCCAATTTCACTACAAAATACTAATATCCAAAAGGGATTGTGTTTGGCGTTGAATTGAGCACACTTTCAAATATCTCCCAAGCACAATAATAAGGTAACAAAATTTAACAATAATGTCTGATATTATACGGCAACAAGTAGCCATCAAAATCTAATCCAAACTAGAGCAACCCCTCACACACTCAAAAAAACCCATCGTGGATCCATCCCTGATGTTTCATGCTAGAAGTTTCTTGAAAGAAAGGTACATATCTTGATATCTCAAGATACTCAAGAAAATCTATGATATTTATTTATAATAAAATGGCGTGACTTTATTTGTTCAGACTACCTAGCAACTGTACGTCAATAGAAATTGCCATAACATATACATTCAAAATCTCTGGTTTCCACAACGATCAAACATAGTTAGCTAGTTCTATTGTTGGCGTTATTGATATCTGTGGGAGGTCACGTGAGTGAAGTTTGAGGTATGAATGACTGATCACGTGTCCAGTTATATACACGTCATCACGATATATCATAAGATTATTGTAGAAATAGAGTATTCCTTTACTGCTACAGTAATCATGATGATATACCGTAATGGTGTGTACATAACTTGACACGTGGTGCTGATACTACAATCACGTGGTATGATTGAATATACCTTTATTATATCACATTGTTGTAGTATTGGCATCGCGTGTCAGATGTACCCCCTTAATTACGGTATGTCGTTGCACTATTGTAGAAGTAGATAGAGCTTAATCATATTACCTTATTGTTGCGTTAGCACCATAATTAAAACATTTGCAGTTATCAAGATAGCTTGTCATCATCATCATATCTTTTCGCGCCAGGGCGATCCAAACTCGGGCTGGAAGTTTGGAAGTGTTGCGCGTGTTGTAGTAATCAGTCAAAATCAGGGACGGCATGTAAAGCCTTGCTACTTGTCCCCAAGATAGCTTGTAATAAGCAATCGTGTTAAATGTTTTTCAAATGTTGTAGATCGTGTGCAGTTAGTTTTTTTAACGATTTCATGATTTAGCTTGAAATATACATCGAGGTTCGAGGCCAACAACTTTAATTTTATAAAATAAAACAATTAAATGCGGTGATTAATCTATAGCTGTGTTTGATTTGAACTATACCAAAAAGAATTTGAAAGTTAATCATGGATACGTTTTAGCGGAAAAAATTAAAACGTTTGTTTGACTTTTGTGTGTGTCGCATTATTGTTATTTTATAAAAGAAATAAAAGATGTTTTTCGTATTTACACTGGCTTATGCAAACCTCGGAGACGTTTGTGAGAACTCTCGACATTCGGTCTCGGTCTTGCACTTATCTGCTCTCCAGTCCTCTATAAGCTCTCCTCTGTTTGCATAAGCCTCTGCAAACTAAGTGAACATCTTTTTCCTTAAATATGTCTTACTAAAAGGCACATTCGAACATTTCCCATATAACTTTACTATAAGTTTGTTCTCGTGTCGTCTTACGTCAAACAAACTTGATTATATTTTGTCCAAGAAAAAAAACTGTGAAGAAATTATGTGATAATTAAAAGGCGCGAATTTGAGGTAGCCGATGCGGTACCGCTTTTGAGAGTACTGCATTCAAATGTTTCAATGACTTAAATTTTACAATTTGTCCTTTCCTGTTATTTCATTGCAAATTGAAAAACAATTAACTCTCTCTCACGGCGATTGTTTGATTATACAATATGAATAATTATGCATGGCACCATAGATCGTGTAGTTAAATATGAATAATTATGCATGGTACCTAAGATCGTGTAGTTAAATATGAATAATTATGCATGGCACCTGAGATCGTGTAGTTAAACAATGCTCTCAGTCTCAATTCCTTTTTACAAGCGAGAAATTATTTTCAAACATGCTTATTTTGAAGTGCTTATGAAACGAAGTTTCGCCCAATTATTTTGTTGTTTTATTCGTTAATATGTGTCAAATGATGGAGAATGGCGGTTACAGTTTGTTCGTCTCTCATTCATAAGCATACGCGAGTTTTAGAAATTGAGATGTAACATCATTAGTTGCACTCAATTCTAAAGAAAGTATTATTTCTCAAAAGTTATTGAGCCAAACGAGTTGAAAGTTTGCAATCTTACACCTGTATCCTTAAAAAAATATTTTGGTCGAGTCACGTTTTCAAATACGTTTTTTAAAATTTTTTTTCTGATATTTTTATACTCTTGTATTGATTATCTTAGTATCGAAATAGCCAGCAAAGGAATGGAAAAAAATTGACATCACACGACACACTTTGCCTGCCAATTTTGATATGTTATACGTCCTTATGAAACTATGTTTCTAGATGTAGATGGTCCAGGACAGGAAGTCCTAAAAAGGATGTGTGCGGTAATTTTGGGTATCTTTAAAGTCCATAAGGAGTTAATGTCGGGTTCGTTATCTGTTTGAGACATCTTGATATTATGGCTGATGTTGAGGTGTGAATGACTATTGTGTATTGTTGTCGTGGATTAGTTTAATGTGGAATGCTTATCGTTTGTATGATTGAGACAATCTCATGTATGTACGACTCATGTGTCGGACGTGAACCTTTTTCCATGTTATACGGCAAGTACTGATGAACATCAAGAACAAAGATTCAGAACAACTGGACGCAGGACCAGGCGCAGTTTACAAAATAAACTGCTTCGACTTCCACGTCTCCTACATCGGTGAAACACTAAGACTCAATGAACACAAACGAGCTACAAAGAAACAAGACAAAACAAACCACATTGCAAACCTTACCGACAAACAAAGCAAAGCATTTACTGAGACTTGGCAAAGTTCGTGACGTACAGCTCCGACAACAATCAACGACTTAACTTAGAAAGTTGGCACAGGCTACAAATTTAAAACAAAACTCATTAAACTCATGACGAAAATTGTCGGCACCTGACAAACGACTTATTCAAAACCTCAAACAAACGAACAGATGATGAGCATACCGCTTTGAACATATCCGTAACATCCCCCAAACAATATCATCCAAATTTATCATAAGTTTCTGTAGCTAATAAATTTAAATATACTCCTTTGAATTGCGTATTTGCGATAGTAATAGACAAGTGGGTTGTTCTAAAAAGAACTGTTGAAAACCAAAATCAAGATGGTTATAAATTAAATGACACTACGCATTTCGGCGAACTTCTTATGGTCATGGAAAATGATATTAACTCCTTGAAAAGGATATTTCTTCCGTACGGATACCGTTGAACATTATTAAACTAACGGTTTATATATATATATATATATGTAAGTTTGAAAATTTGTAATCAAGGCATTTAATACATAAAAGATAAAAGTTTCTCCGGATTTTAAGTGATTTTTATTTTTGAAGCAACGAGTCGAAAGCTCAATAAAAATCACTTAAAATCCGGAGAAACTTTTATCTTTTATGTATATATTTATATGTGTATATGACGACTAACGAGAGAGGTCTTTTGGACCTGCTAAATACCCTGTGTTTATTAAGCTTCCACAGATGGGCAAGGTTTCCAGCTATATATAAAAACTCACGTGTATTCTAAAGGCTCATTCACACTCATTCTGACAATTTTAGGATTATAAAAAAATATCGCTCATTATTCCTGTTACGTATCGTGGAATCTTTATCATCAGTTAGATAATCACGTGTTAAGTTAAAAGGATTATGTCTTGAACCTATCCCCGTTACTGACGTCATGTCCCCTTTTGGGGCGATGTCATTCTTTCTTGTCTTCACTTCAACTTCTAGAAATAGAGTTTTGATTTTCATCAATGCAGTCGTGGCACTAGATCAGAAATCTACCGAAATGCATCGTGGTATTTTATAGCTATCGTAATTTTGGTTTTCAACAGTTCTTTTTTGCAAATACCTTGTAGTTATTCACCATGCCGGGCAAATATGCTTTTCAAAACAGTATTTAAAAAAAAGTTTCTGAAGAAACTTTAAAGTACTCATTCATACTTACTTAAATGAATCGCCGAGAGAGACATAATGAAGCTCATTCTTCGAGATTGTACTGTTGTATTTATTTGAATTAATAGCTCCTTGAAAAACGCCACTTCGCTGAAAGGCTACCGCTAAGGTTGTCAAAACTTCGGTCAACACCTCCAGCAACTGTCCTTCTCAGGACTATATCAACCTGTACGATCTACTATAATAGATATGTACTCTCGGCTTCAAATCATACATTTCATGTAAAAGTATGTCGTTATTTTCATCGTCACAATATGATTAACCCGCCTTCAAAAAGACGTCAAAGGTGTAAATTATTTTGTTGTAATTTCATTTTGAATTTAATCAAGATAGCTTTTCATTACGGACAAAAACGCCGCTTCTTTATACCCGCTTTCTGAAACGGCGCAATCACGTTTTTTTTTGCTATATCTAATATCCGGACGTCGCAGGGTTTCTGCGGGCGCCTTTTCCATCACACAGACATTTTTGTCTTGAAAATGCATAAAATACATTTGCCACATCAAATTTTCAGCATTCTCATTTCTGCATTCCGTACAGCTACAACTATGAAATGGTTCGCGATTTTTTATATATTTTTTCAAATTTTTACGTTGCTCTCCGTCCAAGCGAAGAGGAGACCTTCGAAAGGTACTTAGCAGCTTATAATCTTTTGCATCAAAACCGACTTTGTTTTTTAATTATCACAATTTGTAGGCTATAGACGTGTCGTTTTATAATCTTGCTTGTCTGTTTACCAAGACAGTATAATAATTTAAACTGCATGCAGGGTTAAATTTAGCTACTTATGTATGATAGTCGCGACGCCTTCGATTAATCGGCAACGACAAATTTGGAATTGGGTTTTCATCGGATAATCGGTTTGTATCGAGTAATCGATTTCAATGATTACCGTTAGCCGTAAAGTATGGCGAATCATTCATAGTGTATATTTTTGTTTTGAAAAAGTTGAAGCGTATTTCTTTCATGCATGCACGTTCATTGATTTTGTTTTTATTTGAAAATATAGGAACGCTGGACGGTTATGATGAAAAATATGACAAAATCTTTCAAAAAGACCAATTCAAGGAAACTCCTTTTGACGAACACGAAACTACTTTCATGGACCATCAACCCAATGTCGATACGAATGAAGGTATTTTGTCATCTGAACAAAAAAATTCTTGAAATTGTAGCTTATTATAATTCATTAGACGATGGGGACTGCTGTAGCAAAAAAACATTGCAACGGCTGTAAATTTTACAGCAGTTCGATCCGTAACATTTCTCTGTGATGTTATTTAAATAAACATAAAGTTCGGTAAACCATTGTTTATGTGGGTAGTTAATATTTTGAATTTAGAATAGATCTGCCATCGTTTATTTTGCCTGCGGGTTGTTCATTTGTATGATAGTATCCGATACTGCTCGCTTGCCCGATCACCATATTTGATTTAGTTTTTAGCGAAGACAGATTTATCACGTTAATCACGTGACTATTAGCTGTTATCAGTCGGTTGATAAGATCACAAAATAGCCGCCTACCAGGTTTTACTCGTGCTTCTCGAGAATAGTATTCGGTTATATTTGCGCGTTTTATTATATTATTTGTCGAACGGCGCGAAGAAATCAACAGCGATGCAATCTCAAATACTTTGTCGATCATCATTTTTTCGTTTTACGTGCCATTCAATAAGATTTTGATATTTCGAAGAACTTAGTGCCAGTCGCGAATGCATATTTAGGAGTATTGATGCTTTAACGAGAGAAGCTTGGCTTGTTTATAATTTTCTTTGATCCCATATTGCGGATCGTGGACGATGAAATTGAGAAAGGGAAAAAGTTTAATTTTCAGAACAGTATGTTTTTCAACCCAGTTCTTTTTACAAAAATCTAACTTGTGTTGTTTTTGATGAACCAATAGAAGGATGTGTTATTTTTAGATACAAACACCTCTGCTTCGGATATCATTTACGCCGTCAATTCTCGTAAGTATAGTTATTGTAATTGGTAGTTTCAAACCAAGACTGCCATTGGTTAAATTGCATCTGTGAAGTCAATACCTAACTCTCTGTGTAACTATTATCTTACTCTCTCTAACTAATACCATACTATCTGTCTAACTAATACTTTTCTCTCATGTAACCAATACCTTTTTCTCCGTCTAACCAATACCTTACTCTCTGTCTAACTAATACCTTACTCTCTGTCTAACTAATACCTTTCTCTCTCTAACTAATACCATACTATCTGTCTAACTAATACTTTTCTCTCATGTAACCAATACCTTTTTCTCCGTCTAACCAATACCTTACTCTCTGTCTAACTAATACCTTACTCTCTGTCTAACTAATACCTTACTCTATGTCTAACCAATACCTACTCTCTGTCTAACCAATACCTTACTCTCTGTCTAACTAATACCTACTCTCTGTCTAACTAATACCTACTCTCTGTCTAACCAATACCTTACTCTCTGTCTAACTAATACCTACTCTCTGTCTAACTAATACCTACTCTCTGTCTAACCAATACCTTACTCTCTGTCTAACTAATACCTTAGTCTCTGTCTAACTAATACCTACTCTCTGTCTAACCAATACTTACTCTGTCTAACTAATACCTACTCTCTGTCTAACTAATACCTTACTCTGTCTAACTAATACCTACTTCTGTCTAACTAATACCTACTCTGTCTAACTAATTTCTCTCTAACTAATACCATACTATCTGTCTAACTAATACTTTTCTCTCATGTAACCTACCTTTTTCTCCGTCTAACCAATACCTTACTCTGTCTAACTATACCTTACTCTCTGTCTAACTAATACCTTACTCTATGTCTAACCAATACCTTACTCTCTGTCTAACCAATACCTTACTCTCTGTCTAACTAATACCTACTCTCTGTCTAACTAATACCTACTCTGTCTAACCAATACCTCTCTGTCTAACTAATACCTACTCTGTCTAACTAATAATACCTTACTCTCTGTCTAACCAATACCTTACTCTCTGTCTAACTAATACCTACTCTCTGTCTAACTAATACCTTACTCTCTGTCTAACTAATACCTACTCTCTGTCTAACCAATACCTTACTTCTGTCTAACTAATACCTACTCTGTCTAACTAATACCCTCTCTGTCTAACCAATACCTTACTCTCTGTCTAACTAATACCTTACTCTGTCTAACTAATACCTACTCTCTGTCTAACTAATACCTACTCTCTGTCTAACCAATACCTACTCTGTCTAACTAATACCTAATCTCTGTCTAACTAATACCTACTCTCTGTCTAACCAATACCTTACTCTCTGTCTAACTAATACCTTAGTCTCTGTCTAACTAATACCTACTCTCTGTCTAACCAATACCTTACTCTCCGCCTAACTAATACCTTACTCTCTGTCTAACTAATACCTACTCTTTGTCTAACCAATACCTTAGTCTCTGTCTAACTAATATCTACTCTCTGTCTAACCAATACCTTTCTCTCCGTCTAACTAATACCTTACTCTCTGTGTAACTAATACCTTACTCTCTGTCTAACTAATACCTACTCTCTGTCTAACCAATACCTTACTCTCTGTCTAAATAATACCTACTCTCTGTCTAACCAATACCTTACTCTCTGTGTAACTAATACCTTAGTCTCTGTCTAACTAATACCTACTCTCTGTCTAACCAATACCTTACTCTCCGTCTAACTAATACCTTACTCTCTGTCTAACTAATACCTACTCTTTGTCTAACCAATACCTTAGTCTATGTCTAACTAATATCTACTCTCTGTCTAACCAATACCTTTCTCTCCGTCTAACTAATACATTATTCTCTGTATAACCAATACCTTACTCTCTGTCTAACCAATACCTTACTCTCTGTCTAACTAATACCTTACTCTCTGTCTAACTATAACATCTTACTCTCTGTCTAACTAATACCTTACTCTCTGTCTAACTATAATATCTTACTCTCTGTGTAACTAATACCTTACTCTCCGTCTAACCAATACCTTTTTCTCATGTAACCAATACCTTTCTCTCCGTCTAACTAATACCTTACTCTCTGTCTAACCAATACCTTACTCTCTGTCTAACCAATACCTTACTCTCTGTCTAACTAATACCTTACTCTCTGTCTAACCAATACCTTACTCTCTGTCTAACCAATACCTTACTCTCTGTTTAACCAATACCTTACTCTCTGTCTAACTAATACCTACTCTCTGTCTAACCAATACCTTACTCTCTGTCTAACTAATACCTACTCTCTGTCTAACTAATACCTACTCTCTGTCTAACTAATACCTACTCTCTGTCTAACCAATACCTTACTCTCTGTCTAACTAATACCTTAGTCTCTGTCTAACTAATACCTACTCTCTGCCTAACCAATACCTTACTCTCCGTCTAAATAATACCTTACTCTCTGTCTAACTAATACCTACTCTCTGTCTAACCAATACCTACTCTTTGTCTAACCAATACCTTAGTCTCTGTCTAACTAATATCTACTCTCTGTCTAACCAATACCTTTCTCTCCGTCTAACTAATACCTTACTCTCTGTGTAACTAATACCTTACTCTCTGTCTAACTAATACCTACTCTTTGTCTAACCAATACCTTACTCTCTGTCTAACTAATACCTACTCTTTGTCTAACCAATACCTTAGTCTCTGTCTAACTAATATCTACTCTCTGTCTAACCAATACCTTTCTCTCCGTCTAACTAATACCTTACTCTCTGTGTAACTAATACCTTACTCTCTGTCTAACTAATACCTACTCTCTGTCTAACCAAAACCTTACTCTCTGTCTAACCAATACCTACTCTCTGTCTAACCAAAACCTTTCTCTCCGTCTAACCAATACCTTACTCTCTGTCTAACCAATACCTTCTCTCTGTCTAACCAATACCTTACTCTCTGTCTAACTAATACCTACTCTCTGTCTAACCAATACCTTACTCTCTGTCTAGCCAATACCTACTCTCTGTCTAACCAAAACCTTTCTCTCCGTCTAACCAATACCTTACTCTCTGTCTAACCAATACCTACTCTCTGTCTAACCAAAACCTCTCCGTCTAACCAATACCTTACTCTCTGTCTAACCAATACCTACTCTCTGTCTAACCAAAACCTTTCTCTCCGTCTAACCAATACCTTACTCTCTGTCTAACCAATACCTTACTCTCCAACTAACCAATACCTTTCTCTCTTGTAACCAATACCTTTCTTGTAACCAATACCTTATTCTCTGTCTAACTAATAACTTACTCTTTGTGTAACCAATACCTCATTCTCTGTCTAACCAATACCTTACTCTGTTTAACCAATACCTTACTCTGTTTAACCAATACCTTACTCTGTTTAACCAATACCTTACTATTTGTCTAACCAATGCCTTTCTCTGTATGTAACCAATACCTTACTACCTGTCTAAGCAATAATTTCCTTTTTCTACATCAGATATTACATTCTCTGTGTGATGAAAAAAACCCAACTTTCTAGTATTGATATTTTCGTAGACACAATCAACCCTGATACACATAAGTCGGAGCTGAACTCAACATTTGAGTCTGATATTTTGTTGGATCCATCGAGGTTAAAAGAAGTGGCTGAATGGACAGTAGGAAATGGCGTCTACAAACGGGCTGCAAAATCCAACAATAATAGGCAATACAGATGGCCAAATAAAATCTTAAGATATAAATTTGAAAGAAATTCAAAAGGTATCTGCTATATCCACTAAAGATCAATTGCATTAACATGAATTTGTGCAAAGTGAAGCCTGTGATTTTTGCGCGAGGCTATTTTCAAAACAGTCACTTAAGCATTTGAGCCAACACCCAAAATGTAAGTGATTTTAATTATATGCCAATTTTTAAAGTTTGTCGTTTCCTATTGTTTCATTGGTCGTGAGTGTGTCACGTGACAGTGAAGAAATTATGCTGTTTCATCTCAAATAAGCGTCCGTTATCGACTAAGAAAGCGTTACGTGGAATTTCTCCGAACTTTACTGAGTATCTTTCAAATCATTTTCTTTGTCTATTATTTTTGGGAAGTAAATATTTCGTACAGTCATGCTGTTTTCAATTTTCCCTTTGACAATTCGTTTGTAATAAAACACTTAGTGACTGAAACCTCGAGAAACAGTACCTCTTGTTTTTTGCTTATGTTATGCAATATATATTTCTATACACTTACCAATCTTTCACACTGATCTTTCTAGATCGCTATCTCCACTCAACTACGTTTTTTTACCAAGCAAAAGCTGAAATTGAGTCAAAAACATGTATTAAATTGAGAGAAGCAATGGGCAGTCAGTATCATATTCGACTTATGAGTGGAACTGGGTGAGTAAATTGGGATCGATAGGGATTATAACCAGACGATAAATAGAGATGAATAGAGATGGATAGAATTATCATGCATTTTGCTGATATGTTATTTCGAAACATTGAACTAAAATACATGGAACGCTACCTAAAGCAAATAATTGAAGCTAAATCTTACACCCAGACACGCGAGATTACACACAGACACTCGTGTGTAGTTCAATCAATTTTCACTCCGCGAGAGAATCTCGAAACATTACACACGCGTGTCTGGGTGTAATCTCTCGTGTCTGGGTGTAAGATTTGGCTTCAATTATTTGCTTTAGGTAGCGTTCCATGTATTTTAGTTCAATGTTTCAAACTGATTTCCTGTCTTTTTAATGATGTATAATAATGCGTAAGTATTTCAGCCAAAAATTGTCAGGAAACAAAAGGATATTTATGAAAACCTCAGCGATATATTACACGCGATTGGACGTCACTGTTTGTGTAAATTGGTAATTTATATCTTATAAAAGGAAAAGAGATATGACTTAGCTGTTTTAGAAAGTCTACTGTCGTTTTGAAAGCTCTCTTCAATGAAAATATAATTCAAATAGCAAAATTTTTTTTTACCGTGCTTTAAGCAATTCGCGATCAGTGTCCAGGACCAACCATATTTTGGTGCATATTTTAAGTTTTACGATCAGGAAACATTGAAGATCATAAATGCTACCATATTAACGCCTTTCGTACACTAGGTGCTATTCTTACGTCGGTTATCTACGTGGCATAAATAAAATGTTCAACAAGAAGCAGGATGTTTCCATTGGAAGGGGCTGTAACACCAAGGCAACTATCGTCCACGAGTTGCTTCACGCTTTGGGTTTTTGGCATGAGCAAAGTCGACCAGATCGCGACAAATATGTAAAAATAGTATGGGATAACATTCCACGAGGTACGACAACTAGTCCTGAACTAGTTTCTCATCTCATTAGTCTGTATTTGTACTGTTGCTGAGATTGTAAAACAAAGACTTGTTGGTTGTGGTGAGTCTGGTGATAAACATTAATATACTGCTCTCAACATTGTATATGTCGTAGTTTGAATAGTTTTTATAAAAGAACTTTTGAAGACCAAAATGAGACTATAAAATTGGATGACACGATGCATCTCGGCACGTCTGCTTAAACGAAAACGAAAATTTTACTTCTATTTATAATTAGGTTTTCATTAAAGAAATAAAAGATGTTTACTGTGTTTGCACAGGCTTATGCAAACCGAAGAGACCTTTGGGAGAACTCGAGAGCAGATCAGTGCAAGCCCGAGACCAAAGCTCGAGGGTTGCATATGCTTAAGAGTTCTCACAAACGTCTCCGAGGTTTGCATAAGCCAGTTGCAACCCGAAAAACATCGTTTATTTCTTTTATAAAATAACAATAATGCGAAAAAAGACAAACATTAGAATTTTTCCTCTAAAATGTATTCATGATCGATTTGCAAATTCTCTTTGACTGATTGATTGTTTAGATTGATTTGATTGGTTGAGCTCACATGTGTTTTGCACTGGCTAATGCAAACACAGCTCTAGACCAATCAGCGCACGCGTTTCATTGTGTTTATTTTATAATCAAGCATTGATGTGGCACCTGAAAAGAAGTCTGCCAAAATGCATCGTGTTATTCAACTTTATAGCTATTTTTTTTAATTTAGTTTTTAACAGTTCTTTTAACCATTTCTGTGGCAGTGTAGCAGATCTGCAACAATCATCGAACGAAATAACAAACACCTTTTGAAAAGATTTTTCACCTATATAAAAGGGTGAAGAACCACTCAATTATGAATCACCATGACAACCTAAAATTGTCAACGTGGTTTCCAGGGGGAATCATATCTTTCTCACGAGTAATACAAAAGTTTCCATCACCAGTTGTAAAAAATATGACACATTTTGGCATATTTATACGTAATTACGTTGTAATGAAAAAATTGATGTCCGCATACATTGGGTTGCATTTACTTTTTCAGGTCAATCAAACGGAAATTTCCTGAAGCATAGCGAGAGAGACATCAAAGATTTAGGAGTTCCATATGACTACGATAGTGTTATGCATTACGGTGATAAGGCGTTCGCCATAAACCGAGGTATGTTAAGATTGTAAATTAGACGTGAACGCAAGAGAATGGAGACGAAATCCCTTAAAATCATTGTTTTCGCAAACTGTACCTTTTGCAGCTAAACCAACTATCGTGCGCTTGAATGGCACAGGTCGTTTTGGGCAACCCAGAAATGGAGGATTATCTCAAAAAGACGCTCAAGAGCTGAACCGTTATTATGAATGTAATCGCACAGGTGAGCTTCACATTGGTCAAGAGAAGTATGATTTTTACCTAATGGAGAGTAAGTTTAAAAGGCACAACGACTATGAATTTTTTTCGTAAAAATTAGCGCTTTATTTGATGTTGTTTTTTGTTGTACTAATTGGAGTACTACTTAGAGTTGTTTCTTGATGTACTACTTAGAGTTTTTTCTTGATGTACTACTTTGAGTTGTTTCTTGATGTACTACTTAGAGTTGTTTCTTGATGTACTACTTTGAGTTGTTTCTTGATGTATTACTTAGAGTTGTTTCTTGATGTACTACTTTGAGTTGTTTCTTGATGTACTACTTAGAGTTGTTTCTTGATGTATTACTTAGAGTTGTTTCTTGATGTATTACTTAAAGTTGTTTCTTGATGTATTACTTAGAGTTGTTTCTTGATGTACTACTTTGAGTTGTTTCTTGATGTACTACTTAGAGTTGTTTCTTGATGTATTACTTAGAGTTGTTTCTTGATGTATTACTTAGAGTTGTTTCTTGATGTACTACTTAGAGTTGTTTCTTGATGTATTACTTAGAGTTGTTTCTTGATGTATTACTTAGAGTTGTTTCTTGATGTATTACTTAGAGTTGTTTCTTGATGTATTACTTAGAGTTGTTTCTTGATGTATTACTTAGAGTTTTTCTTGATGTACTACTTAGAGTTGTTTCTTGATGTATTACTTAGAGTTGTTTCTTGATGTACTACTTAGAGTTGTTTCTTGATGTATTACTTAGAGTTGTTTCTTGATGTATTACTTAGAGTTGTTTCTTGATGTACAACTTAGAGTTGTTTCTTGATGTATTACTTAGAGTTGTTTCTTGATGTATTACTTAGAGTTTTTTCTTGATGTACAACTTAGAGCTGTTTCTTGATGTATTACTTAGAGTTGTTTCTTGATGTACTACTTTGAGTTGTTTCTTGATGTATTACTTAGAGTTTTTTCTTGATGTACTACTTAGAGTTTTTTCTTGATGTACTACCCTAGAACTGTTTTGAATGTAAACTCATTGAAATGTGCTTTTATGAACGAGAATATCATCTATTAACAAAATATTTGCCATAAGCTAGATGCATGTTACGGTCACGTGATTGGACATTCATTGTTGACCCTGTCTGATATGAAAAGAGCAAAAATTAGTTCATGCTTATACAAAGTATGTAGTGTATATGGTGCTTAGTGTGAAGACTTGCGTTAGATAAAGAAGTATTTGTTATTCTTAGGGACTACAAGACGTCCTGAGACCACAAAATCTCCCATCAAGACTTCAAGTAAGAAAGTTTTAACAATTATTCTTGCATAGGTAGTATAACTTTCTGTAAAATTGCGTGCTTTGATTGGGCAGAGAAGAAATGCTTTAGATAGTGAAGAAATATTTGTTATTTGCAGTAAATACAAGACGCCCTCAAACGCTTCGTCCGACCACAACAAGATCTCCTACTGAGTTTTCAAGTAAGATACTCTTAACAAGTTTTATTCTTCACTATCTAAACAATGTCGGTTTTGACTGGTCAACTACCTGCAAATAATTCCAGGTATTTGTAAGTATGACGTGTTATGTGCAAATTGTAGTTTCTACAATTGTTGACGCCATTAAAAGCCGGTTTTGAAAAAATCAAATAACAGCGAGGTTTGTCACATGTCAATGGCGGCTTTGATGTTTTAAACTGTCCTTCGTCACGAGGGGAACACAAGCTCAGATTTTCTCTTTCTGTTGAGCTACATCTCCGTGTGTATTCTTTTTTATAAAGGAGCGCTCTTTTTGATCAAAAGTGTCGGATGTTTGGATTACGGTAATAGAAAGGGATGCACGTCAAGGCGTTCAGAGACTACTATCAAGCTTGGAAGGACTCCGCTCATTTCGACCAACTACCTGGGAGCAAACGCCGTTGTAGTTGATGGGAAAACAGGTCAGTACTAGAATGATCTTCTATTTGAACTCTATAGTGATATCTAAAAATTTTATTATTTCTATTGTTTTCCCTTTTCGGTACGTACACTATGCTCGCACAATGATATTTTGCAACATTGTTTAAATATGTTGGTGTTGACTGACGTTTCAACAACCTTAGCGGTAGTCATCCTCAGAGTCGACTGGAGCGATATGTAACGTTATTCCCGGGTTCAAACCATTTACTTTAATGTTTTAATAGTGGAAATTTGCAGAAAAAACAGTCCAAACAGCTTCCTTCCCTCCCATATCTTACAAAAGCAAAAGCCAGCGAGATGGGCGTTTCCACAAATATCCCTTTCAACTTTTTGTAATTTTTCAAGTAAGAATCTTCAATAAAATACTCTTCTAAATTTTTTGTTACAGGTCGCGTTGCTGGAACTTTGACCGAGAAGCGTTCTTGGAACTTTGGGTATTCACTATGGCGTTTAAAACCGAAGTTTGTTTTCAGATTTCGTGAATTTTATCATTTGCAATGTTTCAATCATTTGCGTACCAATGTTTTGGTATGATTTTTTCTTAAATGTAGCAAACTGGTGTTCTTGACGGTGAACGGACGATGGTTGAAAGTCAACAATTGGCTCAAATATGGACTTGGAAAAATTGGCGCGTCAACACGCCGTAGTATATTTTACAATAACTCCGCATTTGCTATGATTGGATGGACCGGACCTGGAAGAATCAATATTGTTCAACAGGTGAAGCCTGTAACATGCAATTACAGCAAACAAATTTTACAACTCGTTTTTGTGGGTAGCCTGTACGCAGGCCAACCATTATGTTAGACCGCATAAAGAGTAGAAAACGGCAGGCCGGCCGACTGACCTGCTTCCACCAATGTTATTGATCTTTATGGTCGAACTGGATTTACCAATAAACTAAGAACTTACATACTGTACTTTTAACCACTTTTAACTCAGACATATTTACGGAAACTTACTTACAAACGATATTTCTATTACCATGACTAAAGGAATGCAATAACTCTCATCTGTTTCATCGACAGTAGTCAAGACCAAATAACTTTAAATGTCATGCAAATGCAAGCTTTCTAAGCGATTTGAAATTTCAGTTACACCTCATTGTCAATTCAGGCTACCCACATGTGCGCACTGCGTACCTGTTTTATAATTGTTGAGGGGATTGAGACCGAGAGCTGAGGGCGCAAGTCGATCCAGACGCAGCTTAAAAAAAAATTATAGTTTAGTAACGAATTATTCCCATAAACACCTTGCCAGTTGCTACAGGCCTCATACACATCTTATCTATGTCTAAAATGAATGCTATTGGCATTAAAGTTTCAATAGTCATTATCAGTTGCTCTTGTCATGAAGTGTTTAAGCTTTCTCGGTCCTGCAAACCTTGTGAATTTTTCTACATAAATATGCAGTGTTCACTGTACTCGATTGGCCAAAACCTTTATAATAATTTTCAAATCATTTTACATAGAAGTCGCTTTGACATGATATAAATAATAGGACGTCTTAATTTAAGTTTTACATGAAGATACGCAATTTTGCACGAGTTGTTGAATACGAAATTAATATTGGTTTTTTTGCCTGCAAACAACCAGCAATGTTGGGATCTTTGATTTCGGCTTTGAATGTTGGGATCTTGTTTCGATGAAGCTATGATTTATCAACACGCTAATCGTAATCGATCCCATTGCAAATTTAAGGGGAGAGGGATCTGGCTCAGATAAAGCCATGATTTATCACCATGCTGATCGTAATCGATCCCATTGCAAATTTAAGGGAAGGGGGATCTGACTCAGATGAAGCCATGATTTATCACCATGCTCATCGTAATCGATCCCATTGCAAATTTAAGGAAAGGGGGATCTGGCTCAGATGAAGCCATGATTTATCACCATGCTCATCGTAATCGATCCCATTGCAAATTTAAGGGGAGGGTTAACGTCGTGAAATTAATCTTCAGTTTCTATACGAGCTTTACCCGCAATCCATACATACAAAGGTAGCAAATCAGCTGCTTATTCTAAAAATTGTGTGCATGAACATGTGCAAAAATTGTGTTGCTATTGGCAAACAGGTTGTTAAAGTGGCAGAAGGCTGTGTAGCAGTTGAGAAAAGATTTTTTCAAGCATGCAGATTGCGTCAAATCAATTATTTTGTTTTTCAATCAACAGACCACCAGGCAATTTTGGTAACGAGTTGAGGATTTTTAATGATTTTGAAAAATGAGAAAATTAGGAGGTTTTAAAAATAATCAAGCGGACTTACTTCATCAGCCCCGTGTTATTTCAATGAACATGATTATAATACTTAATTATTAAAATTTATTAAAATTACTTATGTGAAGAGAAGGAGCAGAAAAGATTACATTGCAGATCCAGCAAACGAAAGTTACCGAGTCATTCCAAGCTACTTTTGTAATGTTTTCACCGTTGTAGGTCTCCACATATCGACGCAAAGGACCCAGTGTCATATCGAAGCGAATTTTCTTCCCTGTTCTTCTGTAATCGTCTTCTGGAAGATTTGCTCAACTAGTTATTCTCAGCACTTGAAAACATCTTGTAGGTAATGTCTTCACTGCTCAAGTACTTATTTTATATCAGGAATTGTTGTTCTGTATTTTAGCATGATCCGATACGACGAATTTTTGTAAACTAGACTAAGTGTTTATAAATCTTACTACTTGATTTGTAACCATGTTTGGTGAATGGATTCAATTGTTAGAAGTTGATCGTTTTTCGGTAAAGTTTTGATGAAACAATTTTTTACTAAAACGTATGGAAAAATCAAGTCGGTAATTTTGTTATGGTAAAATAAAAAAAAATATTGTTGGGAAAGAAAAGATTAGAAGTGTTACCACGCTAAAAGAAGCAAATGCCCTCACAAAATATTACAGGAATTGAGAAAGTCAAAAGACCACTCGATGTTTAATAAAGCATAGTTTTCCCAATTTAAATTACAAAATAAGTTCCTAAATCCTTGCAATTCAGCCATATGCTCGTTGTCTTGTGCAAAAGAATACATGATTGAAGATAATTTGTATGCAAAGTATAAGTGAGCGATTTAGAATGCAACCAGAATGCAAAAGTTTTTCTTCACACAATTATATATTGTCTTGTCTTGACACTGCACGTCATGTAACGCACAAATGCGGTCACGTGACAATCATTTTCAGTTCGCTCCACAGGAAGAATCTTCCGGAATCTTCGACGTCATTTGCTTTTTAACTCGATTAACTAGAAACACCCGCTTTTTTAACCTAAAAAGTAAATATGAATAGGTTTTTTCTATCATACATGTTAAACACGAACACGATGACTTTCTAGTGTCAAAAACTAGTTGAAAATCTTCTTCGCGACTGTTAAATTTATTTATTCAAGATCACCTCACTGTCACACTGAGTTTTTCTTTGAATGACCATATACGGCTCGCATTCGTGAATAAATTTTCCGTCTGACGTTATCGATGACCCAAAGAATGTAAATTATTCTCCACATTCATAAATTTTATACCAAGCTAATGAGGCAAAATTGAAATTTTTATACTACATAACTATTCTTAGACATCAATAGTAATTTCTAACAAGAAAGTGGTTGAAAACTTGAGAGAACATTTGTGATTGTCGATAGAAATGTACTTTGTTGTTGAATTTGTGTGTGGAGGATGGGCACTGGGCTCGGCTTAGGTTTGAGTTTGGCTGTGGTTTGGGTGTAACTCGCCGACCGGAAATAATCTTGTACACGTTGATGAAATTCGGCCTCCATTTTGAAACGTTTCTTCTCGAGAATTTTCGGTCGAATAAGACGAGAATTTGTGATTAAATATCATCGATTAACTACTTATATAAAGGTAAGTGTAAAGCGAAACGTTTTTTGAAATAGTTTGATGTTAAAACAGCTTCTAGACGTTACATTATTTGCTTTAAATTCCATCGTTTGGCGTGTTGTATTGCGACATAGGAATTTCGTCGAATGTTTCGTGTCATTCCAAAAATCGTCCGATCTCAAATATAGTACGATCTTCCTAGAGCTATTATCATGTCGAATAACGTTTGATTATTTTTAAGTGGGTTATTTCAATGGAGTAGCTCCAAAATCCTCTGTTCAAATACATATTTTTTGTGTTTATGTGTGCGCAATTATTTTTCGTCTGTTTACATAACCGCTTAACATCTATCTCGATCTTCAAGGACTTGCAATCAGCGACCAAAACATACATCTCGATAATGTCGAAGTTAAATTTTATTAGCGCTTTTAAATTGGTGTCGTGAATCGTTTGAGAAGTACATATTTGTGCATTGTTAATATAATCTCAAGGCTCAGTGGGGTCGGGCATAGCTGTCCTTTGGCGGTGCATATTTTCAACAGTCTGTTACTTCGTTTTTTCAACAGCGCACCAAAACCAAACAAATATTTACTTGTTTTAAACGCTACTTGTCAACTTCCCATTAAAAATAACGTAATACTCATTGCAATTTTGTTTGTAACTCCGTATCACTGTGTAATTGTCTTTAATGAATCGTTGTTTTCTATAACATGTACGCGTTCTTTTCACGACTGCGCACTGTGCTGTGGTGTTTGGTTTCACACAAAATGCACTTGTGCAACATACGAATTGGCGGTAAAACCATGCGCTGGTTTCGTCGCGTGAGCACGTGCCTATGTGGGTATGTAGAGGGTGGTGATGATCGTTGTACGATGCTACCTCTTTAAATTGACAAAAATGACGTGTAACACACATGAATTAAGCGTGCGTTGTATGCAGTTCTCCACATGACGAGTGATCGAAAGATTTTGGCGTGGTCGCAGTTTGAGCGACATACTCATATTCATATGTGAATGACGTACTCATAAAATCGCCGTAGTCTACTGGATGGCCCCGAACCTCTGTACATTAAGGTGTTTCCAAGGACCAACTAGGCGCATTGTCGATCCTGTATGACTGCAAGAACCCAAAGCAATTAAAATGATTTACTTTCCATCGTAAATTCTAGCATACACGAAAGATAATAACGAAGATTTTGATCTTCTTTAAACCTTACGTCAAAGCTCGTCGCAAACTGGTTCAAATTCGAACAGGCGTTAAGCTGAAACTGGTAAACCTGTTATTCTGACGTCACAGTTATAAATTTTGACGGAAACGGCCTGGTGGGGTGGTATAAACCCTTAACTGGACAATTTCACATCATGTTATGTAAATTTGTCCCATTATGTTCAATAATTGTAACAATATTAATATGAACCTATAACCGAGTTCACATTCGAAAATTTTTGTTTTTTATGAAACAACATAACAATGAACGATTTGCTTAGCAAATGTGTATGTGTTAAGGGATAAATTCGTCATCATTCGTTTAGGACGTTTTGTTGCCCATTTCGTGGTCAGAATACAATATATTCTTTGTAAGAACAACCTCTCCCCGCCCCCCTTTTTTCCTATTTTCTTTGATGGACAGACGCCAAAATCTGTACTGGCGATCTTTCATGTTCATTTGCTAGATTGCGGCTGCCAAGTTTATTTCAAAATTGTTCAATGTTTTACATACATTTAAGACAAGCATAAACGTACATAAAGTAAAGGAATCTCACACCATACTCGTAACAAAATGATTATACAAATTGGCATACGGTGTTATTAAACGTTAGAAAACTCGTCGATAATCTTGTGTCTTCGTATTTATCTCCCGTTACATTAGCCAATTCTTCGTTACATAACATGCCTTATTGCAGGTGATGAAACATCTGCTTTTGAAACTTATAAGAACTTTGCTATTTAACTATTATTATTCGCCGCTGAGTTGACTGCGCGTGCCCAAGTCATTAAGCGGAAATAGCGTGGCCCATTGGATCAAAGTCCGTAACTAGCATCTTTTTCAACTTTGTTTTCACGCGTTTTTCACATGGACATAAAGCGCAATGATTGGCCAAGCCTAAAATTACGGCGCTCTGATTGGCCCGACCCACAATCAAGCCTTCGTACTGCATGATCTAAAATATGGAGCAACGTGATCACGACTATTATGTCGTCTTATTTTCGCTTGCTTGTCATTTTACTTATTTCGTTCTCTCACTCTCGTCGACAATGGATGTCCTACCTCTGTCACCGCCTTCGACACCAAACTCTTCGGCTCGGGATAGCGAAGTAAGTACGGAATAAGAAAAGGAGAAAGTACGAATACTTTCTGTGAAATGACAGGATTAAAAGTGCTTAAAGTAGCAAAGTAGTAGCGCACATAACTTTTAAATTTATATACAACACTTGAAACTCCAGTCATTCGTATTATTGTTGTTAAATTGAACGTTTTTTCTCTCGTAGAACGAAGCTGCTCCCGAGCAAGTAGTAAGTAAAGTTCGAGTGAAATCCGATAGAGACATTACTGCCGTCCAATCGTTGCTAGCTATGAGCCAGTGGTGTCCTCCCAGTCCCGACCATTCGATTTCACCGACAAACGATCCTCTTTTTTCCGTCTTTGATCCTATTCACAACAGTTATCAACTTAGCCCCGACCAAAAGGTATAATTACCAGTTGAACTGACTAGAAATGATAAAAGTGACTCCGAAATTTGTTATTTTGTAATGAGTATGCTTATTAAAATGTTAAGTAGGGGGCATACAGGCACTTTATTTTTGTTTACTGTGTCCTGTTGTTGCGACTTCTCATGAGAAATTTATTTTTGTCTTTTCGTAACCTTCTGCAAATTTCATTAAACTTCATGATGAATTTATTATTATTTAGTTTGACAATTCCCCACCAACTCAGACTCAAAATGCTGTGCCTAATCCGGTCGGCGTTTTTGGTTTACCGACGCAAAGCTTGGTAGATTTTAGCAAGCTTTTAGCAGGGAATCGCATATCTTTGCCCAATAACGCTGGCCAGCAAGGGCCCATCATGATTATATGTCCTATAGCGGTGCCGACGAGCAGCGCCAATACTACAACGCCTGCTTCAGCAACAAATTTAAATGACCTGAGAAACAGCGTACCTTCGACGAGCACTGCTTCACGAAACACACAGGCAACTACGGTGGAAGGCGATTCAACCAGAAAAAGAAACTACGTTTGCACTTATGAAAACTGCACGAAAACATACTTCAAGAGTTCCCATTTGAAAGCCCATCTTCGTACGCACACAGGCAAGTATTGCGTTGGTTTTTGTATATTTGACACAGTTCCGAATGGCATGGCTAGGGTGTTGCCCAACTAACAGCTATCCTATAGTACTTTGGACTATGAATTTTGTCGTCGGTAAAATTTTGTGAAGAATATCCGCTTTGTCTTTGATTGACGGATGGGAATTGATTGCTAATTTATCGATGGAAAATGACTCGGAATTTCTCAATTTAGACGTTGAATTTGAATCCCAACTACAAGATCTACCTCATAAATGTCATAATTCGGCATTCGTTTTTGTCAGTATATTTTTCTGCGAGTTTTAACGTGAAAATTTCATGTAGATTCAAAACAAAGATCTTACGTAATGCACGCCAGGTACACACCCCTTATCAAACCTTTTCACGTGCTCGCTGGAAGTTATTATTCAACAATGAATGTGTCACGCACCTTGACCTCATAATAAAGTGAACCTTGTACTTTGATTCTAAGAACGTGTATTGTTGTTACCATGGCGAACTTATATAGCACTTCATATGTTAAAGAGTTCGTTTGTGAAAAAGCAGAAATTACTTGAATATAGCTCTGCTGTTTAATGTCTACTTTTTGAATATTGAAATTGAATTGATTTAAATTGAATTTGAGGATATTCTGCCTTAAAAATTATGCAATATGATATGCAAGACAAAATTAACATATTCTTTGATTGAAAACTGTCGAGTCATTTCCTTTTTACAGTTGTGTTACAATACGTATTTTGGAATCATTTCAATAACTCTGAATTTTTACAACATACTACTTGGGTGTATTTTTCAGCGATTGTTGTGGAGTTGTGGCACATGTTTTCTTACTCTACATATGTGAATTTTGAAGTTGGCCTTTGAACCCACAACATCAATGTTATATGCCAGCTGTGTGTATATTGACCCTGCGTGCATAACATCATGTGACAAGCATTCCAGATGAATTTGTCCATGTATAGAATTAAACTTTCACTTATGTATTGTGTTATATTTTGACTTTGTACTTTGACTCTTCAGGTGAAAAACCATTTGTCTGTACATGGGAATCATGCGATAGAAAGTTTGCAAGATCTGATGAGCTAACACGACATCGTCGAACTCACACGGGAGAAAAGAAGTTTGAATGTCCCTTGTGCCATAGACGTTTCATGAGGTCGGATCATTTGACCAAACATGCTCGCCGTCATCTTACTGCCAAGAAATTACCCGGTTGGCAGGTCGAGATGAATAAACTCAATCAAGTTGCTGCCGCGACCATGGCGGCATCAAGGAATCCACCTCAAAATGAAAGTTGTAGCATGCAGCCCATGTTATCCCCCAATATTCCACAGATGTACTCGATACCATCACCTTCTACATCATTTGAAAGCCTAATGATGAACTCCTCTGAATTAGGTGGACACTCAACTATTAGTTCTTCGTCTACTAACACTCTCACTGTTCCTACCTGAAACTGTATAATCAAAGAAACTTGTAAATACATGGCTATTTAATTGAGCCAGGCATGTTAAGAAGTATGCACTTTTAAAGTTATTGCTTTTTATTTAACAGCAGATTTGTGTGTGAAGTGTATTGTAATGTTTATTATGCCAAAAATGTTAATGATTATATCAACTGGCATCAAAATTGATGAGACAATTTCTTTAAAATCCATCAATTGTATATATGAAGTGACGGCATTTTGTTAAATAAGTAATACAATCTATATTAGAAAATTAAAGCAGAAATTTTATGTCTTCTATACGATATATTATGATGACTATCTGATTTAAATGTGTTTGGGCAATTGAGTCACTTAGAGGAGGTTGTTATGGTATAATTCTGGTGGATGGAAATAAGTGAGTGATTAATCGTGTTCGCAAGCATGTGTTGTCGGTTTGGAAAATTTTCATACTATGCTCTAGAAATTCTGGTTGTGGGGAAAACGTTCCTCTCAAGTGTGAAGCATGCAAGTATCCCAGCCTAATGATGTTAAAATATACAACTTGTCAGCAGGAAAAAGTTTGCCTGAGGTATGGCATTCATTTTCACATTTCGTGCTTGTAATTAATGTCTTGCTTGAATTTTACACGAGAGGAATTGAAGACTTTGTATTTGGCAGTGTATTTTATCAAATGGTTCTTTACGGAATGGACGTCTTGTATTCTGATAAATTTCTCACTTTCTTAAATTTACACTTGTATGAGAAACAATTTCTTTCATGAACGGGCTTCACACATACGTGAAGGCTTCACTTGATACATTATTTCACTATCTGCGTAGTGGCTGACTGAGCGGCGACGAAGACTTCTCCAAAAAGAAGATGTCGGTGAGTTGACACGTATTAAACTTATAAGCCACAAGTTATGCATTCGTCTCAAGTAGGCATTTATTTTGCACCTAGATATTAGGCGAAGAATTGAACTTATTCAAGACTTTGAAATGCCAACTGCTTCTACCCATATTGAAATATCGGAGGATGGAAGTTATGTCTTAGCTTCAGGTGACATGCACTATTTCCATTTGCCGGTTTTTGAACCCAAAATTCATACAAAACCTTATTAGCCATATGTAACATGCTTCAACTTTGGAAATTCCCATTTCTAACTCGGATATTCTACTACTAGTTACTTTTGAAATATGAATGGTTACGCAGGACTTCAGACTATGTTTAGTTTTGCAAAGATCTAGGGGGCGGAAAGTTTAAAAATATCAATGCAGGGGTGGACTTAGAGTTGAAAATGCACTGAAATGCTTTAGTTTGTGATAATTTTTTGCTTTCACTTGAACAACTTATGGGAGGCACTAGAACTTGTGTCTTGACAAATATCGGAGGTGCCACCATCAGAATGCCGAAAAAGCTTTACCACACAGATTCTATGTATGTTTACACAAAATCTGCCCAATGGAGCAGATTCTGTATAAACATACATTGCCATTATTGAAAATCAATGATGTCACATGATGTATTTAAACATTTCTTTATTGGTTTCAGGCTGCTACAAACCACGAGTGCGATGTTATGACCTGTCACAGATGTCTATGAAATTCGAACGCTGTCTTGATTCAGACAGTAAGTGAAGATGAAATCTATTTTTGAAATTTTGTCACGCTTAAAGTATCTAGTTGCTAGTATATGTAAGCCTAATAAGCAAGCTAGTATGTGCTAGCCTAAGATGAGAAATGTTTAACTTACCTAAATTAAATAAGTCAGCTCGGAGAATTCTCTTGAAATGTAGGTACACTGCCATTAGTGGAAGAATACCCCTAGGTATCACTCTGGTGAAGTAAAGATTTATTCATTTGTAACTTTGTAAAAAAATGTGTTTGATTTCTTATTGCAGTTGTGAAGTTCAAAGTTCTCTCTGATGATTATTCTAAGGTACAGCTGTAGTGATTGTTATCAGCACAATTGTTAATGTGAAATTTGTTTTGGGTGGAACAGTTATTAATGAAAGAATGGGTCTCGTAGTAATGCTTTGCGCACTCGCCTTTTCTTATGTTCTTAAACATCTAATATATGATACAGAGTTTAGGAATTGTTTTCTGACTAACCAAATGTTGAATAATGTCTTTTTTAAGTCAATTGTTGTCATATCCTCTTCATTTCTTAGCTTACCAGGCTTTAGCATTGACAGACCATACTATGCATAATGATGAACAAACAACTTAATATGCCACCATATTTGAGTGCTCAAAAAATGGATACCTATGTCTGGCTCAGCGAACAATGAATTACCTTGAGACTCATTCTTGAACATGTTTTTATGAATTTTTTATTATGATCTGGACTTTCTGTTGCAGCTTGTGTTTCTCAACTGTGATCGTTATGTAGAATTTCATGCACAGGTGAGTTCCTGTAACATGATCGACCTTCTGATGACTTGATGTAGTTGTACTTTTTGTGTTTTTTTTTGTGTTGTTGTTGTGCTACAACTTGGGAAGGCAATAGATTTACAAAGAAATTGTATAATGATCATGTTTTTCAAGTTTTCCAACTAAGTCCATACTTTTGCCATGATTTGCCATTATTTACCTTTAACCTACATAAATGTTTGCAACTAACTTCAATACATGCATCGAGCCACATTGAACTCCCATGCTTGTAACCTTTTTTGCATCATCTCATGGAAAATATCTCAGAAATGCTTTTTTACATTTTTCTTTGATAAATGCACACTCTTGATAAAATATGAGCAATTTATTTCAGAACTCAGTGATTGTTGATGTGCAGTTTTTTTACCTATGACTGTACTTATCTTTAATATAGTATGGCCGCTACTATAAAACACGGATACCAAAGTTTGGTCGTGATCTGGTCTATCATTACCCTTCATGTGATTTGTATTTGGTTGGAGAGAGGTGTGTAATTATTACCCTTCATGTGATTTGTATTTGGTTGGAGAGAGGTGTGTAATTATTACCCATTGTGTGATTTGTATTTGGTTGGAGAGTATGTAATTAGTACCTTTCATGTGATTTGTATTTGGTTGGAGAGAGGTGTGTAATTTTCAACAAATAGAGAGGCTGAGATTATACTTAAAATCTGTGCATTTGTTATTTTGTACAAAATTTCATGTAAGTAGTGTTGTTCCAGGCAAATATAGTCAGGCTAGAATTTAAGACTGCCTTGTGAGGCTTTAAGTTGTTGCTGATGATGATCAAATCAAGCACATTCATGTCTGCTATTCGAGGAACCCGTCTATTGTGATGGTTGAAGTTTAAGCATAACTGTCCGTTGTCCTGCAACTACCAAACACTTTAGTGTTTCCCTAGTATGGCTACGTTAAAATTTCGCTGTTGCTTTATTACAAAAGAAATACACAATTCTCCCGGACCCGGTGGATTAGGACTGAATTAAATAATACGGTGTATGTTCCTTACAGCTCGCGATGACTCACTCCGTTGTTCAAACATCACAAAGTAGCAGGATATTGTTGTTAAGATCTTTACAGGGAATACAGTAAAAGAATATTGTATTCGGTTATCAGTTATCTTTAGACATGTATGCCTTGTTCTGCTTATGTGTTTTATACAGTGTGTTTGTCACTGGCTAACTGTACAGCCTGTAGCCTGTAGTCTGTTTTGACCGTCTTTCATATTCGATATTTTCTCTAGTCCCGAAGTTTATCGACTGAACTTGGAACAAGGAAGGTTTCTCAATCCCTTGCAAACGGATTCCGAGTAAGTTGATAAAATTCCAGCTGGTCTTGCTTGTAAATATTTTAAGCTTTTGAAATGAGAGTGTATAATTGCCGAAGTACATTGTTAAATGATCATCAAGCGAGAAGAGTTGATCTTCCTGTTCGACTTTAAACAAAGAGATTTTAGACGTAGTCATTTTTTTCTCCGAAAATAGTTATGATAAAAATAGATATCGCTCTGGTCGAATGCTTATTGAGTAGTCTTTCTACATCATCATCGTTTCGGCTGCCGAAAACGTAAATAAGACAACGCCGATAACGATCTCGAACGGAAAGGTTTTTTCGCCAGATTATCGCTCGATGTTTTCCTCGTCTTCTTGAAGTTGTGGTCAAGTTTGAGTTTTTGTTCTGCTTATGACGATTTATGATAAACAAACAATTTCAGCTGATGTTTCTTTACGTTTAAAATCAATTTTGGGATTTTAAAATGAAATACTTCGAATTTTACAATCCCTAGCGTTTTTCGGCGTATGAACTTTTACATTACGTCTAACGTCTTCCTTAAAGGCACGTGCAAATAAGAATGATTTATAACTATTTGTCCACGTGAACAGTGAATGATTTTGTGTTCGGTAAGTCTTGCACGTGGTTTTGCATGCTCGGGTTCTGCGAATGCATTTTATGACGTATGCATATTTCCGTGCGTTTACTCACGGAAAGTACGGAATCGTTTTCATCGCTCCTTAAAAAATTAAGTTACATTGTCAAGCAAACTCCACCTGCTTTATCTTTGAAATCAAAAGTAGTTGTCTTGAGATTTAATTTGCGTGATATTTGCATCGCCAACGCACGCGGCGAAACGTTTGAACCCTCAGAGCGAAATCAAAGTTTCCTTTATTGGACTTGGAGTTTAAAGACCGGAATCTAACTACAAAGTCGCATCTTGTAAAGTTGTTTTGTTTCCTACGTGTATTTTTAGTTATATTTTAAGTGTTAAGACTCTTTGGAAGAGCCAACTTTTCACTTTTGTCTGTCGAGAAACTTCGAGTATGCCGATAGAACCGAACAGTTGGAATCTTCGAGTGCGTAGCATACAGAGGGCGACTGAAACTAGATTTTAATCCCAATGTTAACCAAACATGAATGATTCAACTAATTTGATTAAATTGCGCTTCAAATCGGACAGCAAACATCGTAATTTCCATGTTATACGCAGCTTTAGTGTGCAAATGTGGTAAAAATTTACTAATTTTTGTCACGCGAACCGGACTTGTGTACCGTCAGACATTGTGTGGCGTCAGTCAACCACGTGATATCAACGTGCGCTTGAGTTCTTGGGGCGATTTTCAAACGTACGTGTGTTTAAGCACACATGAAATTTAGTCGGAGAACATTGCTTCTTTGTCATGAAAGACGCAAGTAGCATGTGTAGAATCCGAATAGAATAAATATGAAATGATCTCGTTTTTTGAAAACCGTTTCTATCAGTTCCCTCAGAACCTTTTCTAGTAATGTTGTTTTGAAATATAAATGATTAAAAAATTTTCCTGCGCCACAGCATAAAGGTGTTCGCAGTGGGGATTTTATTGAAACCGCAAGTTTCCTCCTCAGTCACATGACGATAAAGTGTGTTTGCGTAGGATGAAGAACAAACTCCTTTTTTAGCAAGTTTTAACTAACCGTCCCCATTTCAATTTAATGCGTATTGTTTCCAAAGGTGAGGGGGGATAAAAGAACTCGTTAGTCTTTACTTCCACTTGCGAAAGCATTCGAAGGAACATTTCAGAAAATAGGACATACGCGTAAGACGCGCGCCGCGTACTTAGTGTAACTCCCCGTGTAATGGTTTTGTTCTATAAATATGATGTTTGGTTTTATTGTTTTTAGTTTTGGCGTGTCAATGTTTACTTTTTTTGTTTCTAGTTCCATTAATTGCTGTGATATCAATTTTGATCACCAACTTTTGGCCGTCGGAACATCTCAGGTATGTTGGCTCGCGAAACGTTTGACGTAATAGAGATTCGTTAATTGGATAAGGATCTTGGCCAATGAAATGTGCTGTTGAAACAATTTTGCTCACGTCCAATGCAAAGTCCATTTTAACGACAAAAAATGTTCAGTTGCATTGTTGACTTACACACGACATGATCACACGCCGCCTGTAGTATAAGGTCGTTTTTCAATTCTATTTTATGGAATTTCAATCAACAGTTTATGTGTTTGGGTGCCAGTGAGCAAGATCGCAGAATTGTGTTTTTGTGAAGAAAAAACATCTCAGTTGCAGTTGTTTTAATATAGCTACCTTTTCTAACTTTGAACTCGACTTTATCCAAAAATTACCCACTCAATGACTATTTTTTGAACTTTGACCATTTACTTGACATGAAAACGTAGCACGATGTTGTTGTGTCACAGCGGTTTGCCTTATTCACAGGGTCACGTGCAATGCTGGGATCCACGTTCGAGATCACGTGTGGGACAAGTTGATGTCGCTACGAACGAACTAGGAATAGAAAGGTGTGCTGTTAGTAAGCGTCGTGCAATTTCGTTTTTCTGCTTGATTATGTATTTCTGTTGGAAATATTTTTCGTTGTCTGCTCGCCTCTTGGTAGACTGAACGATTCGTTGCACAATAACATGCATGCTTGCATAATCGACATATTTTGGACTGTTTGGTTGAGGGAATGTAGTACAAACATCACATCCAAACACGTGTTTTGATATTGAAAATATTTCTTTTTCCAACACGTGATCCGATGCGTGCGCTCAATTAACGGTTTATCTTGTTTGAGCTACATGGACTGGACGTTGATACGCTTTACGATAGCACTATTTCTCGAATATACATACCAGAGTCTAACTAATTGTTAAAATTTTGTTTTTACGCTTCCTTTATGATTGTCTTCCGTGGTCTGTTTGAACTGATATAGATAGGTATTATTCACGTCATAATGTTTATCAACAAAATAAAACCGTGCTTTACGTTTAAGAAATCTAAGATGTTTGCTGTGTTTGAACAGGCTTATGCAAACCGGTGAGACCTTTAAAGAACTGGAGAGCAGATCAGTGCAAGCCAGAAACTGAGGGTCGAGAGTTCTCACAAATGCCTATGAGGTTTGCATAAGCCATTGGAAACACAAAAAATTTATTTCTTTTGTAAAATAACGATAATGCGACACAGATGAATTTAAAATAAGCGTTTTAATTTTTTCATGCAGCATGTTTTCATTGATTGATTTAATTGATTTAGCTCAGATCGTTTGCACAGGCTAATGCAAACTTGTTTTTGTAAAATGTATTGATGCTATAACTCAAGTCAGGTCCGGCAAAATGCTTATAGCCTAGGCCGGGGGGGGTATTATGATGTTTTCCCTGCACTTCAACTATTTTGCTCTACTACTTTAACTACTATTTTGCTGTACTACTTTAACAACTATTTTGTTGTACTACTTTAACTATTATTTTGCTGTACTACTTTAACTACTATTTTGCATTACTGCTTTAACTACTATTTTGCTGTACTACTTTAACAACTATTTTGCTGTGCTAATTTAACTACTATTTTGCTGTACCACTTTAACTACTATTTTGCTGTACTACTTTAACAACTATTTTGTTGTACTACTTTAACTATTATTTTGCTGTACTACTTTAACTACTATTTTGCTGTACTACTTTAACAACTATTTTGCTGTGCTAATTTAACTACTATTTTGCTGTACTACTTTAACTACTATTTTGCTGTACTGCTTTAACTACTATTTTACTGTTCTTCTTTAACTACTATTTTGCTGTACTACTTTAACTACTATTTTGCTGTACTACTTTAACTACTATTTTGCTGTACTGCTTTAACTACTATTTTACTGTTCTGCTTTAACTACTATTTTGCTGTACTACTTTAACAACTATTTTGCTGTGCTAATTTAATTACTATTTTGCTGTACTACTTTAACAAATATTTTCCTGTACTACTTTAACTACTATTTTGCTATACTACTTTAACTACTATTTTGCTGTACTACTTTAACAACTATTTTGCTGTACTACTTTAACAACTAATTTGCTGTACTACTTTTACTACTATTTTGCTGTACTAATTTAACAACTATTTTGCTGTACTACTTTAACTAATATTTTGCTGTACTACTTTAACAGCTAATTTGCTGTACTACTTTAACTACTATTTTGCTGTACTAATTTAACAACTATTTTGCTGTACTACTTTAACAAATATTTTCCTGTACTACTTTAACTACTATTTTGCTATACTACTTTAACTACTATTTTGCTGTACTACTATAACAACTATTTTGCTGTACTACTTTAACTACTATTTTGCTGTACTACTTTAACTACTATTTTGCTGTACTAATTTAACTACTATTTTGCTGTACTACTATAACAACTATTTTGCTGTACTACTTTAACTACTATTTTGCTGTACTACTTTAACTACTATTTTGCTGTACTACTTTAACTACTATTTTGCTGTACTAATTTAACTACTATTTTGCTGTACTACTATAACAACTATTTTGCTGTACTACTTTAACTACTATTTTGCTGTACTACTTTAACTACTATTTTGCTGTACTAATTTAACTACTATTTTGCTGTACTACTATAACTATTTTGCTGTACTACTTTAACTACTATTTTGCTGTACTACTTTAACTACTATTTTGCTGTACTACTTTACTATTTTGCTGTACTAATTTAACTACTATTTTGCTGTACTACTTTAACTACTATTTTGCTGTACTACTTTAACTACTATTTTCCTGTACTACTTTAACTACTATTTTGCTGTACTAATTTAACAACTATTTTGCTGTACTGCTTTAACTACTATTTTGCTGTACTACTTTAACAACTATTTTGCTGTACTACTTTAACAACTAATTTGCTGTACTACTTTTACTACTATTTTGCTGTACTAATTTAACAGCTATTTTGCTGTACTACTTTAACTAATATTTTGCTGTACTACTTTAACAGCTAATTTGCTGTACTACTTTAACTACTATTTTGCTGTACTAATTTAACAACTATTTTGCTGTACTACTTTAACAAATATTTTCCTGTACTACTTTAACTACTATTTTGCTATACTACTTTAACTACTATTTTGCTGTACTACTTTAACAACTATTTTGCTGTACTACTTTAACTACTATTTTGCTGTACTACTTAACTACTATTTTGCTGTACTACTTTAACTACTATTTTGCTGTACTACTTTAACTACTATTTTGCTGCACTACTTTAACTACTATTTTGCTGTACTAATTTAACAACTATTTTGCTGTACTACTTTAACCACTATTTTGCTGTACTACTTTAACTACTATTTTCCTGTACTACTTTAACCACTATTTTGCTGTACTACTTTAACTACTATTTTGCTGTACTACTTTAATTACTATTTTGCTGTACTACTTTAACAACTATTTTGCTGTACTACTTTAACTACTATTTTGCTGTACTACTTTAACAACTAGTTTGCTGTACTACTTTAACAACTATTTTGCTGTACTACTTTTACTATTATTTTGCTGTACTACTTTAATAACTATTTTGCTGTACTACTTTAACAACTATTTTGCTGTACTACTTTAACTACTATTTTGCTGTACCGCTTTAACTACTATTTTGCTGTACTACTTTAACAACTATTTTGCTGTACTGCTTTAACTACTATTTTGCTGTACTGCTATAACTTAACTTTTTGTTTCTTAGATAAAAGAATCACTCTAAAAACAGTTGTGTTAAAATAACGCACTATTTTCTCCCAAAAATCAACACATCTGGAGGTGTTGTGTGACGTATCTATAGGTGTTGTGTGACGTATCTATAGGTGTTGTGTGACGTATCTATAGGTGTTGTGTGACGTATCTATAGTTGTGTTTAGCTAGTCTTATGGGTGTGTATGACACTTTTCAAGGTGGATAAGAAAGTCCTTTCTAGCTGTATTGAACTCATGTATAAATTGTGCGCTTGTTTAATGTCACGTGTGACACACCTTGGCGTGGCTTATATTATATATCACATCTTGGTGTGTTGTATTACACACCTTGTGTGTTGTAGTTAAAACTGACCTTGCTTTTTTGTATGGCGCACTTATGTGTGTCGTATTACTCACCTTGATGTGTTGTATAACACAACTTGATACGTATGTCTTACATCCATTTCTTTTCTTTATTCGTTTACCTCACATTTCTATTTATTATTTATATATGTCCAGCAATTTTCCTGAAGTGACTGCCATAAAGTATTGCAATGGTTTGACATTAGGAGTGGGAACAAGCACTGGACATGTAAGTGAACTGAATTATCTAGTTGATCTCACCGTGAGAAAGGCCTGGAACTAGTTACAGTATATAAACCATTGTGCTTTATTTTTATTGATCTCACTGTGGAAAACACCTGGAACTAGCAATAGTATAGACACCATTGTGCTTTATTTTATTGTTCTCACTGTGAGAAAGGCCTGGAACTAGTTACATTATAGAAACCATTGTCCTTTATTTTATTGTTCTCACTGTGAGAAAGGCCTGGAACTAGTTACAGTATATAAAGCATTGTGCCTTGTTTTATTGTTCTCACCGTGAAAAAACACTTGGAACTAGTTACAGTATATAAACCATTGTCCTTTATTTTATTGTTCTCACTGTGAGAAAGGCCTGGAACTAGTTACAGTATATAAAGCATTGTGCCTTATTTTATTGTTCTCACCGTGAAAAAACACTTTGAACTAGTTACAGTATAGAAACCATTGTGCTTTATTTTATTGTTCTCACCGTGAGAAAGGCCTGGAACCAGTTACAGTATAGAAACCATTGTGCCTTATTTTATTGTTCTCACCGTGAGAAAGGCCTGGAACCAGTTACAGTATAGAAACCATTGTGCTTTATTTTATTGTTCTCACCGTGAGAAAGGCCTGGAACCAGTTACAGTATAGAAACCATTGTGCTTTATTTTATTGGTATCACCGTGAGAAAGGCCTGGAACCAGTTACAGTATAGAAGCCATTGTGCTTTATTTTATTGGTATCACCGTGAGAAAGGCCTGGAACCAGTTACAGTATAGAAACCATTGTGCTTTATTTTATTGTTCTCACCGTGAGAAAGGCCTGGAACCAGTTACAGTATAGAAACCATTGTGCTTTATTTTATTGGTATCACCGTGAGAAAGGCCTGGAACCAGTTACAGTATAGAAACCATTGTGCTTTATTTTATTGTTCTCACCGTGAGAAAGGCCTGGAACCAGTTACAGTATAGAAACCATTGTGCCTTATTTTATTGTTCTCACCGTGAGAAAGGCCTGGAACCAGTTACAGTATAGAAACCATTGTGCTTTATTTTATTGTTCTCACCGTGAGAAAGGCCTGGAACCAGTTACAGTATAGAAACTATTTTGCTTTATTTTATTGGTATCACCGTGAGAAAGGCCTGGAACCAGTTACAGTATAGAAACCATTGTGCTTTAATTTTATTGTTCTCACCGTGAGAAAGGCCTGGAACCAGTTACAGTATAGAAACCATTGTGCTTTATTTTATTGTTCTCACCGTGAGAAAGGCCTGGAACCAGTTACAGTATAGAAACCATTGTGCTTTATTTTATTGTTCTCACCGTGAGAAAGGCCTGGAACCAGTTACAGTATAGAAACCATTGTGCTTTATTTTATTGTTCTCACCGTGAGAAAGGCCTGGAACCATTTACAGTATAGAAACCATTGTGCTTTATTTTATTGTTCTCACCGTGAGAAAGGCCTGGAACCAGTTACAGTATAGAAACCATTGTGCTTTATTTTATTGGTATCACCGTGAGAAAGGCCTGGAACCAGTTACTGTATAGAAACCATTGTGCTTTATTTTATTGTTCTCACCGTGAGAAAGGCCTGGAACCAGTTACAGTATAGAAACCATTGTGCTTTATTTTATTGTTCTCACCGTGAGAAAGGCCTGGAACCATTTACAGTATAGAAACCATTGTGCTTTATTTTATTGTTCTCACCGTGAGAAAGGCCTGGAACCAGTTACAGTATAGAAACCATTGTGCTTTATTTTATTGGTATCACCGTGAGAAAGGCCTGGAACCAGTTACTGTATAGAAACCATTGTGCTTTATTTTATTGTTCTCACCGTGAGAAAGGCCTGGAACCAGTTACAGTATAGAAACCATTGTGCTTTATTTTATTGTTCTCACCGTGAGAAAGGCCTGGAACCAGTTACAGTATAGAAACCATTGTGCTTTATTTTATTGGTATCACCGTGAGAAAGGCCTGGAACCAGTTACTGTATAGAAACCATTGTGCTTTATTTTATTGTTCTCACCGTGAGAAAGGCCTGGAACCAGTTACAGTATAGAAACCATTGTGCTTTATTTTATTGTTCTCACTGTGAGAAAGGCCTGGAACTAGTTACAGTATATAAAGCATTGTGCCTTATTTTATTGTTCTCACCGTGAAAAAACACTTTGAACTAGTTACAGTATAGAAACCATTGTGCTTTATTTTATTGTTCTCACCGTGAGAAAGGCCTGGAACCATTTACAGTATAGAAACCATTGTGCTTTATTTTATTGTTCTCACCGTGAGAAAGGCCTGGAACCAGTTACAGTATAGAAACCATTGTGCTTTATTTTATTGTTCTCACCGTGAGAAAGGCCTGGAACCAGTTACAGTATAGAAACCATTGTGCTTTATTTTATTGGTATCACCGTGAGAAAGGCCTGGAACCAGTTACTGTATAGAAACCATTGTGCTTTATTTTATTGTTCTCACCGTGAGAAAGGCCTGGAACCAGTTACAGTATAGAAACCATTGTGCTTTATTTTATTGTTCTCACCGTGAGAAAGGCCTGGAACCAGTTACAGTATAGAAACCATTGTGCTTTATTTTATTGGTATCACCGTGAGAAAGGCCTGGAACCAGTTACTGTATAGAAACCATTGTGCTTTATTTTATTGTTCTCACCGTGAGAAAGGCCTGGAACCAGTTAGAGTATAGAAACCATTGTGCTTTATTTTATTGGTATCACCGTGAGAAAGGCCTGGAACCAGTTACAGTATAGAAACCATTGTGCTTTATTTTATTGTTCTCACCGTGAGAAAGGCCTGGAACCAGTTACTGTATAGAAACCATTGTGCTTTATTTTATCGGCTTTCTTTATACGTACCGTATAAAACTGTCTGAAATTCTGTTATCACATTAAAACTTTGACTTTTAACGGATAGTATTTTATCTTTGTTAACTTTTGATATCGTGATTCGTGTTAACATCTTTTTAGGTATTACTCTACGATATTCGTTCGGATAAACCATTTCTGATTAAAGATCATCAATACGGACTTCCCGTGAACAGCTTGGCATTTCAGAATGACAGCAATTTGGTCATGTCTGCCGACTCGAAAATTGTGAAAATTTGGCATCGTGATTCGGTGAGGCCATGCATTGGGTGGCAAAAAGCCCGGCTATTTCAAATCCCGTGTGTGGGAATTCGTATTTTTATCATTTCCACGATTGTGCGCAGTCTAGTGCACTTAACGGTCTTTTTGTCCTAGGGCAAACCTTTTACGGCAGTAGAGCCTGGAACAAACATCAATAATCTTTGTGCTTATCCAAATTCAGGTTGTATTTTGTTGTTATTGTGTGTCATTTCTATCTTCAATCTTACCCCGAAAATCTATCAGTTAAGCTGTTGTTGTAAAATACGACAAATTTTTGTGTATGCAAGTTTTGTAAAAAAAAGACAAATTTTTGTGTGACAATTTTTACGCGATTTAATTTTTCCTATTCAACAAAGTTACAGAGAATTTGTTTCATTTGCATTCATCACACATACTAGAACTTTATGTAAGTTTCATTGAAGTTTTTAATGTATTTATACAGGATTGTTGTTCATGGCGACTGAAGCACAAAAAATGCTTATCTATTATATTCCGGTATGTACCTACTGTCGTAATGTTAACTTAACTTTGCTGGCTTTAGACATTCTCTTTTGTGCATGTGATTGGATTGAATTGTTGTCGTAATGTTTTGGGAAAATTTTATATAATTGCAATCACTCAAGTTTCACCACTGTTCACGACCAGCCATTGAAATCATTCTATGAAATGTCCTCGTAAAAGTATCGCTCTGTTGAACGTTTTTCTTGTGTATGTATTTATTCATTTTTACTTCGTTTTTTGTAGTCGTTGGGACCGGCTCCTCGATGGTGTTCTTTTCTTGACAGCTTGACTGAAGAACTCGAAGAGGACGCACAACCTGTTGGTACGTTGCATAAACTTGTTGTTTTTTACAACCTGCTAGTATTAAATGAAGATATGATCTTCGCACTTTGCTGGACAATTTAAGCAATTGTCTCATGAACCTGAAAAATTCAGGTGACTCAACGGGATGTCCAGAGCACAGCACCGGCACCGCAGAGGTCATGGGTTAGAATCCCGTTGAGTCACCTGAATTTTCATGGTTCGAAGATCATATCTTCATTTAATTTCAAAACACCGCACTGCATATAACAAACCTGCTAGTATGTTGCATAAACTTATTTTTACAACCTGTCTGTACGTTCTTTATAAACTTGTTGTTTTTTAACCTATTTGTACGTTCTTTATAAACTTGTTGTTTTTATAACCTGTTTTTACGTTCTTTATAAACTTGTTTTTTTTATAACCTGTTTGTACGCTCTTTATAAACTTGTTGTTTTTATAAACTGTTTGTACGTTCTTTATAAACTTGTTGTTTTTATAACCTGTTTGTACGTTCTTTATAAACTTATTTTTATAAACTGTTTGTACGCTCTTTATAAACTTGTTGTTTTTATGAACTGTTTGTACGTTCTTTATAAACTTGTTGTTTTTATAAACTGTAGAAAATGGTCCAAATAATAACGTAATATTTATTGTTTTGACCATTCACAATGATATTTGCTCTTTTTGAAACTATTTTTTTATTTGCAACCACCGACAACGTCTCTATTTTACAACTTGTAAATTGTACTAAACTAGCGCGATGATTTATGTACATTGAACACAGATGCCGCTTTCATTTTTCCTAGTGTATGATGATTATAAGTTTGTTACGAAGCAAGACTTGACGAACATAGGTTTGTCGCACTTGATTGGTACAAACCTCCTTCGTGCTTACATGCATGGATTTTTCATCGACATCCAGTTGTATCATAAGGTAAAGCTCGAATGACTGTGTTAATGGCATAGCTAGCCCGTAGCTTTGGTCGCGCTATGCAACCACTCACTGTTAAAACAATAAATTTCTAAAGCATTATATATCGTATTGTATTGTATATGAGATATTGATTTTGCAGTCAAAGACTGAATTACATGAGTTACAATTTTTAACAGGAAGTAATGAGATATGATATATATCAATATCAAAATATCAAATGGCAAGAGAAGAAGTAACTTCTCAATAAGTCAACTCTTTTAGGGTTTGTCCCTTTAATTTGTCATCGCCTTCATAATGCTATTGATCTAAAATTTACGTAGCAAGACCAAACGTACGGGCTGGAGCAACAAGTTATCGTAACACCCGCTACTAAAACCAGTAACAGTCGTAATACCCGCTCCTTAAGCCATTAACAGTCGTAACACCCCCTCCTAAAGCCAATAACAGACGTAACACCCGCTCCTAAAGCCAATAACTGTCGTAACAACCTCTCCTAAAGCCAATAACTGTCGTAACACCCACTCCTCAAGCCCATAACAGTCGTAACACCCGCTCCTGAAGCCAATAAAAGTCGTAACACTCGCTCCTGAAGCCCATAACAGTCGTAACACCCGCTCCTGAAGCCAATAAAAGTCGTAACACTCGCTCCTGAAGCCAATAACAGTCGTAACACCCGCTCCTAAAGCCAATAACAGTCGAAAAACATCATTAGGTCTACGCCAATAAAATCTTGACGATGTCATTATGTATTTTCAAGGCAAAATCCATCTCGGAACCGTTTGCCTACGAAGAGTATCGTAAAAATCTGATCAAAAAGAAAATCGAAGAGGAACGAGGGAATCGAGTGATGGCCAAGGTTTTTTATTCGTTTGAAATTCTTTTCGAATCGCTTGGATTTCAATGGTATTTATGGAAGTTGCATAACGAGTGATTTTGACTTGTTTCTTAACTCTAGAAATTACCTAAAGTCAACAGACAACTGGCTGAAAAGTTATTGGATGATGCCAACGACGGGAAAAATATTGGCAAAGTAAAATAAATTTTTGTTTCCATTTTGCTTTCTATAAGGCTTTTTTTGAGAACTTGTTTTCCTCATTCACATGGGAAACATTCGCATCTCATATTTTTTGTAGCGATTTTTGCATTTTTCTCTCCTGAATACCTTTGCACAATGTTCATGTTTATACTAATGAATACCTTTGCACAATGTTCATGTTTATACACATGAATACCTTTGGACAATGTTCATGTTTATACTCATGAATACCTTTGGACTATGTTCATGTTTATATTCATGAGTACCTTTAGACAATGTTCATGTTTATACTGATGAATACCTTTGGACAATGTTCATGTTTATACTCATGAATACCTTTGGACAATGTTCATGTTTATACTCATGAATACCTTTGGACAATGTTCATGTTTATACTCATGAATACCTTTGGACAATGTTCATGTTTATACTCATGAATACCTTTGGACAATGTTCATGTTTATAGTCATGAATACCTTTAGACAATGTTCATGTTTATACTATTGAATACCTTTGGACTATGTTCATGTTTATATTATGAGTACCTTTAGACAATGTTCATGTTTATACTGATGAATACCTTTGGACAATGTTCATGTTTATACTCATGAATACCTTTGGACAAAGTTCATGTTTATACTGATGAATACCTTTGGACAATGTTCATGTTTATACTCATGAATACTTTTAGACAATGTTCATGTTTATACTGATGAATACCTTTGGACAATGTTCATGTTTATACTCATGAATACCTTTGGATAATGTTCATGTTTATACTCATGAGTACCTTTAGACAATGTTCATGTTTATACTGATTAAACAACTTGCAGCTCATCATGTACAGCATTTTAAAAGAGTTGCATGTCTTCTAAGACTTCCCTGCACTTGAAGTCCGGAATTTTCAAACATATTCCTGGAGCCGGTTGCACGAAGCCAGGATAGCGTTATCCATTGGATAGCAATTTTTTAAGCTTTTATAAAACCTTTTAAAAAGCAAAAAGTATAAGATCCGAACTGAACAATCACTGAAATAAAACATTGTTTCGAAGATTACGACATTTCTTTGTCGTAAGAAAAATATAAACACCTTTTCTACAAGTTTAAATTTTTTGCTGTACAATGGATAACGCTATCCAGGCTTTGTGCAACCCCCTGATTTTTAACGAGCTAGTACAAAAAAGTATATATATCACGCTTGTCGAGCTAGTCGATTTTTTAACAAGTTAATATTTGGTGTTCATGTCGTAAAATGTGGTTGTTTAACTTGTTTTTAAATTGACCTTAGGTTGACGTCAGCAATCCTCTGGGCGATGATCGCTTTGCCGCGATTTTTACAAACCCTGATTTTGAAGTTGACGAAAGCAGTGAGGTACGTATGAATGTATTTTCTGTTTTTTTCTTATGTATGTTATGTGTCTCTGAAACGATTTGCTTTTATGTGTTCATTTCTTTATTTTCAAGCAATATCAACTTCTACATCCGATAACTTCCAAGAAAGAAAAGGAAAGAAAACAAAGACAAGAGGAAATGAAGCAGAAGCTTGAAAACTTCAACGAAATATCCGTGAGCATTGTTTGTTCTTTCTTGTCTGATGTCTTTATCATGCGCGTATCATACGCAAAAAAGTGTTAAGATATACCGTGAGCGGTACTGTAGTTAATGTTGAAAATGGAGTATTCGGTATTCTACTCATGATCTGATGTTGAAACTTGAGTTCTTATACACTCCAGTCTAGTGTCTTTATCAGGAGTGATCTGATATTGAAATTTGAGTTCTTATACACTCCAGTCTAGTGTCTTCATCAGGAGTGATCTGATGTTGAAACTTGAGTCCTTATACACTCCAGTCTAGTGTCTTCATCAGGAGTGATCTGATGTTGAAATTTGAGTTCTTATACACTCCAGTCTAGTGTCTTCATCAGGAGTGATCTGATATTGAAATTTGAGTTCTTATACACGTCAGTCTAGTGTCTTCATATGGAGTGATCTGATGTTGAAACTTGAGTTCTTATACACTCCAGTCTAGTGTCTTCATCAGGAGTGATCTGATGTTGAAACTTGAGTTCTTATATACTCCAGTCTAGTGTCTTCATCAGGAGTAATCTGATGTTGAAACTTGAGTTCTTATACACTCCAGTCTAGTGTCTTCATCAAGAGTGATCTGATGTTTAAACTTGAGTACTTATATACTCCAGTCTAGTGTCTTCATCAAGAGTGATCTGATGTTGAAACTTGAGTTGTTATACACTCCAGTCTAGTGTCTTCATCAGGAGTGGTCTGATGTCGAAACTTGAGTCCTTGTATACTTCATGATTGTATACTTGTGTTTCAGGATGGAGAGGTTGAAGGCGTGGCAAGCGATGATAATGAGTCGAGCTCCGACGACGATGACTATATATGGAGACAGGAATACAAAAAACGGCAAAGGGAAACGAAAGTATCTCGTCAACAGCCAAAGTTTTACGAATTAAAAAATGGAGAAGAGTTCAGTGCATCCAACATGAAAGAAAACATGCAAGAAAAGCGAAAGAAAACGTAAACGTTTTGTTTTGTAAAAAACATTTTGTGTTGTAAATGTTGAGTAACGTGTTTTCATCTCAGCCGATTCCCATTGTGGACGTTTTTCGCAACGAAATACGTGTTCTTTATGATGATTATTTGCGTTTTAGTGTGGCCCTCGGAGAGCGGCTGGATGAAGGACTGGATACGAGTATCATTAGGTCTGGTGGATCGAAACTTGGCAGTAAAGAAATAGTATTCAAAGTTAACAAGGTAGTCATATTTTCGCTGCTCTTTTAGTAATGGTGGGACACATGCTTTCACATTGAGTCTGTAATGTACATGTAACATTTACTGATTGAAGTAGCTCTTTGGTAACTCGTCGTGGGTAACTAGATTGAAGTAGCTCTTTTGTTACTCGTCGTTGTTAACTAGATTGAAGTAGCTTTTTGGTAACTCGTCGTGGGTAACTATATTGAAGTAGCTCTTTGGTAACTCGTCGTTGTTAACTAGATTGAAGTAGCTGTTTGGTAACTCGTCGTGGGTAACTAGATTGAAGTAGCTCTTTGGTAACTCGTCGTTGTTAACTAGATTAAAGTAGCTCTTTGGTAACTCGTCGTTGTTAACTAGATTGAAGTAGCTCTTTGGTAACTCGTCGTGGGTAACTAGATTGAAGTAGCTCTTTGATAACTCGTCGTTGTTAACTAGATTAAAGTAGCTCTTTGGTAACTCGTCGTTGTTAACTAGATTGAAGTAGCTCTTTGGTAACTCGTCGTTGTTAACTAGATTGAAGTAGCTCTTTGGTAACTCGTCGTTGTTAACTAGATTGAAGTAGCTCTTTGGTAACTCGTCGTTGTTAACTAGATTGAAGTAGCTCTTTGGTAACTCGTCGTGGGTAACTAGATTGAAGTAGCTCTTTGGTAACTCGTCGTGGGGGTAACTAGATTGAAGTAGCTCTTTGGTAACTCGTCGTGGGTAACTAGATTGAAGTAGCTCGTTGGTAACTCGTCGTTAGTTTGTCAATGCAGTTAAAACATTGGTAGACCCATTCCTAATATGTTGTGAACGCAAAACAAAGAAAAGCAGTTACAAAATATTTATTGTATCGACAAATTATCCAAGAGTTATTAACGAGTTACCTCTACGTACCTGCTCATTTTTGTCTATTTTTGTATTTACTATTTGTCTATTTTTTGTCAACTTTTCTTTCTTGTTTTGTTTTGCGTCTTTTTTTTTGGTCTTCTTTGTGTCTACACCATATTTTAATGGCTTTGCTATAGTATTAACTGTGAGAACTTCTTATGTGCGAGTTACCAACAAGTTACTTCAACCTATCTACTTTAGTGTTTACTTTTGTTTCTGCTTTTGTATTCAATTTTTTTTTTGTACAATTTGTCTTTTCTTTTGTTTCTACACTTGTGTCTACTACTCCAACAAATTACTTCAAACTACCTGCTGTATTGTCTAATTTTGTTTTTATTTTTGTGTCTGCTTCTATATTTACGTTAGTGTATAATTTGTTTCGACTTTTTTTCTTCTGTTGTGTCTTTTGAGTGTGAACAATGGTAGTAAGAGGTATATCATGGTAGCTACTGCCATTAATCCAGATCCTGAATGGAGCTGCCCAATTTCCTATTTCAACCTCTGCGTCAAGAACTCTATTTCAATGTTTCCTTTTTGCAGAGTCAACGCGAGATTGCACAAGATGACGCCGCAAAGGCTCACAGGAAAGAGAGACAAAAAGTTCGTCGGTCTGCCAAATCGATTATGCCCAAAGAAAAGCGAGCGGTGTACTGGAGGGGAAGAAGGGTGAGATAATGTAAATACGACGTCATATATTCAATGTGAATATGACGTCATACAGTTAATGTGAATATGACGTCATATAGTTGATGTGAATATGACGTCGTTTAGTTGACATGAATATGACGTCATGTAGTAAATGTGAACATGTTATCGAAGTTAACTTCACGATGACATCATCGGAATATGTCGTGACAATACCACAACCATTTCAATTAACTCGAAGCTGATGGTTGGGGAGGGGCGGTCTAGAGTATGTCAGTATACCTAGAAGATAATGCTAAACCCAGCACTCTTTTTATCAATCATTGTACAATGTACACGGTGCTTGTCAGGATCTCTTTCATTTCAACGTTATTACATGTTTTCCATTAATAACAGTTGAATTTCGTATTTTATTCATTTTATTTCTGCCCCAAATCTTTATTAGAGCTGATCTGATGTTGAAATTCTTATCAAACTATAGTCTAAATGTCTTCGTCAAATCTTGCCCCGTCCTCCTGCCTGCCTATTTCATCTTTCTCACATTACCCTTTGCTTTGAATAGTTAATCAAAAAGTGTAATCTGTTAGAGAGGGGAGGGTTTGAATAGCTGGTGTTACTCAAATCCAAAGGAGCAGCCACTTTATAAAAGCATTGCCATGGTAGATTTGATGCACTAAGGCAGAGCCCTCTATAGTATAAGAGTTGGGACAAACGGTCTGGGGCGAGCGCGGAGCCGCCATTTTGGTTCCTACTTGCAAAGTGAAACTATAATAATACTATTGGAAATTGGGTTTATATGCAAAAGAAGAAAGCAATTTAAGCTTATTCCATGGTAGTATCAAATACATTAGGAATAATAGCAAGCTCTTTGCGTTTTTTTAACGATTTGCGGCAGACCTGATTTAATTTCATTGGTTTGAGCTTCGTTTGCGGTTTACTAGTTGGTGCTTCAAATTGATCGTGACCCATTGTAAGAAGTATTTTTCGTACGTGAACGTGTTTTCTCGGCTTATGTTCCGACTCTGTAACAAGTTTTCAAGATCTTTAAGCTTGGTGGCAAGCGGCAATGTTATCCTGGCATCAGTGTTATCAAATACTTGGACAAGACTTTGTTCGAAACTTCGAATCATAGTAATCATGCAGATTTGGTCCGGAGAGATTTGTGTTCAAGATTTGTAACAATTTAATGGTAGTGAGTGATTTATGCCCCCCCAATTTAATCCAAACATGATATTTTTTATTCTGAAAGATCACAATTTTCTTGCTCAGCAGAAAATGACAGACTTTTTTACTTTTTAGTTATTGAAATATGCAATGATTTGACCAAGATGCATTTGACCTTAAACGTTTTATTCCTTTATATGAAGTTATTTCGCCTTTATCACTTTATTAAGTATTAAAGTTTATTTCTAATAAAGTTTGTTAGGGATTCTGCTGAAAATTTTGGTGAAGCATTTCTTTAAAATGAATATATTATTTCTATAATATGAAACATTTCTGTTGTTGAAGAACAGTCTGTTTGCTATAAATGCTACTGTTTGTAGTCTTTTATACAGCATATGAGTCTGATCCAATCTTTAATTTAGCAAAGAGTTAAATTTATTGGTTGAGGAATGACAAAACTTCTATATGTGTTTAATGATCAAACAGGGGTGTGTTGGAGGGAGCTCAGCCCCGTTTGTTTAAATTGTATGCCTTGTATTGCCAGTGAAATATATATATCAAAAAGCTAGCAGCACCTAAATATATATCAGAAAGCCAGCAATATTTTAATATACATTAAAAAGCCCAAATAGCTGAAATTATGGAGATATGCCTCTGTGATCTTATAAACCAAAACCTACAATTAAAATATCAACAAGTCTAGAAGAGAAGTAATGTTCTACTTTGAGCTACAGAAGTAGGGTACATTTGTACAATTCAATACCAAAAATATAATGTACTCAGCTGTTTCATTGAATATCCTAATTATAATTACTTCATTTTTAAATGATGAACTAAAAATACAAAATACAACATGGAAAATCATAAGAGTTTCTGTGATTTGGTGTAGTTGTTTTAGTATGGAAGTGACTGAGAATTGAGAGGTTTGTAGATTGACCAATTTCAGAACATAATGAGAAATCATCTTCGATTAAAAAACAAGCTTTGGAGTAAGAAAACTATTGAAACTGCATCAGCACGAACTTTGCAATGTTATTTGGCCCAAAATGTTTCTCTACTTGAGTCAGTTAATTGAACCTTATATCAAAAGCAGTTCAGCACAACAATCACCATACGCAATCAAATTTCGTAAGTTCGACGTAAAGGCATTTCTTTCATTTTTTTCGTAATCCTCGATTTATGCGATATGTAATGACATTTAGTAGCCTTCAACAATCAGTTATTACACACTTATCCATGAAAAAACGCAATATTATCTCAAAATACTGTATTACTAGCAGCAATTGCTATATAAACACAAGCTAAAATTTCAAAACTAGGAACCAAAATGGCGGAAATTGATCAGGTGATCAATATTGCCCAATCAACGTAAGCTAAACGGATAACAATAGATGTCCCAACTCTTATAACTCAGGGCTCTGCACTAAGGTACCCTCATTGCTCTGCACATGCGCATCAATGTTAAGTATGCCTGTTTCGTGACGACATTTGAGGTCGACGTTTGCTTTTGACTACGACGAGAAATCATGTCGTTCTCATGAAGTTTTGTATTTGTACTGTGTGCAGGACACTTCAGGACTTTGGAAAATGGTCGATAACGTTAAATTCATTTTCTTCGTTTAACGACTACTGTAATGGATTCATGAGAAATATTTAACTTCAAGAACACATAGTCAAATTTATATCGTCGCAATAGATATGAGCAGAAAGTTTGGCCGCTTTTTTGATCCACGGGACTCGAAGAGACCAGAAAGAATTTCGCTCGCTTATGGCGAATGCACCGAAGTCCCTCATCGTTTTGTTGAAAAATACGGCGACTCGGCGACCGAACTTGACCTGAGTTATAACAAGTTCTTGTATCTTTTCAAAAGGCTTTGTTAGATTTTCAAAAGGCTTTGTTACATGAATAGATTGAAGAAAATTATAAGGAACATTGTTGTTAGGCATTTAAAATACACAACAATTTTAATATTATATGAAAGATTGTTATATGCAGTGCGGTGTTTTGAAATTAAATGAAGATATGATCTTCGCACTTTGCTGGACAATTTAAGCAATTGTCTTATGAACCTGAAAAATTCAGGTGACTCAACAGGATCATCCCGTTGAGTCACCTGAATTTTTCAGGTTCATGAGACAATTGCTTAAATTGTCCAGCAAAGTGCGAAGATCATATCTTCATTTCAATTTAATATTATAATCATGTTTCGACTTAACAATAATTCATTTTCCGCATATGAATGAAGCATAAAAATATTTACAGTGTAAAATATCTAATAGGATTTATGATTTTAATTTTGTATTATTTCATATGATAATCTATGGTGTATTTAACACTGTAAATTAAACAACATATTAGATATTTATATACTGAAGGTGACTTAATAATAAGTTAAAACATGTTTGTATTAAAAAAATTTGTTGTTTATTTTAAATGTCTAATTAATCTGGTTTGGTTGTACATAAATTTTTCGCTTTTACAATTTTTAAGCTATTACCATTTACAGTGTTTCCATGATTTCTTAGTAGTCGTGAGGCATTTGGAATAAACAATAAGTTTTTTATTTAAAATGTCTAATGACCCTTGTGCTGCTACAACATGGAAACATTGCTTACAAACTGGCACATAAATACGAGGGAAACATTACCCTTTAATGGTGACATTGGCAGGAGTAAAACAATTCCATCCACATCTCAATAATATTCTCCTCAAATTTATAGTCTTTATTTGTACAAATTAAAAAGTGAATTACTATAGTATTCAAGGCTCCCCTTCTCATAAAACCTTATGAACATATAAGACAATTTGAAGTTCCAGGCTTACTTCATGTTTTCCTTAACCATGCCTTCAGCGACATGAAGTCACTAAGTGGCTTTATCAAACTAAACACGATCATTTTAGACCACAATTTGCTATCAGCAAGGACAACCTTTCCTGCTTTGGACACAGTAGAGATTTTATGGGTCAACCATAATCAAATCACAAATCTTAGTATTTTTATCGAAACTATCTCCAAGAGCTATCCAAATTTGAGATACCTAAGCATGATCAACAACAAGGCATCGCCAAGTTATTTTAATGGTGGAACTTACAGTTTATACAAAGACTACAGGTAGCCATCGTGCTTAATTCACAGTCTGCTTGGCAATATCTGCTGTCATGGAATAATTGGCTCAATTGATTATTTTTATATATCACATTAAGTATTATTCTTGGTACACTTATAGCAAGACAATGATTGCATCTATGTAGAATTATATAAAATATGTTAGGAAAAAGTCAATAAGCAAGGTTTAAACTTGGTTTTTACGCTGGAACATTGTATTTTCGACTGCACTAACAAGGATGATCTACATCTACAAAGATTAATTGACTTACCATTCATTAAGATGCTGATATAACTGTAGCATGTAAATCGGATGTAGTTTTGCAAAAGAAATAAGTCATCTACTTCATCACTTGGAATGTGTTTACTTTTAGGATGTGTTTTTATATTGCTGATGTAACTGACTTATTTACATTGCAGGCATTTTGTTATCAGTTCCTTTGAGAAACTTGAAGTTTTGGATGGGATAGCAGTGACTGCCCAGGAACGTCGAGAAGCTATGAAAGTCTACGGAAAGCGGAGACAAATGAGAAAAAAAGGGCAAATACATAGCAACAGAACATTATGAACATCGTATGGGGAGAAATATATTGCATTTTTAAACAGAAAAGATTCATCTATATATAATTAAAGGATGATAGCAGTAGCAAGTAAAATGACTTCATTTAAACAGAAAGGATTCATCTATATATAAATAAAGGATGATAGCAGCAGCAAGTAAAATAGTCTTTGCATTTTCACACTCTTTCACGACAAAGACTATAGTTTTTTCATTTTCACACATTTTCATGCCAAAGACTATAGTCTTTACCTTTTCACACATTTCATGCCAAAGACTATGGTCTTTACATTTTCACACATTTACATGCCAAGGACTATAGTCTTTACATTTTATCACATTTTCATCCAAAAAGACTATAGTCTTTCAATTTTCACACATTTTCATGCCAAGGACTATAGTCATCACATTTTCACGCCAATGACTACACTCTTTACATTTTCACACATTTTCATGCCAAAGACTGTAGTCTGCATTTTTACACATTTTCATGCCAAAGACTATAGTCTGCATTTTTACACATTTACATGCCAAAGACTATAGTCTTTACATTTTCACACATTTTTATGGCAAAAGACTATAGCCCTTAAATTTTCACACATTTTCATGCCAAAGATATTAGTCTTTGCATTTTCACACATTTTCATGCCAAAGACTACAGTCTTTACATTTTCACACATTTTCATGCCAAAGACTATATCCTTTGCATTTTCACACATTTTCATGCTAAAGACTATAGTCTTTGCATTTTCACACATTTTCATGCCAAAGACTATGATCTTTACATTTTCACACATTTTCATGCCAAAGACTATAGTCTTTGCATTTTCAACCATTTACATACCAAAGACTATAGTCTTTGAATTTTCACACATTTTCGTGCCAAAGACTATAGTCTTTACATTTTCACACATTTACCAACCAAAGACTACAGTCAATGCATATAACAATCTTTCATATTACATTCCTTTAACGGGAAAACATTAGCGCAACATATTGGCCTGCTCTCCACTATGTGACTTCATAGCTCAGTTGGTTAGAGCACTGCACCGGCACCGCAAAGGTCATAGGTTTGAATCCAGTTGAGTCACCTGTATTTTTTAGGTTAATCAGACAATTGCTTAAATTGTCCAGCAAAGTGCGAAGATCATATCTTCATTCAACTATAGTCTTTGTCGTGAAAGAGTGTGAAAAGCAAAGAATATAGTTTTTGGTGTCAAAGTGTGTGAAAATGCAAAGATGTGAAAATGCAAAGACTATAGTCTGTGGCGTAAAAATGTGTGAAAATGCAAACACTATAGTCTTTGTAATGAAAATGTGCGAAAATGCAAAGACTATAGTCTTTGTCGTGAAAGTGTTTGAAAATGCTAAGACTATAATCTTTGTCATAAAGTGTGTTAAAAGTGCAAAGTCTATAGTCTTTGACATGAAAATAAAGACTATAGTCTTAGCATGAAAATGTATGAAAAACAAAGACTATAGTCTTTGGCATGTAAATGTGTGAAAATGAAAAGACTATAGTCTTTGGTATGTAAATGTGTGAAGATAAAAAACTATAGTCGTTGACATGAAAATAGGTGAAAATGCAAGGATGGTAGTCTGCATGAAAGTGTGTGAAAATTCAAAGACTATAGTCTTTGGTATGAAAATGTGTTAAAATGCGAAGGCTATAGTCTTTGGCATGAAAATGTGTGAAAATGCAAAGACTATAGCCTTTATTATGAAAATGTGTGAAAATGCAATGACTATAGTCTTTGGCATGAAAATATGTGAAAATACGAAGACTATAAGACTCTTTGGCGTGAAAGTGTGTGAAAAGGCGAAGACGATAGTCTTTGGCGTAAAAGTGTGTGAAAATTAAAGACGATAGCCTATTGCGTGAAAGTGTGTTAAAATGCAAAGACTATAGTCTTTGATGTGAATGTGATAATGCAAGACTATAGTCTTTGCTGTGAAAATGTGTGAAAATGCAAAGACTATAGTCTAAGGTATGTAAATGTGTGAAGGTACAAAGACTATAGTCTTTGACATGAAAATGTGTGAAAATGCAAAAACTATGGTCTTTGGCATGAAAATGTGTGAAAATACAAAGACTATAGTCTTTGGTACGAAAATTTGTGAAGATGCAAAGACTATAGTCTTTGGCATAAAATAGTGTAAAAATGCAAGCATGGTAGTCTTTGCATGAAAGTGTGTAAAAATTCAAAGACTATATTGTTTAGTGTCAAAATGTGTGAAAATGCAAAGAGTATAGTTTTTAGTGTCAAAATGTGTAAAAATACAAAGACTATAGTCTTTGGCATGAAAATATGTGAAAATACGAAGACTATACTCTTTGGCGTGAAAGTGTGTGAAAAGGCGAAGACGATAGTCTTTGGCGTAAAAGTGTGTGAAAATTAAAGACGATAGCCTATTGCGTGAAAGTGTGTTAAAATGCAAAGACTATAGTCTTTGATGTGAATGTGTGTGATAATGCAGACTATAGTCTTTGCTGTGAAAATGTGTGAAAATGCAAAGACTATAGTCTAAGGTATGTAAATGTGTGAAGATACAAAGACTATAGTCTTTGACATGAAAATGTGTGAAAATGCAAAGACTATGGTCTTTGGCATGAAAATGTGTGAAAATACAAAGACTATAGTCTTTGGTACGAAAATTTGTGAAGATGCAAAGACTATAGTCTTTGGCATAAAATAGTGTAAAAATGCAAAGATGGTAGTCTTTGCATGAAAGTGTGTGAAAATTCAAAGACTATATTGTTTAGTGTCAAAACGTGTGAAAATGCAAAGAGTATAGTCTTTAGTGTCAAAATGTGTGAAAATGCAAAGAGTATAGTTTTTAGTGTCAAAATGTGTTAAAATACAAAGACTATAGTCTTTGGTGTGAATGTGTGTAAAAATGCAAAGAATATATTCTTTAATGTAAAAATGTTTGAGAATGCAAAGACTATAGTCTTTAGTGTGAAAATGTTTAAAAATGCAAAGACTATAATCTTTGTCATGAAAATGTGTGAAAATGCAAAGACTATAGTCTTTTGTATGAAAGTGTTTAAAAAGACAAAGACTATAGTCTTCGACGCAAAAGTAAGTAAAAATGCAAAGACTATAGTCTTTGTCGTAAAAATTTGTGAAATGCAAAGATTATAGTCTTTAGTGTCAAAATGCGGCAAAATGCAAAGACTATAGTCTTTAGTGTCAAAATGTTTTAAAATGAAAAGATTATAGTTTTTGGGGTGAAAGTGTGTAAAAATGCAAAGATTATAATCTTTGGCGTGAAAGTGTGTGAAAATGCAAAGACTATAGTCTCTTGTGTGAAAGTGTTTTCAAAGACAAAGACTATAGTCTTTGATGTAAAACTGTGTAAAAATGCAAAGTTAAGATTCTTTAATGTAAAAGGGTGTGAAAATGCAAAGACGATAGTCTTTGGAGTGAAAGTGTGTGAAAATTCAAGGACTATAGTCTTTAGTGTCAAAATGTGTGAAATTGCAAAGAGTATAGTCTATAGTGTCAAAATTTGTTAATATTCAATGATTATAGTCTTTGGTGTAAAGTGTGTAAAAGGAAAAAGACTAAAGACTTTGGCGTAAAAACGTGTGAAAATAAAAGACGATAGTCTATTTCGTGAAAGTGTGTTAAAATGCAAAGACGATAGTCTTTGATGTGAATGTGTGTGAAAATGCAAAGACTATAGTCTTTAAAGTAAAAATGTGTGGAAATGCAAAGACTATAGTCTTTAGTGTGAAAGTGTGTGAAAATGCAAAGACTATAGTCTTTGTCGTGAAAGTGTGTAAAAATGCAAAGATTATAGTGAAAGTGTGTGAATATGCAAAGACTTTTGTTTTTGATGTGAATGTGTGTGAAAATGCAAAGACTCTAGTCTTTGGTGTGAAAATATGTGAAAATGCAAAGATAATACTCTTTGGCGTCAAAGTGTGTGAAAATGCAAAGACTATAATGTCGTGAAAGTGTTTGACGATGCACCATGATAAGTGATAACCATGTTGCCATAACCATGTTGTGATAACCATGTTGCCATAACCATGTAGCCATAACCATGTTGTGATAACCATGTAGCCATAACCATGTTGTGATAACCATGTAGCCATAACCATGTTGTGATAACCATGTAGCCATAACCATGTTGTGATAACCATGTAGCCATAACCATGTTGTGATAACCATGTAGCCATAACCATGTTGTGATAACCATGTTGCCATAACCATGTTTCCATAACCATGTAGCCATAACCATGTTGTGATAACCATGTTGCCATAACTATGTTGTCATACCTATGTTGTGATAACCATATTGCCATAACCATATGCCATAAACATGTTGCCATAACCATGTTGTGATAACCATGTTGCAATAACCATGTTGCCATAACAATGTTGCCATACCCATGTTGTGATAACCATGTTTCCATAACCATGTTGTGATAACCATGTTGTGATAACCATGTTGCCATAACCATGTTTCCATAACCATGTTGTGATGACTATGTTGTGATAACCATGTAGCCATAACCATGTTTTCATAACCATGTTGTGATAACCATGTATTGATAACCATGTTGTGATAACTATGTTGTGATAACCATGTAGCCATAACCATGTTGCAATAACCATGTTGCCATAACCATGTTGCAATAACCATGTTGTGATAACCATGTTTCCATAACCATGTTGCCATAACCATGTTGTGATAACCATGTTGTGAGAACCATGTTGTGATAACCATGTAGCCATAACCATGTTGTGATAACCATGTTGTGATAACCATGTTGTGATAACCATGTAGCCATAACCATGTTGTGATAACCATGTAGCCATAACCATGTTGTGATAACCATGTAGCCATAACCATGTTGTGATAACCATGTAGCCATAACCATGTTGTGATAACCATGTAGCCATAACCATGTTGTGATAACCATGTAGCCATAACCATGTTGTGATAACCATGTAGCCATAACCATGTTGTGATAACCATGTTGCCATAACCATGTTTCCATAACCATGTAGCCATAACCATGTTGTGATAACCATGTTGCCATAACTATGTTGTCATACCTATGTTGTGATAACCATATTGCCATAACCATATGCCATAAACATGTTGCCATAACCATGTTGTGATAACCATGTTGCAATAACCATGTTGCCATAACAATGTTGCCATACCCATGTTGTGATAACCATGTTGTGATAACCATGTTGTGATAACCATGTTGTGATAACCATGTTGCCATAACCATGTTTCCATAACCATGTTGTGATGACTATGTTGTGATAACCATGTAGCCATAACCATGTTTTCATAACCATGTTGTGATAACCATGTATTGATAACCATGTTGTGATAACTATGTTGTGATAACCATGTAGCCATAACCATGTTGCAATAACCATGTTGCCATAACCATGTTGCAATAACCATGTTGTGATAACCATGTTTCCATAACCATGTTGCCATAACCATGTTGTGATAACCATGTTGTGAGAACCATGTTGTGATAACCATGTAGCCATAACCATGTTGTGATAACCATGTTGTGATAACCATGTTGTGATAACCATGTAGCCATAACCATGTTGCAATAACCATGTTGCCATAACCATGTTTCCATAACCATGTTGCCATAACCATGTTGTGATAACCATGTTGTGATAACCATGTTGCCACCTTACTTAATTGCAATATGATTTATAACAAGTACAATATTTCAACTATGATTTAACAGCCAAAACGCTTTTCTGTAAACATATTAAGAAATGAAGCTGTTGAGGCTATAAAACCATCTGCATTGTTTTATTTCATAAACATTAGCGAAAATAAGCATTGGAAGAGTAGTCCTTTGGTGTAGTAAGACATTTAATTGTTAACACATGTTGTATGGTAGTAATGAGGGAGAATATGGATTAAAAATATTAATAAAGTAGCCTTTGAAAAACACTAGCGTTGATTGCTCGAATGTTCCATAAACCCATGTTGCTAGATTTAACATTTAAAGGCAAAAATATAAACAATACGTAACTAAAATCGATAAATTTATCTCTTCAATATTGTTTTTAAAAAGCCATTTTATAAAGGAATATTTCTTTCGTATTATGCCAACCGATTTCTCGTTTCTCTCAAACTTTCCCGCGCGTTTCCACGCGTGTTTCTATATCTCCATACAAACAAGAAAAATGTTTCTTATTTCTTCAATCAACGAGACTTTGAAACGAAGAAAATGCAATGAAAAACATCGACAAAGTATTTACAAACATTAATATACACGGAAACAGCATAATGCAAGTCATAATGTTCGACGAAACCCGTCCCCTCACTTTTTACTTACACAAAATGTTTCTCTTATTAATTGTTCTTGGACTGCATCAATAAACATTCATTAGTATGGAGCGTTCGTAATTTATATAGGAGAGAAAGGCGAAGGCGTGGAGAGGCATGGTATAGCCATAGTATAGGAATATACAGTAGGGCCACTTCGCTGTGCAACTGGCTGCCGTTTGCCATTTCTTCAATCCTTTGGTCACAAAATGCAATTTACTAGCTGCCTATATGGTAATCACATACGTAATAAGATATGCGTGGCACGAAAAAATTCAATGGTGTGACTCTACTGTATGTTCTCTATACTTTGGTATAGCTCAAACTAAAACAAATTACTTTGACACTCACCCTTTCATCTGAGACCACTGATATATAAAAATACTGGATAACGTAACCTAATTCTGGTGCCTAGAAAATTTTGAAGCCAGCTTTTGACAGTGGCGGCCATATTGGACTATCCACGTCTAGTATATATTTTATAATGAATTTTTCTCGTGATTTGTATTTTTTGTTAATTTATATTACTGAAATCATGCCAAATCGTTTATTATGATATTTAAACAACGTATGAAGATTTCCATAAGAAATTTAGAGAACATGAGTTTTTGCTTAAAACCGTTCTGTTATAGGCTTATCATCACAATTCTTTTTTGTCCCGAGAGTAATTCGCATGATCCAAAATAAATGCAAGAGTAGCAGTTTGTTATATAAAACGTATATAACACTCTGAAAAAGTGGATAGTCCAATATGGCAGCCGCCTGGCTTCAAGCAAGCACTAAGTTGCGTTATCTTTATACATATAAGTGTCTGAGACTGAAAATAACCTCTGACTCCACGGTATGAGGTAAGACAAACGTTAATTCTCAATGCTCCAGAATTAAATGCTGAAATGTACGTGCAAAAACACGCGCCTGGCCGGTGTTTAAGGTCACTCTACCCATCGTACACTCTCATTCCTCTACACACTTCGAGTTACTTTAGTCTCCACTCAAATTAAATTATGAACGTTGCAATAATATATATACTTTATTGCAATCAAAGTACAAACGGCGTCGTGGCATAAAAATGCCAAATTTCATTTCAAAAACCCTTTCTTAAATCAAGCAATGCTGACAAGATGCATTACTATTTCAGCCCAACGACCTGAAAGCAGTATACGACTGAATTACGACAATAGGCGAGGAATAACGACTTGGCCTTGGCGATGCTGACAAGATACATTACTCTTTCAGCCCAACGACCTGAAAGCAGTCAACGACTGAATTACGACAATAGGCGAGGAATAACGACTCGGCCTTGGCGAGCATCTTATCCAAATTGAGATTCATGGATAAACTATGGAAAACAAGAAATTCGATCACTTTTGAGCGCAAAAAATCGCGTGCGTTAAAAGCACGTTTAAATCTGAAAAAGAACGCGTGAAAGGCGTCAAAACGTAACAACTTACCAATTCACAGCATTGTAAATCATTGAAAGATCAGCGCATTTGCTTAGTTCAGAACGATAGGAGACCAATATGGCCAGACAAACAAACAGATCGAACGTGAACTCTGGATTGACGACGGATTTCACTGTGAACGAATGTCGGTCTATATACAAAGAAATTTTTGTCAAAAAAGAGGTGTTGCCCACATCATTCTTCGTAATGATTCTATAAAAGCATTTCCACAATAGAATTTTTGTTTCTTCAAAACTTTTCTATAGAATGACATGGCGTTAAAACTAGAGTCTAATGTCTTTTCTAGGACTGATGTCAAAACCCAAGTCCTTATGAACGTCGGTCTACTGTCTTCATCAGGAGTGATCTGATGTTGAAACTTGTGTTCTTATATACTCCAGTCTAGTGTCTTCATCACGAGTGATTTGATGTTGAAATTTGAGTTCTCATTTACTCCAGTGTAATGTCTTCATCAGGAGTGATCTGATGTTGAAACTTGAGTTCTTATATACTCCAGTCTAGTGTCTTCATCAGTAGTGATCTGATGTTGAAACTTGAGTCCCTATATACTCCAGTCTAATGTCTTCATCAGAAGTGATCTGATGTTGAAACTTGAGTCCTGGAGTGATCTGATTATTAAAATCGAGTCCCCCATAAACTCTAATCAAACTATACATCATCAAGAGTGATCTGATGTCAATACTTTAAGTATTATGTGATGTTAACAATAAAATGTTTATAAACAAATGTTTTATCTCCGATATCTTCATCTGATGTAAATATATCGCACTAACGTTCATCGGCATACGTGTCGATAAAAAAAACCCATAAAAATATCATTTCTTACGTGTGTAACCTTCACTTCTTAGCTCCTCGGCGCGTTTGTGTCGTCTTTCCTTTTCCGCCTCCAAAGACCAAAGCTCGAGATGATGACTGCTGATTATTTCGAAAATCCTCAACGAATCCTCATAGTCGAACTCTCGTTTGAAGTTCAACAAAAGCCATCTGATAAAACAATACTTGACATTAGTAAATATGTGCGTGAATGTGATGAAAGACACGTTAAACCAATGATTTAGAACCCAATCCTCTAGATGTCTAACTACTGTGTCAAGGTGAGGCAAGGACGCCATCTTGAAAGATGGCAAAAAGCAAAACTCAAAATGAAAAATAAGTTAAGACAAATTTTAAAAACCCATTCTATCAAACATTTAAAGAATCAAACCTAGACTATCAACTTTGCAAATGTATATCAACTCAGGAAAAGCAGATATTAGTTGTAAATATTGTCAGTTTTGGCACCTTTTAAGATGGCGGCTTGCCTCACTCTTAACTATAGAATTTTGGCGGAGTTAGATATATAGTAGATTGGGTTCTAGGTCATAGCGTTAAACGTCGTACTAAGATTTAGGACGGTTTTCAATGATAGCTAACTCTATTTAAAGACCTGTTTTAAACATTAAACTTAACATCTTTGACTGTAACAAAAGATAACTCCAACTAAAGCACAGTTTTAAACATTAAACTTAAAATCTATGACTGTAACAAAAGATAACTCCATCTAAAGCCCAGTTTTAAACATTAAACTTAACATCTATGATTGTAACAAAAGATAACTCCATCTAAAGCACAGTTTTAAACATTAAACTTAAAATCTATGACTGTAACAAAAGATAACTCCATCTAAAGCCCAGTTTTAAACATTAAACTTAAAATCTATGACTGTAACAAAGATAACTCCATCTAAAGCCCAGTTTTAAACATTAAACTTAAAATCTATGACTGTAACAAAAGATAACTCCATCTAAAGCCCAGTTTTAAACATTAAACTTAAAATCTATGACTGTAACAAAAGATAACTCCATCTAAAGCACAGTTTTAAACATTAAAATTAACATCTATGACTGTAAGAAAAGATAACTCCAACTAAAGCCCAGTTTTAAACATTAAACTTAAAATCTATGACTGTAACAAAAGATAACTCCATCTAAAGCACAGTTTTAAACATTAAAATTAACATCTATGACTGTAAGAAAAGATAACTCCAACTAAAGCACAGTTTTAAACATTAAACTTAAAATCTATGATTGTAACAAAAGATAACTCCATCTAAAGCCCAGATTTAAACATTAAACTTAAAATCTTAGACTGTTACGAAAGATAACTTCATTTAAAGCACAGTTTTAAACTTTAAACTTAACATCTATGACTGTTACATAAGATATCTTCTTTTTCTACAAATAGCTCCATAGAAATTCCTGATTATTTTTATCATCAGAAACTTCGCTAACCGTCTTATCTTCATAAATTCATAAAATCAAACTCACCTATGACAAAATAACATTTCTTTCACATCAAGACTGTCGAAAAAATCATATAATTCCGGGTCCATTTTTTTCAGTAACACCCGAATAAGTTCTACAACAGGTAAAGTGGCCATTAATATCGTGTTACATTCTTATAGCTAAGGACAAGCGCCATTTGCAGTCTTTAAAAAAGTCATGAGTAACTGTTTGCCGTTACTGCTTCGTTGTTCAATCATTCAAATTAGTTACAACACCAAATTTTATTACAAAGTTTTCTACTTTGCCATGTACAAAAAGACAATTAAAATGGCTCGATAAAAACTTCAATAGAATTGTGTTTTTTTTTGGAGAAAGCGAACATAGTTTCACTAAATAAATGACATCGTTATGACATCACATTGCAGAATTAGCAGTAAGAAATAATCGTGTTCTCCAATGTACGTCACGTTCGGTGAACTAGACCCAGTCACAGCCCCTCGCGGTCAAACAAGAAAAATGCCAACTTTGAGACCCAAAAAGTCAAGGAAGATCAAACTTTCGTCTTATAAAATATATTGCAAATGTTCTTGAAATCGTGAACTATATCTAAATAGATTATTTCCCTGAGGGTGATATAGGCACTATATAATGACAGCCTACTCCTGCTTTTATACTGGTCTCGACCGTCATTTTGCAATAAATCATTAACTGCAGCCACAGTGATAATAATTGAGACCATTCTTTAACACATACCTAATTTGACACATACCTAATTTGATACATACCTAATTTGTTAATCATGCCGTCTTCCAGAAACTCTTTCTCGACTCTTTCCATGAAATTTAAAAAACAAAAGTAGGTTTTATACTCGGATTTGAGGACAACATGAAACCTGCTGACGAGATCGTTCATTCCTTGCGTGTATCCGATATCTATAGTTTAGAACGTTAAGATCAGTGTTGCTGCAGTCTAACCAGGGAAGACAATACGGGGAGAAATCGTCTCCAATATTTTCCATACTGTAGTCTTGAAAAGAACTTCTTATAAAATGTTAGAAGTATGATATAGTAAGTATTGTACGTGGAGTGATATTTTAGGGTGCTTCCCAAGCCAGCGCCACTGGGAACGACAGCATTTCGACATAGTTTAGCAGGGGGGTGTTTTCCTAAACGACTCAGGTAGGTGCTAATTGAGTAGTTTGGCTTTATGATCTTAATTGCGATTCAATAATCCTGCAGAGCTAACAATACGATGAACTTAAGCACTCCCCCCCCTGTTGTGAAGTTGGTAACTATATAAAGCGGGTGGGAGAGTCCACGCTCATCTGATGAGACCAAATCTTTTTAAAACAATTGCATGTATGGGCACGCTGCATACGATTCTTTAAGGCCCGTTCGATATTCGATATTTCATAAAATGGCCGTCAAAAAAGGAGAAAAAACTTGCGCACTAACCTGGCGAAAATGCAACATAAGTGAGAAGAATATTTCTTAAAGCGACGAGGTTTTTCGGATCTCTACAAGTCGACAAATAATACTGTTATGAAAACATCTGCTGAAGTCGAAATTCAAAAAAAAAGCAAGAAAATGTGACAATGTATGATGATTGAAGATCTAATAATCCCCCAATAATCAAAACCACTCGATCCCAGTCTTTTTAACGCAGCCTCTTTCACTCACGTCTACTTGCACTACCCACTCAACCACAACTCCCTTGAGCCCCTTTCTTGACTCATGATTTATACTATCTCAATCCACCCATCTTTACTGACTTCAACTTGGACATTAATTCTTTATCGACTGTCACGTGGGTCACACTATTCATTTCACTGTACATTCAACAGATTCGAACGTTGTAACTCAATAAAGTCGATATTGATAATTCCCAATAGCTATTAGGATTGTTGCTTTTGAATACACGATGTACTGGACCCAAGCCATTACCCCCAGTGATAACCCCTCGTCCAACCTTAAACAATTTCATGAATTTCTTGCTAACAAAACAACTTACTGGTTACAACGTTCGAATCGGGTGTTTCATTGACTTTCACAACTCATTTACACCCGCTTCGATTTCACACCACTGGCAATACTTACATGTTACCATGGTAACCATGGGCGCCCTAGATGAAATGAAAGTCATCAGTAGTTGCCTTGCACTTACTGATAAAATTTCAAGTTCCGATCCGTTCTTGGTACATCTTTGTCTATCGTTCGCAGATGATGGCGCATCTGCGAGACATTTATCGTCTTTTTGTTAACATTTATCTGAAAATATACGCGTTGAAGCGAAGACGGGATTGAGACAAAATCAATTGTGAGGAAAGATTTGCTAAATGCGAGTCTTGTTAAATGGAATGAATTAAAACTGTAAATTTTATCACGTCATCTTCTACGTTTTAACAGTAAGATATCATACAGAAGTCTTAGCATACCAACTCGCTAGGGGGCTGTTCACATGAGCCCGATAACCGGGATTTAGCGAGGCGTGAAACAATTTTGAGTTATTGAAAGGAGCTAAAAGTTCAAGCACAAAACTTACAATCTTTCCCTTAAGCGTCATATGTCGTTTTAGTTGTAATTTTCAAATCAGGCTAAATTATTTTTTTTCATTTTAAAGGTTTTGCGAATTTGCAAAGTCATAGCATAGAGAATTCGCTCAAATAAGTTTTTTGTAGAGAAGTATTTAATCTTTTCCATTTGCCAAAATGATTTAATGCTTTGCTGAGTCCTGGCTACCGGGCTCATGTGAACAGCCCCTAAGGCAAGCGTCTTTTAGGGGCTGTTTACATGATCCCGGCTAAACGGCATTAAGTGAGGCGTGAAATGATTTCAATGAACTGAAAGGGAGCAAATCTTCAAGCGTAGAAATTACAACGGTTTGTTAAGCGCCCCAAGTCATTCCTGTTGTAATTCTGAAATCAGGCCAAATTGGTTGTTTAAATTTTAAATGTTTGCGTAGTCATTAAATAAGAATATTGTAAAATTGCGCAAAATATTTATCTGATGATGAGTATTGAACCTTTTCCATTTGTCAAAAGCATTTCGAATCACGGCCAGCCGGGCTCATGTAATCAGGCCCGTATTGTATTTATGTGGAACAGTGGAGGATGAGAAATAGTTGTTTGAGCATATAGCTTCTATACATAGTATATAAGCACTTATGATTTTATAAAATAAAAACAATACAACGCGTGCGATCATTGGTCTTTAAATGTGTTCAGCATTGAATTCCGGCACACGTCACGAATGACGTAAGCAGCATGACGTGATTACCAACCTGTGCTTCAATCTTTGCAAACATCGACTGTTGCTGTAGTTCAACAGACAAGCATCTTTTGTCACTATTTAAATCTATGTCCTTCTTTGAACAATAAGCGGGATTGAAGAATCTCTCACGTTCGTCGTCTTTATCGAGAGCATTTTCTATCTCTTTATTCCATTTCTCCTTTAAAACTTCGTATTGTACTTCACGTTCTATCGTTATAACTTCCCTTTCCCTAAACGAAGACGATGTTGCAAGCATTACGGAAAGCCGAGAAAAACATGAGCGAGCATTTTTTAGTTCTTCTAAATTCAAGTTGCTCATACACATTGAAAACAGTATTATTTTCAAATTTACGATTGTCAAATTTACTCTTGTATGTTAAGATCATTTAAGGTAGAGTACGATCTACGTTATGATCACATTACTGCTATGGCAACAATACTTTCATGGTCAGACATTTGTAATGGTGACGCTGGTACTAAGATGACATTACTGTCATGGTCAGAAAACGGTTATGGTGACACTAGTGTTAAGATGACCATACTGTCATGGTCAGATAATGGCTATGGGGAAACTAGTATTAAGACAACCATACTGTCATGGTCAGACAATGGCTATGGTGACACTAGTATTAAAACAATTATACTGTCATGGTCAGACAATGGCTATGGGGACACTAGTATTAAGACAACCATACTGTCATGGTCAGACAATGGCTATGGTGACACTAGTATTAAAACAATTATACTGTCATGGTCAGACAACTGTTATGGTGACACTAGTATTAAGACAACCATACTGTCATGGTCAGACAATGGCTATGGTGACACTAGTATTAAGACAATTATACTGTCATGGTCAGACAACTGTTATGGTGACACTAGTATTAAGACAACCATACTGTCATGGTCAGACAATGGCTATGGTGACACTAGTATTAAGACAATTATACTGTCATGGTCAGACAACTGTTATGGTGACACTAGTATTAAGACAACCATACTGTCATGGTCAGACAATGGCTATGGTGACACTAGTATTAAGACAATTATACTGTCATGGTCAGACAACTGTTATGGGGACACTAGTATTAAGACGACCATACTGTCATGGTCAGACAATGGCTATGGCTACATCAGTGTGTTTAGGTCACAAGGAAGAAAAGCTTATTAATCACACAAAAAGTGTCAGACTTCAAAATAAGGTTTTTCAAAGTAGTACTAAGGTGTGCATACTTGAGAAATGAAAACATTTATGTCTGGGCAAAACATTTGAAATAAATGAACAAAAATACCTTGAGGTCGAGCTAAAAGAATAAAATCCAAATAGAAACATCCAGACTTCGGATCGGATTGAGCTGCTTATGCCACCTAGACAAAAATAAACAAGAAACAAATTTTTTATTTGGACAATATCAATAGCTTATGACTGTAAAACAATGACTATGAATCTATATAACAATGTCTATGCCCTACAACTGTAAAATAGCAGCCATAACTCTATAAAGATGTCTATATTGAATGACTGAATATCAAATGAAGAAATAACTCTATAACAATGTCTATACTCTATGATTGAAGGGAATACTTTCACTGTACTCAACCATGCAAACTTCCAATAATAATAAGGCTAGGTTATCATTAGGGAATAAGGTTGGGGTTTGGGTCGGGCATGCAGGTAAATAAGTATTCGGTGGGGTACTCTACAACTATTCCAGGGCCAGTTGCATGAAACCTGGATGCTGCTTTCCATTGGATAAAATTTTTTTTTAAAGTTTTATAAAACCTTTAAAAAGCAAAAAATGTAAGATTCCAAATGAGCAATCAATTAAAATATTGTTTCAAAGATTATAAAATTTCTTTGTCGTAAGTAAAATATAAACATGTTTTTACAAGTTTGAAAATTTTTACCATCCAATGGATAATGATATCCAGGCTTCAAGCAACCTGCCCCTGATCGTAAAACAAACATTGACTAAAGACTGTGATCATATGACCATGGCTATAATGTATGACCAACTATGATGATTTAAACTTAAACTTCAAACAGTTTCACACAACAAAAGAACCCAACAACATAACCATATTCTTTGTCATTGTCATCAGCATCACAGAGTGGGAGTTTCTTAAACATTTCTGATGCAATAAAGTGACATTTCTGCTTTTGAAATATCCGAGAAACTTTGCAATGTTTTGATCATGAACTCTCAATAGTCTTAAAGTAGAAAAGCAGCACGGATCAAGCGTACCTTTAAATATTGCTTTCCTCAATGCAGATTCGTTTAAAATGCGCCCATCGTCGTTGAAGAAGGAACGCCATTCATTTTCGCACAACGGAGTGGCTCTTTCGACTCTAGAATCTGATTGTATTCTATCAGACGTTGGTGCCAATGGCACCCGTTTGGGATTGCGACTCTCAGACACTGCCGCCTGAAAATTCATAAAATCTACAACCAATGTATACATGAGAATGAAAGCGCCCAATGTCGTTATGTTTCTAAATAAGTCATTGTAAACAAGTCAAGAAACCAATTCTCGTCACTCGTTGCCATCGCTCATGTTTCCTTTCTTTTCCCCTTCCGCTGGTCTTTAACACCCGATTGGAAAATGCATCATCGTTGACAAAAAGTACGAACTATATCATATGACCATGTGACGATGAATTGTGACGATGGTCAATGACAATGACCATCTACCAACATCTCCTATGGGCTATGACCACCAATGACTAGAAGACTAGAGCCCATCTGACTGCATAACAATGACAATATTCATCCATAGATAAAAGTTTATGTAAAGTGAGTCCTTTGTTCCGTTCCATCGTTTCATTGTGAGAAATACACTGCTGTATTAACATTTTACCTTCACCACAGCAGCCTCCGAGGTAGTTTCCTGTGTTGGGAACAGACATCCGGGATGAGAACCGAAAGTGACATTCGCATTCTGAAGCATCGTGGAAATACAGCTCGTTTAGTAGGCAAAGGATAGAAGTCACTGACAGAATCGCCTATCATGGAATAGACATTAGACTGTTTCGTGTTCAGCGAATGCATTTTCTTGCATCGGTTGTGATATGTTTTAAATGAACGAATAGAAGATGAAAATGCATTTTTTCGAATCGGGTGCACACTGAACGGAAATAGGAAAGTGCAGAGAATGAGTGTTGGCAAGGAGCACTGGTAACGAGAGATTCAGGTTCGAATATTTACATCTTTGGAAACTTAATATCATTGTACTTAAACAATGAGACAAGCACTCGTCAACAGGTTCTCGTTTTCCCTCGTAGCATTACCTTACCATAACCATCGAGGAATGGTAAAAATCGGCTGTTTTGTTGGTTTATATCAACTGGACAACAACTTGCCAGGTTGCTAATGTTCTTCAATTGTAAACATAACGACGAAGGTACTGTGAACAAACGCATAAAGACTGTCTCAAACAAAGATGAAGTTTCAAAAAGTTCCACCTTTCCAAAGATCTGAAAGTTCGATGTCGACAGACATTTTTTTAAATTCTCTTACCTTTTACTATGATTGGTATATTTTTGGAAGTTTGCTCCCATTAAACACACATGCTTTGCCTTAATCGTTTGGCAAAGGCTGCACCCAGCAAAGGCGCACCCTCCATGCCTGACATAATGCAACTTTGCCAGCATTTTCTAGGACTAAGTGCTTTTCTCAACTTACGATGCCTGTACACGGTCAATTCAATTGATGTAATTCTAAAAATATATTTACAATTAGAGAATATTTTCATCCAATTACTTCAAAGAGTATCAACCATCGTGCATTGCGCGCATATGTTTATTTTCATACGGGATCTCATTGTATTTCATGATGACTCGGATAATTTCAGTTACATATCCTCTTTTACAAGAAATAGTAAAACGATTGTAGAATCACATACATCAAATACTACTACAGTAACCAAACTACAATAGTTTAGCTTTGTTTTGCCGAAACGTTTTAGTCAGTGCTTCACACAGTGTCAGAGATGGTGTTAACGAATTGTTGGGAATGCTTTGTGTTGACTTTTTGATTTCAAGCACAAAATACGGGAATGTTAGTACAAGTACCACTACAGACGACAAGCTAAGTCGTCTTTGAATTTGAATAGGTTTAATTCTGATAAATTCGTCGTACTAGAACAATAGAACTTGAGGCAACCACGGTGTTACATCTCTACTACTCTTGCCAGTTAATTTCGTGCTTTGAAAAATGGCTGATTACTCGCGCATTGCATGATGGTTGACATTCACACTTTAACACGAAGAATAGCTTCATCACAGCATACATGAGCACAGGACGTGTAAAATACACGAAGTTATGTACTCGCAATCAAATGCACATTTTTCTAAAACGAAAAATTAACAAAAAAAAAAAAACGTACGGTCGTACTAAAAAGAGACGTTTCCTATGCCGGAATTTACGAAAATTTTTTTACACATTCTTGTATGGTCGTTAAAAAGAGTTACAAATAGTATCTACAAAAAATCGCATTCAGCCTAGCTGAACTATAAATACAAATAGCAAAAGTATTTCGCTTTTTTACATCCATTTTCGTCAAAAATAGCTCTATTATACTTAATAGCGCTGATGATTCGGTTTTGTTAAACTTTCTTCTCTATCGGGTCGCAAGAGGATACACTGCCTTTCAGAACATTTCACTTGCCTTAAAGATCAGATTCTATGGCAGTTTGGATTCAAAAGACCAGCTCGTGCCCAGGTCTGTAGGGTCAAACACATCCTCAGTGTTTACTCCACCTACATCACTGAACACACGGCACTCTTCATGGTTGAACGCCGATGTGTTGTATTCATCTCAGGTCTTTGGTTTGCGATGTTCTGGCGCTGTAATGAAACGAGCAAAACGATGTATTCATTGACCAACACTGCCGCGGTGGATTTATATTATAATCACCTTTTCTTTCGCTTGTTGCTTTAATTGTTCCTGAAACGCAAGGAAGAAAAATGAAAATCGAACGTTAGGACCCATACCTCCAACATTCAAACTCAAGTGCCAAAGTTAATTCATTCTTAAAAGGTTTTATAATTTATTTAATATCTTTCATCGCCCACTCTGATACTTCAAATACGAAGCCCTTAATCCACACAAACAAGCAAAGAGTCCGCACCAAACCAAAACGGCTTACATCATGATCACAAACTCGCCCATTGCCAGAGCTATCTTCGATAGACAATATGGACCATGTTTGTACATGTAGGTCGTACATTTTAGTAGAGTCCTGAGAAAGACTGTTGGTGTTTTGTGTTGACAGACATTTCGACAACCTTAGCGGTAGTCATCTACATTCACTTGTCTCTAAAGATAACTACGGTTAAGGATGTCAAAAAATTAGTCAACATCAACAACAACAGTCTTTCTCAAGACTTTACTAACCTGGACGATTTACATCTACAAACATGTCACGATACTTCATGGTTCAAAGTTCAAACCATTCACATTAAACTAATATCTCGAAAAAAACCTTTGGACTCGTTGATGCCATCACATAAGACATGGATATACACTTGGTGTGAAATTGTTAAGAACTAATTGTTACCTCCTGTAGTCGTGCAACCTGTTCCTGCAGGGAGATCACGATGTGGAAGTTTTCCTGAAGTTGACTGCTTTGCTATTAAAGAAATGATAAGATTGTTGGATGATGTTTATGGGAGCAGTCGGCTCTTTTATCGCTCAAATAAACATATGTGATGCACACTGTTCCGCAAAAGATAGCATGAAGCACTTACCTTGAGCAGTTCAGTTTTCAAAACCTGGATTTCGTCGACTAGACCTCTCTCTCGTAACTAGATAAAGCCATACACAAAATTAAACTGACCACATTATGCTGCAACATTAAAAGATCACTTACAAAGAGCTGAGACTAGAGTATGTAGCTAAAGACTCAAGTTTCAACATCAGATTACTTCTGATGAAGACACTAGACTGGAGTATATAAGAACTTAAGTTTCAACATCAGATCACTCCTGATGAAGACACTAGACTGAAGTATGTAAGGACTCAAGTTTCTACATAAGATCACTCCTGATGAAGAGACAAGACTAGAGTACATAAAGACTCAAGTTTCAACATTAGATCACTCATGACGAAGACACAAGACTGGAGTACATAAGAACTCAAGTTTCAACATCAGATCACTCCTGATGAATACACTAGACTGGAGTATGTAAGGACTCAAGTTTCAACATCAGATCACTCCTGATGAAGACACAAGACTGGAGTATATAAGGACTCAAGTTTCAACATCAGATCACTCCTGATGAATACACAAGACTGGAGTATATAAGGACTCAAGTTTCAACATCAGATCACTCCTGATGAAGACACAAGACTGGAGTATATAAGAACTCAAGTTTCTACATCAGATCACTCCTGATGAATACACTAGACTGGAGTATATAAGAACTCAAGTTTCAACATCAGATCACTCCTGATGGATACACTAGACTGGAGTATATAAAGACTCAAGTTTCTACATCAGATCACTCATGACGAAGACACTAGACTAGAGTACATAAAGACTCAAGTTTAACATTAGATCACTCCTGACGAAGACACAAGACTGGAGTATATAAGAACTCAAGTTTCAACATCAGATCACTCCTGATGAATACACAAGACTGGAGAATATAAGGACTTAAGTTTCTACATCAGATCACTCATGATGAAGACACAAGACTGGAGTATATAAGAACTCAAGTTTCAACATTAGATCACTCATGACGAAGACACAAGACTGGCGTATATAAGGACTTAAGTTTCTACATCAGATCACTCCTGATGAAGACACAAGACTGGAGTATATAAGAACTCAAGTTTCTACATCAGATCACTCCTGATGAAGACACAAGACTGGAGTATATAAGGACTCAAGTTTCAACATTAGATCACTCATGACGAAGACACTAGACCAGAGTACATAAAGACTCAAGTTTCAACATTAGATCACTCCTGATGAAAACACAAGACTGGAGTATAGAAGAACTCAAGTTTCAAATTACTCGTAACAAAGTGTGCATACCCTAGCTTCTCTGAGTTCTTCATGATAATCTATATGACTATCGGAAACAGATCCTTTCATATAAGCGTCACTCGGCTTTGCGAACTATAAAACATCGAAATTTAGAAACTCATTTTTCAAAGCAAGCATTCCCCGTTCAACCAAAAATAACCATTTCCTTTACTACCTTTGTAACACGCACCGCTGGACTGACTTGCTTGTCACGTGACTCTTTTCGCGCAGTCGAGTTTGGAGTCTATGAATTGGTAAAAACTTAAAATTAAACTGAAATCCAAGAGACTCCGAGAAGACAAAACTCGCTATTTCCCTCGGGAGCATACAATAGAGTGTGTATGGTTTCTAAATGCCGAGTGAGCGCCGAAACATTTGAATGGCACGAAAAAAAATTCTCACCACAATCGCGGGCATCTTTGTCTTGTTGTCATCACGCGAAGCCCTATGAAATAAATAAACAAACGTCAAACGCCTAGAGCACGTTCACCGAATGTCGTCGTTTTCGTTTCGCATTTTCCCATCCTTCGAAACGACTTTGTTCCTCGTGTAAAATATACTTACACTCGTCGTTTGGCAGGAATCGAACCATTAGATGACGTTCTTGTTGCAGGACGTTGCCTTTAACAAAAAATGAATGATAATCAAAACATAGTAAACGTAGCGACTTTCTCATTTTTGATTGGACGATTTTTACAGCATATATCATCCGCAATGCCACGCGATCATTATGTCACTGATTGGCGGCTTTTCGTTAGGATTATTCCAACAATGTTTGTAGACGTTGGTCGTCCAGGTTGGTGGAGTCCTTAGAAGGACTATTGGTGTTGATGTTCATTGACGTTTCGATATCCTTAGCTACAGTTATCTCTAGAGACAAACACTTAAGCCTGTTTTCCACTAGCCACGTATCGTAACGTATCGTAGCAAAACGTAACAGGGCGCATGCGTGTTTATGAATTTGATGGTCAATAGGCGCAAGCACGCATACGCCATGTTACGTTTTGCTACGATACCTTACGATATGTGGCTAGTGGAAAACAGGATTTAGTCTTAGTCCTTCTCGGGACTGCACTGACCTGGACGATCTACTTGTACAAACATATAACGACACCGCCGTGGGTTCAAAACGTTCACTTTACTGCCAGGCAACAATGTTTTTAAAGATTGTGAAGAATGTTATCGAGAATGAATTTTACAGTCCATTACTTGAGAAAGGATGTTTTGAAAAATATCTACGGAGAATTTAGAGATTTTCAAGAAATATTCTTTATTTCTAGGAAGCACTGTCGTCCAAGACATTTTACAATCTCAAATAAGCCGAGCAAACCCATGAACCGTTTTCATTTTCTTTTATCGATACTTAAAACACGCCGTATGCAAAAGAGCTGATACTGACGTCATCGCACTTCTGGAACCCAGTCCACTCTGTGTTGAACGTCACTCACAATCAACTAATCAACGAAAAACTCGTTCCTCCATTTACGGCTAGAGTTTTTCCAAAGTATTTTAAATCAATCATTTAGTGTTGTGAAAAACACAGTCTTGTAATAGTTAAGACGTGTTTTGACGCCCCTCCCTCCCCTCCCTTAAGAAGTGTGAGAAAGCTTTAACAATGCCGGCATTAAGTCTGAGCAAGCTTTCTTCTCATTACTATTGGGTTGCTCAAACTATCCGACGGTCAAAAAGCTCAGGGAGCTTATTGGACGAACTTATACATAAAACAATTTCTTTGCCAACCGACCAACCTGGCATCATTTGAGGGTGGGCTTGGTTTCTCTAATGTTTTCACACTCGTGGGCGCTACGTGCGTCTTTCGTGGCTCGCTCGGTGATAACCTATGCAACAATAAGAATCCACGTTCAAGGGCGGCGGAACATTAATCATTGGGAGAGGGGGAGGGTGGCTATTATTCATATATGCATGTTTTACTTTATTAATTTCTATTGAAATCTATTGTGTTTACGGATTATAACATAGCTATGAATATACGAATATACCCCCCCTCCCAATTATTATTGTTCCGAAGCCACTGTCCACGTTAACAACATATCTCGGATGTCAGGATAGCAAATGGTGTAAATGGGATAGAAACTTTTATATAGCTACTCAAACCGGGGGGAACTTTCTATTGAAGAAACTTGAATCAACCTTGAATCATGCTGCATCCTTTCTAATCATGCTGGATGTTTCCCTATCCCGCTGAATCCTTCCTTACATTGCTGAATCCTTCCTTATATTGCTGAATCCTTCATTATATTGCTGAATCCTTCATTATATTGCTGAATCCTTCCTTATATTGCTGAATCCTTCCTTATCTTGCTGAAACCTTTATTATCGTGCTGGATCCCACTTTATCTAATAGGACTTTTCCTCGTCATGCATGCTGGATCCTTATTTATCCTACTAAATTTTTCCATAACATGCTAGATTTTCCTTATCCTACTGGATACTTTCTTAACATGATGGATCCTTCCATATCAAGATTCATGCTTCAATACAACAGTGGATGGATGTCATATACAGAGTAATACTATTCTTCCAAAAAAACCCAAACGAAAAACTACCTTACCCTCGTTTGATTGGAACGCTTTTCGCACTCCTAAAGAAAGAAGATATTCTTATCAATTACGAATTGTTGGAATGTGAAGGGTGCTATTTTCCTTTCGCCTTTCCAAAACATCATACATTACAATCCACAAACAACATCGAAACACAGTTTCAAAGTTAGACGTTTGCAAGTAATCGAAAGCAAAACCATGCACAAATGACATATATATATATATATATATGTATATTACGGATAATAATCCTGGATAAAAGAGCGCTCAATATTCTATATATTAGAAGAGCGTAAGATAAAGTGAACTAAAATAAAATTGACAATTGTTTGCTGTTGCCTGAAGATCGCCCTACGGCGTGAAACTCCGAGTAGCGACAGCAAACAATTGTCAATTTTATTTTAGTTCACTTTATATATATGTATATGTATGTTGCGACATTATTATTTTCATGAATTTGAATAAGAATATATGGGAACACAAGATCAATAGAGAAATGTGAAGTCAACTACGTGCTGCGCGCGAAATCTACTGACGCTATTCTAAGTACATCACGTGATTACGCCATGCATAATTTAAAAACATGAGTTAAATCATATTTCATCTTTACTAATTAACACATCATTCGTATAGTCGACACAAAACAACTGACAATTTATGTTTGCATGGTCATGCTATAATTTATGTTTGCATGGTCATGCTATAATCTGTCCTAAATGTAGTAAGATTATTCTATGTCATTGTGTCGTCGTTAGCATAAATTTCGTAAAATTCGTGTCGTTTTCAAAATAATTATTTTCTTCGTAATTTAAGATTGCATCACCTGGCACAGGAGCTATAAAGTCCTTTTATACATTCAACTAACCATTTGGGTGTATTTTAAATTCAAGTAAAAGCGACACTTACCCTTTAGATGCTTTCATCCGACTCTATAAAAGGCAAAAACATCTTGTGGTTAAGTTAATCGAGATTTTATTTTCGATTCTATATAAAATTCTTCCACAATACACGATAAAACGAGTGTTAATTCTATGAAAGCGTTTGTTAAAATTCATAACACACAAACTCATAAATTGAAATAAAATTCAATAAAACCATATGTCTGGGCACACAACCTGTCGTTGACCTCTCTGCTACACAAGGAGGACATTCAAATTTCACATAATCATCAGTGACACAAACCAAATTAAATTAAAGGACGGTAGTCGGTAAGAAAAACAAACGGCGAATTCTAGGCCCAAGTTCTTTTCAAACTAAGCTCTCTTCTAACTATAGGAAGTGTATAATTTCAGCTAACTAAAACGTATACAATTAGAATCTAAACAAATCATTTAGCAACACGACTTCAAACACACATTAATTCCTTTATGAAAACCATCCATTTGATTGAAGACTGTCCCGTCTGCGGTGAGAAGATCTCGTTTTCAAACACACTTAATGCCCACAAACTTCGCACAAAAAATGAAAGTCTATTTCTAAATAACTGTAGCGGAACTAACAATTCATATACAAGCTGATTTGACGAATATAATCAAAGCATTTAAATACCGTTAGACCATCAGCGAAATTAAAGAAATAAACACGAAAATATGCGTCAAATCTAGATAATTCTGCGCAGTAATTTGTATAAGCTGATCGTAATTTTCGACTCGCAGCATGATTTAGAAATGGACGAAAATGAGGAGATGACTCTATGCAAGTAATCAATGATTCAAAACTTACCAAGATCTAGGTAGAAATCATATACACACAGTTCAGGCGTATTATGTCAACAGAGCGATTGTCGCAACGATAAAACGGTAGTTACATGCAGATTCAGTCGTTCAAAACACACAAATAACGTTTATGATACATAATGGGCTTTCCGACGGCACGCCTTCGATGGATAAAACGGTTTAAAAGAAAGAAAAAACGCGATAATCCTTTTGCCATTCAATATGCCGAGCGAAACACTCTTGGCACAAACACAATACATTCTCCACTTGGATAGAATTACATATTATCGCGCGATGGAAAATTTCGCATAGTACAGCTTCAAAAAGACGCTGAATTCAAAGTTTTTTTTAAACACGTGGAATTGAGGCGTCAATAGAAACTGGTTTGAAATACATTTAGTTACAAAACATTTTAAATGTGTATCAGCAAAATTCTAGAAATCGTAGCGAAAATTTGAAAACCTTATGTGGTCAATAACACTACCCATCTCTACTTTGATATGGCTAGAGAGTTACAAAATTGTGCATTATAATAAAACTATAGTTGCGATGTTCATTGGCATTGGTCTCACATATAGGGAATTTTGTCTACAATTACACGTTTACTTCACAAGGGGGCATAGAAATATGACTCGTACTGGCGACTATGCAAGAGTTCTATCAATCAATGATATATACATGAAACTGTATATGAACTTTATGCACTGAAATATTTCGAACGGCGTTCCAAACTTTGCAAATTTCTTGAGCGAATTCTAAATTTCACGACAAACTCTAAAACAGGTTTCACGATCTTTCCACTTGTTATCCTTAAATTTCTCATATCGAAATACTTACGTTTCTCTCTACTTGAAGTCTTGGATATGTTTTCGAGTGATTTGTTATAAGGTTTGCCGTAAACGATTACAAGTCAACCTGGCATAACATACACCGAAGCAAAGCTCAAGCTTCGAAGGTTTGTAGACAACAAAACGCAGGTGAATGTACTAAATTATGGCTAAATAAAGTAATCAACTAACAGTAAACAATGGAAAAACTTAATGGCACAACTGTCAAGTATGTCTTCACTTGTGTACACGATGGTGTAATTACACAGTATTATTAATGCAAGCACAAACAAAAAATCCCAGCCATTTAGAAGATGCATTTTAATAGTGAAGCTCAACTTAAGGAATAGAAAAAAAGACAAGTGGTTTGCTAATGCTTCACCAAAACCAGTCAACACTTGTTATCATCAGGCAAAAAGCTGAAACGTACTTTTAAACGTAACAATTGTACAATAAAACGCTGAGAACATATTTTTATCATCAATTAATCAAGTTTTTAGGTATTAAACTTAAAGTAATGGCTTTTCAGTGTGTGTACCAGAAACTTTTTAACATTTATGATCAAGTTTTTAGGTATTAAACTTAAGGTAATGGCTTTTCAGTGTGTGTACCAGAAACTTTTTAACATTTATGACATTACGCGAGCTTCGATAACACAATTATCTTGCAAATTCAAGATTCGACTTAATACTAAAATTACACACGATTGCATGTGTTGGCATTTTTGACTTTAAATTGAAACTCGTGATCAAAGCAGACTTTCGTCAATAACTTAACATATACAACATACTTAACGTCTTTGAAGTTTTTAGCACACGAAACTTCATCGCAAAAGTTTTCTGACTGTTTACGTAGCAAAGAACATTAACAACTTTCTTCGTTTATATCTTTGACTAGATATTTGCTCATTAGAAAAAATATTATGACCATGAAATAATTATGAGCATTATATTACAAAACAGTAGTTTTCATCGACATCAATAAAACATTCAACTTTTGCACCTTTCATGATCGACTTTTCCGATCACTTTCTTTTCAAATGTAAGCTCTCGACCGGAACAGTAGGCTGATTTCCATTCAGTGCAAATTGTCGCGTGATCGACTTTTTGCGATCACTTTCTTTTGTAGCTGTGTGAAACTGTTCCGGTCGAGACATTATAATTGAAAAGAAATTTATCGGAAAAAGTCGATCGCGCGACAATTTGCACTAAATGGAAATCAGCCTTTATACGCATGCTCAATTACACATGCATTCATCAAATCGTACTCTCGCGAATAAAATGTTGCAACCATACTATATGAACAACAAGCAAAGTCAAATATCTCTAGAAAGTTCTTAAGTCATTTTCAATACAATCAGAACACTGCGTATAATGAAATGTCTTTTCAAGTAAACTATAAGTTATAACATAATTCTATAGAAAAAGTTGTCAAGTTATTTTAAATGTTCTTTTGCATTGTAGCTAAAACGTGAAAACTGCGTAAAAAATCGTCTTGTCTTTAACACTTTAACAAAAATATACCTTTCACACGACAACATGTAACATTTACCTTTCGTTTCAGCTGTTCCTTGAACGGAGCAGGGGACATATCTTGACGGCAATATTTATCGAACAAAACTGACCAAATGAGCAATAGACGAGAGAAGATAGTCACTTCATACAGAGAAACGAGTTTTGAACTTATGCGCGCTCTTTTTATATTTAAGACAGACGTTGCGCACGCTAGCAGTAATGAAGCAAATATGTGCGCTTAGCAACATTCAAAATGTTTTGTTACAAACATCGTTCTAATCGAGAGCGATCACGTTTCAACACTTCCTAATTATCGTATTTAAAATCCCCGAGTTTCGAAATGAGAGCGCGCACGTCTCTACAGATCGAAATAAAAAACGTTTGAAAAAAAAATGCAAATAGTTATTTTCGTGAATCAAATCCTACGAAAATTGTAAACTAAGTCTATGATTTTTGGTCAAACTACGACTTCGGTTTCTCTCAAATATATTTGTGGCCGAAAAGCCTATTACGAGTATGCTACAAATGAATCCATGGCAACAAAACCGAACCAACAAAACCAGATAAGATAATATTACTATGGCATGCGCGCTTAAAAAACGTGTCGACAGATGAAGTGGAAAGTCCATCTTTCTTACAGCGTATACAAACATTTGTTCCTAATCCTTCCCGTATGCATACGCACAAAATCAATATATGGTTAATAATTCCGCTTTCTACAAATACGCAAAATTATTCCCAAAAATAACCCTAACGCTTAATCTCACAGTGCTGGGCTATTGTCTACTGATAATGGTTGGAAGTCGGATTGACCCTTAACTTCCTAACTTATTTTGTCAACTGAGTTTCATACGTAATTGACGCCGTATAGAAACTAAAGGAAAGATAGATTTGACAATCAACTTCACGCTTTATAAATACACCTCACTATAGCATATAGATACTAACCTCTATCGATCCTCGATGTTCCGTGGGAGTCATCTCCACGCCACTCTCCGAAGTCACGCTAGACGGCCGGAGTTTGTCTGCACCGACCGGAGCTCGGAGGCTGGCGGTCACGCCACTGTGCTTGGTACGTGGCACTCCAGGTTGGTAGAAGACTTGAGAGTTCAGGGAAACTTTAGGACGCTTCCGCCGGACTAGTCGCGATTGCATGGACTGGTTCCCAATAACAGGCACCTGACCAGGTAGCACTGCGACCTGTGAGAAAAGAGACAACTGTGCAGAAATTAAGGAACATGGAAAGGGGACATAACGTTTTAAGGAGACAAGAGAGATGAGAAACCCTGTTGAATACAAAGAAATAGCAGAAAATTATGTATTTGGAGAGGAATTCGGGGGGGGGTGATCTTAGTTGGCAAAATTTACACCGAATACATCCATTTGAAACCAGTGGATGAAAGGCCAAAGATAAACAAAAGGGCAAATCTCCCGTCACGTGGGTCACATTCAGACTATCGTATTGGGATTCTGTTGTTATTCTTAGCCGAGAGCGTGGACATTTACAAGTTACAAAGTACAGGATATTTATAGTGTCTTAAGCTAACTTCATCAGGAAACATATGCTATTGTAGTTTTTCATTACTTCAATCAGAGATACACGTACAGGATATTTATAGTGTCTTAAGGTAACTTCATCAGAAAACATATGCTCTTGTAGTTTTTCATTACTTCAATCAGAGATACAAAGGCAACATGCCTGACCACCAAAAGAAGCTGAGTTCTGAGATGGCAAAGTAATGAAAAATACATGAAATACGTCATTCAATAATCCTAATTCGAAGGAAAATACACATATTAACACATGGTGTAACTTATTATACAAGCAGTTTTGAAATGTTATGCGGGCTCAATTTGAGAGAACATTCGTTACACAAGTAGTTTCGAAATATTTCCATGCAGGCTCAAATCGAAAGAACGACCCAAAATCAACATCCTAAATCAATAACGCGGTAAAGTTTACAAAACCACAGTACTATGCTCGTTCAGAAGATATTCTACAGACATTTCCTTAGTCCAACTTACACTTGTATCTGCATTCAATTCAAAGGAACCATGCTTATGGTTAGAACCCGTAATGTTCTTCTTCACCTCGATGGGCACCTTGGGTTTTGCCCTATACTTGGAGTAAGCGTTATCATTGGGCGCGATGTTTTTTCCCGCCTTGTCTATTTTGGTGTGAATAAAAACTTCTTCGTCGGTGTCATGATCGCTCATAGCGTCGGCACTATCATCCACGGAAGAAATACCGTCGTCGACCTCCCCGTTGTGGATACCGTTTTCCAGCTCGTTTTTCAACCAAGTGGGAGCCTTTGAGAGATGGAAAATAATGACACGAAAAGTAAGTAGGAAAACGTCAACACATGACTAAATTGAAACAAAGCAAGTATTTCAAGAAAACCGTACATCGCCCAGTGTATCCATTTCAGACGAGCTCGACTGTCCAGCTGTTGTCGAAGAATCCGTTTGCCTTCTAAAACTAATATCACATGAAGTATTTTTCGAACGCAATCTCGCGAGAACGCCATGTAGAAAAGATCACAAATTATAGGGAAAGTCGGTTATGTGGGAAATCGCGTAACCATTTCATATCATTTGCCAGCTTATCAGGCGTGCATGCAAGAGTACCAAAACTCCTGAAAAATGGGTGTTTCAGTTATGTCAGGGGGTTGTAGGACGATTGAAGTAAGTAAAAAACGAGTCTCGCGGTAATGCTTTGCGCGCTTAGCCAGCCACAGGTGAATGTTTTCGTGGCAACCAAAAATGACGGCACATCAGGTTGTTAGTGCAGCAATATGTCTACCTAGTCAGGTCTGTCAATGCTAGAACACGGTAGGCCAACAAATAAAGAAATAACGAAAGCTACGTTCAAACAAAGACGTTATTTCACATTTGGTTAATCAGAAAACAATCCCTAAACTCCGTATTAGATGTTGCAATTCAACAGCAGAAGTAAACGCGAGCGCGCAAAGCATTACAGGGAGACTCGTTCTTTAACAAATTGGCAGATTTGGTAAGTTCCACATTGAACGAAAAACAATTACTAAGAAAATGGCAGAAAAACACGCGACATTACCTTGTACCAGAGTCATTCAATTCATGTTTGGAAAACTTCCTGAGGTTGTTGTCGTTGGTAAGCTTCCTATGATTCGTGTAACTATCTTCACGTTTTAAAGATCTTCTTTTAGACTTCCTTCGAGGCGCGGGCGCAGTCGTGTCGATCTGCACAAACATATTTTCACCGTAACCGGCGATTTTCCTAAGGAACACCGGGTAGTCGCCGTCCTTTTCGTTGGGCCCGTTAATCGCATCCCATTGAAAGAGGAGGTTCGGTGTTGATAACGGCTCAGAAATGGTAACTCGGAGACAGCCGTCTATACGACATCGGGACAAGACGTTCCTTAGCGCGCAATCTCGAAGGTAGTTTCCGGAATAGCTTCGGAAGTATCCGCTACGATGTCGGTCATTACTAGTAGATCTATCAAGAAGACAATGGACAAATTTATGACCCAAGCCTTCGCTAGAAATGCCGAATACCTGTAGCTACAATTATTATACAATATTGGTGAAATATCGATCGTGATTGGCAAGAGCCTACGGATGTTTCTCAATCGGTCAATGCTCGGCTCTGCTTCGGCAGAAAGCATTGACTTTGCTCTGAATAAATATCGATATTATACCCGGTTTCATCCGATAATTACTAAACACCAACTCCTCTCCGCATTTTAAACGAAGATTAAGACAAAAACACCTACCCATGTATCCCATCAACGGTAAGGTTTACATTCGTACTGTCCGAGAGCGCATCCTTACGACGATGCCAGAGACAGTCGTGATCGACGCCGGATACAGGTCTTGAACGCGAGCCATAATCCTGTCTCCCAGAGTTGGGTCTGAAGAAAAAACGAGGAGTTTTGATAAGTCCACAGCGCATATCTATATTACGTGTCTGGTATTTGATGTCAAGTTTTGACATAGAATTTCGCGTCATGCCCGGAACTTTAGTAAGAAACTCAGGGATGACAACAACATTACGTATAATTTTGACTTTAAAAAACACTACTTACAACTTACAAGGGAGACAAGCAACACTACAAAAGCAGGGACGACAAATTAATGATCGGGGGGAGGGGAGGGTCATATTCATACATTCATCGCTTGTTATAATCTGTAATCAAAATTGATTTGAATACAAACTAATAAAGCAGAAAGAAAATATACGGATGCTAGCCTACCCTCTCAAAATTATTCCACCGGCCTGAGAAGTAAAATCGACTGTAAACACTATTAGAAAGGAAGTTATTGAAACCATAAGTGTATAAATATATTAAACTACTGATGTTCAACACTGGTAGGAAGGAAAGTAGTGGCGCAATAAAACGACAGTCAGTGACATTACTAAGCCCTTAGTAACCGAGCGCGAGCTCTTTACGGGGAAATATCGGACCGAGGTTTTTTGAACAAACCGATCCCGTAGGGTGAGGTTCATACAAAAGACAGAGGTCCGACATTTCTTAATGAAGACCGAGAAAGCGAAGTTAATAAAAGGTGTATTATATGGCATCGTTCAACCTGAAACGAAGCTTGCTTTCCATCTTCTCCTCACTGTTTTGCACTGGTTGGCTTTCACTTCTCTAGTTTTTGTCAGTAAAAATAAACTGTCTGGTTAATAAAACTTTCCATCTTCTCCTCACTGTTTTGTACTGGTTGGCTTTCACTTCTCTAGTTTTTCTCAGTAAAAATAAACTGTCTGGTTAATACAACTTTCCATCTTCTCCTCACTGTTTTGTAATGGTTGGCTTTCACTTCTCTAGTTTTTCTCAGTAAAAATAAACTGTCTGGTTAATAAAACTTTCCATCTTCTCCTCACTGTTTTGCACTGGTTGGCTTTCAATTCTCGAGTTCTTGTCAGTAAAAATAAACTGTCTGGTTAATAAAACTTTCCATCTTCTCCTCACTGTTTTGTACTGGTTGGCTTTCACTTCTCTAGTTTTTGTCAGTAAAAATAAACTGTCTGGTTAATAAAACTTTCCATCTTCTCCTCACTGTTTTGTATTGGTTGGCTTTCACTTCTCTAGTTTTTCTCAGTAAAAATAAACTGTCTGGTTAATAAAACTTTCCATCTTTTCCTCACTGTTTTGTACTGGTTGGCTTTCACTTCTCTAGTTTTTCTCAGTAAAAATAAACTGTCTGGTTAATAAAACTTTCCATCTTCTCCTCACTGTTTTGTACTGGTTGGCTTTCACTTCTCTAGTTTTTCTCAGTAAAAATAAACTGTCTGGTTAATAAAACTGTCTGGTAAATAAATTTGGTGGGGGACAAGTAGCAAGGCTTCACGTGCCGTCCCTGATTTCGACTGATTGCTACAAAACGCGAAAAGATATGATGATGATGACTGTTTGCTTTACAAAGTTTGTTTACATTTAATCGAAAAATTACGCGATATGGACCGTTGACCATTACCATAATGTAATGGACCGGCAAAAATGTTTCTGAGCCAATCAATGCGCACCAATTTGCCGGAAGTGACGCATGCCTTGTAACAAACAATGGTAAGAGAGCATACAGCGGCGTAACGGTTGCGAAAAAAGACCGTTGCTACCCCAAGCATTAGCGGATTCAGCGTAGGTGAAAATAAATAATATCTCCTGTACTTTCATTTCAAAAACTCTATTGATTTTGAATTTCTAAGAAATATAATTTTACCAATGGACCTGGCTATAAGGTGCTTAGAAATGTAAATAATTGCCGAAGTGTGCTGCAGTAATTCATTTTGACGTACCCTAGATACGCTACTAGCCCTAGGCGACAATTATATTAAATAATACATCATCAAAGGATAAATTTTCGCGTAAGAGGTTAATGTCTTTGTCCATATTCGAAATCAAGAAATAAACATATGTGTTACGAGAAATATGCTAACCTTGGTGAAGTTATGTTGTTTTCGGAAATAGCAGAGCTCAAACTTGCACTACGAATAAAAGCGTCGTCACAATCGACACCAGGCATACTGCCCCAGAAATATATAGTGTCTTCGTCGGTACCAGTCAATGTAAAGTAGTCGCCACATTTAATCATCTGTTACAAACGGCAAAAGACATAAAAATAAGAACAAGATAAGTGAAGACATGAATGACATAAGAATAAAAACAAGACAAGTGAAGACATGAATGACATAAGAATAAGAACAAGACAAGTGAAGACATGAATGACATAAGAATAAGAACAAGACAAGTGAAGACATGAATGACATAAGAATAAGAACAAGACAAGTGAAGACATGAATGACATAAGAATAAGAACAAGACAAGTGAAGACATGAATGACATAAGAATAAGAACAAGACAAGTGAAGACATGAATGACATAAGAATAAGAACAAGACAAGTGAAGACATGAATGACATAAGAATAAGAACAAAACAAGTGAAGACATGAATGACATAAGAATAAGAACAAGACAAGTGAAGACATGAATGACATAAGAATAAGAACAAAACAAGTGAAGACATGAATGACATAAGAATAAGAACAAGACAAGTGAAGACATGAATGACATAAGAATAAGAACAAAACAAGTGAAGACATGAATGACATAAGAATAAGAACAAGACAAGTGAAGACATGAATGACATAAGAATAAGAACAAGACAAGTGAAGACATGAATGACATAAGAATAAGAACAAAACAAGTGAAGACATGAATGACATAAGAATAAGAACAAGACAAGTGAAGACAAAAATGACACAAGAATAAGAGCAAGACAAGTGAAGACATGAATGACATAAGAATAAGAACAAGACAAGTGAAGACATGAATGACATAAGAATAAGAACAAGACAAGTGAAGACATGAATGACATAAGAATAAGAACAAAACAAGTGAAGACATGAATGACATAAGAATAAGAACAAGACAAGTGAAGACATGAATGACATAAGAATAAGAACAAGACAAGTGAAGACATGAATGACATAAGAATAAGAACAAGACAAGTGAAGACATGAATGACATAAGAATAAGAACAAGACAAGTGAAGACATGAATGACATAAGAATAAGAACAAGACAAGTGAAGACATGAATGACATAAGAATAAGAACAAGACAAGTGAAGACATGAATGACATAAGAATAAGAACAAGACAAGTGAAGACATGAATGACATAAGAATAAGAACAAGACAAGTGAAGACATGAATGACATAAAAATAAGAACAAGACAAGTGAAGACATGAATGACATAAAAATAAGAACAAAACAAGTGAAGACATGAATGACATAAGAATAAGAACAAGACAAGTGAAGACATAAATGACATAAGAATAAGAACAAGACAAGTGAAGACATGAATGACATAAGAATAAGAACAAGACAAGTGAAGACATGAATGACATAAGAATAAGAACAAAACAAGTGAAGACATGAATGACATAAGAATAAGAACAAGACAAGTGAAGACAAAAATGACACAAGAATAAGAACAAGACAAGTGAGACATGAATGACATAAGAATAAGAACAAGACAAGTGAAGACATGAATGACATAAGAATAAGAACAAGACAAGTGAAGACATGAATGACATAAGAATAAGAACAAAACAAGTGAAGACATGAATGACATAAGAATAAGAACAAGACAAGTGAAGACATGAATGACATAAGAATAAGAACAAGACAAGTGAAGACATGAATGACATAAGAATAAGAACAAGACAAGTGAAGACATGAATGACATAAGAATAAGAACAAGACAAGTGAAGACATGAATGACATAAGAATAAGAACAAGACAAGTGAAGACATGAATGACATAAGAATAAGAACAAGACAAGTGAAGACATGAATGACATAAGAATAAGAACAAGACAAGTGAAGACATGAATGACATAAGAATAAGAACAAGACAAGTGAAGACATGAATGACATAAAAATAAGAACAAGACAAGTGAAGACATGAATGACATAAAAATAAGAACAAAACAAGTGAAGACATGAATGACATAAGAATAAGAACAAGACAAGTGAAGACATAAATGACATAAGAATAAGAACAAGACAAGTGAAGACATGAATGACATAAGAATAAGAACAAGACAAGTGAAGACATGAATGACATAAGAAGAACATGAAAATTGAAGAAAAGTAAACATGGCAAAAAAACGCACACCACCTTACCGTCACGTGTTTTCCAACCATCGATCTAACACAAGCAGGTGATTCGACAGTCTTCAGGTTACCCTGTCCTAACTGACCGTATCTATTATCTCCAAACGTATGTAGTTGTCCCGACTCCATGAGCACGCAACTATGAGTTGGACCCAGGCACATATCAATCACGATGTGTCGCGCTAAAACTTTGAGAGGGGTCGGTGTGTTTCGTCCTTCCACTTGAACCTGAAAATTGCGTACAGAAATTCATGACGTCCATGGAAGTTCATGGAAATAAAGGAGTATCACGCCATTAAACATAAGTTGGAGTTGAGTTCATAGAGAAACATAGAAAAAATAAGATACCACAATTTTACATCATTACACATTATGTTAAAGTTTAGTTTACAGAGAAACATACAAACAACAAGATTCCATAATTTTACATCACTAAAAATAATGTTGAAGTTGAGTTCGTAGAGAAACATAGAAACAACAAGTTTCCACAATTTTACATCATTAAACATAGTGTTAAAGTTGAGTTCATATAGAAACATAGAAACAACAAGATTCCACAATTTTACATCATTGAACCCATGCTAAATTTCAACAGAAATGAATAATGGATTTCATACCTTTGTCAAAAGATTCTTCATTTGAACAAGAAAGCCCTGTCGATTATTGAGACCAAGTTTATTGTTCGTATTTCTGTAAGTAATAAAACAACACGATACGTTTTTCAAAGAAAAAATGACACACAAAAAATCATCTCAAAGTCTCCGTACCTTCCACAAGCGTACAATGTTCCAGTATCAGTGAGAAACATCGTTCCATCCACACCACACCTCGATTTTGTGATTTTTACACGGTCGACAAACTCCACCTTTTCAGGAGACTTCCTAAAGGGATTACAGCGGTTTGTTGTGAAGAAACATATTATATAAGATGATCATTAATTTTCCTGAGAAACTAAATGGTACAGAATGGTACAGAAAAACCCACATTCATCTAAAAAGTCCATTCAATAAAACCCACATTCATCTAAAAAGTCCATTCATTAAAACCCACATTCATCTCAAAGGGGTTATTTAAGCGCATTAGAAAGGATCTGGTAATAACAGTTACATGTCAGGTCACACTGGTAACAACCTACCTAAGTTACTCAGCAAGGTACTGTACTATAGCATAAAGTTACATATCAGGTTACACTGGTAACAGCCTACCTAAGTTACTCAGCAAGGTACTGTACTATAGCATAAAGTTACATGTCAGGTTACACTGGTAACAGCCTACCTAAGTTACTCAGCAAGGTACTGTACTATAGCATAAAGTTACATATCAGGTCACACTGGTAACAACCTACCTAAGTTACTCAGCAAGGTACTTCACTATAGCATAAAGTTACATGTCAGGTTACACTGGTAACAGCCTACCTAAGTTACTCAGCAAGGTACTTCACTATAGCATAAAGCTACATGTCAGGTTACACTGGTAACAACCTACCTAAGTTACTTAGGAAGGTACAGTACTATAGCATAAAGTTACACGTCAGGTTACACTGGTAACAACCTACCTAAGTTACTTAGCAAGGTACAGTACTATAGCATAAAGTTACATGTCAGGTCACACTGGTAACAGCCTAACTAAGTTACTCAGCAAGGTACTGCACTATAGCATAAAGTTACATGTCGGTGACACTGATAACAGCACCTTACCTGTTGTTTTCGTCCCCAAGCCCCAACCGTCCATCCGTGCCGCAACCCCACGTGTACACACTGCCATCGTCACAAACGGCACACGTGATGAGGCCCACAGCTCAAGCTAACGGTATCTACAGCTAATAAACCTTCGACCAACTTTGGGCGGGAAACACTCGACCAATCACCGTGGCCCATGCAACCGTGATCACCGTCACCGCATGACATCACAATGCCATTATCAGTAAGCAGGACAGTAAAACGATCACCACAGCAAGCACTGAGAACAAAAAATTATGTAAAACTTTCACGATTATCTCGTTGAACTAAATACGTAAATGGATGGCTGCATTTCTATAAAAATGCCTGTACTTGTATAAAGCAAAATTTTGCCCCAAGACGCGCGTGTGTGGGGTTCATCTTTCCTCGGGAAGTGCGTGGAAAGGTTGAGACAAAATTATTTAAAACCCATTCTTCTAGATAGCTAAACACCGTGTCAAGGTGAGTTCAAAACTCGTCCAAGTCACATGTTTTTCATGTGCATATTAAAAACCGTGTTAGGATTAATATATTATGTATTCTCTGATGATGGCTTTGGAATAAAGTCGAAACACGGTGCCATCCAGTAAACTGCTATAGTGGCAAGAATCTCTCGTCTATACGCAGTTTAAAAGAGATTTGACTCGTCTCCACACCCTGTGGGCTTGGTAGCTCAACAGGTAGAACGGCGGACTAGTATCCCGAAGGTGCGAGTTCACATCTCGTCCAAGTCACATGTTTTTCATGTGCATATTAAAAACCGTGTTAGGATTAATATATTATATATATTCTCTGATGATGGCTTTGGAATAAAGGTGAGGCAAGGACGCCATCTTAAAAGGTGGCAAAAAGTAAAACTCAAAATGAAAAATAAGTTAAAACAAAGTTTAAAAAACCCATCCTATCAAACATTTAAAGAATCAAACCTAGACTATCAACTTTGCAAATGCATATCAACTCAGCAAAAGCAAATATTAGTCGTAAATATTGGTCAGTTTTGCCACTTTTCAAGATGACGGCTTGCCTCACTCATTATTATACAATATCAGCGGAGTCCGTTAACTAGTAGATTGGGTTCTAAATCATTGGTTAAGACTAGTCAAAATGCCGGCTTCAAATTTGGCGGGAGATAGCCTTCCACTTATATTCAATTCAATGCATTATCCTAAGCTTCATCATTTGAAAAATTATTTTACTTTACTTCTTAAACTTACGTTACAACATTTTTCCCTTTCACTCCGTCGATTTGCGTGGGTATATCTCTCGATACCAGGTCTCCGTGACCGAGCTGTCCCCGGCTGTTGTCGCCCCAGGTATATACGGCACTCTCCGATGATACCACGCACACGTGAGTCTTGCCAACACTCACCTTAATAATGAAAAAATATATGGTAATGAATAGCCGAAGATTATGAATGTCACTTCAAAGGCTTTGAAAAACTCAGAAGGATAGCAGTAGCGTAACCAGCCTGCGGATTTACTTTCGGTACGTAAATTCTTAATGAATTCCATTTCTTTACAAAACTATTGTTCTCGCCGTCAGTAAACACAAAAATACTTGCATAGCGAGAGCAAAAAGTCGGGCTGGCTACGTTACGGAGGGATAAAATTTAGGAAACAATGTTCATTTAGTGCAGTATGCTTTCAAATGATCTGTTTCTCAAGCAAGTCCTCGAAAAAGAGGTGGGTTCCCCCCGTAAACGATGTTCGTTTCAATCAAGTGGGGGTGGGGGTGGGGGTAGAAGAAGCTAATACTTACATCAACAAGTTTGATTTTTACAGGAAGATCGATGGGCAAAACAGCCGACATTGTTCCCAAATCAACATAATACAATATGGATCTGAAATAAATAACAGCATTTGCTAAAGAAATTACTACTTGAATGGCATCGCAATGAGCTTAGCTAACATGACGTACCGCCGTTTTTCTTTCCGTTGTGGATTCAGGGCGTTTTCCAAAGAGTTTGCATCGCATTCGTCAAACTGACAAAGCAGCTGCAAAAAAATGACAGAAATTCAACGATCTCTCCAACGATGTGGAGTTAACAAAATTTTGCCGGATCTTCAAAGGAAGGTCAACGGAAATGGCAACACGCAAATACCACTCTAAGAAAAGTTGCTGTCGTCCAATCGCAGGAATGAATCTACGATGCTTTAGTAAGAGGGAGGGGAGGGGGTTCGTGCTTTAGTTTGGATTACATTTCAGTAGCCACTTCTTGTTGTAACATGTCAGACATTGTTGTTAAATTCAGTTGCGTTTTTTATTATGATTGGAAGTGTGTTTCATTAAACATTAACGACAATTACGTTTGCCTGTTTTCCACAATTGGTTGGGAAATTCGCACCCCTTCATCAACCCTCTGGGCTTAGTTTGTAGGGAGGCCCACCCACTCCCCGAAATCCATTCCTGGTTAAATGTATTAATGAATCAGTTGGAGAGTGGGAAGGTGTTCTTTCAAGCGCAAGGAGTGTCAAAATAGGAAAACTTACAGAAAGGAATCTGTTCTCTGTTTAAACTTACTTCGTGAACTCTCGACACCAGTTCGGACGCGTTCGGCCGGTACTGCGGTTCGATTTGCAGACAATCGCGGACCTTGTATAAATCGAAATATAATACGATTACTTTAATTGTGGGAAAAATACATCTACCTTGTCCCTCGAGTAGGCAAATGAAATCATACCAAAGACTTGAAATCGTGACTGTAGTTTCCACGTATGGGAGCAAATTGACCCTAGTTATGGAGAAAATACAATCTTTCAATATATTTGGATTTACATAAGAGATACAGCTCTTGTTAAATGATGGCGACTTCTCACCATATCACTGACAACAGCTCTGAAGTTATTCAACTAATTTATTGATTTGATCGAAACAAGTAATAGTTTCCTAAACATGGCGATAGTAAGTCCTCTCACAAGCGGAGTGAATGAACTAAAACACCACCGGATGAAAGCCTTGGTATTATAAAACTCTTTATCGTCACTAGACTCAAGATTTGAGAAGTTATTCGAGAGTTTTAGTTTGGCGTTTACGGCAAACGGCAAACCTCAACTAACCGCTTGCCGTTAAGATTTGACGTTTGTAAAAACATTTGAAATTAGTTTGGCATTTTGCATCTGCATTTTACAACTCGCATTGTCCTGAGCTAAATTTCATGTTGTGTTAAAAGTTTGTCGATGAAAAAGGCATATTCATGTTTTAAACTCACATAAAAGTATAACTTTGAGCAATAAAACTCACGTTGTACTAAAAGTGCTAAAAAGCTTGCGGTACATCACCTACCGCAAGATGGGCCTCTAGCCGTAAAAACCTCAACCGCAAACCGCAAAGTCATGGTCACGTGACTCTTTTACGGTTTGCTGTAAACACCAAACTAAAACTCTATATTGAGTACAGTGACGTAGCCAGCCCTCAAATTTGTTCCTGCTATGTTAATTTTTCTGTGCTCACTCCCTGTAAAAACAACAGATTTCTAAAGAAATGAATAATGTTAATGTTCTAAAATTTACATAGCAGGACCAAAACTTGCGGGCTGACTACCGTCACTGATTAATGAAGTATAACATCACAGGGAAGTGGACGAATCACAACACACATTGATCCCACAACGTACCTTTACAATTTTATTTACAAGTGCGGGTAAATTTGTACTTTCAAACGTCTTCTGTTTGTTGGCCATTTCATAAAGGACACATCCCAGCGACCAAATGTCACTTTTCTCGTTGTAATCACGACCTTCGCACTACATCGAAATGAAACATCCACGGATGAAATAAGAAAACTCAAGAAATCGACACCCGGCGATAATATAGCTGGCAAGCAAAATCAGGGGGGAAAGACAGCGGGAAAACTTCAAGCGCAAGGAGATGCTTTAGGGTTTGCAAATAGAGGAGCTCGTGAAAAGCAACATTGAATCAAAATTTCAGGTGGAAAGTTTTTCAATACAAATCACGCGAGATAAGAGTCACGCGCGACATACACAATCACTTACAATTTCAGGAGAAATGTAGTAGGGAGTTCCAAGAACTGTGTTCGCGTTGCTTTTCGTATTACCGAGTTGCTTACTGATGCCAAAATCACCCAGTTTCACGTGACCTTCCAGTGTTAGAAATATGTTCTGCGTTTTCATGTCCCTAGAAAATGAAAATTTTTCAATCAATATGTCTTTATATCATTAACATCTAGCGTTTTCAGTAGGACCGATTAATTCTGGTCTGGTGCAAATATGTGATGTGATTTTGAAACTGTATGACGTCCTTATATAGTCCAGTCTAGTGTCTTTATAAGGAGTGATATGTAGTTGAAACTTAAGTCCTTATGTACTCCAGTCAAGTGTCCTCATCAGGAGTGATCTGATGTTGAAACTTGAGACCTTACATCAAAATTTGAGTTCTAATACACTCCAGTCTAGTGTCTTCATCAGGAGTGATCTGATGTTGAAACTTGAGTGCTTGTATACTGTCTTTATCAGGAGTGATCTGATGTTGAAAATTGAGTCCTTATATATTTCAGTCTAGTGTCTTCATCAAGAGTGGTCTGATTTTTAAACTTGAGTTCTTATACACTCCAGTCTAGTGTCGTCATCAGAAATGATCTGATGTTAAAACTTGAGTTTTTATATACTCCAGTCTTGTGTCTTCATAAGGAGTGATCTGATGTTAAAATTTGATCATATACTCCAGTGTAGTGTCTTCATCAGAAGTGATCTGATGTTAAAACTTGAGTCCTAATAATGCACAGTCTTGTATCTTAAGCCAGGAATCATCTGATGTAGGTACCTCAGCCCTTACCAATTAATCAATATATATAAATAATCTTCAACGCTCGATACCTGTGTAATATTTTATGCTGGTGAATGCATTGCAATGCGAGCACCATTTCATAAAACATCTTTAGGATGTCCTTTTCCTCCATTTCGCTGTCCAACTTTGCCAGGTACTGGGCCAAAGTCCTGAAAATGTTTCAAAAGTGAATATATTTCACGGGACCTTGAACCGCGTCAACTGACAACACGAACACGACACATCAACAAGTTTGCACGCAGAAATACAAAGAAACAACCACAAATATTTACCCTCCGTCAGCATATTCCATTTCAATCCATATCGTGCCATCCTCCTCGAAGCTATCGTAGCAATTGATGATGTTGGGATGGTTTAATTTCGACATGATCTTCGCCTATAAATAGACTGGGTCTTAGACATTGGGTCACACACATGCAACACTACTGCGTAAGAAAGATACCAAACTGGAAATGCAGTGATGGACGCTTTGAAAAATATTTGGCGGAGGGGGTGGGGAAGGGGTTGAGGGCTCGTCCCCGAGGCACAAGATTACACATAATATCCTACCATAACAACGAGTCAAAAACCCTTAATGCTTAATACAGGAAGGTGCACAGCACAGAAGTCTATCAAATAGTCATTATTTAACATGACAGTTTTATATAAGTGTGATTTGTGGTGTTTAGTGTAAGATTTTTAGTCTTTCGACATTATTGGGTGCGTGGGGGACGGGGCTAGAGCCATTTGAATGCATCATCTCCATCAGTGGCCGACACTAAGAAAAATATTCTTCATCATTTGAAATGTAACTTCCTGCATTATTCAAATACCGTAGGTACTTAAAACGGGGAGGAGAAAAAACTTTACATTTTTGGTTTCGCAAAGTCTCGCAAACAACGACATCGTCAAAATGGCCTTTTTCAAAGTCGCACATGATGTGCAATTAAAAAAAATCTTTCCCGATTTCCATGATACCTCGTTCGTTGCAAATTGTCTTTCTTGTGCTGTGAGATCATGCATGTTGATCTCCTTTAATATGACCAATGAATCGTCATCTTTCTTACGATATAACACGGCTGCGCCATACGCCCCTATACAAAGTAATAAAGAAATTCAGAGTAGCTGTTTCTTCCCGTTTCAAATTCAACAGAGGCATAGCTAGATAAAATAAATTTGCTTGCGGAAACTATGCCGCCCCAATGATGTCCTGGATCTCCAAACATAAACGGGGAACTACACCAAGCAAGTCCCTTGGGTTAGGAGTAAGGAACAACTGTAATTGAAATCGAGAGCATTTTTGAAAAATGCTAAGCCTTCAAAAAATTTGGTCACATTAATTATTATCGTTTGTCTAAGTTGCATGGACTACATTACAGATAATCAATTTTTGGACTTGCAGTTCAGTACTTGAAAATGGGAAGAAAAATATCGGAGGGGGGAAACAATAAAATTGGGTAAGGGCGATGCACCCCCTCTCACTTACAACCCCCCTCTCACTTGCAATCCCTCTCACTTGCAACCCTCTCACTTGCCATCCCCCTCTCACTTGCAACCCCTCACTTGCAACCCCCTCTCACTTGCAACCCCCTCACTTGCAACCCCCTCTCACTTGCAATCCCCCTCTTTCCTCTCACTTTCAACCCCCTCACTTGCAACCCCCTCACTTGCCCTCACTTGCAACCCCCTCTCACTGTAACCCTCTCACTTGTAAACCCCACTTGCCTCCTCTCACTTGCAACTCTCCCTCTCACTTGCAACCCCTCTCACTTGCAACCCTCCCTCTCACTTGCAATCCCCCTCCCCAGCACCATCACTGATGACATGTTTACCTTTTCCAACAACTCTGATCTTTTCGAAATTACTGATACTTCGAGGTGTTGCACCAGACCACTTCCGCAGCTTCTCGGATACAAAATACAAATCACCCGGCTCACAGCTATATATATATAAAGTAATAGGGACCTCTTTAGGGAAATGGAAAATGTTTGAATTTGGGGAGTTTGAATTGGCAGGAGCTTGAGTTAGCAAGACTTCGAGTTGACAGGAGTTTGCATAGGCGGGTGTTCAAGTTAGCAAAGGTATTGTTAAAATTCTTATGCGTCAATACAATACGGTGTTGTTGGGGTATTGTTAAATTTCTTATTTCAAGCATGTTGTTAAATTTCTTTAATAGGTCAATATTATCAATACAAGTGCATGAGGAATCTTGCTGTTAATTTACTAAAATTATATAGTTATGAAAATAAACTAGATCAATTAATAATGCCACACATGCTATTCAGAAATATCATGTTAAAAATAAGTTGACTAAGCTTCTTGCGAGTAATCAAGGTGCTTCACTAAAAACATTACTTGCAATAAGCTTAGTCAATTCATTATTAGCAAGATAAACTAGATCAGTTATATGAATGCTGCACATAATGCTAATGAGGAAAATTGTGCACAATGAACATTTGAAACCATGTACTTCATGTGAGCAAACTTGTGCACTTCCAACTTATAAAATTTCAACCCTTGAAGTTTACCTTTTAGCATTTCAAATGCAGGAAATGCAGGGAAATCACAACAGTTCATGAGAAATTCAAGTTAACCAAGTTGACCGTTGATGAAGTTAGAGTTAACTAATATAGATGTTTTAATGAACTAACTTAGTTCAAGATAAGTCCAAGGGGGTTAGAATTTACTTTGAATTAGTGGGGAAGTTTAACTCAACTGGGTTTGAGTTATATCGGGATTCCACCATATTACAATTCAACTAAAAAAGGTTTAACTACCTTACTGTAGGGTCCACAGAGCACATGCAATTCGATGTAACAAACAATTTACATAATTAAATTACACATACCCGACACCATCCTCGGAGTTTGACTGCTTCTTTCCGGAAATTTCTGGTCCCATGATATCTTTTGTCATGTTGATGCTCAATCCCTATGAACAACGAAGAGAAAACCTTCATAATAAACCTTCAAAAATATCGAAACAAAAAGTACTAAAAATGTTCTCATTAAAAATTTTTTTCTTAACATACTCAGGGGAGGATTTGGCGAAGGGGGTTGACAGGGTGGCTATCCACTGCCTTTGTTTAGTTGAAATTCTTAAAAAAAGCACTAAATGTTTTTGGTGGTTTACTATTTAAACTACTGAATTCGAATTGCCGGTAAAAGTAATTTAGAAAACATCAAATTAGTCGAAAGTGTGTCTGAAAGGGCAGGTAATGTTATCTCTGCTATGACAACTATGAAAATTATCCCTACCCCACTATGAAAATCATCCCTACCCCGCTACAACAACTATGAAAATTATCCCTACACTGCTATGACTACTATGAAAATTATCCCTACCCCGCTACGACTACTATGAAAATTATCCTCACCCCACTATGACTACTATGAAAATTATCCCTACCCCGCTACAACTACTATGAAAATTATCCCTAAACCGCTATGACTACTATGAAAACTATCCCTACCCCGCTATGACTACTATGAAAATTATTCCTACCCCGCTATGACTACTATGAAAATCATCCCTAACCCGCTATGACTACTATGAAAATTATCCCTACCCTGCATTAGTCTGTCAATAATATGGCATTATCTTAAGCTATGACTATGCTTGACTATCTTGCATTTCTCTTGATATAGCTTAGGCACGGATTGGTGGTCTCAAGAAATCAGCTCAAACCTACACTAGAATACAGTAAACTGCTCCATACCAGGGCTTTAGTGAATAATTTTAAATTCCTATATAAGAACAGTGACAAAACTACCCGACTTAAAATTTAGTACATTTCATCTACCTCATAATAAACAGCATGTCTATAAATTTGGTCTAAAAACCATCACCAAATCCCCATTCCACCTTTGTCTAAATATCTAAAAGACTATAAATCTCACCTCCAAAATGGCTTCCAATTCAGAGACAACATCTTGCCAATCCGTTGACAGCAAGACAGGACAGGATAAAAAATCTAGTCTGGATGATGGGTCACTTCTATCAATCAACATTCCGACTTCCTTGAAGAAATTTCTGACGTCTTCATCTTCATCAAGTGAAGGCTTTGATAGCACCTACAAGGATAATATTTTGAATGTTGAAGTGCTCTAACAGCAATTATGTGTCAAAGAAATTCTATTTGACAGATTCAATTACAAATTTTTGTTAATACGTCAGCTAGAAATCAAACTAATTCTTTGTCTAGCCAACCATGGGTATCATGAAGAGAGAAATTACAACATTCTAGTGTCTTCATCAGGAGTGATCTGATGTTGAAACTTGAGTCCTTATATACTCTAGTGACTAGAGTCTAGTCTAGTGTCTTCATCAGCAATAATCTGATGTTGAAACTTGAGTGCTTATATACTGTCTTCATCAAGAGTGATCTGATGTTGAAAATTGAGTCTTTATATACTTCAGTCTATTGTCTTCATCAGGAGTGATCTGATGTTGAAACTTGAGTCCTTATATACTGTCTTTATCAGGAGTGATCTGATGTTGAAACTCGAGTCTTTATATACTTCAGACTAGTGTCTTCATCAGGAGTGATCTGATTTTAAAACTTGAAACCTGAAACTAAAACTCGAGTCCTTATATACTGTCTTTATCAGGAGTGATCTGATGTTGAAACTCTAGTCTTTATATACTTCAGACTAGTGTCTTCATCAGGAGTGATCTGATTTTAAAACTTGAAACGTGAAGTTAAAACTTGAGTCCTTAGGTACATACCATGTACAGATTAGGCAAATGTAACGATATTAGTTAAGTACCAAGACATGATGCAATATCAAAACGTAACATTTAAATCATTGTGTGGACTGCCTTAAAGTATTTCTGATATGATTAGCCTGCCTCACAGTCTTCGCTCTTATCGGCATTGAGCACAATGAATGAGGCAAAAAAAAGGACAATAACTCTTTAATTTTTCATGTTCGGGATTTCATAACATAACACTAATGCTTGAGAGACGCTTGTTGAAAAACGTCGCCACGTTAGTTGCCAATAACTTTAGGATCAACACTAATTAGTGAATTTTATGAACTTTCAAGTCAACAATATTACGTAATTAATCGGCAGTAAGTAAATGTAAAACGAAAATGTGTTTGAAATTAAAACCAAAGATCATCGCGATTATTTCAGTCACTTTACGTGAAGCTTTGCAAAGAGTAGATCCTTCGAGAAGGTATCAACATATGTGTTTTTCACGATTATGGGGGGCGTACGAGTTTTTATCTCAACAATTCAACAATTATATCTCACGCGATCCCTACCTTTTCTCCATGCAAAGAACATAAAACCATACTTCCAGGATGGCCATGGGCTAAGAAAGCTATACTGACGGGCTTCGTACGCGTACAGGCGTCCTTTATTTTCACAAGCAAACTGTGCAAATCCTCACAATCCTGTTGATAGATCAACAAACTAACTCCGTTCAAAGCTGCCGTTTCTAAAGTCGACGGTTGTCGAATTTTCGATGAAACGACAACCAAACGTCGCACATTTGACGTTGCGGACACAGAAAGCAAGTTCGTGGACGATAAACCTCTGGATATACGCCTTGTATTTGCATCAGAATGTTCGTCCAGTTGATTCAAGCTTACGTTGTCTTTTTCAGGCGGTAATACTTTCGCCATAAGCCCTGAAAGGCGATATGTTTCTCACCCAGGTCTGCTACATTTTACGACTAAATTACAAGCATTCTCCCATCGTGTATTCATTTTTTTACTTGTCATAAAGATGGAGGATGAAGAGGATGTCTGAATTGCGCCATACTTTAAAGCCAGGAGCGAATATTCAACAAGAGAGCATTGAATATTGACACACACTTGATGACATACTCCTCCTAAAATATTGACTTCTCAGTTCTTACTTTGTCTCCGATTTACAGAAGCGCTCAAAATTCTAAAGATAGAAGGAAACTGCACACTCAAATAAATAATTCTCTAAAAAATAATCAATAAAAGTGACTGTCCAAGTCAGTTCTTTCGAAACATTCCCAGAATAATAAGTATTTTTGTTTGATAATTTCAACCGGATATTTTCCCGTTATATGCAATAGTGAATACAACTTTTAAATGATTTCAACCCGATCGGCGATTTCATATTACCCGACGATGACGTCATTTTACATTAGCAAAACGTCATTTTACCAAAATTTACCCGACCAATAATATGGTATGGACGATATAGTGCGAATGGTATGGATGGTAATAATAAATACAACTACTCCTCACTAAAATCACGGGAACCATTTTTTATCAAATTTCCATAAATATTTTCAAGAATCAAAATTCAATATCCTTTCTATTTAGCAGTCGCCATTTTCCGCGCCTCATTTTTAAGTTCGAATGTACTTTCCGCTGATCATAACTGTAGCTACGGTATTCAATGCTTCGAAGGGATTTTTTCACTTCGCAAGACCTAGAGTGCTCGAGCAGAAATGCGTGTTTCTTCAGATAAAGTTGATCTAAATGACCTCTTTTCTGGCGTTCGAATGTTTAGAAGAGGCGTTGCCTCCGTCTTGCAACTCTTATCACACCCTGTCACAATAACAGCACAGCATGGCACCTTCCGCTGGTAATGGCTGCATGCTTTCATGACGTTATTCACAGAGTATTTTATCCAGATTTTCCAGAGGAAGAGAATGACAAGTACGAAGACAAAAACAAAAAGAAGAGGCAGGGGGGTGCAAAGGGAAAAGAAAAAGAGGATGATTTTTCGTCATTTCTGTCATTCGCATTCATTGAACGATTATCGAGCAGATCTTGAAATATCGTTTTTATATAAGACACTTTTTTAGCAGTGACCGATGGATCTTGGTTTGTAATTCATTTTCCTTACAAGACCAATTAACTAAAAAAGGTCAGCGACCGTAGGTCGATATTCAACCGCTCCCCGTCCCTTTGCTAAAAGTAGACCTTTAAGCAATAATGTAGGGGTAGAGTACCTTCGACTAATGTAGACAACCTTCGACTAATGTAGGGTAGAGCAGACCTTTAAGTAATAATGTAGGGGAGTGTATTATATTGCGATATTAAAACGTGAGATTACCTGTATACTGGGTACAAGATATTAGAAAACGGCATCTTAGATTTAAAGCCGTCACTGAATAAGTAGCAATTTGTCCGTTTATAAAATAATCTTGACTGATTACATTGAAATTCTGTAGATACATATTGATCATCCTGTTTAGTGGGTCCTGAGAAGGTTGTTGGTGTCGACTTATGTCATCTTCAGAGTCAATGGATGAGTCAATGTCACGTTCTACAAGCACGGGACGAAATTATTCTCATGCATATGGCAAAAACATAACGGCGCTGTAATTTATAAAAGCCAAAAACAATATAAAAACAATATATTTCGATAATCTACGTATCATCTTCAGGTTACAAGAAATTAACATGTCAGTGACAAACCTTTTAAAAATCCAACATGCTAATTAACACTTATCAACCGAATCAACCGAAGCAGAGAAAAAGTTTTTGAAATTATTTACGTTATTAAAAATATTCGTGGAAAATCACTTTAAGTAGTAGAATAAGAAACATACATACGAAATAAAAAGCTCATGTTTAAATTAACGCAAAATTTGAGAAGGCAACAAGATAATTTTTACTTTAATAGTAATATTTCGAATTTATTACAAATTCATGATCACATAGCGTGACTTAGAGTCTGATGACAATAAATTCGAAATAGGACCATTAAAATAAAAATTGTCTTGTTTGCCTCTCAAATATTGAATTAAAAAGTAACTTTTATTCGGAGTATGTTTCAAATACTATATAAAATTGTCGACTGGAAATGGATTTTGGTAAAATCACTTTAATTTAATGACGTTCTTACGATGGAAATTGTGTGTGTACTTATTTATGAGTACTTGAAGATCTCCGACACAACTAATGACTCTAGGCCTAGAAGCATGGATTGATGCCATTAAACCATCTCTTGAAGAATGTGTGTCAACCAAGATGCATTGCGCATCCAAAATCCTCCAAAGTTCTTTGGTTGTGTTTTATTTCATGCAAATGACTAGCATGATGCTGAAACCAGCTCAAACCATTTGAAATTTCCTGGTTCCTGGTGACCGTTCCTTGATTTGGAAATTTGCAGATACAACTGTAAAAACTTAGCATGTGATATATCATAAGCGTTCAAGCGAGAAGCTAAATTTGTGGGTGTCCTTTCAACATGCGACACCTGCACTCTAAAGTTGTGGGTGCGCGGACACACACGGCTTCCTAAGTCCCTGCCTTCTGAAATAGTCGAAATCATAACGCAGTAGTTCTTAAAACCTGGTTCTCAAATAGTCGTCCGAGTCGTTTCAGTCGTGCCAAAATTTCACAGACGACCCGTGCGACCATATGAGAACATATCAGAGGCGAGAGGGATGACCTCAAATGACTTACACGACTGAAACGACCAGGATCGCTTGGATAGAACTTTGCTCTATCCGGACGAACGAAACGACTGTTGAGAAATGCAAGCGACCTTTTTATGGCGCAAAAAGATTTGAAGAAGCAAATAACCAGCCAAAAGACTTTGTCTTTCATAAACAACAGCCGCCAGTTTTAAATGTTTCGCGTAAAAATTAATTAAACAGTCTCGCGGCGGCGCTAGTACGAATATAGGAAAGTACAATAGCTTGAGTCGTCCCAGTCGTTTTGAAAAACAACGAAAGAACTCGAAACGACTCGGATGACTCAAGTGACTTAATGAGAACCAGGCTTAAAAGAACTGTTTGAAACAAGAAGATCAACCCAATATAGTTCTAAAAAAGCTGTTTTAAAGCTACAAGCTTTAAAGCAATGCTGAAATGCATCGGGCCTTCCACCTTTGAAACAGTTCTTTTAGAACAATATACGGTCAGTGTTCTTGTTTGAAACAGTTCTTTTAGAACAATATACGGTCAGTGTTCTTGTTTGAAACAGTTCTTTTACAACAATATACGGTCAGTGTTCTTGTTTGAAACAGTTCTTTTAGAACAATATACGGTCAGTGTTCTTGTTTGAAACAGTTCTTTTAGAACAATATACGGTCAGTGGTCTTGTTTGAAACAGTTCTTTTAGAACAATATACGATCAGTGTTCTTGTTTGAAACAGTTCTTTTAGAACAATATACGGTCAATGGTCTTGTTTGAAACAGTTCTTTTAGAACAATATACGGTCAGTGGTCTTGTTTGAAATGTTCTTTTAGAACAATATACGGTCAGTGGTCTTGTTTGAAACAGTTCTTTTAAGAACAATATATGGTCAGTGTTCTTGTTTGAAACAGTTCTTTTAAGAACAATATACGGTCAGTGTTCTTGTTTGAAACAGTTCTTTTAAGAACAATATACGGTCAGTGGTCTTGTTTGAAACAGTTCTTTTAGAACAATATACGATCAGTGTTCTTGTTTGAAACAGTTCTTTTAAGAACAATATACGGTCAGTGTTCTTGTTTGAAACAGTTCTTTTAGAACAATATACGGTCAGTGTTCTTGTTTGAAACAGTTCTTTTAGAACAATATACGGTCAGTGGTCTTGTTTGAAACAGTTCTTTTAGAACAATATACGGTCAGTGGTCTTGTTTGAAACAGTTCTTTTAGAACAATATACGGTCAGTGGTCTTGTTTGAAATGTTCTTTTAGAACAATATACGGTCAGTGGTCTTGTTTGAAACAGTTCTTTTAGAACAATATACGGTCAGTGTTCTTGTTTGAAACAGTTCTTTTAGAACAATATACGGTCAGTGTTCTTGTTTGAAACAGTTCTTTTACAACAACATACGGTCAGTGTTCTTGTTTGAAACAGTTCTTTTAAGAAAAATATACGGTCAGTGTTTTTGTTTGAAACAGTTCTTTAAGAACAATATACGGTCAGTGTTCTTGTTTGAAACAGTTCTTTTAGAACAATATTGTTTCAGTCAGTTCAGTTTTAGAACAATATACGGTCAGTGTTCTTGTTTGAAACAGTTCTTTTAGAACAATATACGGTCAGTGTTCTTGTTTGAAACAGTTCTTTTAGAACAATATACGGTCAGTGTTCTTTTTGAAACAGTTCTTTTGAAACAGTTCTTTACGGTCAGTGTTCTTGTTTGAAACAGTTCTTTAAGAACAATATACGGTCAGTGTTCTTGTTTGAAACAGTTCTTTTAGAACAATATACGGTCAGTGTTCTTGTTTGAAACAGTTCTTTTAGAACAATATACGGTCAGTGTTCTTGTTTGAAACAGTTCTTTTAGAACAATATACGGTCAGTGTTCTTGTTTGAAACAGTTCTTTTAGAAAATATACGGTCAGTGTTCTTGTTTGAAACAGTTCTTTTAGAACAATATACGGTCAGTGTTCTTGTTTGAAACAGTTCTTTTAGAACAATATACGGTCAGTGTTCTTGTTTGAAACAGTTCTTTTAGAACAATATACGGTCAGTGTTCTTGTTTGAAACAGTTCTTTTAGAACAATATACGGTCAGTGTTCTTGTTTGAAACAGTTCTTTTAGAACAATATACGGTCAGTGTTCTTGTTTGAAACAGTTCTTTTAGAACAACATACGGTCAGTGTTCTTGTTTGAAACAGTTCTTTTAAGAACTATTACGTTATTATTTGGATAGTTCATCAGGGTATTTGATATTTTTAAAACAATTTTTTACGTGAGTGTTTTTTATAATTTGGTTTTTAATAACGCAAATAATTTTAATTCGAAATCAAATACAGCCCAATAAAATCCAACGCTGTCTAATGAAAACTAATGTTTTCCAATGAAATCCAATATTCACCAATGAAATCCAACATTCTCCAATGAAATCCAGTATTCTCCAATGAAATCTAGTATTCACCAATGAAATCCAGTATTCACCAATGAAATCCAGTATTCACCAATGAAATCCAGCATTCCCCAATGAAATGCAGTTTCGTCGGTATCAGATCCTCAGATTTGGTCTCAGTTATAGACAATCTCATTAATCCCACATCAAGTCAATTTTACATTTTGGTAAATGAAAATCGTCCAGGTTGGTAGAGTCTTGAGAAGGACTGTTTTTGTTGTTGTTGACTGACGTTTCGACAACCTTAGCGGTAGTCATCTTCAGAGTCAAATGAAGAGTAAACGTCAGGTTAGCCGTATTTGTTATCTGGTTCTTACGTCATTGTATTGTTTGTAATCCGTGCTCGTATCAGTCGTCTGCTGGTGGATTTGACAATCTGAGTAGCCTCTTTTGTGTTCATCGGGGACTTAATTCTAAGTACTGCCGGAGCGAGACCAAAATCCTTGCAACGGTGGTTTAACCAGAGTTGTTGGCGTATGCGTCTGACGTTGCTTGCAAAACGTATGTAGTCGTTAGCAAGTTGTTCGCTCTGTCGTCCAAATGATCGTAATAAAGTAAACGATTTGAGCCTCTCGTTCCAGCAGGACTTAGAGGTAAGTCCCCATTGAACACACAAGAGGCTATTCAGATTGTCAAATCCACCAGCAAACGACTGATACGAGCACGGATTATACACAATACAATGACGCAAGAACCAGATAACAAATACGGCTAAGCTGACGTTTACTCATCATTTGACTCTGAAGATGACTACCGCTAAGTTTGTCGAATCGTCAGTAAACAACAACAAAAACAGTCCTTCTCAGGACTCTACCAACCTGGACTATCTACATTTACAAACATGTAACGATACCCCCGGGTTCAAACCGTTTACTTTACAAGGCAATTTTATCATTCATAATATACATTCAAAAAGTAATTTTAAGACAACCTTGGTTTCATACATCAGTATCAAGAGCGATTGCAAAAGTGTCTGCATTTGACAAACTAAAGCGAATGGAGCCCTTTCTTTTATTTGTCGAGGCATCGAAGCTTGGTGAAATTGACATTCCTTTGATACAAACGAGTTTGCTCAACAACGCCTTATAGTCGCGTCTAAATTCTGAACTGTAAACACCATACAGGAAGGGATTGACGAAAGAATTGGCGAAAGAAAACGCCACGAGCCAAAAGTGGAGAAGACCATTTGCATCGTTCAGGTTCAGTTTGCTTAGCATAAAGCTGACGCGACTGGGCAACCATCCAATGACGAGTGCGCATGACGCAGCCAAAGCGATAATCGTGATGCGTTTCGATATTGCTGCACCACGTCCCTGTAACAGATTCGGCATTTTCTTGACCTTGTATAACATATGAAGGTAAAGGAGAAGAATTGTCGTAAACGGTAAAACACATTGTAACGTTATGTCGATGTAGGGAAAAGGACCTTCGCCGATGTTGAGTTTAGTCCACTTGCAGGTGCCTGATAAAGAAACAACGAGAACTCACTTGATTAAATTTTGGTAACAACAACCAGGTAAAGCAGAAAATTTTAAATAAGACAAAATAAAACAAGTTACGAATATAGACATCAAGATAATAAGACCTTAATAACCGAGCGCGAGGTCTTTACGGAGAAATATCGGACCGAAGTTTTTTTGTACATACCGAGTCTGTAGGGCGAGTTTATTAGAAGGTTTATTATATGGCATTATTTGACCTAAAACGAAGCTTGTTTTCATTCTCGTTCTTGTTGTTTTGTACGGATTACCTTTCACTCTTTTAGTTTGCTTCAGTAAAAAATAAATCGTTTCAAACTGTATCGTCTGGATAGTTAAACTGTTTTCCCTTCGACTGACATTCGTAAATGTTTTTTTGTTTCGTTTCTCTTTCGTTTTGCTGTTTGCTTTACGAAGTTTGTTTACATTTACTCTAAAATTACGCAATTTGGACCGTGGTCAATTACGGAAAATAATGTACCGGCAAAAATGTTTCTGAGCCAATCAAAGCACGCCATTTTGCCGGAAGTGACGGTTGCCATAAGATAGATTATACAATTTTTATTTTGTATCGGTCGAAGCTTCAGCAAGTCGACAACAATGAGACCATGACAATGTGTCAGCTTTCTGGAGATGACGGTTTATGAGAGGTTATAAGAGATAACAAAGTATTGGCAATGATCCGAAAGTAGGGTCGGCTTCCGAGAGATGTCCGTAAGTTATGGTTCGACTGTCTAGCCGACAAACATTGGCAGCACAAGTGACAATAAAAAATAGAAATAATTTAGAAATTGGCCTGCGACATGCACTTTAACACTTATGAACCTTTCATCTTGAAATTTACCAGACAATATGCGTCAGAATTGCAAGTCAAGAGGAAAGCAATCAATTTGCATACAGTTGAACGGACAACACTTGGAAGCAAAAACCTCTCGTAAAACGTATGCGGACACTACACTTTCGGGTCCTTGCAAATACCTTAGAATCTCTAATAAATTTTCATGAGCAGACACCTCCCTTAAACGGATGACAGGTTGAGGTTCTAGGGGTGTCCGCTTAAGAGAGACTAGACTGTAATTGCGGTACACAAAGCAAAGGTTTAACAAAAAGTTCCATCTACTTTTCCAGAACAACCCTCTGTTTTGGTTAGAGGATATATAATCAATAAGCTTTTTCGTGTAGATGTTGCAAATCTTAATGGCTCGATGTTAATGTAATGTTTTAACATGTCCTTAAATAATAACATTTAAACAAATATTGGCATACCTTTTTCAAAGTCGGGTTTCGCTCGGAACAAAGTCGTGGCTTGGATTAGAAGGCCCCAAAACCAGACAAACCCGACAATAATTACGGCTTGAGACGGCCTCATCTTTCGATATATGTTCGGTTTCACGATCGCCAACCACCGCTCGATTGCGAGAACGAGACAAGTATAGATAGAAACGTATCCAAGACCAAACAGAATACAAGCGTTCCAGATGGTACTGCAGAACAGCGTTGCTGATATCTTGTTCGCAGGCATGTCGGGAAGGTAAAGGTAACGACTGAAAATAAGAAATATCGCCGTGATGACGTCGGTACAGGCTAAACTGAAGATAAAGATATTGTAGGCCTTCTTAAATACGCCACGTTTCATTAGCATAACACCAAGTACCATGAGGTTACCGAAAAATGAAAGAATAACGATCGTTGAGAATATGAAGTAGGTAGCAGTAGTGTTGCCTTGAGACTCATCGTTTCTCTTGAAACTTCGCGCGGAATAAAAGTGCTCAAATTCGAACTGTGATACAAGCTGTGACGACTTTGGCAATAGAAATCTGATTTCTGTTTCTCTCATTTATACTTCCTTGTGGCTAATTTCGATTCTATGAAAATGAGAACGTGGACAAAGAATGGCGTGAGTAATCGAACAGTAAAATTTTTTTCCCCTTTCCGTTTGATCATCTATGTTAAGCCAAAATCCGTAGAAGACGTGAAAAAACGTCCGTGTGTCTGTTGTGAGTTGGCTACAGGATGGAAGCTGGCTTTCAAAGGGATCAAACGGACAGCCCCCCACTGGTTTTGATTAACGATTTTCACTCTTATTTAAACATTATATTTAAAAACCACAACCACTCATTTTTCTCCTTCCTACGCATGGCAGAGTCGTTTCGCATCAACCTGTCGAAGTGATTCCTTGTTATGTGCTGGTTCTCATGCAAAACCTAAAGTAGGCTAGACAGCTACACTCCGTGTTTTAATAATGCCCAATTGAAGAACTGAACGTATTATTGACTTTTTTGAATCAGTGACGTACAGAAGAAAGAACATATTTCTTTGAAGTTTAATAATTTGTATCCGTGAAAATTGCTTAGTAAGAACAAGTTTGTGTTTATCAACGAGGCACGAGTTTATATAACTCTTGTATTGAATTTCCGCAATTGATCAAAGCAATAGACTTGCTGCTAAATCTGGATAAAGCTTTGTTGAAAAATTACAAATTCGTCGTCACAAATCGTATTTTGAGGCAGAGTTTTCAGGCACACATGCAACACGTGGGTAAATAAATAACTTGCAAAGCAAAGGCGAAAACTTCGTGATTCTTCAGATTAATATTATTTTGAGTTATTAAATAAAATCAATAAAAGCGTGCGCTTATTGGTCTATAGCTGTGTTTGCTTTAGCCTGAGCAAAACGATCTGAGCTCAACCAATCAAATCGATCAATCAATCAAAAGAATTTGCGAATCAAACATGAAAAATTTTAAAGAAAACGTTTGTTTTAAAATTGTCTGTTTAGCATTATTGAGCTATTTTTAATTCATCGAATTCAACACATTAGCAGCTATAAAACATTTGCTCAGTTGACAAATTTAAAAAGTTACAGTTGTAAATAAATTAAAAATTTCAAAAAATAATGACAAAAAAATAATGTTGAAACGAGTGTTAGATATGTACATTACATGAACAGCGGAGCTTTTTTTCGATTGGGGAGGAAGTGCTCACGAAAGAAACGAACGTGGATATTAAGAGCAGCTGAGTAGTTTTGGGTTTCAGCGTTATCTTGAGATTGCTCAAATTCTTTTATAAAAATTTACAGAAATATCACAGAAAATCGTGGAAATATTTTGCAACTTTTTACATTTTTTTAAGCTTGTCGTTATTCTTTTGTTTGCAGTTATTCGTGGAGTACTAACTGACAATGAATACTCCATAAGAATTGAAAATCTCAAGCGGATTTCTTTTCAATTTCTCGCAGGTGCCGCTGAAGAACAAAATTATTTACAGAACAGTGGAATAGGGTTTGTTTTTGATGTGGTTGAGAGATTTGAGCGAAAAATATAATAATATTTAGGAATCAAAATATGAATGTAATAACCTGTCCCGAATCCTACATCAAGCATGGAGGTATGAAAGAAAAAATTTGCAATATTAAATGTTAACATAGCATCGACGATAAAGAAACTTCCTTTTCATTATCAACTACATCACATCTTACCTTTGTTCTTTAATTGAAAAACGGACACAATAAGGCGACTGAAGAAATACACCTTACACAAGCAGAGAAAAATTAAGATACGTTTAAATCAGACGAACAAAAGAGTTGTGGCTTCCGCAAGGTTTTACTTGCAAATGCTGGCCAAGGCTGTCAGCTTCCTTAAATGTACAGTCCCATATATAGTATATACAAACACTTATGCCATCTGCCCCAGTTATTCAACATTTTATAGAATTTGTTTTGCGTCACATCCTATCCTTTACGAATCAACAATAATACTTTAAATATGTTAGGAAATTTGGATGCTGTGGTTGGTTGACGAAGAAAAGTTATAGAAGATAAAGTTTTTGATATTTTAGAGAAATACCTCTGTTTATAGCTACGACGCAACCAAGCACAAATAATGCATCTAATGTGGGCAAACACGGCAAAACAGGTTAATGACTTCAAGTGCTCAATAAAAAAAATTATATTATGAATGTTTTATGCAGTGCGGTGTTTGAAATTAAATGAAGATATGATCTTCGCACTTTGTTGGACAATTTAAGCAATCGTCTCAGGAACCTGAAAAAATCAGGTGACTCAACGGGAATCGGACCCATGACCTCTGCGGTGCCGGTGCAGTGCTCTGACCAACTGAGCTATGAAGTCAAACAGTAGTGAGCAGTGTAAAAATTATATTGTTACAATATAAAACGTATTTTAAGTTTTTGACTATCAACTTTACCAACAGAAAATTCAATTTTGCTGACAGTCATTAGCAAAATTTTAGGCCCTAAATACAACAAATTGTGTCGGACTGAACTATACAGTAAAATTTACTACGTTATACCAGCTGTACCTTTATTGCCTACTGGTGTTTGTTTAAACGATGGACACAATACGACAGCGGCGCAAATACAGTGAAAAATGACAAGAAAAACAATGCTTTAAGGAATAATGACTTCTTTATTAAATAATGTTCAAGCGATTGAGTTTAGCATAAAGAATCAAAAACAACATAATTTCGATATAAATTTTAACTTGGTATATGAGAAACTTTTAGTTTATGCATTGGACGGCCACTTTCTGGGATATTATATCAAACTAAATTAAAACTAGATATGATGATTTTAATTTAGGCAATTTTTACAATTTTTTTCGTAGTATAGCTTTTTTAATTAGTTCTTAAGTGTTGTTCTTAAGTCTGCGTTCTGATGTGAAGAGGTGCACCGAAAACATGTAGAAACATATAAATTTCGAAATATCACAATATTACATTAAAATTAGTTGTATTATAAGGCCTTTACTAATTGTGAAGTCTTAAAGAGAAATATCGGATCATTTAATTCTTTATGAGCAGATCGCAGGCTCGAAGAGCGAATAACCGAAATAGGTAATATAATAAAAGGTTTATTATAATGGATTATTTTAACTGAAACGAAGCTTTCTTTACTTTTTTGTCCTCGCTGTTTTGTAAAAGTTGGCATTCATACCTGTTTTATTTTTGTTATCAAAATTTCTGCTATTTGCTTTTCGAAATTTGTTTACGTTTGTAAAATTACCTGTAATGGCCGCCGACATGAATTGTTATTAATCAGAGACTATATATGGTCATTGTCCACATTAAGTCATTAACAGCATATGTAATAACATGGTTGCCTCGAGATCTTTTGTTATCACATAGACGTTTACTGACATATTCCCATCATAATATTCATTAGGGACGTTTAGACTAAATATCCCGAATGCATGAATAATAAAACAAAACACCAATTCTTGGATTGCCTCCAATCTTCAAGAAATTATGAAACAATGTGACCCACCCACGTCGGGTGGTGTCAAAAATGGCTTTCATAAGATATTCTATTGTATTTGACCAGAAACATGGTGGCGTGACGTAACACGCAATCCACCTATATTATTTTCAAATTCTATTTTCGTTATGTAGAATTAGCTTCAGGTTGCATCTTCATTTTTCCACAGGTTGATCACTTTCAATTCTGCTCAATAAAAAGTTTGACAGCTTGATATCTTCAGCACGTCCTTTTAAACCACAATAATTTCAGGGCAAGTTTACTAAGTTGGAAGTCATTTCGATCGACTGTTGTTACGTCGTTATTTGTTCAGTTTGAAACACGAATAATTTTGCCATATTATTCAAAATCACCAAATTTGAAGTATTACAAACCTTTGTGTCTTACAATTTATGTCGTTGAGTGAAAACAGAAATCGTCTTTCCCTCGCATCAGAAACTTTTTTGTTTCAAGCTAACAGTTAGCTGAGCTTACTTAGGGAAAGAAGTGATCAACCATTAATAAATTCAACAATAACCAAACTACAGTATATGTAATTGCAAAGGTACATAGCTTCAACAACAGAATTCACAATTGAGTAGCTAGGTGAATTGTTTATTCTATCACTGACCATGAACAATGTATGCTTCAAGCAACACGTGGGTAAATAAATAACTTGCAAAGCAAAAGGCAAAAACCTCGTGATTCTTCACATTAATATTATTTTGATTTATTAAATAAAATCAATAAAACGCGTGCGCTTATTGGTCTATAGCTGTGTTTGCATTAGCCTGAGCAAAACGATCTGAGCTCAACCAATCAAATCGATCAATCAATCAAAGAGAATTTGCGAATCAAACATGAAAACATTTTAAAGGAAAGCGTTTCTTTTAAAATTGTCTGTTTAGCATTATTTTGCTTTTATAAAAGAAATAAAAGGTGTTTTTCGTGTTTGTAGAAGCTTATGCAAACCTTGGAGACGTTGTGAGAACTCTCAAGCGGATGCTGCCCTCAACCTAGGGTTTGGGGCTAGCATTGACCTGCTCTCGAGCTCTTCCAAAGGTCTCCTCGATTTGCATAGGCCTGTACAAACACAGTAAATATCTTTTAGTTCTTAGTTGCTGTTTCATTTTGTTGTCATATGTTCAACTAAGGCGAAATTAATTGCATATCAGAGGCAGGTGTCTTCTTGCGTGCTAAAAAGACAGACGGGATCTTAAACCTTTATAATTTGGATGGCATCAGACGGTAACGCTTCCGACAAGTAACAAAACTGTCTCAAACATTGTCGAGCTTATCACCGAACTTGAATAATAAAGTTTTTTTAATGTCTATCGCTAACAACATAAGGAATATTTTTCGTGCAATCCATTTATGATTCATTGACAGAACCAGGTATATTTTGAAGAAAATGATTCACAAAGGAAAATGTTGCTGTATAATCATACTTCAACCAGAAGAAAGCTTTGGAAATGACCGCAGACATTTAAGAAAAGATAATGCATAGCTCTTTTCACTATCGAGATATCGCGGTTTTTGAAATCTCCAATTTACGCTACTATTGAGGTCGCAATGCATATTGTGAACTTGAATTATTAAGTAAATTTGCCGATTGGTTATTTCAGCCTCCGCTAAGTTGCAAAAACCGTTAACTGTCTCGAAAAATTCTGCCTAAGCATAACATCAAGTAATACCGTAAATGGTTTGAACCCGGGAGTATCGTTACATGTTTGTAAATGTAGATCATCCAGGTTGGTATAGTCCTAAATATTTCACTTCACACTAATTCACAATGACAATACACATTTCCTGTACACACAATACAATGACGTAAGAACCAGATAACAAATACGGCTAACCTGACGTTTACTCCTCATTTGACTCTGAAGATAACTACCGCTAAGGTTGTCGAAACGTCAGTCAACAACAACAAAAACAGTCCTTCTCAGGACTATACCAACCTGGACGATCTACATTTACAATCATCAAACCGCTAAGGTTGTCGAAACGTCAGTCAACAACAACAAAAACAGTCCTTCTCAGGACTATACCAACCTGGACATTCTACATTTACAAACATCAAACCGTTAAGGTTGTCGAAACGTCAGTCAACAACAACAAAAACAGTCCTTCTCAGGACTATACCAATCTGGACGATCTACATTTACAATCATCAAACCGCTAAGGTTGTCGAAACGTCAGTCAACAACAACAAAAACAGTCCTTCTCAGGACTATACCAACCTGGACGATCTACATTTACAATCATCAAACCGCTAAGGTTGTCGAAACGTCAGTCAACAACAACAAAAACAGTCCTTCTCAGGACTATACCAACCTGGACGATCTACATTTACAATCATCAAACCGCTAAGGTTGTCAAAACGTCAGTCAACAACAACAAAAACAGTCCTTCTCAGGACTATACCAACCTGGACGATCTACATTTACAATCATCAAACCGCTAAGGTTGTCGAAACGTCAGTCAACAACAACAAAAACAGTCCTTCTCAAGACTATACCAACCTGGACATTCTACATTTACAAACATCAAACCGCTAAGGTTGTCGAAACGTCAGTCAACAACAACAAAAACAGTCCTTCTCAGGACTATACCAACCTGGACGATCTACATTTACAATCATCAAACCGCTAAGGTTGTCGAAACGTCAGTCAACAACAACAAAAACAGTCCTTCTCAGGACTATACCAACCTGGACATTCTACATTTACAAACATCAAACCGCTAAGGTTGTCGAAACGTCAGTCAACAACAACAAAAACAGTCCTTCTAAGGACTATACCAACCTGGACGATCTACATTTACAATCATCAAACCGCTAAGGTTGTCGAAACGTCAGTCAACAACAACAAAAACAGTCCTTCTCAAGACTATACCAACCTGGACATTCTACATTTACCAACATCAAGTAATACCGCTGTGAAGGTGAAGGATATTTGAAGATTTGCGGTTACTCGTGCATTACGCCATTTGACGTGACTGAATAAGTAGCAATTTGTCGGTCTATAAAATAATCTTGACTGATTACATTGAAATTCTGTAGATACATATTGTTCGTCCTGTTTAGTGGGTCCTGAGAAGGACTGTTGGTGTCGACTTATGTCATCTTCAGAGTCAATGGATGAGTCCATGTCACGTTCTACAAGCACGGGACGAAATTATTCTCATGCATATGGCAAAAACATAGCGGCGCTGTAATTTATAAAAGCCAAAAACAATATAAAAACAATATATTTCGATAATCTACGTATCATCTTCAGGTTACAAGAAATTAACATGTCAGTGACAAACCTTTTAAAAATCCAACATGCTAATTAACACTTGTCTACCGAATCAACCGACGCAGAAAAACGTTTTTGAAATTATTTACGTTATACATAATAGTGTGTATACTTGCAAATACGTCAAGATTACGACACACTTAATGACTTATGATTAAAAGAATAGATTGAAGAATGTGTGTCAACCAAGATGCATTGCGCGTTAATTATTGCGTGACGGCCATGGTGACCAATGAACTCTAGTACAGTTGTTATAGAGTTCACTGATGGTGACGGCAGTCTGCGTGACGCCCATTTTGTTGGTCGACAAAATGGCGAATTTTGTTATTGAAGTCTATGCAACTAAGACAACGCAACTATTATAATTAATGTAAAATAGAGTTTTAAATCATTGTTTTTTTGCAAACTTTTCAGATAAATTAGACGACGTAGTGACAAAATTCAATTCAGAGTGCCGCAAGCTCAAAAGCTAACAATGTAAACATAAACAAAAGCGCGCAATGCATCTTGGTTGACACACATCTTTAATGCCATAAAGATTAAACCGTCTCTTAACACAAAAGACGAACATAAGAGTCGTATACATAAAATCCTCAAAAGTTCCTTGGTTGTGTTTTATTTCATACAAATGACTAGCATGATGCTTAAACCAGCTCAAACCATTTGAAATTTCCTGGTTCCTGGTGACCGTTCCTTGATTTGAAAATTTGCAGATACAACTGTAAAAACTTAGCATATAATATATCATAAGCGATCAAGCGAGAAGCTAAATTCGTGGGTGTCTTTCAACATGCGACACCTGCACTCTAAAAAGTTGTGGGTGCGCGGACACACAACAAAATTCCTAAGTCCCTGCCTTCTCAAATAGTCGAAATCATAACGCAATAGTTCTTAAAGCCTGGTTCTCAAATAGTCGTCCGAGTCGTTTCAGCCGTTTCGCAGACGACCCGTGCGACCATATGAGAACATATCAGAGGCGAGCGGGATGATCTCAAATGACTCACAAGACTGAAACGACCAGGATCGCTTGGATAGAACTTTGCTCTATCCGGACGAACGAAACGACTGTTGAGAAATGCAAGCGACCTTTTTATGGCGCAAAAAGATTTGAAGAAGCAAATAACCAGCCAAAAGACTTTGTCTTTCATAAACAACAGCCGCCATTTTTAAATGCTTCGCGTAAAAATTAATTAAACAGTCTCTCGGCGGCGCTAGTACGAATATAGGAAAGTACAATAGCTTGAGTCGTCCCAGTCGTTTTGAAAAACAACGAAAGAACTCGAAACGACTCGGATGACTCAAGTGACTTAATGAGAACCAGGCTTAAAGGAACTGTTTGAAACAAGAAGATCAACCCAATATAGTTCTAAAAGAGCTGTTTTAAAGCTACAAGCTTTAAAGCAACGCTGAAATGCATCGGGCCTTCCAGCTTTAAAACAGTTCTTTTAGAACAATATACGGTCAGTGTTCTTGTTTGAAACAGTTCTTTTACAACAATATACGGTCAGTGTTCTTGTTTGAAACAGTTCTTTTAGAAAAATATACGGTCAGTGTTCTTGTTTGAAACAGTTCTTTTAGAAAAATATACGGTCAGTGTTCTTGTTTGAAACAGTTCTTTTAAGAACAATATACGGTCAGTGTTCTTGTTTGAAACAGTTCTTTTAAGAACAATATACGGTCAGTGTTCTTGTTTGAAACAGTTCTTTTAGAACAATATACGGTCAGTGTTCTTGTTTGAAACAGTTCTTTTAGAACAATATACGGTCAGTGTTCTTGTTTGAAACAGTTCTTTTAGAACAATATACGGTCAGTGTTCTTGTTTGAAACAGTTCTTTTAAGAACAATATACGGTCAGTGTTCTTGTTTGAAACAGTTCTTTTAGAACAATATACGGTCAGTGTTCTTGTTTGAAACAGTTCTTTTAGAACAATATACGGTCAGTGTTCTTGTTTGAAACAGTTCTTTTAGAACAACATACGGTCAGTGTTCTTGTTTGAAACAGTTCTTTAAGAACAATATACGGTCAGTGTTCTTGTTTGAAACAGTTCTTTAAGAACAATATACGGTCAGTGTTTTTGTTTGAAACAGTTCTTTTAAGAACTATTACGTTATTATTTGGATAGTTCATCAGGGTATTTGATATTTTTAAAACAATTTTTTACGTGAGTGTTTTTTATAATTTGGTTTTTAATAACGCAAATAATTTTAATTCGAAATCAAATACAGCCCAATAAAATCCAACGCTGTCTGATGAAAACTAATGTTTTCCAATGAAATCCAATATTCACCAATGAAATCCAATATTCTCCAATGAAATCCAGTATTCACCAATGAAATCCAGTATTCACCAATGAAATCCAGTATTCACCAATGAAATCCAGTATTCACCAATGAAATCCAGTATTCACCAATGAAATCTAATATTCACCAATGAAATCCAGTATTCACCATTGAAATCTAGTGTTCACCAATGAAATCCAGTATTCACCAATGAAATCCAGTATTCACCAATGAAATCCAGCATTCTCCAATGAAATGCAGTTTCGTCCGTATCACATCCTCAGATTTGGTCTCAGTTATAGACAATCTCATTAATCCCACATCAAGTCAATTTTACATGTTGGTAAATGAAGATCATCCAAGTTGGTAGAGTCCTGAGAAGGACTGTTTTTGTTGTTGTTGACTGACGTTTCGACAACCTTAGCGGTAATCATCTTCAGAGTCAAATGAAGAGTAAACGTCAGGTTAGCCGTATTTGTTATCTGGTTCTTACACGTATTGTGTGTAATCCGTGCTCGTATCAGTCGTCTGCTGGTGGATTTGACAATCTGAGTAGCCTCTTTTGTGTTCAACGGGGACTTAATTCTAAGTACTGCCGGAACGAGGCCAAAATCCTTGCAGCGGTGGTTGAACCAGAGTTGTTGGCGTATGCGTCTGACGTTGCTTGCAAAACGTATGTAGTCGTTAGCAAGTTGTTCGTTCTGTCGTCCAAATGATCGTAATAAAGTAAACGGTTTGAGCCTCTCGTTTCAGCAGGACTTAGAAGTAAGTCCCCGTTGAACACACAAGAGGCTATTCAGATTGTCAAATCCACCAGCAGACGACTGATACGAGCACGGATTATACACAATACAATGACGCAAGAACCAGATAACAAATACGGCTAAGCTGACGTTTACTCATCATTTGACTCTGAAGATGACTACCGCTAAGTTTGTCGAATCGTCAGTAAACAACAACAAAAACAGTCCTTCTCAGGACTCTACCAACCTGGACGATCTACATTTACAAACATGCAACGATACTCCCGGGTTCAAACCGTTTACTTTACAAGGCAATTTTATCATTCATAAATTTACATTCAAAAAGTAATTTTAAGACAACCTTGGTTTCATACATCAGTATCAAGAGCGATTGTAAAAGTGTCTGCATTTGACAAACTAAAGCGAATGGAGCCCTTTCTTTTATTTGTCGAGGCATCGAGGCTTGGTGAAATTGACATTCCTTTGATACAAACGAGTTTGCTCAACAACGCCTTATAGTCGCGTCTAAATTCTGAACTGTAAACACCATACAGGAAGGGATTGACAAAAGAATTGGCGAAAGAAAACGCCACAAGCCAAAAGTGGAGAAGACCATTTGGATCGTTCAGGTTCAGTTTGCTTAGCATAAAGCTGACGCGACTGGGCAACCATCCAATGACGAGTGCGCATGACGCAGCCAAAGCGAGAATCGTGATGCGTTTCGATATTGCTGCACCACGTCCCTGTAACAGATTCGGCATCTTCTTGACCTTGTATAACATATGAAGGTAAAGGAGAAGCATTGTCGTAAACGGTAAAACACATTGTAACGTTATGTCGATGTAGGGAAAAGGACCTTCGCCGATGTTGAGTTTAGTCCACTTGCAGGTGCCTGATAAAGAAACAACGAGAACTCACTTGATTAATTTTGGTAACAACAACCAGGTAAAGCAGAAAATTTTAAATAAGACAAAATAAAACAAGTTACGAATATAGACATCAAGATAATAAGACCTTAATAACCGAGCGCGAGGTCTTTACGGAGAAATATCGGACCGAAGTTTTTTTGTACATACCAAGCCTGTAGGGTGAGGTTATTAGAAGGTTTATTATATGGCATTATTTGACCTAAAACGAAGCTTGTTTTCATTCTCGTTCTTGTTGTTTTGTACGGGATACCTTTCACTCTTTTAGTTTGCGTCAGTAATAAATAAATCGTTTCAAATTGTATCGTCTTGATAGTTAAACTGTCTTCCCTTCGACTGACATTCGTAAATGTTTTTTTGTTTCGTTTCTCTTTCGTTTTGCTGTTTGCTTTACGAAGTTTGTTTACATTTGACTCTTAAATTACGCATTTTGGACCGTGGTCCATTACGGAAAACAATGTACTGGCAAAAATGTTTCTGAGCCAATCAAAGCACGCCATTTTGCCGGAAGTTACGGTTGCCATAAAATAGATTATACAACTTTTATTTTGTATCAGTCGAAGCTTCAGCAAGTCGACAACAATGAGACCATGACAATGTGTCAACTTTCTGGAGATGACGGTTTATGAGAGGTTATAAGAGATAACAAAGTATTGGCAATGATCCGAAAGTAGGGTCCGCTTCCGAGAGATGTCCGTAAGTAATGGTTAGACTGTCTAGCCGACGAACACTGGCAGCACAAGTGACAATAAAAAAATAGAAATGATTTAGAAATTGGCCTGCGACATGCACTTTAACACTTATGAACCTTTCATCTTGAAATTTACCAGACAATATGCGTCAGAATTGCAAGTCAAGAGGAAGGCAATCAATTTGCATACAGTTGAACGGACAACTCTTGGAAGCAAAAACCTCTCGTAAAACGTATGCGGACACTACACTTTCGGGTCCTTGCAAATACCTTAGAATCTCTTATAAATTTTCATGAGCAGACACCTCCCTTAAACGGATGAAAGGTTGAGGTTCTATGGGTGTCCGGTTAAGGGAGACTAGACTATAATTGCGGTACACAAAGCAAAGGTTTAACAAAAAAGTTCCATCTACTTTTCCAGAACAACCCTCTGTTTTGGTTAGAGGATATATAATCAATAAGCTTTTTCATGTACATGTTGCAAATGTTAATGGCTCGATGTTAATGTAATGTTTTAACATGTCCTAAATAATAACATTTAAACAAATATTGGCATACCTTTTTCGAAGTCGGGTTTCGCTCGGAACAAAGTCGTTAACATGTCGTTAAATAATAACATTTAAACAAATATTGGCATACCTTTTTCAAAGTCGGGTTTCGCTCGGAACAAAGTCGTGGCTTGGATTAGAAGGCCCCAAAACCAGACAAACCCGACAATAATTACGGCTTGAGACGGCCTCGTCTTTCGATATATGTTCGGTTTCACGATCGCCAACCACCGCTCGATTGCGAGAACGAGACAAGTATAGATAGAAACGTATCCAAGACCAAACAGAATACAAGCGTTCCAGATGGTACTGCAGAACAGCGTTGCTGATATCTTGTTCGCAGGCATGTCGGGAAGGTAAAGGTAACGACTGAAAATAAGAAATATCGCCGTGATGACGTCGGTACAGGCTAAACTGAAGATAAAGATATTGTAGGCCTTCTTAAATGCGCCACGTTTCATCAACATAACACCAAGTACCATGAGGTTACCGAAAAATGAAAGAATAACGATCGTTGAGAATATGAAGTAGGTAGCAGTAGTGTTGCCTCTGAGACTCATCGTTTCTCTTGAAACTTTGCGCGGAATGAAAGTGCTCAAATTCGAACTGTGATACAAGCTGTGACGACTTTGGCAATAGAAATCTGATTTCTGTTTCTCTCATTTATACTTCCTTGTGGCTAATTTCGATTCTATGAAAATGAGAACGTGGACAAAGAATGGCGTGAGTAATCGAACAGTAAAATTTTTTTCCCGTTTCCGTTTGAGCATCTATGTTAAGCCAAAATCCGTAGAAGACGTGAAAAAACGTCCTTGTGTCTGTTGTGAGTTGGCTACAGGATGGAAGCTGGCTTTCAAAGGGATCAAACGGACAGCCCCCCACTGGTTTTGATTAACGATTTTCACTCTTATTTAAACATTATATTTAAAACCACAACCACTTCTTTTTCTCCTTCCTACGCATGGCAGAGTCGTTTCGCATCAACCTGTCGAAGTGATTCCTTGTTATGTGCTGGTTCTCATGCAAAACCTAAAGTAGGCTAGACAGCTACACTCCGTGTTTCAATAATGCCCAATTGAAGAACTGAACGTATTATTGACTTTTTTGAATCAGTGACGTACAGAAGAAAGAACATATTTCTTTGAAGTTTAATAATTTGTATCCGTGAAAATTGCTTAGTAAGAACAAGTTTGCGTTTATCAACGAGGCACGAGTTTATACAGCTCTTGTAATGAATTTCCGCAATTGATCAAAGCAATAGACTTGCTGCTAAATCTGGATAAAGTTTTGTTGAAAAATTACAAATTCGTCGTCACAAATCGTATTTTGAGGCAGAGTTTTCAGGCAGACACATGCAACACGTGTGTAAATAAATAACTTGCAAAGCAAAAGGCAAAAACTTCGCGATTCTTCAGATTAATATTATTTTGATTTATTAAATGACATCAATAAAAAGCGTGCGCTGATTGGTCTATAGCTGTGTTTGCTTTAGCCTGAGCAAAACGATCTGAGCTCAACCAATCAAATCGATCAATCAAACAAAGAGAATTTGCGAATCAAACATGAAAAAATTTTAAAAGAAAACGCTTGTTTTAAAATTGTCTGTTTAGCATTATTGTGCTTTTATAAAAGAAATAAAAGGTGTTTTTCGTGTTTGTTCAAGCTTATGCAAACCTCGGAGACGTTTGTGAGAACTGTCGAGCATGTGCAACCCTCGACCTTCGGTCTCGGGCTTGCACTGATCTGCTCTCGAGTTCTTCCAAAGTTCTCCTCGGTTTGCATGAACTTGTACAAACACAGTAAACATCTTTTATTTCTTAGTTGTTTTCTCATTTTCATGTCATATGCTCAACTAAGGCGAAATTAATTGCGGATGAGAGGCAGGTGTCTTCTTGCGTGCTAAAAAGACAGACGGGATCTTAAACCTTTATAATTTGTATGGCGTCAGACGGTAACGCTTCCGACAAACAACAAAACTGTCTCAAACATTGTCGAGCTTATCACCGAACTTGAATAATAAAGTTTTTTTAATGTCTATTGCTAACAACATCAGGAATATTTTCGTGCAATCATTTATGATTCATTAACAGAACCAGGTATATTTTCAGGAAAATGATTCACAACAAGACCAATACGAATTCTTCGAAAAAGCTCATGATAGGAAAATGTTGCTGTATCATCATACTTCAACCAGAAGAAAGCTTTGGAAATGACCGCAGACATTTTAAGAAAAGATAATGCAGATCTCTTTTCACTATCGAGATATCGCGGTTTTTGAAATCTACAATTTACGCTATTATTGAGGTCGCAATGCATATTGTGAACTTGAATTATTAAGTATATTTGCCGATTGGTTATTTCAGCCTCCCCTAAGATGCAAAAACCGTTAACTGTCCCGAAAAATTCCGCCCAAGCATAACATCAAGTAATACCGCTGTGATGGTGAAGGACATTTGAAGATTTGCGGTTCCTCATGCATTACGCCATCCTACGTCGATGGCTGTGTAAATCGGACAATAAAAAAACCTAATTACTTCGTCCATGATAAAAAGATATGCACGGACTGTTTTAAAAACCCACTGTTATGTAAAAAGGTTTTGTTGAACGAAAATTTCATTTGACTGATGCTAACAAAATTTTGTTTCATAAATATTACATCTAAGATTTGTACTTGATGAAAATGAAAAAACATCTTACTTGTACCCATGTGAACGTTGTTAAACAACTTCTATATTTAACGTAAAAACATGCACGAAGAACATTTCATATAAAATAACTGGAAACTATTTCATAGCTACGTGAAGCTATTATAATTTCACTCGAAAATCTTTGTTTCATGTATGAAAATGCAATTTCTAAGCTATCACGCTCAAAAATTTGCCTTGTAAAGTCTGAATTTTTAAAAAGTTCCGCCAAAGCTTTACACAATAATTGAGTGCTCAAAAATTTGCCTTGTTAAGTCTGAATTTTTAAATAGTTCAGTCAAAGCTTTACGCAATAATTGAGTGCTCAAAAATTTGCCTTGTTAAGTCTGAATTTTTAAAAAGTTCCGCCAAAGCTTTACACAATAATTGAGTGCTCAAAAATTTGCCTTGTTTAGTCTGAATTTTTAAAAAGCTCCGCCAAAGCTTTACACAATAATTGAGTGCTCAAAAATTTGCCTTGTTAAGTCTGAATTTTTAAAAAGTTCCGCCAAAGCTTTACACAATAATTGAGTGCTCAAAAATTTGCCTTGTTAAGTCTGAATTTTTAAATAGTTCAGTCAAAGCTTTACACAATAATTGAGTTCTCAAAAATTTGCCTTGTTAAGTCTGAATTTTTAAATAGTTCAGTCAAAGCTTTACACAATAATTGAGTGCTCAAAAATTTGCCTTGTAAAGTCTGAATTTTTAAATAGTTCAGTCAAAGCTTTACACAATAATTGAGTGCTCAAAAATTTGCCTTGTAAAGTCTGAATTTTTAAATAGTTCAGTCAAAGCTTTACACAATAGTTGAGTGGGACAGAAATTAACTGTTGAAGGATACGTGGGGCTATGCTTCATTTATCGTCAATTTTTGACCAGATTTTAATCAAACTTCAACCACAATGGAAATTGAAACTAACAAACAATAGTGCTCCCAAAGCTCTATAAGCTAAAACCATTTAAAGATTATTTTGAGCGGAGGTTAAATGCAATTGTCGTTCCACATGTAAACCTCAAGCATTTTCGCTTCGTTAGCTTGACCATCTTGAGTCGGTGTTAAAAATCCCGCCAATTTCACATTCATATAAATAATACTGATCAGATTTAGCGGCACATATATAATGCTTGGAATGACGTTGGGACAGAATTTATACTTTACGCATGCACGTGACAGTTGTTTGACAAACTAACACATTGGCATGAAGTTTGGTGGGATGGATATAATTCATATGTGTTGAAAGAGGATGAAATAATTTTGAAGTAGTCAAAGTCAGCGGAATGATTTCTTGTTTTTAAGTGGGTGAACACACTGTAGTTGATTGGGCTGGATGAAGACTTTCCCGTTTAGGGAGAGATTCCCAAATGTTCTGATACACTGGCATGTGTAACTGACGGAGTGTCGACATATAAATATACCACAACATATCTCAGAAACTTTGGAGTTGGGAACTCCATCTTTGACATGAAACAGAGATGAAATGCGAGTGGACGAGCGAAAGTCAAAACGGATATTGAGATGAGGAAAAGTGGCATTTCATAGTTGGTTTCCGCGCTGACTTCGACGACTTCAAAATTCTGTCATCTTCATCCAAAACATATGAACAATCCATCTATGAACGTCTTCTCGTTTCCAAATGATATATATCGTCATCAATAACTACAGCTTGATTTTCATACATTTCATTAAGTCTTCATTCAATGCAAAAATATTGTACATATATAACACCTTTTGCCACAATACGAAACGAAGCGCTTACTTCAATTAATAAGATATTGACGCTTCATTTTTCTCAGTGAAACAAGTCGACGGACTTGTCGATGGTCGTGGCATTGATGTGCCATTGGACAACGTTGAAACACAAATACTTTTTGTCATATTCCACGCTTTTTCGTAAAACACAAACAAATTCGCACGCAGTTTCGTTTCATGCTTGCGACGCGCAACAGTGATTTGAAGAAATGAAAAACATTTTGATGAAGACATGCTTATTTGAATGTATCACAAAAAAACATTAGTTGCCAAAACAAGTCGACAGATACAAAAAGAAAGTACTAAGAAGATTACCTTGACAAAGAGGTGCCTTCCCTAAGAAGTCGTCTCTCTTGAAACGAAGTTTCGTCGCTGAAATAATATATTATGAAATGAGTAGATTTAATACAATAATTTGCCATGTGACAATATATTAAACTCATCGCTCTCTAGATGGCGTAATTTACACTTCGGTGCGTGTCAATTATGGGGGAAAACGTCAGATACATCCAGAGAGCGCTTGCAGCAGGTGTAAAAGTGAAATGTAGCTTGGTCAGTTTTGATGGTGGTAATTGAATGTAGGCGATAAAGTCGGAAGAGAGACGTTGGAGATTTTGCAAATGGAGGAGAGGAAGAGATTGTTTACGAGTGTGCGCGAAGTAAACTGAAGAAGTGGTATGACACTCTACAAAGAAATCAAAAATGGGATCAAAATGAATGCAAACAAGGATGAAGGATCAAGAATTAGGAAGATATATTTCAAGATGGAATGAGAAGACATACAGGAAAAGAGGGAGGTGCTGGGACGGAAGTAAAGACGGTGGGTTAGAAGAAGACATTTCAAAAAGGCTGGAAAAGGTTTTCAAGTTTAAAGCTTGTTATGTATTGCATGTAAAGATAGATGAACACTGAAAAGTTCAAGAGTTAAATAACCCAAAATTCATCAAAAAATGTAACAACTGGACAATTACTGTTTGCTAAAACAAAGTTATTGGCGATTTTGAATTTTTATCACAAAGTATGGAGAACAGGTTTAAGCATATTCATTGCGATAATTTTTTAATAATCGACTCATTATTTACGCATTTTTGTCTCATTCATATGATTAATGTGTTCGTATGCCCGAACGACGTAATGAACAATGACTTATCGTAAAATGTTTAAAGTTTCATAAACAGACGAGTTTTCCAGAAAAGCCTTATGTATCAATGGAACATTGGAGTCGGATTGAAAAAGGACCTGTGTGTCTCTCATAACTACACAGTATGAAAGATACGGAAAAGTCACTCCAGTGGGAACCTTTTATGTGTTTGTCATAGCGCATGTTGCGCCGCGCAACCGTCCGTCAAGATTTCAGTGTTCAACAAACACTTGTTTCCAACGAATAAAATGACCCGAAGTCATTTCTTTATTCTATCTAGATATCTTCAAATTCATCAATCAGAAACGACGTTATGTCATTTAGCGGTTGAAAACAAACGATAAACACATAACAACTGACCGGAATGACTGCGGTCGAGAGGACGCGTTGCGGCACCTCAATGATTCGTCTGTACGCTGTCATTATTCAGTTGCCAAAACACCGAAAAATTAATTTACGACAGCCTTGATAATACAATGCGGCTTCTAAGTATTTCAAGCAAATGACCTTCATCATCTGGTAATTATTGTTGTAGTTGAACGTTATTATGAAAAATGTCAAGTAGTTTATGTTGAGTGTACATTGTTTAATTACATTAAAGCTCTCCAGAAATAAGGACTTAATCTAAGTGTTATGCCAGCGGTCTTTGAAGTCTAGTGTTTGGTAAAAGAAAACAAGGATACTTGCATGAAAAATGCACTATGCTGTTGCACTAATCGTGAAAAAAATTCTCTGCCTTTTTCGAGAATATGTTATTATAAAGTACATTGGAAGTACAAACTTTTATAGCTATTTTATATATATGTGAATTCATTTTATAATTATTGATGGCACATGTATCGAAGTCAACTTTCCTTCAAATTAACGCATTTCATTCATTTTCATTATTACTTTACACAGTTGACGTGTTCGTGAATAAGATGTCCTCCATGGAGTTAATCTACCGCTGCCAGTAAGCAAGTTAACGGCAAAGCAAGCCGACTCGGCTCATGTATGATTAAAAAAAGCATAAAATATCACGAGACTTAAACGCGCGAGTTCAATTATCATGGATGCATCAAAACATAGACTTTGGAATAACTGCACATTTAAAAGTAAAAAACCCAATAGGAAAACTTTGTCTTGGGGCATTACTATTTATTAAACACAAAATGAATAATGTTGACGGTTTTTGCTAGACCATGCTAAACCTTTTTTTATCTGATTCAACACTATGTCTGTAAATTAACAAGGTAGATTTAAAGGAAACATTTATAAGTGTCTACCTTTGTCGAGGAAATCGTGAAAACCAGCTATCAGCACGACCTCCCTCTTAAAGAAAGCAGCAGCTATAGTTTGAGGAAGGCGGTGAATTTTCAATTTCCAAGTATGCAGGTGGTTTGCCAAAGAATACGTCTTGCTGATAACGAAGTACAATTGATCTAAAAGGAGGTTGCGAAGTGAGAATTATGTGGTGATTTGCAACAGAGCAAATTCATTAAGCGCATTGATCGCCTATATAACGACATGGTCATTACTTTGACGACTCAACGTAAATTTAGCAAATAATTTATATCTGTTGCTTGTATCGATGGAAATAAGGCCATGTTTCGGTGAGTTGGTGAAAAAGAGACGGAGATAGTGAGAAAGAAGAGAGTTGAAAGAAAAGAACAAAAGTAAAAATATGGAGATCGAGAGAGATGGCAAAAGATTGGCGGGAAGATAGAAGGAGACAGATTAAGTGCTGACACAAAGAATAAAGAGCGACACGAAAATCAAGAAAGAAAGATTTTACGGAAAAGATATAAGGCAACGTTCTTCAAAACGAGAAATTAACTTTTAACCTCTTATGCTGTCGATGATCGATATTTCCTTGTCTTTCTAGTGCTGCATATCGACGAACTAATGCAGACAAAACGTATCTACAAGCGATGCAGTCAGCACTAAACGAACTGAAGCATCAAACGCAATAAAAGTTTGGACGGCGCTAATGGGAAAAAATATGCATACACGAAAATAGCAAAGTAATTAATTTCATCGCCGGCGTATTAAAGCAATAAAAATTCTAAATTGGCATTCCCATTATAACAAAAAAAGATCGATGCAGGAGCCATCATGAAGACAAACATGTCAAAAATTGATAATTAGTGGGGTGGAAATTTTAAATCGTTTTTATTCATGAATCATTTCAGTCTTCGATTCAACCATTCTAAGGTAGAAAATGAGCGGAGTTTCCTGCAACTCAGATTGTACTATTTCATGAAAAGATAGAATGATTTGATCGAGGGACTTCAAGTTTCAAGATATGGATCTTAAATGAATCCATATCTTACCCTAACCCTAACCCAAATAAGTATATTTGTAAACAGACTCATCAAACATCCATTACTTCAACAATATGGCGTGGAAACAAACGCAATATTATTATTGTGTATATAACCAAGTAGTGATCGCTCAAACAAAGCAAATATAATCTCACACTATTACAATTAAATTCACAGTTCGTATTGCAAAAGTTCAGCTGTTGTAATGAATTTTGATTTCCGGAATGCGTGACTTTGTTACTGCAATAACATATTGGATTTAACTTAGAAAATATCTCCTCCTTCAAATTTCTTCTTCAACATACACGGGATGGATAGAAATCAGACTGTGATGAAAAACAGCTGAAATGATACAGATGTTCCCAGCAGTTTCCACGTTAAGAAAAAAGCATCTGTTTCCCGGAATGAACTCGCTTTTTGAATTCAAAGTTTCAGTCAAAACAGAGCACTCAAACGACGATTAGTAGAAAATTTATTGTACACACGCTCTTAAATACGAATAAATTTTTCAAAGGTTCTTTACCGTTCTATTTTTTCTTTAATCAGTGGCGTAATTTGCTCTTAGCTCTGGTTTAGCAGAGCCACGTGCACCCTAAATATAAGCTTGCAAGGGGGCACCCTGAAAAAGGGGCTAAACTAGAACGTTAAGGGGTGGGTGAATATTTATCTATTCAGCTATGTTTCACTGACTTGGTTTGTTAGCGATTATAATTTTAAAAGAAATCAGCAGGGCAGAGCTGAATATATGAATGTTCACCCATCCCCAACTTAACGCTCTAGTTTCGCCCCTCTCCTGAACGGTGCTATTTGTGAAAAAAAGATAAAAAAGTAGGTTTTAGTATTTTAGTCTCTAAGAAATAAAAAACGTTCGATTTCAAGAGATAAAAGAATATATTTGTTTATCATAAAAGGTCTGCTTATATAAAGGGCATTAATTTCAATGCTGAAAATTTCAAATCAAATGAAAACCAGCTGCTGTTTGAACACATGCTAAATCATAAGTTAATCTTCTTCTAAATATACAACAATTACCTGAGAGACTATTCTCTAATGAAGATATATTCTGCACTTAATCTTACTTCATAACAGCTCAAACCTGAATTGTAATCATTTCTTTCGATCACCACTACGCCACTTTAACTATTTGTCGAGATGAAATGCAGAAAAAAATGAAAATTATCTTTTATAGAGAGTGAATACATCCAATTATTTCGGGAAGAAGCACAGCTGCAGAACGTTTGGAATCACTAAATTCGATCTAAATAAAAATTAGAACACTTGAAATACGCCTACTTAAATATATTCACAAATTAACAGCTCTAAAATCTGAAAGAAGAATCATGAAACTTCATTCATTAACCTTTAACGTCAAAATCGTTACTCTTATAGAGATACATGAAACTTCATCCATTAACCTTTGACGTCAACATCTTTAATCCTATAAAGATTCATGAAACTTCATTCATTAATATTTAACGTCAATATCTTTAATCCTCTAGAGATACATGAAACTTCGTTCATTGACCTATGCTTTGACGTTGAAATCTTTTCTCCTATTATAGAGATACATGAAAGTTCATTCACTAAACTTTAATGTCAAAATCGTTACTCCATGGGACTTGACCAAACTTCAAAGTCAGACTCTTTATACTATTCAGTCAAGTCTCATCAATATTGCTTGGATTACTTGAAGAAAAATAACTCGAGACATGTGTTTTAAAAAATATTTAAGCGTTGGCAAGCCACAGAAAATATTCACACATGACGTACTTGAATAACTTTTGTCAAAAGAAATCTCTGCATATGCTATAGTGCAGTGTCCTTATTTCTAGAGCTTATGCACTCCAGTCTATACTTTCTTTATCAAAAATGATGTAATCTCAAGACTGTCGTCTTCATGTGCGTCGGTCTAGTGTATGTTATCAGATACGATAAGATTTTTATACTTGCATAACAAAATATATCATCATACTGACTTTGTTATCAATGATGCAGTGTTGGGAAGTGAGCGCTTTTTACTTTAGTCGACTGCAGTTGAGTACTTGACTTTAAAGAGGGATAATAGTTTATTTATATGTTACTTCAAGATGACAGCTCCACTCAAGGAACAGGGCGCCATTTATTTCAAAAGATCCTGTTCTATGATTGGTTGCAGCAGCATGACATCACGTCAAACGTTTTAAGTTAACAATGTCGCCCAGAAACGTGAAACCAGGTTTTGATGTTTAATAAGTGGTATATTTTTGTAAGTTTATAGTTATAATATAAAAGGTCTTTTGAGAATTTCCCATGTTTACGATGTGCGGTTAGTGGACAGTTAATGTTTTTTCATGACAATGAAATTGTATTACAAGTTTGTAGACGTATAAATCGTCCAGGTTTGTTGAGTGCTGAGAAGAGCTGTTGGCGTTGGTGCATTTATCTTTAGTGTCACGTGAGTGAGTGACTTGACGTCACCGCTAAGATTGACAAGATGTCACTTGACTCTAAAAATGACAACCGCTAAGGATGTGAAAACCTCAGTCAACATCAAAACCAACAGTCCATCTTGAAACTCTACTAAGCTGGAAGATCTTCAACTACAATCTTGTAACGATACTCCCGGAATCAAACCATTCACTTGAATACAAACTTTATATGAAGTTTTCTTAGAGTTAAAAACGATAACTTCTTTATGGTTAACTTCAAGACTTCATGTTACATTACATAAAATAACAAATCATTTATGTTTCAATTACCCTCTTTAAACTTCGAATCATCTTAAAAATAGTCTTAAAATACCCACACCTCTTTAAAACGTTGAGGTAGAGACTTCAATTAGCCATAAATCATTAAGTTTTTTTAAGGTTTTAGTTATAATAACAGTCGTTATAAATCGAGATGGTTTGTAGAAGATGTAGTACAGAATAGCACAAGGTTTTATAGCACAGTGGTGCGACTAAAAAATATGATGTTCCTTTAATCTTTAATTGTTTTTAGAATAATATTTTATCGATTATGTTTGAAATGCTCTTTAAGAATATCCGATAAGAATTCGTTCTCAGTTTCCGTCGTGGTATCGTCTACAGACCGCTTACGAATCTTTTTCTTTATTTCTTCTGCTTTACCAGCGTCCAGCGGTATATCGGTGAACGTTTGCGCGGCCTCTACAGCCTGCGGGGCGACCGCTGGGTGCAATTCGCCGTATTCGTTTAGTTCAGTTCGAATCGTGGTGATTAAGTCTAGAATAGATTTTAAAGATTGAAAGAGGCGATTACTTCTCATTTAAGAAAAAGTTATTTCAATGTGGGAAATAACTGTAAAATAACGCGTGCAATTATTTGTCGATAGCTGTGAAAAAAAAGATTTGAGTCGTAAAATGGGGATGTATGAAAATAGACATGACCATTACATAGAAAGCCTAACTCTCACCAAAACTTAAAGCCAACAATTAAACTTGTTGAAATCTTTCCACGAACATTCAAAAGAAACAACATTGCAATAGCAAGCTAAAATGCGGGTCTGAAAGCACATTATAATGAATATACAGAAGAGCCACTCCATTAAATTTTTCGTGCCACGCATATCTTATTATGCATGTGATTACCATAGTGGCAGCCAGTCAATTACTTTTTTTGACCAATGGGAATGATGAAATGGCTAACTGCAGCCAGTAATCTAATTAAAAACACAGCAGCCAGTTGCACGCGATGTGCGTATATTCTTTATACTGTGGCATAGGCGTGTCAACCAAAAGATAGCCCTCACATAAGTATTGAGTTCAATGGGAAAGATAGAAATTTTCCTGTGTTCACAAAAAAAATAAAATAGATACGCTTGTGCAAAAGAGAGATTTGCGAACACTCAAGTTACATTAAATGATGTTTCAAATAAACATGAAAATATCTAGACATTGTTTACAACACACAACAAACGTTTAGTTGATGCTTAAGTAACGAGACAATTAGGTAATATTCACAGTGAATGACAGACAAGATGTTTCGGTAATGTTTAAAACAAGCAACAAGTCCATAATGTTTACAATGAACAAACTTACTGTTGATGCTGCTAGTTCCAGTCTCTTTGACATCCTGTCTTACATCATTGGTCACCTGTTTTTTTTGCTCAGGTGGGATGGCTAGGCCGTTCGTCACGTCACTGATGAGTTTTTCAACGTCTTCCTTAAAAGAACCAATCATGGTGGATTCTTTCATGACGTCAATGACACCACCGACGATATTTTCCATTCCTACATAGAGCAATGTTAAAAAGTGAATCTTCAATTCAGTCGACAATCGTCCTTATGAGAATGGATGACAATTTTTTAAGTCAAGTTGACTTTGATGTGCATTCGTCTTTAACTGTCAAAGAAATGGCGAGTTCATCAAAAAGACTTCTGATTACCTTCTTGAACTTTGCTATGATACAGACTCTTGTCGATAGCAACGCTTCTCTGCAAATAACATGTATGAAAGGAAAAAATAAAACTCGTGCACCGATCGGTTTATAGCTGTGCAAAAGAGAATTTGCAAATCAGTAAAAAACAGATGTGTTGAAATAACATGATTGAGACGAAAAATACAAGAAATTTTTTACATCATTTTTAAATATGCGTGAAATAACATGTTCTTACACCTAAATAAAATCTTATCACTTAAATATTTTTTTAAACCTTTTCTGTTTTTCGAGACTTTCTTCTCCACGCCAAATCACTATTTTTTTCATCATCTTCTTCTTCGTCTTCAGCATTGCGGCTGAGGCGTATTAACTCTTTATCCGACAAGTCCTTGTTTAATAACTCTGAAAGCATTATTGCTCAAATTAAAAGCAAGTTAACTATCAAGAAAAGAGGATTGTTCTAGGAGAATAAATTGCAGTTGATAAGAACTCAAGCTTCAACAGCGGATCACTGCTGATGAAGATACTAGACTGGAGTACATAAGGACTAAAGTTTCAACATCAGATCACTTTTTATGAAGACAATCGACTGGAGTATATAAGAGCTTAAATTTCAACAACAGATCACTTCTAACAAAGAAATCTAACAGCAATCAAGAGAAGAGTTTCAATTTGTCCCTCTAAATTGCTTCTCCTCGGTTATAAAAAAAATACATGTTAAATCATATACCTCGACGTGAGGGTTCCGCAAAAGCGGTCTTCGGATTGGTTATATCATTACTGTCAATCATTGCTCGCAAAGCCATCTTCTTTCGCCCATCAAACTCCTCCGATTCCAAAGATCGTCTGCTTCTTTTCAGTCTGTTTTCTTGCCTTTGGCTTTCGATATAAACTCGCCATCGCCTTCCTCGTCGACAATCTCACGCTTGTAGTCAAATTTCAACTTTTCGACTAAAGTAATGAAAATATTTTCATGTGAATGGATGCAATTTAAAGGATAAAATTGTTCGCCTTGTTTGACTAACGTAAAAAATTCTTAAAATCTATTGTGTTATTACTTCGATAATATTAAGACTCAAAATGCCTTCCTCAGAATCCATTAGTCAATGTTAGTAACAAGCAAGTCGTGCGTATGTTTGTGTTTGTAGATGTAAATCGTCGAGTTCAGGGAAGCAGAAGAAATTTCCCAAAATAATACTCAAAAGCTATACATAATTTCTTTGTTAATACGTACTTATATCATTGAACTAAAATACATGGAACGCTACCTGTAGTACAAAAGCCTTATAATTTTTTGAAGCCAAATCTCACACCCAGACAACCCAGACACGCGTGTGTACTCAATCAATTTTCACTCTGCAAAAGAATCTCGAAACACTACACACGCGTGTCTGGGTGTAATCTCGCGTGCCGGGGTGTAAGGTTTGGCTTCAATTATTTGGTTTAGGTAGCGCTCCATGTATTTTAGTTCAATGACTAATATTTTAATCTTTACAATTGAAGATGGAAGCCCGTAAAACTATGGAAGGGGAATGGACGAGGGGGCGGCGACCGAGAGCCGGCATAACTGCTGTTGCTCAAACTGCATAATTTGCTGTCATATCACTCATGTCTAATCACATACGTACCTGGCTAACATCTTCCAAAAATACCGTCTACATGTACACGACATCACATACGTACCTGGCTTGTTCTCATCCTCCGCAGACCGATACACTCGGTCGTAACCGCCAACATTACCGAGGTAAGCCATGAGAAGATTTCGTCCTTCTGTTCGTTCAACGGATCTCTTTTCGACTTTCATCTTCTCGTCGACGATTTTATCAACGGCTGAAAACGACAACATCAAAAAAATGAAAGGCATAAGGTCATGCAGTTTCGGAGAAAATGAGAAGGACAACGCAGGGTGAAAGCTCCCGGATGCAAGATATATATGTTATTTATCGGGTGGGATTTTCTGCCGCTGCTGATTGGAAAAAAATAAAAGATAGTTATAAATTGTACGAAATACGCACTTGACGATAAATCGTACATGATATAGACGGTTTTACTGCTTGGGGACTCGCACTTGAAATTTCTGCACAATAATGTCTTTGATAGACAAGTCGACTGCGTTTTAACTTTTACTTGGCTTATGCTATTTACAAACTGCCATTGACTTGTATTACAAGTAAAACAATTTTCATGTAAGTGTCAATCTATAGCAATGATTTAGAACCAATCATCTAGTTGTCTATCTACCATGTCACGGTGAGGAAAGGACGCCATCATGAAAGGTGGCAAAAAGCTTAAAACTGAAAATGAAAAATAAGTTAAAAGAAGTTTTAAAAACCCAATTCTATCAAACATTTTGAAAATTAAACCTAGACTATCAACTTTGCAACTGTATACCAACTCAGGAAAAACAGATATCAATCGTAAATATCGTCAGTTTTGCCATTTTTCAAGATGGCGGCTAGCCTCACTTTGAATTTTGGCAGAGTAAGATATCTAGTAGATTGGGTTCTAGGCCATTGATCTATAGACGTTCAAAATCAAAGAATAGATTGCGATGCACTTTGACAAAACAGTTTTGCAAATGCCAATCACCATTCTTGTCCGGAAATGAAATTACACTGACGGACCAATCAACATTTTTGTCCGGAAATGAGATTACACTGACGGACCAATCATGATTCTTAAATGCAGTCGTATCACTGTTCTTTTCGTATATATGTCTCAAACCAACCTTTCAAAGCTTTTCGAGCTTCAACTTTGTACTTGTTAACATCTTTAGAAGACATCTTCCTCTTATCTTTTCCTATGCAAATAAGCATATTTTATTGTTAATCAACAACGATGAAGCAAAAATGGGCATAAGCAAACACCGCTTATCCAAAGATTGTTTTTACCTGAAGGCAGCAGTTTCTTTGCAGCTAAATAGAATAAAAGATGTTAGACACGCGATGTGAGACTGAGACACGTGATGCGAGATTGAAAACCGTGATGTGAAACTGAGACTCGTGATGTGAGATGTGAGACTGAGACACGTGACCTAAGTTAGCCAATAGCATTCCTTAAATCCAATAGATCATGTACGTGAGATACTTGCATAATCTTGACTTTTTAATTTTCAAGAGTTTGCAAAAACAAAAACAATTTGCTTGCCAGTTAAAATTGAAAATTTTTACGGTTTTATTACATAAAATAAACAGATTACATTTAACAGTTGTTTCTTCAGTAATACATACAAAACGTCATTTCCGATAAGAACATAAACTCGCCTCGGCGGCTCGTGGTCCCTTTTTTTAGTTCTCATTACAAATGACGTCATGCTCGCGCATCTACAAGTTAACAATGTAATCTGATTGTTAAATAATCTCACCTTTCAGTGCAGACGAAGCTGCTTTCATCAAATGATTGGCGACGTCAGCTAAATCACAAAAAAACGGACAAAACTTGAAAAACACAAAAATCAAACGGACCAAACAGAGCTCGTAATCATTTACCGTGTTCTTTTTCATTATCGTTATCGGATTTTCCCTCGCTTTTGTCATCTTTGTTCTTGTCATCTTCAGTCTTGTTTTCATCCTTTTCGTCGTTTTCGTCATGACCGCTTTCATCGTCATCGTCTGGCAACGCAGCAAATTCGTCCGGATCGTGATGTTTACCATCTTTAAAATGTTGTAAAGACCAAAGTTACTGCAGTTAGTAGCTAAGTTCAGTACAAAGATTACTGGTGTACGTTGATGCTTTGATACTGAAGCATTTTGATGTCTAAGTCGAGGGTGTTGATGAGAGTAATTGGTGAGGGATAAGAGTTGATAAAATTAATTGGTGAGGGACAAATTGAGGAAAGTAGCAGGTGAGGTACAAATTGATAAAAGTAATTTGTTATGGACAAATTGAATTGGTGAGGGATAAGAGTTGATAAAATTAATTGGTGAGGGTCAAAAGTTGAAGAGTTTTAATGATGTAAGTTGCCGGTTAAGAGTTGAAAGTTTTTTGTAACAAAAGTTGAAGATGTAAGCTGGAAAATGTCACAGGCACAAGTTGAAATGTTCAATAGACAAAAGTTAAAGGTGTATATTGAAATGGTCTTGTAACAAAAATTACAGCTGTAAGTTGAAAAGTTTGATGACAAAAGTTACCGATGTAAGCTGTCAAATTATAGTTGCAAGTTGACAAGCCTCGGCGTGGCTTGAATGTTTTTTATAGAAAGTTTATGACTCTTGCTTTGATATTTCAAACCAAAAAATAATAATAAAGATTTTAATGCAAACATACCAACAGAGTAAATGGAATTGTGCCAGAATGATCCACAGAAACGATTCTTGTCACCGTAGCAACGGCTTCTACATTCTGTGTCTGATACTCGGCCATATTTGCCAAATTTGTTTCCGCAGAAGCAGAGGTACGAGTATTGAACCCCGGCAAAGCGATACCCGTCTTCTTTGCAGGTGTGTACACACCACTCGGGCGTCATTTCGAACTTGGCGAAATGCTTCTTCATGTCTCGATTTGGCTTTTGATCTTTAAAACAACCTTGATAGGCTAGAAAAAACGGAGAAACATTCAGTGAAACATTCTGATTAACGATTACCTGTTCTTATTGAGTTAAGCCGAACGCTAATTGTTCTAATTTGTTACAAATGATGTAACTGTATTCTGAACGCTAATTGTTTTAATTTGTTACAAATGATGAAACTGTATTCTGAACGCTAATTGTTCTAATTTGTTATAAATGATGCAACTGCATTCTGAACGCTAACTGTTCTAATTTGTTAGAAATGATAAAATTGTTTTCTGAACGCTAATTGTTCTAATTTGTTATAAATGATGTAACAGTATTCTAACTTCACTAAAAGTTGTTTTTCTTAACGCAACTTTTGCCATTTCTATTCAAATTGTACCTTCATGATTTTCATTTAAAGTTTCAGCTCTGTTCTTCACTTTATTAATCACTTTGTTGACAAACGCCGCAAACTCAGTTGCAGGATTTTCCGACTGTGATTTGTCCATTTTCGTCGCTGGTCGGACAGGTGCCGTCATTGGTCGACGTTTATCTAAAAGTAAATCCCACACACGAACGACTTTGACATAAAAGCTTTAATTCTTATTACTTATACAAGGGTCTTTTATCACGACAATTTTCAAGAAAAATACAAGTGAAGACATGAATGACTCAAGGACAAGAGCAATGAAAGACATCAAATCACCAAATAAATTATATTTCGAACCATACCTCCTCTGATCAAGGTGTCCCGATAAACGGGCATACTTCCAAGGTAATACCCGACAATACGGTCGTATAATGGTTTAAGTGGGGAACTCGTCTCCTTCGTATATTTTACAGTGAACGTAACGTCAACCTTTCCCCTGTCTTCCCTGCATTGAGAAAAAGAAAAAAGGATGAATGATGTTCAGTAAGGGATAGTGATATACTGAAGGATAAATGACGTACAGTAGGGATAATGATTTTCAATAGGAATAACGACGTACAGTAGGAATGATGATTTCCCGAATGGATGAAGACGTACAGTAGGGATAATGGTTTACAGTATGGATAATGAGGTACATTAGGAGGATACATGTAAAACATATGATACAAAATAAGACATTAAACATAAAATTCAATTTAGTGTGTCCTGATACAAGCGTGTTTAGCAGTGAAACGCATTTCGATGACAAAAATATAACTTCGAGCAATTATTAAGCAATCGCACAGATTGAAAGTATATTTTCCTGGTAATTGTTTGAAATAAAATATATTATATATTTACACATCAATAACAATAACATATCGTGCGTATTCACAGCATAAATAGTAAAATAAAAATGTTACGATGATAAATAATTAGCTTGAAAACCGTCATACCTGATCTTATCGATAGAAATATCCTTGAAATTCTTCATTGTTTTGAACACACTCTTTAACTGAGAAAAAATTTTCCAGACATCATGATGTATAGTTGAACGTGCTCTTCTAAAAAAAGAAATCTCGAGTTTTTAACTCACCTCTTGTGTCGCCTCTGTTTTGAACACTCTGTACTGCGTCGATTTCTTCTTTTTAAAGTTGTCCGACCAATTTTGCTTGAACAACAAAGATGCTGTAACAGACTTTTTCTTTCCTAAAATATTTCAAGTTAATTGTCAATTCTCTTAAAAATATATGACAATGTGGTTTGTTCAAACCAAGCGTAGATTTGAAATGGTTAAAATCTGGCAATGTATTAGAAACGCTGAATTTTCTCAATCGTGGGCTGTTTTATTGAAGACGAACGCAAGATAGTGAACTCCAAAGTGAAAGTAAAAAATATTCTGTGGCTATTTTAAAAGTTTTTTTTTGTCAAAAAGCATGTTTCCAGAGCTGGCAGATCATGAAGACCACTTGAGGAGAAAACTACTAACCAAAGCCTGTTTTTCTCCAGCCAATGAGCTTTCCTTCAGTTAGAATTTTATCGACATGTGGGCTTTGTATTCGTAAAATTGTGAAGTGAATAAGAAACAAGTTCATCGTACCTGTCGACTTATCCAACTCATCTCTGTTCATGGGATAAGGCCTTATGGCTGCTGGTTTGTAATCTTCATTCTTTTTAGGTCAGGTCGAGATTGTTTATTCCTTTGCCTCTCGTCCAACTGATGTTTAAAAGACGTCAGCCGTTGCACGTATTGTTCTTGTTGCTTCGCGTATTGCTGTTGCAGTTTGATATATTGTTCTTGTTGCCTTGGAGACATGCGCTGCATTTGTACTTTGGAATGCAATTGTGACTGCACCTTTGGTGGAGTTAGAGCTTGTTGTGGAGGAGATTCTTGCAGTGCATTTTGTGGAGGAGATTCTTGCAGTGCATTTTGTGGCGGAGATTCTGGTAGTGCATTTTGTGGGGGAGGTACTGGCAGTGCATTTTGTGAAATAGGTCCTGGCAGTGAATTTTGTGAAATAGGTCCTGGCAGTGAATTTTGTGGGGGAGATCCTGGCAGATCATTTTGTGGTGAAGGTCCTGGCAGTGCATTTTGTGAAATAGATCCTTGCAGTGCATTTTGTGGAAGAGATCCTGGCAGATCATTTTGTGGTGAAGGTCCTGGCAGTGCATTTTGTGGCGGAGGTCCTTGCAGTGCATTTTGTGGAAGAGGTCCTGCCATGCATATTGTGAAGAGGTCCTGGCAGTGCATTTTGTGGCTGAGCCATGATTGGAGAGACTGCGGGTGCTTGCGGTAATGGTATCGTAGGCATGGCCTGAGGATTTACCGCCACATTTGTCATAGCTATAGGGTGTGTGGTGCCGATTCCACCAAATTTGTTGAAATAGTTCATAGCTTCAATGGGTATGGGACCTGGGGCACTCTGACTTAGAGCTTTGGACATTTTTATAACATCAGCATAGAGGTTGACTTTTTTACCTGGTGCTCCAGGATTATTTGTGGATGGAGCTTGAATCATACCAGACTGAGATGCGGACTGCGAAACCGTCGCAGGTTGAGCTACACCCGAAACAACTGGCTGGGGCATCGTGCCCGCTTGTGCTACACTTGATGTTACAGGTTGTCCGACAAACCGTTGGGATTGTTGCTCTATAAATGCAGGGCGAGTTCCCTCAGTTATAGCCACTGGCTGCCCTCCAACCAATTGTGATTGCTCTGCAGCCAATTGTGATTGCCCTACAGGCAATTGTGATTGCCCTACAGCCAATGGTGGTTGCCCGGCAGCCGACTGTGATTGCCCTGAAGCCAATGGAGGTTGCGCCGCATTCAATGGAGCGGAATGCAAAACCATCGCTGGCTGCGTTGCACTTGAAATGGTCCCTTGGGAGGATTGATCATGAGCTGGGTTCGGTACGAAACTGCCAATCATCGGGCTTCTAGATGTCACGCTGGATGCCGCGGTTGAAGGCAAAGTTTCATGAGGTTGATCGGTCACCAATCTAGTAGATGCCACGCTAGATGCAGGCTGGGGAACTGGGGAAGAGTCAGTACGCGTTGTGGGCAAAGTCTCGTAAGGTTCATCTGTCACCGATCTACTAGATGTCGCCATAGATGTCGGCTGGAGAACTGGGGAAGAGTCAGTACGCGTTGTGGGCAAACTCTCCAGAGGTTGATTGGCCACTAACTTTCTAGTAGTTGCAGTTGCGATTGTATCCCTAGCAGCTTCAAACAAAATACATTGTCAGTAGGATTAGGGCTAATTTCTTTTTTGCCAAGCAAAAAACCATGCTTAAATACTGTGACTAAAGGGGGACAGGCGAAGGGGTGTCACGAAGGGGTGTGGCGAGAGTACAGAAACTGTTCTTAAGCATTGTGTAATGCCAGACTAAAATTTTTCAACTATCGTAAAAGAGAGTGAGGTTAATATTGCCTTCTTTTAATTTTCAAATAATAATTACAATAGTGTTCCCTCATAATCTAACATATCATATTGTTCTTTGTGTTATATATCTACTTCTCAAATTAATTAATGCTATAACTATCCAATCAGACACTCTTCTATAGACGATCGCTATCCCTATTACAGTGGGGGAGGGGGGAGGCGTTAAGGATGTTACTCCCGATAAACCGTCCCCATAATTCACAAAATTCAAGATTTTTGAGAAAGCGCGTAGTTATTACAGAGGTTCTTTTTGGGTTTGATTGAATAATCATGAGAGTTTTCACTTCGAAACGAAATTCCATTTTTATTTAAACTACCATAAACCCCGAAGGTTGCTAATGACGAAAGCATTCTTACTAAATATATCGGAGATTTGCTTCTCTGCATCGATGATATGACGCAACGAATCGTGAAATTCTTTTGGCTATAAAGAAAAACGAAGTGAAGTACTTGTGAAGCTATAAAGGAAAACGAAGTGAAGTACTTGTGAAGCTATAAAGGAAAACGAAGTGAAGTACTTGTGAAACTGTTTCTAGCAAGATATACAACATTAAACAATTACTTAAAGTTTCCTGTATTTGGATGGCCTTATCCAAACACGTGTATCGACCAATCAGAGCATGCGTTTTGCATGTGTGTTATTTTATAATAGATTATCAAAATTCCATCATTTTACACCGTTTGGTATTTTTCGATTGTATTAAGACAATTGGTATGACACGTTAATGGGTGGCAAAAATACATTCTTTGTTATTTATACCAATAAACCATTAAGCACCAAGAACACTCAAACAGATTATGTTTATCATCTTTTCTCTATTCAGTGATTATGAACCTGAGCAACAATGCTTTTACAGGAAGAAAAACTAATATGTTTGTCTTGGTAAATCATCCAGGTTAGTGCAGTCCTGAGAAGGACTGTTAATGTTGACGCATTGAACTAAAATACATGGAACGCTTCTTGTAACAGAAAAGCCTAACAACTTTATGAAGCCAAATCTTACACGCGTGTGTATTTAATGAATTTCCACACCACGAGAGAATCTCGAAACACTAAACACACGTGTCTGGGTGTAATCTCGCGTGGTTGGGTGTAAGATTTGGCTTAATTATTTGCTTCAGGTAGCGTTCCATGTATTTTTGTTCATTGCATTGACGTTATGACAACCATAGCTGTAGTCATCTTCAGATACTGATGAATAAATTTCGTCGAATCGTCACTCAACATCAACATCAACAGTCCTCAGAGCTCTACTAACCTGGACGATCTACATCTACAAACATGTATTGATGAACGGGTTCAAAGCATTCATTTTGACTGAAGCTAAAGCAAAAACTCAATATATATGATCAGACATGACCAAAGAAGACGTTTTAATTCTCTACCGCTGGCACTAGTTCTTTCACATTGATTTTAAAGCGAGCCCACGAACATTACGTTAACATAAAAATGATTTAGAACCCAGTCTTCTAGATGTCTAACTACCGTGTCAAGGTGAGGCAAGGACGCCATCTTGAAAGATGGCAAAAAGCAAAACTCAAAATGAAAAATAAGTTATCAAACATTTTATCAAACATTTTAATAATTAAACCTAGACTATCAACATTGCAACTCTGTATCAACTCAGCAAAAGCAGATATTAGTCGTAAATATTGTCAGTTTTGCCAACTTTCAAGATGGCGGCTTGCCTCACTCTTACTCATTACTATCCAATATCAGCGGAGGCAGTTATCTAATAGACTGGGTTCTAGATCATTGAGCGTAACACACCGATGTTATGAAATAAAAAAGCGCCTACGGCCCAACTCAAACTCAACAATCTCATGTGCCAAATCCCTGTTTATAAACCGGGGGTTAAAACGATTCGTCCCAGGCGTAGTTTATGAACAAAATATTTGTTTTCGTGTCAAGAAATTATTCCAATGGCATAACAGTAAAAAGTTACGAGACTTACTGGTTTTGACATCAACCACTCAACTAAATCTGTGACCTTCGCATCGTTTCCCTGACAACATAGAATAATTCAGAGAAAATATAGAAATGGAAATAAGGTGAAAGGCAAGATCATTTAACCAATGAAAAAGTTTTTTTTGTTTACGGTCCTATCTTGGCTGGAGATATCTTTGGTAAAATGAAGACCAACGAAATGATGGGATTTGGACGTTGGACTTATTCAAGACATTTTTACATTGATTACTTGTGATCATGCAGAATGCCTCCCCCCTGTTCCGAATGTTGCAGTTATTTAATCAGGTGGGGCTGTCTAAGCTAACCAGAGTAAATTTTGTGATAAATATTGCAAATTCTGGTCACACTGTGTGATTGGTCAATGACGTCCAACACCCACATTATCGTAAGCAATCACAGAAGCCAAAACATTTTTACTTACAGTTGAACGTTTGGCTTCTATCTTCTCTTTCGAAGTCACCTCGTTTTCTACAACACTAATACTGTTGAATAGATGCTCCAGTTCTAAGGATGTAAGATTTCAAATGATTGTTTTTGACGCTATGTCCATGTTCTATTCTCGAAAAGAGCTTCAACCCTTAAAACATAGTTTTCCCCTTCCTTGCATGTTTACGCACAACAAACAAGCAGTCCAACTTTAGAAACCCATAAAATTTTTACAAAAAGTATCGAGTTAGATGTTTGCTGGGCGAGAAGCTGCTATTTCCCCCTACCACCCACCTTCCAGAATAAATTCCAAGATCATGCCAAGTAAGGGAGCCGAGTCTCCTGGCTAAGCGAGTAACTCGGCTCAGCCGAGAAACTCTGAGCTTACATAAAATGAATGCATCTCCTGGCACATCGTTTATACGATACATCAAAGCAACTCGCCATACCAGGAGTTACCCGGCGAGGAGGGATGATTTTTCCATATAAACGCCTATGGCGGGTTTCTCGGCAAGACAAGAAGGATATATTATTCACACGCATGCGTAATAAGGATTGCTTCTATAAACAACATGGCTAGGAAACTTTGTTGAAGAAAGAAGTTTAGAGTTGCCAGCCGAGTTACCCTATAAACAGATCAATTGTTTTACCCGCCTGTGCGAGTGACTAGCCGGGTAACTTGGTTCCATATAAAAAGACTCTAAATTCATTTATAAAACTAAACAGTACAAGACACGTGAGAGCCAGTTTGGGTACCTCTCCCCCAGAAAAATATCTTGCGAAGACAAAACTTACGAGTGTACATAACTTAGAGGTTACGGTCAGCAGTCGTGAGTTATTCTATTCACGCGGTGGACTTGTGGAGGGAAATTTACACTGATATATACAAAGACTGGATAACGCAACCTAATTCTGGTTCCCATCGAAAATTTTGCAGCCAACTTTTGACAGCGGCGGCCATATTGGACTGTCCACTTGGAGTATATATTTTATAATGAATTTTTATCATATTTTGTATTCTTGTTATTTTCTCTTTCAGAAATCATGCCAAATCTTATATTGTGATATTTAAGCAACGTGAGAAGATTTCTATATGAAATTTAGCAAACATGAGTTTTTGCCCAAATCCGTTCTTTTGCAGTCTTGTCATCATAATAATTTCTTTTTCTCCCAAGAGTGAAAGATATGATTCAAAATAAATGCGAGAGTAGCAGTTTGTTATATAAAACGTATATAAAAACTGAAAAAATGGATAGTCCAATATGGCCGCCACCCAGCTTCAAGTCAAGCACTAAGTTGTGTTATCCAGTTTTATAGATATCAGTGAAAATTTATCATTTCAAATGATTGCATTAATAATTACCTTTTTTATCAGCATCAGTGATTTTTGAATTGCTTTTCCAATTCATGACGTCATTATCTACTGAGAAAAAGAGATGGTACTGAGCATATGAATTTCGTATCAATATATAAAGACGTCATTATCTACTGAGAAAAAGAGATGGTACTGAGCATATGAGCTTCGTATCGCTATATAAAGCGGGAAAAACCAAAAAATACAGATTGCGCACATTTTGACTCCAGTGTTCATTGCATTGAGGTTACATAGATTGGATAAAGGCTAAGAATCGAATTACATGGATTTCACTTTCCAACAAAATCAGAAGTGATCGTGTAGGTGCAATCATTATGAAGAAAACAGTTGTTTTGACTAGAAATGTTCACGTGTGTTGCTAGCGCTGATTACAGATTACATCGGATGGTGTTTTAAATGCCCAAAACTATCTCTTACCTTTTTCCGTTAGGGATTCGGACGATCTCTTTTCTGAAATCAATAAGTACATTTCGTATAACATAAAGTATATCTACATTAGAAAAATGCTACTTTGGCACACATCAACTTCTTCGCAAATTTTCTTGAAATTACAATTTTCCTTTAAAAGAAAGTTGCTGAAAAAAAGTTGATTTTGCGTCGATATGTTCATTAGCGGAGGTTTAAAAACCACGCAGTTACACGGACATGCAATGCCGCAAGACTTGCCCCTTAAGCTTCGTCCGTAAAAATTTTTCAAGCGTTTCAACAGTACAAAATATGGCGACATTTGCTGATTGTATTAAAGTAAAAACTGAGCTAAAGTCAGTTCTGATTTGATGCAAAAAATACAGCAATACCGATAGGTTTCTCCTGAGTTCGAGATAAAAGAGCTTGAAAAAATTGATCTAGAAAATCAACAGCGTGTACATTAATATTATAACAAACTATGATACGGCATTGTCAAGTAATACATTATCTTTTTTTCTATTGTTGTAAGATTAATTTCGACGCAAACCTTCTTCATCGGACGCTCTTTTCTTCAAAGGCAAAATGTGTTTGTCGACTATCAAAATGAAAATAGCATAAGATTTAATTCAACTTATATATTACAATTTTTTCAAATCACATCGATCACCGATAAAGGAATGAGATCGAGGCTTTGAAATCCGCGGTTTTCACATCGATCGCAACAAGTGTAGATGCCTTTATATACCTTTACATATATACCTTTATATACCTAGACGTCTTTACATACCTTTACTGGATTTTTCTACTTTCCTACTGCCTTTGTTCTCCTCCTCTTCAAATTCTGATCTCAAAACTCTTATCAGAGTCTGATCGGATGGATCAGAGACCCCATCAATAAAAGTAGGTTCTATCCAATGAAAAGAAAGTCATATATCAGTAAACAACATATACAAACAGGGAAGACACGTTGCCAAAAGCGATAATGGCGATTGCGGTTCTTCAAATCTCCTTAATCTCAATTATTGTTTTAGTAGCTAAGGTCTCTAGCACAAAAACAGACAAACGTTCAAGTTGTCACGGCAAACTAACTTTATTCTTTTACAGAGGTTAGAAATCTCTAATTTTCGCTCAGTTTGCAATGTAAAAATTGCTTCAATGTCAAGTTGAAATCAATCTTCATCGTGATTGTATCTTTTCTGCGTAATGTTGAGAAGTTCGTTCGAAAGTTCGTTGCAAAGGTAGTAAAATTGGAGAAGATTGGACCAAAGTGCAGAAACATTAGATGTCAAGTTGAAATCAATCTTCATCGTGATTGTATCTTTTCTGCGTAATGTTGAGAAGTTCGTTCGAAAGTTCGTCGCAAAGGTAGTAAAATTGGAGAAGATTGGACCAAAGTGCGGAAACTTTAGATATCAAGATACAAAACAAAAAGTAACTGTATATATTAAATAACTCTTGGGTCTTCCTTTCATTTTAGTTACGGCTTTTAAATTGGTTAGACATGCTAGACGTTAAGTTATCAAATCTTTAGCGCGGAGAATCTTTACTATCAAACATTACTATAGACAAATCCTTTGCACTTCTTTTACGCAGACTGTCTGTAAATCATACAATTAGTTTGAACTCCATATTTAAACTTCATTACCACTGACGGATAAACAAACTTAAGAAGCACTCAAACTTTCAAGCAAACTGGGAAACATTAGCATAAAAGTTATATATATATATAAAATTGCCTCGATTTCGCACCGCCATGAGTAAATGAAACATCACGATAATGCGTACTTTTACATATAAAACGCATGCCAATAAAAAATTTCGACACTAGCTATCTCAATACATCTGTTTTAGAAGCGAAAAAATGTTTGTTAAAAATACGCAAAGTGTCACACAAATAGACTAAAATATATGTTAGTCCCGAGAATTTTTTAACCAGTTACGCCTCGTTGGCCAACATATACCAAACTAAAAATGCACTAATACTCTTTGGGCGGGTTTTTAGTCAAACAAAGTTAACACAGTAAATACTTTGAGCGTATTTTCCGAACTTTTGCTCTCATATCGCAAACACGTCAAACTTTGAGATATAGAAGACAGAGAAAGTTTTAAAAGATATGAAATATAATATTATCGTTAAATACGCGGTTGCTCACAAGGCAGTCAGAAACACCTGTTAAAATTAATTGACGGGAAATTTAAGGGAATCCGAAACATAAATTCCGTCACTTTATATCATATCGAGTAACCTACCGCTTTGTCGACGACATTCCGTTAGCGCTATGACCATAAACAAAGTCGATATCTTCAATATTTTACTAAATTTATACTTTACTTTTGAGGCCATCATTTTGATTTTCTTCGCTATTTTCACTTCAAGATTTTTCGGCCCGCTGAGCACTAGGCCGCATATTCAAATACTATTGGTCGACAGGCGTGAGATCACGGATCAGTTTTGGCGCCTTCTCCTGATCTTAATAAACAGTGAATGGTTGCGAATTAGATCGTGCTTTATATAAACGGGGTGACGTAACAACGGGTTATTTCCTTTATAGTAGCAGCCAATGATAATGCGGGAAAAGGGAGTGGAAAAAAGCTGTTTTACCTTCTATATCTATCTCTTTTACTGGTACTATAACGAAGAATTTATTGTCATTTGCTGATATAGATGATTTCTATAATGCTCTAAAAGTTCAATTCCAATGTGCGTCATGGATTTTAAAACAAATGTCGCCATTTATTAGCTATTTGCACTATTTTAAAATATATACTGTGAATCTTTTTGACCTACAGCTAAAACCAAAGTTTCTGACTTTTATGAAACTTTGTCTTTCAACAGAAAAGCGCTGACAGAAGGCACGAGGCAAGATCGATAATGGGAGGTGAGCGATATTCATATGTGCACGATCAGTCGCATTTAGTTCTTTTGAAGACGATTGTTTTCTACGGATTATAAAATGCATAAATGAACATGAACCACACGGTTATAGAGCTTGCTACGCGATGGCAAATTTAACATCAATGAAAAATTTCGCACGCCCTCTCATTTCAAGGCACTTCATAAAATAAAAGCAATAAAACGCATGCGCTGCTTGGCCTATAGCTGTGTTTGCATTGGTCTGTGCAAACCGATCTGAGCTCGACCAATCTAAACAATCAATCAATCAAAGGGAATTTGCAAATCAATCATGAATACATTTTAGAGGAAAAATTGAAATGTTTGTATTAAATTTTTCTGTCTCGCATTGTTGTTATTTTATAAAAGCAACAAAGGAGATGTTATTCATGTTTTCACAGGCTAATGCAAGCCTCCGAGACGTTTGTGAGAACTCTCGAGCATGTGCAACCCTCGATCTTCGGTCACGGCCTTGCACTGATCAGCTTTCGAGTTCTCCCAAAGGTCTCCTCGGTTTTCATAAGCCTGTGCAAACACAGTAAACATAATTTATTTCTTGAATAAAGGGGAAAAAATTTGTTGATGAAGTTTATTGTTATGAGAGCCCGTCATCGTCATAACAAATGTATACGTAATATTGATTTATACTTTCCGAGTGTCATACAGAGGCATAATTATCGAGTTGCATGTAATTGCGCATGCGCACTTCATCAGAAAAGTCAAGATTTACGTGCCTTACGCACTCACGCTAATCAGCATAGTACTTCCTGTAAGCAGCATCTGAACAACATTCAATGTAGACAATGGTAAGGGTTTTCTTTGAATGACCGCCACATCGCTACACGCGTCTTGATAATAACTGAAACAAAATTCCTCAAGGAAGAGTTTCCAAAACATCACTACTCGTTCACGGATAAACGTGTCGGTCAAAAACGTTTGTGAAATCTCCTCATAGTTAGAGGGAACATGTCATAAAACCTCGGTTTATGTAGTATAAATGAGAATAACCGATTGGCTAATGTACCACTTTGACGGGGGGAGTGGGATCGATTCTTACAGCAGACGTTCCGCCAGATTTCGATCGTGTTGTCTTCGCAGTGGTATTCTGAGACGACTGTGGATGGCGTATCGTTTTCGACGAGATAGCATCGGCACCAGAATGTCTTTGCACTAATACCGAACTGACGCTATTAGCCCCGGGAGGACCTGAGCCTAGAATGAAGAAAAATTTGGTTTGAGAGGCATTTCCCACTGGTTGAGAGCATTTCCTCCATACCCTCCTCCCACCCCAATTATTGTAGATGATTGGCAAAATCATTAACGTAAACCGATCTGAGCTAGACCAGTTAAATTCGAGCAGGTGCAAACCTCGACCTTTGGTCTCTGACTTGCACTGATCTGCTTTCGAGTTCTCTCAAAGGTCTTCTCGGTTTGCATAAGCCTGTGCAATTACAGCAGAGTGCTTTTATTTCTTAAAAGAAAAATCGATACCGGGAATTGCAGCCTTCAAATCTCTCTTGAAATCAGCCCGACCGACAGCTTTGACATTGATTGTGCGACCCTGTTGTCCAGCGGTAAATATGGTATTTGCCATGTTGGTATGCGGAGCGCATGAAGTATTGCCTGCATGGGCCTGTGTTACGGTTGAGGTTGTTGACTTGGGAGGCTGAGTTCGCGGGATCATTTCATTTCCTAAAACAAAATAAGTAAACGGTAAAATTAAGCATAACATCAATTTGTTCAATGATAAGTTCCAGGCATAAACCATCATCAGGAGATTGATCTATTTTCCAGGGTTCTTCAGCCGAGAGTATTTAACGGTGGTCTTTAAGTCTTCACTATCACAAAAGCTGTTTGTCTTAGTTTAGTTGGGCGCTCGACACAACAGAGTTTATACGTTTTTGACAGTGCTATAAATGACCGTTTTACCATTGAATGGCAGTTTTTAAGGCGTTTGTTAATTGTTAGCTAGAACGTAAAGCAGTTGGCAAATTTCTATTTATTTATTAATTGTTTTGCTGCTAACAGGCGAGCTATAGAATAATTAGAGTATATTTGCGAAGTTATTGCTGCCTATACTGTATCTCCGAAAAACAGTTTGTTAAAATCTTACGAAAAATAAAATAATAAAGTACTTCGTTTGTCTTTGACAAGCAAAAAAATTTTTGACGTTGTTGTTTTCAGACTGACAAGCAAATAAGCGGCTGTCTAATGCCAAATAGACGGCGGTAAAACGCCGGTAGCCGCCTTTGATGAAAACATTGCGTGGGGTTTATTATACTGCGTTACAAATAAAATAAAACAAAAAGACTCAATTTTGATATCAAATCAGCCCACATGAAGACCTTTTAAACAGATTTTCCTTAACATTACTCTTAAAACAGAAATAAAACGATATGATTCCCCTGAACCAATCAATGCACAAGGATTCCTTTTTTGATTGTCACATGACTCTCCTTCACCTGAACCAATCAATGCACAAGGATTCCTTTGTTGATTGTTACATGACTCTCCAGGTGCATCCTCATCCTCGGGCTCTCGAAACATGTGCATTGCTTCCAGATTTAAAGCACAGACTCCCCTCATAAAGGCTTTCTTCATTGTCTCTTCATAGATTTCCTTTCAGCGCGAAGTCGGTTTACTTCCAGTCTCGCGGAATCAAGCGCTTTGTTTGCCTATGATAATAGCAATCATAATATCTGCTTAAACAGACCATATTGCAGTTAATAAGTCCAAATGACATGAAATGTTTATAAAATAATATTCAAGTACAAAAGTAATCAGCTTCAAATTATTGTTGTATTAATATGTATATCTATCGTATTAAAAACACGTGCTATATTTTTCGACGAATAATATAATATTTGCCTACACTTGGTATGATTGGAAGGACTTGATAACAAAACACACAGGAACTTAGATACTGTATAGCGATGGTAATTAAATTACTTTATGATCTTCTAAAAGATCGTCTGCAGGATTAGTGCCTTGAGAACGACTATTGCTTGCGACTGACATTTCAACAAATTGTGCAGAAGTCATCTTTACGGGATGAAATGAGAGTCTTTGTCAGTTGAGAATAAGAAATAAACGCGACTTTATCACGCAGATGGTTTTGGCACATGGTGTAAAAACATCAGTCGCCATCAGCAGTTTTTCTCAAAACTTAAAAGAACCAGAAAATCTCTAAATAAAGATACGTCAATCGTAATCAAACTATTTTTTTATTTACCTCAAATAGTTTTGCCTCGTAATCGTTGGTTAACTTTAAACATACATCTTGTGCTTTTGACTAAACATATAAAACCTGAATGAGTCGTCAGTCGAGGTTCATAATACCGCAAGCCCCGACACCCCATGCATATGCCCATCGTTCATAAATACCACGACTAGGTAAATCTACTGACCAAAATACGATGTAATATAGATAATTATATAACTTTGGATTTCATTGTCGATTCAAGTTAATCGTTGCTCACTTTGTAATTTGGAACCGTCTTTGCAACATACTGATTCGCGTGTAGAAGACTGTAAAGTACATTTATGTTCAGTAATTTGTGGACTTAATTCAAGAGTTTAAATGTATGAATGTCTAAATGTTGGTCATATAAACCAGAAACCTTTGAAGTAATTGAATTGAATGTAGGTCATATAAGTCAGAATCCGTTAAAGTAATTGAACAAATGCAATAATTTGAATGTATGAATGTCTAAATGTTGGTCATATCAACAAGAAACCTTTGAAGAAATTGAATTGAATGTAGGTCATATAAGTCAGAATGCGTTAAAGTAATTGAGCTAATGCAATGGTTTGAATGAACGAGTATTTCACTGTTGGTCATAACAACAAGAAACCTTTGAAGAAATTGAATTGAATGTAGGTCATATAAGCCAGAATCTGTTAAAGTAATTGAACAAATGCAATGGTTTGAATACTGGCTGTTGGCCAATATAAACCAGGAACCCTTGAAGTTCATACTAACTATGGCACATACTATGCCACCTCTTTCCATACCTGGCAGGCTTTCTCCACTTTTTGTTTCCATCGCGTTTCGACGATTGAACGCCAAGCACTCCAGATTTTACCCTTAATCACGTGATTATGGTGCTTCTTCGCAAGGTTTGTCCCGAATGCCTAAAGCAACAGATATACTTGTAATTTAGAAATAAACGTAATACATGAGTGATCTGATGTTGAAACTTGAGTCCTTATACACTCCAGTCTAGTGTCTTCATCAGGAGTGATCTGATGTTAAAATTTAAGTTCTTATATACTCCAGTTTAGTGTTTTCATCAGAAGTGATCTGATGTTGAAACTCGAGTTCTTATACACTGTAGTTCGACTTGTTTGATTTCATTAACAATAGCTTCTGCAAATGGAAAGATGTTTGATACAGTGTTTTCTTAAAAGATGTCCAAAGTCATTGCTCAGCCGAACGCTTAAAACACACCCTCCTTGGGTCCCCAAAATACCTCCTTCTTCTCGTCGACATGTTTGATTTTCCAAGTGTTAAATCTTCGAAGTAGGTAAAATCTGTCTTTCTGAAAAGACGAAAGAGTCATTTCACAAACGTAGAAGAAAGTTTACTGACTTCATCCGGGTCAAATACAGTTTAGCGGACACCTTGTGTCGCTGATCAAAAAAACCGTGCTGCAGGCTCAGTAAATGAAAAAAGGTCGTGCGAGTTCAAAATAAGTTAACAGCTTAGATTTAATTTCAAATTTCGACCACAACCCTAGCCACCGTAAAATGGCTACTGGTGTCCGCTATACTGACCCCTAGCCCTTCATTCTAAGCCATCCTTTACTAGATCCTCACCTGTTTTTGAATAGCTTTAGTCATGTTTGCAATTATGTTGTCTTTGTGTTCTATCGTCTTCTCGTAAGTGTACAGCAGTTCTTTCAAGCTCTCCAACTCGTTTTGCTTCTTGTTCAGTTCAGTCGCATGCCTGCGTATTTGAAATGTTTAAACTACGTACAGCTGATGAAAACAATGCAGGAAAAAGTCATTTCAAATTTGATAAGTAAAGAAACTACTTTAAGTAATGATTTGTTTCGCGTTGATTTCGTACATTTCATAAAAGTTGACAAATTACATGTAAGACCAAGAGGACGTTTGAGAGACATAAAGAAAAATAAATCTTTTGTATTATACATCCTTCGTTCTATATTTTAATGAGCTTCTGGTGTAGTAGATTGAAACCTAAGATTATGTTTTGGTATCGACCATTACAATTAACCACTGCTATCTGCCATTGTCATCTACCACTGCTATCTACCATTATCATTCACCACTGCTATCTACCATTATCATCCACCACTGCTATCTACCATTATCATCCACCACTGCTATCTACCATTGTCATCCACCACTACTATCTACCATTATCATACACCACTACTATCTACCATTATCATCCACCACTACTATCTACCATTATCATTCACCACTACTATCTACCATTATCATTCACCACTGCTATCTACCATTGTTATCCACCACTGCTATCTACATTGTCATTCACCACTGCAATCTACCATTGTTATCCACCACTGCTATCTACATTGTCATACACCACTGCTATCTACTATTGTCATTCACCACTGCTATCCACCACTGCTATCTACCATTACCATCCACCACTGCTATCTACCATTACCATCCACCACTGCTATCTACCATTGTCATCAACCACAATATTGTGTATCATTGTCATCAATCAGTGTTATCAAGTTAGTATCGATCAATGTCATCAATCACTGTTATCAAGTATCTACCAATGTCATCAATCACTGTTATCAAGTATCTACCAATGTTGTCTACCATTATAATACTGTAACAATTACCATCTAACATTTTCACACACCATTGCCATTAACATTTCTTCGAACAATTACTTTATATAATTATAATTTCCTATGGCAATTTATCAATTATCTCCTAAAGATCATTGTTAATGACCAATGCCATCTACCAAGATTATCTACCATCCCTATCTACTATAGTTATCTATTGTAGTTATCAACATTACACATGTTCTTGTCCTTGCAAGCAGCCATTGATATTGACCGCTTGCTATTTTGAACAAAACAGTCCTAAATGAAATAAAAATCTGGAAATGATGAAAAAAGGATAAAAGACTGACCTTTGTTGTTTCATAAGAAGATCTTGTTTGTGACGTCCTTGAAGGGCCATCTTACATTGCATAAACTCTGCCTGGTAATGTAAACAAGCAATCATTATTCTGTCAAAAGAGGTAAGTGCCCCTAACAGCTGCAGTTCCATGCTCATCTGACAAGATGGGTGCTGATTTCTCTTCAAGGGTGCATTGGTGGGGGTAGAGAAGTATTACCTAGGGCAAATGTGCCACATTTGAAATAAATTTCACCCTTATCAGTTCGATAAGGTAAAATTTTCTTGCCAATAATAATTTAATAGCCTGGGGTTGCATGCGTATCCTCCTTCGAAACCCTGCATAAATTCCACAATAGATCCTAACAAGGCAAAGTGAACACATTTCCAGAGATTTCTCAAAATTCTTCGCCCTTAAAACAAATAGCTTTATCCAAATAAACAATCTTGAACAAAACTTATGACAAAACCATGTTTGAGCACAATGGAAATCATAGGAATATAGTCAAGATTTAATTATGATACAGCACCAGTTGACAATATGCACAGTTAACTCACTTTACAAATCGCATGCGTAAATCTTTGGTGAAAGCCTAACAATGCTAACATACAAAAAATATCCTCACCAAAATATTTGATTTCATATCCTTGCACCAGGAGTCCAATTGTGATTCCATCCTCACAAGATCTGCATCAACGACAGGAGAATTCTCTGAAGTACTGACCATGCTGCCATTTGGAGTGCTTGCTTCACTTGAGCTGTATGATTGGTCACTCTCTTTTGGTTCAGGAGAGGTTTCTGGGAAGAATACGTACAAATGTATATGTACATTAGAGGCAAAGAACTCACTCACTTGGAGTGTTATTACAGTAAAGAAACACTTTGCAGCACATATCTTCCTATGGATTATATTCAATTTTCTTAAGAATAGGAGGATTGCGATGGCTACTCACAGACAGTAATCTAATTAAATAAATAGCCCCAAGTTGCACAGCAAAGTGGTCCTACTGTTTGTTTCTATACTGTGGTGTTATTCAAGAGGGGCTGCCGGGGAAGAATAAATTCATACCATCTTCTGCAGTGACAATTGCCATGAGCAGAAATAACAGAAGATAATACAGACTTATATGTTATGTATAAATATGGACATTAGTCATGATAAGAAGTTTTATAGTCTAATGACATGACAGCCAGGACATGTTACTGGCAAACGATTGAACTCAAAAAAGACTTAAGTAACACTAGGTTTTACGAAGTTTATTGCAGTAGAAAAACCTTCAGTTTTCGACTTCATTTTATTGGAATATTGTCCGTTTACTCTGGCCACTGGTGGAGTACTAGGTAAGACTGTAACTTCTTTCTCTAAATCTCGTGTGTCCAGCTCATATGACTCGCTGCTTGTCCCAGTTGTAGTGAACTCGTGTTCTTTGAAATTCGTACGTTTCGGCTGCGTTTTAGGTACTGTAACCTTTGGCGTTACGACAGCGTATCTTAACAACTGTTCGTATTCCTTCTGCAGTGAAGTAGATACCGAACTGCCAGCAGACTCGACAGGCAGTTCTGGCACGGACGACTCTTCGCTTCTACTTGACATTTGAGGATACTCGAAGGAAAAGTCGCTTTCTATGAAATTCTGTACAAAACGATGTATTTTTACGCTTTGTTGTTAAAATGTTTTGAAAATCAAATTTTGCTCGTTCGCAGGCTCAATGTGTGATTGGTGAAAAAATATTACCACAAAGCATTGCGGTCATTCTCTCAGATTTCAGCGCACTTTATTTTAATTCGACACCTTCGACACAAGTGGTTTCATGAAAACTTTCAATTGATAACTGACAGGGTGGTAATAAGCAAGCAAATAAGTTGAAAGATCATCTGGTGTAATTATAGAATATTTTTCTTAATCATAACACGGCCTGATTAGTATAGCCAGCATTTGTTGCAGGGTATTCAATACTTGACTCGATACAAAATTCAAACTGAAGACAATACTTTAGATTACTATAAACGTTTACCCACGACACGCATTTTCCATATCGCACTAAAATTAATAGAGTGATGGAAATCAGCTATGATTCAAAAAAGAGATTCAAACAGGCTTTCATTCATCAGTTTTACAAGAGGGGCCAGTAGTACGAAGGCCGAACAGCGCTACCCACTGGATAGCAAGTTTTTTTGAACGTTTAAAAAACCTTATAAAAGAGAAAAAATATAAGATCTGAAATGAGCATTCACTAAAAGAAAATATTGCTTCCAAGATTACAAAAATTTCTATGCCGTAAGGAAAACATACCCAACTTTTCTACAAGTTTGAAATTTTACTATCCAGCGGACAACGCTTTCCAGACTTCGTGCAACCGGCTCCAGATATTTCGAGGTTTTCTACTATTTGAAAAAGCCGTAATGTCATATGAAATGTCCCCTACAACTATGAAAGAGATTTAAGACCAGTTTCATTTTGGCTCGTTTAAAATGCGACGTTTGAAATGGGCCAAATAGTTGTAATGTTTTGGTGCGCAAAAAGCTCGAATAATCTCCAACTTTAACGCCTATCCTTATAAACCAAAGAAAAAGCTTCTCTTGAAAGTCGTCCCACAGTTAATCGACCCTAGGTTGCTAAGAAATAATGTAAAGAGAGTCTTATAGTTGTCTCAAACTTCTCAAAGACACATACATAATGTTGAATAACACGTGTGTACACATTGACTTATAAAGCCGAAGCTAAAGACTTTTCAGAATAAGATTCATTGGTTGTATGAGAAACCGCGCACATACAGTAAACTATAGCATGGTACACAGTATTGACGACAACATGAGAAAATGACAGTACGCTTTCACACAATTCATGACATAGAACCGTGGACAATATCTTGGTTCCTATGTAATCATACGGGATTCAAGCTACATTCCTGATAGAAGATGAAAATGGCACAAGTTCTGAAATCGTACGGTCTGAAGCCAGGCAACCAAAGCATTATAACCAATAACACAGTTTCATCTAATAATTTAGATTATGTTCAACAGTTTCTTTAACATATCGCATGATTCAGTAAATTTCCACGTCCAAACCGAATCATTTAACAATCTCAAGGATTATCAGAGACAAAAATACGAGAGATTAAAACGTTCCGATCAAAATATGAAGTTGTATTTTGACAACCAGAGCTTCGTTTCATTATTTTCAAAGGAAGCAGTGGTCGATGCTGCAGTAAGTTAAAAAAGCAAATGGACTATTTTCAGAATAGTTCATAAAGCACAACCTTAATAGTTCTATTTTGAGCTTTCGGCTATATTTCAAAGCGTGACCTTAAATCGCCTTACATCTGAATTCCGTTATAAACAAGTCCTTAGATTAAAATTTTCTTATACAAAGAAATGAAACAGACTCTTAACCGTTTTCATTCATAATTTAGATACACCCGATGTTTGTGATCATTTCACAACATCTATACACACATTGTTACGAGCATGCGCTGACGATTCACCCCTTTTTTACACTCGGCACAATCCCGCATATCTACAACTTATGATTGAGTACTTGAATCGGACAGAGGTACCGCGGGCGTTGGCCACTCGACGTTATACTTTGTATAACTCTTGAAATTGTTTCGCACCGTCTGTTTGATTGTGTTGCAAGGTCGCAAGCCGTCGACTTTTCCCGCCAACCACTGATCGCACGTACTTTTCTGGTCACGTGAAACATTTTCCATCACCCAAGCTTCCAGCCAACGTTGGAAATTTTCCGACAACTTACGAGTGATTGTTGGATATACCTAAACAGACAACAAATTGATTAGTTTAGTTCAACGACCTAGTCACCTAGAACACAATCTGCTAGATACGTGACTCGGCCGGAGTTCTACAGTTATGAGTGAAGCAAACCGCCATGATAAAAGTGGCAAAACTGACGGATATGCACGTCCAAAATGTGCTTCTTCTACGCATATATACAGTTGTAGAGTTGAAAGTCTAGGTTTGATTTTTAAAATGTTTGGTTGGATTTAAGGACAATACCGTGGATTAAAGTTTTTAAATTTTCTTATGACTTATTTTTGATTGAGAGTTTCGCCCATAGCCGCCTTTCAAGATGGCTTCCTCCAAATGAAGGGTCGTCAGACATCTAGAGGACTGGGTCCTAAGTCATTGGCATACGAATGATAATTCCTTGGGCATGTGAATTCTCGACAGTGAAAAAATAGACAACTTACACACAGAAAGTCACCTCGAGCCATTTTGGCGCCATCGATTAGCAACTCAGTCAACGAAAAAAACAAAAGCATTTGTTATCTCAGCTGACAGAAGATTTAGCAAAAATTTATCCATGGGAAGGGAGCGATTGCCTCAGTTTCCTGTACGTGCACAAAAATTAATGGAGACGACTTTCAGTATGTTAGGTTTGAGCGAGAGGGTCAACTTTTGATTCAACTTCAGCCGCAAATGAGTTAGTACAACCCACCCCCACCCATCTTCAAAGATTGTTGTGTTCATACCTTTCTAGCTTTTGGCAGCGATCTTCTACGATAGAAATAACTGCGGCCACCACGAACGAACTTGAGTTTGTATGTATTCGAAGAGATTTTGCATTCCATCGTATCCTCGTTCACGATGTCAGCGGACGTTTCCTCGCCTTCAATGTTACTTGGACTAAAACAAACAAAATAGATCTTCACTTGTTGACAACCAAAAAGCTTTGCCTATTTAACTACGCTATTGATTTTACTGTGGTTCTTTGGCATGCATAATGCACCTTTATAAATTCACAGTACGCGAAAGCAACATAAAGTTTATTCTATGCAATTGGCCGCTCTGATCTTAGAAAGTAGGCTGAAGCAATACATTAACCCTCCTGCCTTCAATAAAAAAATAGCTCAAACTTCCGGAGGGTACAAAATCCACAAACGCAATATGTAAGCAAATAAAATTATTGAACTCCATTACGGAAAGTAGAAACAGTCCCTTCTCTACCTGTTACCGAGCTCTTCGCCATCAACGGCAGATTTTTCACCTTCTGGCGCTTTCTTTGAGCGAATATGTCTTGAAGTTCTGGGCAAAAAGACCGGCTTCACTTTCAGTCGTTCTTTCACCACTTTCGGGATTTCTTGGTTTGATACAAACTTATCAACGTAGTCGGTCCATTTCTGAAGAACAATTTAAACATGTTAGGGATGTTTTCTACTGACTCGATTACTTTTCGTTAAGACATGAAGATTCTTGATAACACATAAGGCATGAAGTCAAAGGGATATAGGTTTACATGTCACATATGAACAAATAAGATCACAGTTACACCTTGTTTTTCATCTAAATCGAACACTCAATTTTTCATCTAAATCGAACACTCAATTTTTCATCTAAATCGAACACTCAATTTTCATCTAAATCGAACACTCAATTTTTCATCTAAATCGAACACTCAATTTTCCATCTAAATCAAACACTCAATTTTTCATCTAAATCGAACACTCAATTTTTCATCTAAATCGAACACACAATTTTTCATCTAAATCGAACACTCAATTTTCATCTAAATCGAACACTAAATTTTTCATCTAAATCGAACACTCAATTTTTCATCTAAATCGAACACTCAATATTTCATCTAAATCGAACACTCAATTTTTCATCTAAATCGAACACTCAATTTTTCATCTAAATCGAACACTCAATATTTCATCTAAATCGAACACTCCATTTTTCATCTAAATCGAACACTCAATATTTCATCTAAATCGAACACTCAATTTTTCATCTAAATCGAACACTCAATTTTTCATCTAAATCGAACACTCAATTTTTCATCTAAATCGAACACTCAATCTTTGTTAGGTACGTTGAAAGTTCTAGTGGTTTGAAAGTAATTACTAGACGTATCTTCAGAATGCGAACACTAGTTGACAATTAAAATGATTTTTTAAACGTAATCTATCTTCAATAATGTCGATAAATCAAACCTCGAATGCCATCATATCGTCATAATGAACATCCTCAGTGACAATAAGTTCAATACTGATCGTTATAATCGTCTTATCTTTGTGCTACAAACATAAAAACGTTAGACAAAACGTTAAAAAGCCTGCAAGAAAACTATATCCAACATGTAAAGCATAGGTGGAAAAGTGTGATGTACACAAATGTATCCACAGATGTTCAACTGGAACACCTCGTGCTATCCCCGACAAGTGACCTCAAACTATCTACCAACATCAACAGATGTTCAACTGAAACACCTCGTACTATCCACAACAAGTGACCTCAACCTAACTGCCAACATCAACAGATGTTCAACTGGAACACCTCGTGCTATCCCCGACAAGGGACCTCAACCTATCTACCAACATCAACAGATGTTCAACTGAAACACCTCGTACTATCCACAACAAGTGACCTCAACCTATCTACCAACATCAACAGATGTTCAACTGGAACACCTCGTGCTATCCCCGACAAGTGACCTCAACCTATCTACCAACATCAACAGATGTTCAACTGAAACACCTCGTACTATCCACAAGTGACCTCAACCTATCTACCAACATCAACAGACGTTCAACTGAAACACCTCGTGCTATCCCCAACAAGTGACTTCAACCTATCTACCAATATCCACAGATGTTCAACTGAAACACCTCATGCTATCCCCAACAAGTGACCTCAACTTATCTACCAATATCCACAGATGTTCAACTGAAACACCTCGTGCTATCCCCAACAAGTGACCTCAACTTATCTACCAACATCAACAGATGTTCAAGTGAAACACCTCGTGCTATTCCCAACAAGAGATCTCATCCTACCAACATCAACAGATGTTCAACTGAAACACCTCGTGCTATTCCCAACATAAGACCTTGACCTACCAACATCCGCAGATGTTCAAATGAAACACCTCGTGCTATTCCCAACAAGAGATCTCAACCTACCAACATCCACAGATGTTCAACTGAAACACCTCGTGCTATCCTCAAAAAGTAACCTCAACCTACCACAATAAACTTATAACAATTTTCATCATTGAGCAACGCTTCCGCTTTTTTCTGATAGGAAATCTCCTCTTCCTTTCGGAGGCCTTGAGTAGCAGAGTTCCCTCCAGCTCCTTCGCGAGACTGTTCCTGCTGATACAGATCCATTACTTGGACACACGTGTCGTCAACAACGATGGTTTGAAGCTAAACATAAGTAAATAAGGTGTCAATGAGTCTGGCGAAGAATTTCTACTTTAGAAACAAAGATCTCCCTTGATAATTGAATTGCGTTGGAGTGTGTATAACGACTTGAGTTTCAAAATTTGAATCACTTGTGATGAACGAGAGAATATAAGTACTTAAGTTTCAACACCAGATCACTCCCGATGAAGATACTAGACTGGAGTAAACAAGAAGTCCAGTTTTAACATCTGATAACTTCTGGTGAAGACATTAGACTGGAGTATATAAGGACTCAAGTTTCAACATCAGATCACTCCTGATGAAGACATTAGACTGGAGTATATAAGGACTCAAGTTTCAACATCAGATCACTCCCGATGAAGATACTAGACTAGAGTAAACAAGATCTCAAGTTTCAACATCAGATCACTCCTGATGAAGACATTAGACTGGAGTATATAGTAATAAAGACTCAAGTTTCAGCATCTAATCGTTCTTAATTAAGAGTGATGTTGAGAATAGATGAGAATTTTAAAACAGATAGTGCTTCTTCAGTCAATGTTTAAGTGCAGGAAATAGAAATTGAAATAAACTAAAACAAAGTTTAAGTACCTGACGAACAATATTCGTTACAAGCTTGTCAATGGTGAAAACAATGTACGCATGAACGCCGAACATTTCACGACATGTATCTTCAAAACTGCTTGATTCCATGTTTCCTATAAAATAATTAAACAAAAAACACTCAGCCCTCGAAACATGGAGAATTATCCTTTTCAGGAGGATTTACAAAAGTTTAAAAATTTACGATTTGCGAGAACTGAACATTTAAGTAAGAATGGAGTCGATTATTCAAACTAGCTCAGAAATCCTTAAGATGTCAAAATTGTTTTGGACGAAGATCTGTCAATACCGCTAAATATAAATGAAGGCAAATAGAAATAAATAGGGAATCACGGGAAACACGTAATCAAAACAGAGCCCTTTAATCCACAGCAACATACCATCAAGTAAATTTCGCACCATATCGAGAAACACGGGATAATACTCTTCCACATCGACATCTGTGGGAGCCTTCAGTCTCAACGCGACAGCGGTCGACTCCTTTCTCTGTTTCTTATCGGATGCTTCGCCTTCGGCAATCTCGACAGAACGTTGAAACATCTTTAGTAAGCGTTCACAGACCATCTGAAAATGAAGATGCCCACATTAGGACTTCGACAAACTATCGTTTACTTCGTAAGGGACCATTGAAACATCTTCAAAACACGTCATACCAAAACAAGCACGATTATAGAATAAATCATAAATATAGCTCCAAGATTCAGCAAAAACACTGACCTGGTGAAGTCTTAAAAAGATGTACCAATTATTGTTGACGAACATCAGATTGTAAGCATCATCCTAAAGAAAAAACAAGTCGAAATTAGTCTTTCGCGAAAAAGGGCAGGTTAAAATACCTCACACCACTCAATAAGCCCCCACCGAACCATTCAAAGTTTTCTAAATCACAGAGCAGCAAATTGTTCAACGGTGAATACTTAAAGGTTCGTAACCAGTGTCAGGTGATATACATATTTCAAGGAAAACCACTAAATTTGGAATGATTTAAGACGTCCAGAGGCAATGGTGAATTCAGTGAGGATTTTTTTTTGGGGGAGCGCTTGGCTTAGTGATCAGCTAAAGCCCTGCGGTCATAAACCAAATATTTATTAACCTACTCAATATTAGAAGTTGAAAGTAGTTCCCGCTTTGGTCAACAAAATAAATATCATTGACGCCTTTTAATCAAAATAAATATCACTGACTGTCAATAAACTTTAATGATATAGTCAATGAACGATTTTCCATTTGAAGTAGGATGGACTTTAATTTTATTTTTCGAAATTTGCACCTCTCCACACACCCTTATTGACCATTGCCTACATGTGTGAGCAACCCCTTTAACCTCCCACCCCCTCATAAATCCACCACTGTGCACAGAGACTCAATAAAAACTCAAATTAAACAGTTGTATATAAATTCGCATCATTATCAAAAAACTTTGACATTGTCAACAGTATTTACAGGAAAGCTTCTTTGTTTAACTTACAGATTCGGCTTCTGGTAATCCATTCGATGCATCGGACCTCCCTATAAAACACACAGTTTAGCTACAACATGCAGGTGAACACGAGCTTAATCGAGTAACAAGTCTACAACTGAGCAGAAAAGAGAAATTTACCGCAGCCGTTGCTGTCTTTCACAGAATCCTCGTCGTCGCTTAATTCTCCTCTGAAAACGTGAAAACGGTTTGAGTCCGGGATATCGTTAAATGTTTGTAAATTTCAATAGTCCAAATTTACGCCGCTCTCAGAAGAACTATTGGTGTTAACATCTTTAGCGTTAGTCCTCTACAGTCAACCGTGTTAAGTATGAACAAAAAAGAAACAAGGCGAGAACCTCTAATATACTTGTCTATTGACTCTAAAGATGACTACCGCTGACAATATCACAACGTCAATAAACACCAACACCAACAGTCCTTCTCGGGACTCTACTAACCTGAACGATCTACATCTACAAACATGTTACGATATAAAAGTGTTACAACACGTAAATATTGTGACAAACCTTGGCGCAAAAAAGAGATCGGGTACAAATGTGTACAGCAAGGATTTGATCTTTGACTTGTCTTCCTTGTGTATGCCAGTCTGTCGTTTCATGTGATGGACGATAAGTCCTGCGGCGTCATCAAGAATTGATTTATCCTAACACAAGAACTTTAGGTCAAACTAATGGACAATGCAATTACTCTAACTTGAACATTATAACTTCAGATGTAAACACAAGACAGTAATATGGTATTAAGACTTTGGCATCAACCTTATTATACCACACGAAATCACTCTTACTAAAGACAAAACTACAACGACGAATGACATTATGACAAAAACTCCCATAAAACATTGAAATGAAATATCGAGCTCCGACAACTAAAATCAAATTCAATGATCAGGCCAAGCGCCTGAATGGTGCACGAGTGCAAACCTTGTAAGTAAAGACCATGTGAGGTCCGGTTGGATCAGCATTTCCTTCTGCAGCTTGCTCTTGTTTCTGAAAACGAAGAAACAAAGATATTTAGTAGTAAGTAAACAAATGAACGTAAGATGGTAAGGTGATTTCAAAGTGCCTTCGACACGAAAATTCTTATGTTTGCAATGACCAGAACTTTTGAAATGACAATGGACATTCTAAACAGTTTATGCACATCACTTTTATTTCTTGAGATGTTGAGGTTTTTGCTTCGTCCGATTTATCTAACTTGTGACGTCAAATTGCATATTGAGTAATAGGAGTATTAGGTATATTAAACGATACTTTACTTTACAAGGACATAGTTCCCTTTGTTGTGACGTGGTTAATGGTATAAAATGCTGCCTATTAGTATCAACCTAAAGTCGTCAGGAAACTGAAGAGTATTTGAAACATTTTGAGAACTCATTATGCAATATGACGTGATAAAATGGAAATAACAAAATCTTCAATATCTCGAGAAGGAAAAGAGGTATGCATGAACAGTTTCAAAAAGTACGCTGTCCTTTCAAAAGTTCTGGTCATTGCAAACATAAAAATTTTCGTGTCATAGGCACTTTAAGCAGACATACAAACCTCGTCATAAATATTTTCGATTTCGGTTAACAAACTCTTTGACCGCATCCCCTTCAGGTCATTTTGCTTGAAAGTTGCTCCTTGATAATCCAAAGACTGTGTAAAATATTATAAAACACATTAGAAATGTCTGCAAGCTAAAAAAAGGGTGTTGGGATGTCTGGGTGGTGGTAGAAAAAGTCGTTTCTTGGATGACTATTACAACATCAACTCACCTTAAGATAATACTTTTCATTTTGTTCTCGCCAAATTTTGTTGTATAATCGCTGTGCAGCACGCCACTCCTCTTCCTTCGCTTTTAGTCTGAAAACATCGAAGGGAATGTCTTATTGATATGTTTTATTTGCAAGAGAGATCTAATGCGGAAACTCAAGTCTGTATTTCAGTCTAGTATATTCATCAGTATTGATATGTTGAAATTTGAGTTCTTATATAGTGTACTCCAATCTAATATCTTGATCAGGAGTGATCTGATGTTAAAATTTGAGTTCTTATATACTACAATCTTTTGCCTTCATCTGGAGTGATCTGATATTGAAACTTGAGTTCTTATATACTACAGTCTAGTGTCTTCATCACGAGTGATCTGATGTTAAAATTTGAGTTCTTATATACTCCTATCTAAAGTCTTCATAAAGCGTGAGCTCATGTTAAAACGTCACATTTATCTTTTCCAATAACTCCATAGCTATGACAACACATTAAAATTTCTTCCCTAATCAATAATCATCGAGTTCTAAGTTCTCATCCTCACCGTTTCAAAACAAGCGGTACGGCAACAGCGGGAGTCTTCTTTAAACCATCAATGATATCAGAAGCTTTATCACCGTATATCCTATAGATAGCCTTCTTGTGTATGACCTCAGAAGTACCGCCAAGACAGCCATCCAATCGGAACTTCTGTTGCTCTTCGGAGGTCATGTGACCCAATTTCTTTTGCACTGCCTCGAGGACGCGGATCGTGGACAAATTCACTTCGATAATTCCATCCAATTCGAATCGTTCGTCCTCACAACGGAATATGTATTCCTCGTACTGAGTTTTCTTCGTTCCAAGAAATGTTGTATCCTCCGACCAACTTGGGAAGGAGACCCACGTGTCGTTGAGGACCTCGCGACATAGAGCCGTGCGGCCGGTGCATTTTGGTTGTGTGTAGGTCTTGGGTAGAGCACGATAGCTTGTGCCACATCGCTTGCAAGACGCGTAATCTAAACATATTACGAAAATTTATGAGTCAAAGTCTTTTATAAGATAACCGTTTAAAAACACGGGCGCTGATTGGTCGAATGTTTGAAAAAACTGTGTTGATACTACTCAATAATGGACGAGACTTCGCGTCTGGCGAAAATCTCGCAAGTTGTGCGGGAAATTTTAATGGCGAAAATATCAACAAACATACCGTTAAAATTAATAAATTTATCTTTTAAATATTGTTTTTAAAATGCTTCTTTACATACGAAATAGAAAACATATTTACTTGTTCCTATTGAGTTCTATAAACAGTTGTGAAAAATTGGGAGAAACTCAAAATTACTTGGAAACCCTCGCGCTGCGTGCTTGCCAAGCAGTTTCGCGTTAATTTCTCTCAAATTTTGCCACGTGTTTATATAACTCTACAGAAACTCGGAAAATGGTCACGTGTTTATATAACTCTACAGAAACTCGGAAAATGGTCACGTGTTTATATAACTATACAGAAACTCGGAAAATGGTCACGTGTTTATATAACTCTACAGAAACTCGGAAAATGGTCACGTGTTTATATAACTCTACAGAAACTCGGAAAATGGTCACGTGTTTATATAACTATACAGAAACTCGGAAAATGGTCACGTGTTTATATAACTCTATAGAAACTCGGAAAATGTTTCCTATTCTTTAAAATATCAGTTTGATTACACACACGACAGGAAATTCGCCTCAGCTTTACAACTATGTACCATATAAGCATGTGCTTGGCAAACAAAGTACTTCATTTAACAAACGATGATTAACATTTGAATATCAATCATACCAACGAAACAATAACAGATAATAAAGTAAATGGTTTGAACCCGGGAGTATCGTTACATGTTTGTAAATGTAGATCGTCCAGGTTGGTATAGTCCTGAGAAGGACTGTTTTTGTTGTTGTTGACTGACGTTTCGACAACCTAAGCGGTAGTCATCTTCAGAGTCAAATGAGGAGTAAACAGAAAATAACAGATAGTTGAATTGATCAATGTACATTTAACTGAATATTTCTGTAATAGACGATGATTGTCCAAATTAGTTAAGACAAATGCATTAAACTGGACAATAAAAATCTCTACACACGTAGTCATGCGCTATAAGCTTGAGCGCTTCAACGTCATCAACTGAGAATTTTTGTGTTGATAATTCCCATCCAGTGAAAATTCGTAAAACTTACTATGGATGGCATACAAGCAATGAATACCATGAGATAGAATAGGATATGGAAGTGATATCGACTGGGTGCATACCTATTTCAAGATGGGCAAGCTCGCCAGAGGTTCTTTCCTTGAAGCTTGGTGTATCCATCGGACTGGAATCCTTGTAACCCAAGAATTCCTTAAACCACGTGAAGAGATCGGGAAATTTCCTGTAAAAAATGTGACATAAAACGTTTTTAAAAACTAATCTACTTTCAATTCGAGTGTAGTTCATTCAAAGATTGTTTAGTCGCGCTACATAGTACCAATCAGCTTGCAGGGAGCACTGTATGGGGAAACTTGGTGTGCGTATTCCTAGTACCCTTGGGGATTGCGGACATTCCCATAAGGCACGTGAATGCAGAAAATGGGTTCACACGGGTTAATTGTACCATTTAATAAAACTACATTAGAAATAAACAGCAATATATTTTAATACACATGCAAAATAACCTGTCTGGAACTGCATAAACTTTCAAATGGATATTTAGTTCAAGCAAGAGATTGGAGATTTTAACATAAAAATTCAGCTTAAACTGTGTGCGCTTTCATAATTGCACAATTGCAGCCAATCTCTCATGGACACCTTTAAAATATAAGTACAAGATGGCGTCGTCCACCTCTCGCCCACCTTGTAAATATGACTTTTCGATGCAAAAACTTACAATACACGTAAGTTTATTAACGTTAATCTGCCAAATCACTAGAGAGTCCACAATTTGAGCATCGCCATAGTTCAACAAGTGTGATCAACCCACCGAACAAAAACCCACCGAGCAAAAACCCACGAGCAAAAACACACGGAACAAAAACCCGCCAAACAAAAACCCGTTTTTGTGATATATTCCTTTGAGTGAAATTCCGAGATAATTTATCTTCTTTTGTTTCTTAATTTACATATTCGTTTTTTGGAGTTAATAAGGCCTAAAACAAACAATGTTGCTTCATATATATTACGCAGGTGATCACTTTACATAACAATAAAACAAAGTTCTGACAAAACCCAAGCATGTTTGCAATACACTAACGAAATGAAGCACGATCTTAAGATAATGTATATTAGGAAACGAAGGAACATACAATTCCTCATTACACATCACAAAAACTTCTATATCTCCAAAACTGCGCATACAAACATTCGTGTAAAAAAGAAAGCCAAACGCAGTTTTGGGCGATCTTTTACATAAAACAATAAACAATTTCTTGAAATAAGTACATTCGGAAGAATTCAAAGAGTCCGAATTCGATTCCCAACTGAGAGTGTAAACAATTTTTCGAAATAAAATAAACGTACTCACGAAGACCATAATAAACAAAACCAACGTACCCCAGGAAGGCAGAAACGAGTTGAACAAGATCTGCGCGCGAGATGACTTCTTGATTAAAAAGTTTGAGACAACGTAGAAAATCTTCGTAAACCTTTTGACTTCGCAGAGCTTTGCGTACCTGGAAAAGACAATGTAGAAGAGCTGTGGACCGTGACGTGACATGCGTAGCTATATGTTTATGATTTGAAAACAAATGTGAGTTGTATGTATATATATATATGAATAGGAGACAAGTGTGAGAAAATAACCGGAAAATTTTGTGAATTCAAGCTGTGAAATTTTGCCTGCGACAAGAAATTTCATACAGAAGATCTCTTAAAACTGAGATGTTTGCACGTTTAAGTACGTGTGGAACTGTTCAAAATATCGTGACGAGTAAATTAAGAATTTATTGTCAGTCTTTCCCTAATTAACGTATTCGTTAAACACATTTAGTCTCGCGTCAATGTTAAACAAATTTGCGATATAATATAATGTAGATGACCAATTTCCAAAACAATCAAAAATTTAGATAAAACACAAGCAGATTCACGCATAGCGTCACAACAAAATCAAACATATCTACGTACGAGATATTTCGATGAAAAACGCCTGTCGATAATTTTCGTAAGCACAACTAAAGAAATATTTCTTTTTTTGTTCTTGTGTTCGTGCTTATAAGTGAATGTTTAGAGGTGAACTCTTTATGTTTATGTTTGTGCTCGTGTGAGACGGGAATTTTAAAGGGTTCTATTATTTCAGACAATAAATAAAATATTTCGTGTTATAACTTACATACGAGCACCTTAAATAGCTAATTCTCACTGGTTAGTTTTATTTCTTTATAACATGGCTTTACTTTCGTTGAAAAGCTATTGACAGTACGATAGTTTACTCTGTTAAGATAATGTACTCCTTGCAAAGCTACTGAAAGTACGGTAAGTTTACTCCTTGCAAAGCTAATGACAGTACGATAGTTTACTCCTTTACGATAGTTTACTCCTCTACGATAGTTTACTCCTTTACGATAGTTCACTCCTTGCAAAGCTATTGAAAGTACGATAGTTTACTCCTTGCAAAGCTATTGAAAGTACGATAGTATACTCCTTGCAAAGCTATTGAAAGTACGATAGTTTACTCTTCTACGATAGTCTACTCCTTGCAAAGCTATTGAAAGTACGATAGTTTACATAGTTTACTCATTTACAATAATTTCCTCCTTGCAAAGCTATTGAAAGTACGATAGTTAACTCCTCTGCGATAGTTTACTCCTTGCAAAGCTAGACAAAACGATACGCAGTTTTTCCTTTACTTAAATGTCCAAATTTTATTGAAATATTTACTTCAAAATGTGGAAACCATAAAGAATACCAATGATTACAGAACGGATACGTCAGTTTTGTGAATTTTTATTTCAATATGTGGAAACCATAGAGAATACCAATGATTACAGAACGGATACGCCAGTTTCGTGACAACTTCAAACGGAAAAACTATTTCTTTGTAAGGTGAAATTCTTAGCAACCTGACTTACTATTTCTGCCATGCAAACAAATTTGCGAATTCATTCTGTCGTTTTCAGGTAGTTTTTACAGTGGACGGATTCAAAAAACTTTTACATAGCAGGACTGGATTCGTCACTGGTTGCTACGGTAAATTACTACAGCGTATTATTATATGAACAAACCGCATACCTTGTCGAAAAATGCAAACTCAGCAACAGAGCCAAAGCTACTTGGATCCGGAAGATTGTCTTTCATCCCGTTTGACCGCGATTTCACCTGAAGTAAAGTAGGAAACAAGTATAATCATGTATAAGTTTGAAAATTGGTAATCCATTTAATTAAAATGAAGTTTCTGATTGTTTAAAATTACTTTATTGAGCTTTCGATATGATGAAGGCTCGAAGCTACGAGTCGAAAGCTCAATAAAATAATTTTTAAAACAATCCGGAGAAACTTTCATTTTTTATGTATATCTATGTATGTATGTACGGCTACACACACGTCATAGGTACATTCAATAACAGGCGATTGGCTACTCTGCATGGACAGGAAACTTTACTTAAATCTAACGCACTCGCTAAGAAAAAACAAACGGATGTTGGTGAACCGCGTGACTATCTGGAACATTGCCGAACTATGTTGGACCGATGAACACCGCTCTAAGAACTATGAGAGGGGAATCATCTAGTTGACGTGACACGCAACATCAGTCAAGAATGTTATTGTACAAGAGAGTTACAGTACTTGCAAAACACTATGAATACACGAATCGGAAATCTTTTCATTCGGCTTGTCATTGGAATAGTAATAGTTCGACAAACCTTGCTTTGACTTGATGTCGAGGATCTTCGCATTTGACCTAAGTTTCTCTTCACCGAAGTTGAGCTCACTGGAAAGAACAGATTTAAATAATTACCCGAGACTAAAAACTACCTGATTCCAGTCTATCAACATAAACGTAAACTATAAGAACAAGACCAGGTGTACAAAGGCATGATTCTTACAGGGTTACATAACAATCACGCAATAATCCACTCTGTAACTAATTTTTGGAATTCTTCATTACTCTACAACTACGTTTTCTGAACTTATCACGAAGCGAAATTGTGATGCAATTACAAGAAAGGAAGGTAAAATGTCCCTAACATGAAGTATTGATATGGTAGGTGCAAATATCATACACATGAAAGATGTATCAGTATATTGTGTATGAAAGGAAGCCAATGTTATTGGCAACAAACGTAATGGCGTCACTAAAAAGGAAGGCTATGACGTAACTCACATGCTTGTTTCTTATTGGGAGGTCCTCCGTACGAGCCAGACGCGTTTGACATCTGATTGTGAGCTCTTTTGGACAAAGCACTCTGGAAAAAAACACACAAAAAGTCAAAATCAATTAAAGACCATAGAAAGATGATAGGAAACGAAAAGTGACTTGCTTTAAAGAATTTCTGTCTACCAAGATGCACTTCGAAAAAGTTAATGTTTCTATTTTAACTTTCTGAGCCTGCTGCACACTGAATACGAGCACGTCGTGTAGTTTTCTTGAAATTCACTTCGCAAAAGTTAATCCTCGCTCGGGCAAAGAAGCGAGGATTTTTAAATAGCAAATTGTTAAAACTACTAAAAAAACAATGTATTACATTCATAATAAACGACCGCCTTGACTACGTAATGAATAAATATTGCGAGAAATTTTAAGACGTCGAAAAATTACGACCACCATTTTCTCGACAACAACGTGGCCGTCCGTCGTGAGTTGCACGCAATGCATCTTGGTTGACACATTCTTTAACAGGCAAACCAATGATGGACTACAGTATGTAGCATGTCCTAGCAATACGCATCATGATTAAAATGAACGACAGCCATGCAGCGTATGAGCATGCGCAAACGGATTTGCAACAAAACTAGACATTCTCGACATTCCGAGTAAGTCTAATGTGAAGAAACCAAAATAGAAAATACAGGTAACTTTGTATTGCCCGACAAAGGGCCTTTAAGATATGAAGAAATCGTGAATAACAATGATAAAGTGCTGGTATCTTTCGAAGAAATGTGTTTGTCGCTTTATAATATAGTCATACCTTTAGTCCTATGCAACTGTTGTATTTGCGATATGTATATATAATTGAGACCTTAAGGTAGCTACATTAATAAAATATTAATTACTATTACCAATCCCGAGATTGGAGCACCGTTCGCATCGGGAAGAAATTGACTGAATTCCTGAAGTAAATCTTCTTGATTCTTAAACAGCTTTGCAACCTGTTTGTACACATCGTTGGCAAGCTTCGCCTCACGTACGTACATCTATAGGAAATGCAAAGGAAATCTTGTCACAAATCAACCCGTTCAATGTTCTTGGAGTTGATGTGCACAAACAATAAGCACATTCTCAGATTCCCAAGACACTTCGTTGGAAGAAATTAGCAACAATGGGCTCCATATCTCCCTTGAAAAAACAACTGTTTGCGTTGAGCAAGCATTTCTGAAGGTAATATAATTCATTTTTACGTAAGTATGTAAGCGCGCAAGTTAGTGATTTTTAACCTTCGCCAGGGATTACATAGAGTTCAACACAATTCTATGTTTAACTACGATCAAACTGTCATCATAATATATCCCCGTGTAACTCAAGCCATCCTACCCCCGTCCCACTTATTCTCGGGCGCCTACAGTTTCATCAATGACACAGTAGAGGAAACAAATAGTAGAGCCAGTCCGTTAAAGTGCTTTGTGTAACCCATATCTTATTACGCTTGTGTTCAACATAATGAAAGCCAGGGGCGGACATTGAGGGGGGAGAGGGCTGGAGCCCCCCAATAATTTTTAAAGATAAAAAATCCTCCGTCAAATCACTAAAGTCTCACCTACATAACATCACTGTAATGTGAATTAATAACTGGATGATAGACTTATGTACTGTACATATAACAGCAGACGCATTAAACCTTGTGTGTGTATGATCATGTGTACGTTACAATTAAATTTCTAGAGAAAAAATTTGAGAAGTATACCAGCTGTATTAGCATGCCCCGGGATCTCCCTGGAAATCACATGCCTTTAAGAGTAGCTCCCACCCCCCAATACTTCATAAAGTATCCGCTATTTTGATGACAGCCGATCAACTGCATTTTCTGAACCATAGGAACACTGAGCGGCTAAGCGCAACGCAGCCGGTATTGTAATAAAACATTAGCAATGAGCTTCATAGCGAGGTTGTAATACCGTTCATTCGTTATACCATGTCAAGGTGGCAAAAAGAATCAACTGCAACTTCAACAAAATCGGCAATGGCCAAATGCACTAAACCAAACTATCAAACTAAAATACAACGTGTACACTAACTAACCTCTTGTTCGGAGAACTGAGTTCCCTACAAATGAAACAGAAAAAATTCGTTTAAAGTTTTCAAGAAATTTTCACTCGTACATATTACATCTGCTTGAGTATGAATCAAAAACGGTTCCCTAGAGACTCGAACCATCCATGAGAGTGTGTTTTTCATTCTCATACGGCGTTAAAAAATAAACTTCCAAAACCAACACTCACGTCCTTGATATTTTTTTGCTCCTTCTGATAAGTGTGAAGTATTTCGAGGAATGCCTTGTATGTGTCGGGTTGCCCTTGGAAACGTGTCTATGAAACAAAATAACATGGTTCATGTAAAGTCAGGGAGAGAAACCTTTTCCTCTCTCTCATAAACAATAACGCCACCTTAATTTTGTTCACGTAACTAATTGCATGGTTGAATTCGACGGGTTGTTGAGGCTAAATAAAAACACAAAAAAATATTTAAAAAATAAAAGATGTTTACTTTGTTGTTTAATGTTACTTATGCAAACCGAGGAGACCATTGGGAGAAGCAGATCAGTGCAAGCCCGATCTCAAAGGTCGGGGTTTAGCATTTTGACCAGATTGATTAGTCAATTCTTTTTTATTTATTTAATTCAACACAGATCGGTTTGGCACAGGCTGATGCAAACTGAGGTACAGAACAAAGCTCAAAACAATAAAAGAAAACGTTTTGATGCGGGATTTGGACATTCCCAGCGTAAGCTGAAGTGTTTACGCCAACACAGCATTGTATATAGTTTTATTCCCTTTTGAAGTTATTGAAATAGATTTTATTCGTATAGCTATTCTCATCAGTATAAGTGCTATAGGGACTCCGTATAACCATACTTGGTTAGGTATTAACTTAAATGTATAGGTATTCTCACACATTTAAGTAGTAGTACATATAGACACATTACATGCAAAATAAAGATAACTTGTTTACTGAACATACAGAATGTTTTCATCAGTCGCCATGTTGGGTGAAGATCGCATGCAGTGAAAAGAATTCATGTCAATTTCATGCTCTGTTGAGCATCGGCCCTTTGATGTACACCCCCAACATGGCCGCTTTGACGTCACATGGAAACACTCCATACTAAAAAAAAAGAAATACGTACTTGGGTTTGATTGGACGGTGGTGAGTGGAGTTGTCTCTGATGCTGCTGACCTTGATGAGACTGCGAGTGAGCCGGCGGTTGGCTGAGGTTGTTGATCTGATGTTTTGGCTGTTGGGCAGCGTGTTGCGAGAGGGTGGCAAGCTGTTGCTGATGTTGCGATTGCGCGAGATGCTGTGACGTGGGAGGTTGTTGGGACGAAGTCTGTTGTTGCTGTTGTTGAGGGGATGGCGAGGGACCGTGATGACCGAAGGAGGAAATGTTGTGTGAGACACTGTGACCACTGTGATTTCCCGTTAAATTGATCTAGTAACGCAATAGAGAAAATAGATAGACAAAAGTATACAATGTAACTCGATGGTGTCAATTAAATGTTAAATGTTATCATCACGCTCAAGGTCAGCAGAAAATACTTTATCAATTGGCAAAAAAAACAATAAGTTTATAGCAAGTCTCAATGATTTCTTTTTTTTAATAGCAGATCAACTGTTACTTACGTTTACCCTTCCCATCATTCCTTACGTTTAGTCTTCCCATAATTCCTTACGTTTAGCCTTCCCGTCATTCCTCACATTTACCCTTACCATCATTCCTTACGTTTAGCTGTCCCGTCATTCCTTACGTACACCCTTCTCATCATTCCCATATCATTTCTTACATTTACTCTTCTCGTCATTTCTTAGGTTTAGTCTTCCCATCATTCCTTACATACTCTTTGCATAAGAAGGAATAGGTTTAGTCTTCCCGCCATTCCTCACACATCTACCCTTCCCATCATTCCTTATGTTTAGTCTTCTCATCATTTCTTACATTAAGTCATTCCATCATTAAGTTCTGTCATAAAAAGTCCTAATGCTTAACTATTGTCATTCTTGACATTGAGTCATTCTATCATTCCTTGTGTTGAGTCATTTTATCACTCACCGTGTGAACAGATTGCCCACTTAAAGCGGTCTTCTGCAAAGCGTTTTGATGTGGCGTTGTATAAGAAATAGAGTTAGCATCGTTCGGATGCACTTCAATTTTATATCCAGGTGGAAGAAACGTATTGAATCCTACAATGAGCTCAGGATGTCCTTTGAACAAGTTGGAAACGCGACTTATCACACCAGGCGTGTCAATGCTGTAAGGAAATTAAAGATTATGAAGAAAAGCAAGTGTAGCTAAGAGAGTAAGTTGGCAATAAAAGGAATGATTTGGGGGTGCAGAGCCGGTTGAACGAAGCATGGATAGCGTTATCCATTGGATAGCAAATTTCTTTAAACGGTTAAAAAACTTCTTAAAAAGGAAGAATAAAAGGTTTGAACTGAGCAATCACTGAAATAAAATATTGCCTCTAAGATAACAAAATTTCTTTGTCGTACCTTTGCGACTTGAATTCTTTCATTATATCCAGAAAGTCATTATAGACCTGTGGTTGATTGCCAAATTGCATTTTAACTTGGTCCAAATACGAAAGAGCATCTTCAACCTGTGAACAAAAGTAAGGTTCGGTAAACAATAAAGAGTAAAACACTTAAAAGTACACACAGGGACACCTAAGGAATTAGCTTGCAAAGTGGCACCCTGAACAGTGCTATTTTTCTGTACTTCAATAAAAAAAAACAGTTTTAAGCTTACGCCACTGTGTACTAAGTAGTTAAACTAAGATCCACACTATGTACATTAAACATGATGACGATGGATGACATATATTTTTTGCAAACAAATGTAACATTTATAAATTAGTATCACCTTAAGTCTTTGAAATTGCTGCTGCCCAGGTCCTCCTGGACCCTGCATGTGCCCTGCGGCACCTGATGGATGCATGTGAGCCTACAATGGATATGATTGAGCAAGACACAACATTGAGAAACAAAGTTATGGGCAATTTTACTGAATTGGAATCTGGCAGTACTATAAGATGTTTGTACATGTTGTAGATCTTCCAGGTTCATACAGTCATAGATATCCTAGCAGACAGGTTAGTCAATATCAGTATGAACCAGCCCGCAAATTCGTTGATGCTATGTAGATTTCATATCACTATCGTTATTCATTTCTTTAAAAACCTATTGCTTCTACAACAAGTGAACACAGAAAAACTTACATAGCACAACCAAAATTGTGGGCTGGCTACGTCACTGGTCAATATCATCACCAAGGATTGCACTAACCTGGACAATCAACATCTCCAAACAAACAAATAAGCTAACATTGATAACTACAGACCTTCACAACCCTACCACCATAACCACACATTAAATTTGAATATAGCCATATTTATTGGAAATGTAAACCTTATAAAACATCAGGTTTTCAACTACAACGAGGGTAGGTAGGCTAATGATAATGCAATAGTTCATCTTTGTAGGTGGCAAGATTCAAAAGAATAGCGAACAAGAATTAACAAAATATTCAAACAGAAAAGTGCAAACCTCACCTGCGGATGTGAAGGCAAAGGGCTGTGGCCTTGACCTTGTCCAGTGGGTCCAGTCACACTACAAAATTACAAATAAACTCCATAGGATAAATGAAAAATAAAAAATAAGAAATAAATTCCTAAGAAATAAATAAAGAAATAACTTCCTATGATCACATCAATGACAAAAAATTCATTTTAAGTTTTACATAAGTGTCCCTTTCAGCAAAATTTTTCAATTGCAATATTGTATTTAGGCATGATTTCTAATGTATCAGTGAAAAAAGTTTTTAATTTTGTCACATCCTTCCATTTTTATGGTGGTTTAAAGTTGGCAAAAATGTTCCTCATAATAGACCTTCTCTGTCACTTTGAAAGTTTGGAAAGATTTACTTTGGCAAGTTTCTCATTAAAAGATATTTATACCAAGTATCTTTCATAAGTACTTCGCTAGATCCAGACTTATGCCATAACATGCAAGGTCTATTGAATGGAAGCTTTAAACCACCATAAGAAGATTTCACCAAATTGAAAAATTTTTTCACAGATACATTATACAATACACCTACACTGTATTTTTTGCTGATATGCACACATTAAAGTTTAAATTGCAAATTCATTATTCATCATTAATATATTAATTTCACAACCCAAAACCAAACCCATAAACATTTTCTTCTTCAGTCATGAATATCATTATGATCATACTAAATGAATTACAGTTTTTACGTGCACGTGAAACATGAGGACTAAATACAATTAAATTTATCATATTGCATTAAATATCACATCAATAAAATATAAAAAATCAACTTTAAATCTTTTTAACATTCATAGTAAATTTTGAATTTTGATAAATTTCGGGTAACTTTTATCCTGTTTATGATGTGAAAAATGAAAGAACTACATTCTCATAATTTCCAAGCTTGTATAGTATTAACATAGCCCATATTAAAGTAAATGGTTTGAACCCGGGAGTTTAGTTACATGTTTGTAGATGTACAATCTTTGACTCTGATGATGACTACCGCTAAGGTTGTCGAAACGTCAGTCAACAACAACAAAAACAGTCCTTCTCAGGACTACACTAACATCGACGATCTACATCTACAAACATATATCCCAATTCTCAACAAAATTTTACTATATCAATCAAAGAAAATATCATAAGAAAACAGCCTACTCAATATTTCTCTACTCACGGGTAAGTTTGATGGGGTATCTGTTGGTTCGATGGAAACTGCCCCATAGATACTGCAATGTTCTCTTGTAGTGCCTCAAAATTGTTGCTATGGCCAACTGGAGCTGGTGCCAAGATCTGCTGCTGAAATCTGTGTTGACCAAATACTTTCTCGTGCTCTTCTCGAGTTCTTTTCATTTTATCCAATTACATGGCCCTGATGCTTGCACATCTGCAGAATATACAATTAATAGTTACCAAAATATTTAAATTCAAATCAAAACATCATATCATTCCTGATGAAGACACTAGACTGGAGTGAATAAGAACTCAAGTTTCAACATCAGATCACTCCTGATGAAGACACTAGACTGGAGTAAATAAGAACTCAAGTTTCAACATCAGATCGCCCCTGACAAAGATGCAAGACTGGAGTATATAAGAACTTAAGTTTTAACAGCAAATTGCTCCTGATGAAGACACTAGACTGGAGTAAATAAGAACTTAATTTTCAAAATCACATCATTCCAGATGAAGAAAATAGACTAGACTATTCAATGCGAATCCCTACCGATAAAGATACTAAATTAAACGATATACAAAGTCAAGCAACAAGATCTCAATATATTTTATGTCATATGAAAGTGCTAGTTTTTCGTAAGTGTACTTGTACTGGAACATGAACATAAAATCAACTGTGATAACAATGAAATATGTCCAAAGTTCACAATCTTTCTATGACTGAAAAACTGACCACATTTAGTGCATAAAAATTTATCAGTGATGAAAGTAACAAAGGGTTCTGTCCGTATCAGTGTTATGAATCTCTTTATACAAACTTTCTAAACACATCGAAATATTTATACATACATATCAAATTGAAGTTCAAACAGCGAGGTATAAGCATGTTCTTTCAGTCAACTAACGCCACGGTATGGAAAGACATTTGGTTAAACCATGCCGAAAGCATAACTAATTCCTTTGTAAAACATACAAGCAAATGGTATAATACAGCGATATAAACATTAACACAAGTCGGATGTGTGCAATTTCTACTTCGGAATGAAAACACTAGTGTATTTCACACCCGTCAATTCGAAAATTGACTTACAATGTGAAGCAAGAAAAATGATCTGAGATGCACAATAGGGCAACGCGATCACAGGAAGTATTTACTACTACAAGTGCTGGCAATTCAACGTCAAATGCTTCTCTCCCTCGTTTTGGTTGTAAACGGCTAAAAGTTCCAAAGGAAAATACCTATAGGATGGTTTAAACTTCACATCCTACTAGAAGAAAATTTCAATGGGAAAAGATGCAACATCGTAAAATGTTCAAAATGTTATCGCCGAAAGTATTTATGAACGCAATTCACGAAACTGGCGAACTGCAAAACAAATAAAAATCTAGTGCTCGTCAATGAAAAGGCTCGTATAATAAAAATTCTAAATGCAACTACTCACAGCACTTTCGCACTACCTTCTTCGCAAACAACAGTGGAAACATTCACAAATCAAGTCATGTAGTTCGCAAGAAGAAACAGTGTACACAAATATGTGATTGTTGACAATATACTATCTATATATTCACGTAACATGCGTTTGATTCGCAGTGCAAATCAAAAATAGAAGTAGAAATACTTTAAAACCGGCACTTCGTATTCTATGTCAAATACTCACATTATATGCTAGGATTACAAAAAAAAGAAAGATTACTTACCAGACACCAAGTTTCATTCGGCAAATTTTTCCTTTCGATGAAGCAACACCATCATAACATGACGTAAAAATAGAGACCGGAAGTCCACCGCCAAAATAGACAGAATTGACCAATTAGAGATAGGAACAAGTTTTTAAAATCTTCCCGGGAATATAAACTTATTTCCGGTTCTTGAAGTTGCTTGAGAATGAGTTAAATTAAACTGCTTACCGCTGGTCACTTAAAATACAATATAATATCATACTGAAAATAAATAAAACATTGTATTATTTACAACAATAGCATAAGCAAAGATATTTTGCAAGAACATTGCAAATATTGCAAATTTTGAAGGAAAATTTTTGTTAAAGCATTAATGAATATGAAACACACAAGCATAAAATGATATAGAAAAAAGAAAAACGAAAAATACAAAGTTCTGCATCTTGGAAATGTTGCAAGCTGCGTGTTCCAAAGCAAAGCTCAACTAAAGATGAAGGAACTTTTGAGATGTTTTAGGTTTAGGTCTGAACAGCTAGCAAAAAATTACGACTGCCAAAAAGTAATTCAGTAAAACACAAAACAATAGACACTCTGTAAAAAGTAAATATTATTTATGCTAAACATTTCGACACGGCAAGTATTGCAATTTCCAAGTCATAAAATCAGTAGAATATGTGAACTGTTCAAAAAAGTTCAGTGGTGATGAGTATGAGTTGATAGGTAGAAAATTATTCATTCCAGCGATTCGAATTTTATTGCATGAATTTGATTTGAATTTAGCAGTAAAAGCAGAAGAAGAAGATAGGAAGAAGAAGTCATAAACTGTAATTGGTAACGAAATTTGATCATTCGTTAGTAACATTAATTCAAACATCATGTGCATACTACTTACCAAATGAAGATAGATCTTCGCAGGAATTTCAGCAATTAGACCGAAAACAGGTGTTTCAGCCGAACTCAGGCGGTAGTCAACTGAAAGCTATGAAGTCTCATGTCGCGAAATGTTTATGGTAGTGCGTTTGAAAAATGATTTTCAGCAATTCAGGACCCGAAAATTGGTGACTCAACGATCGAATACGACCTCTATTGACCTACCTGTGTGACTTCACATCTCAGTTGGTCAGAGCACTGCACCGGCACCGCAGAGGTCATGGGTTCGAATCCCGTTGAGTCACCTGATTTTTTCAGGTCCTGAGACGATTGCTTAAATTGTCCAGCAAAGTGCGAAGATCATATCTTCATTTAATTTCAAACACCGCACTGCATAAAATATTCATACGACATTCTTTTCACGAGAAAACATGAGCCCAACAATATTGACCTGCTCACCACTGTGTGACTTCATAGCTCAGTTGGTCAGAGCACTGCACCTGCACCGCAGAGGTCATGGGTTCGAATCCCGTTGAGTCACCTGATTTTTTCAGGTCCTGAGACGATTGCTTAAATTGTCCAGCAAAGTGCGAAGATCATATCTTCATTTAGTAAGTAGTATGTATGCACAAATTCTTTGATGTTTAGATTAATGTTACTAGTAACGAATGATCAAAAGAATTACGTTAAATAAGTCTTCACGAGTCACCATTTTACACAGTTTATATTGAATATGACTGCTTCTTCTTCCCATCTTCCTCTTGCTTTGTTGCAGCTTTAGGAGATTCAGTGGTGGCAAGAGTGTCAAAGGGTAGCATGGGCGCATAGTAAAGAATTTTGAATCGCTGGAATTGGATAATGAGGATTTTCTTGCAGTCTTGTTATAAATGAAACAAGAAAATACAGGTCTTGTCATTATTTAATCACAGCTCATCATCAAGGCTATAACAAGATAGTTTAGATACTGACTTCCCAAAACAAAAGATAGCACTTAATGAATAAAGATCCAAAGTGTTCAAAACAAGTATAACATTATTAACTTCTAAACCAACGAAATAATCAAAGAAATTCATGCTGAAGATGACGGAAGAAAAACCTTTGTCGAATAAGAAAAGAAAATTGAAGAAAACAACAAATCATTGAGATGTCGACGCTTGGCAGTTGGCAGAGGTTTGACGGTGTGCATCTTAACAAACTCCAATATTGACCTATTGTGATATTTTCCCACGTTGAAATATTGAAATAAATCATCTTGGTATGCAAAAAACAAGGAAATTAAACGATTTGTTTTACGTAGACAGAGTAGCGCAAAATGCTGACCGAAGTGAAAGTCCCAAGATTCGTTATTGATCGTATGCATACAAAAGAACATTGATACCAGAAACCTAAAATTGATATGAAAAATGAACAATGCTTTTTATTGAGATGCAAAGTTAATGAAAAGATGTGGATATAGCCGTGGCCATGGCCCATACCACTACATTATTGTTATTCCATTTAGTTAGGCCCAAGTCTCATTTTACTCTCCCTCCCCACTCAAAAATCTCCCACTCGAAAAGGTAGCAAAATGTGACTTCTATTCACCTGCTTATCGCCCGCACATAATAAATCTGCAAAAAATCACAAGGAAGTCAATTTCAGGATGATATCATAACAAAGTACGAATGCTAATTAAAATTTATTCATTGATATACAAGCGTTCAATTGTTTGAAGCTACGAGTCGAAATCAAAATGGTCACTTGCTTCGACTTAAAATTTCAGACAAAACTATAGTAATGTGTTTAAGTTTTTCTTTTATTAAAATGCGTTTACGCACGTACTGATAAAAATATATCGATATTGAAGGTTATTTTGCGTGAATTAGTTTACATGTTTATCGATTTTCTTTAAAATATTCACTGCAAGCCTCTTATTAATCTCCTTGTAATAATTTTCCACTTGAAGCTGTAGTAAAAACATTCCTCTAGGGGTAACAAGGTAACTTTCCGAACTTGATATTCGCAGTTGTTTATCGTGAAGATGAGTTCTGTTTGTGTTTGCATTTTAACAACCTTCTTAGTCATCTTCATCTTCGTCCTAAAAAATTTCTACTTATGTTTCATTTGAAGTTCATAATTTGTAAATTGAGTGCATGCTCTTTTTGGAAAAACAAACTTTCGGAAACTACATTTTGGAAACAAGTTTATACCACTTGTTTCAGTGTATGCCGGTTTAATTTACAGAATGAATGCTTGTATAGAAATATGGTCTTACTACGGAAGGCAAAGTTTAAAAGCCAATATCTCCGCAAAAACACAATGAATTAAAAATTCCTTGAAGAAATTGCTAATAAATGTTTTAAGACTAGCGTGTGAAAATTTTCGAAAAAAAATTTTATAAAAATCCAGAGCACTTTGTACAAACATGCTAATTGTTAATTGGTCCAAAAAATTTCGTGCTTGTCTAACGCGTTTAAAAAAGAGTGCCTGTGTAACAGCCAAGGTCTGGCTAGAAAATCTATGCAATATAGAATATCAATTTCCACATCCGCTTCACTGATCTGCTCTCGTTCCCTATCATCAAAACTTGATGATAGACGTGTTCTGTGCGCGTGTTTGAAGATAATTGAATATTCATATCAAGTTGGCTAACCTTCAAAATCTCGCCATATATATTATGTACTCGCAATTACTGACAGGAGTCGGGCCAAAGTTTTATTGCTGCCGATATTTAAAATGGTTTCTTTAAGTAAAGTGTAACAGCTGTTATCACAAATGGCGACAGCAAATTTTGTCGTAGTTCGTCGTACTATATCGCAAACCCTTGTCCCATACAAAAACGTTGAAGATAGGCTGCTTTCGAAACAATCCACAGACTTGAAAAGCTCGAGTCTCGGAGAGTCGTGTTCAACAAACAATGTCACAACTTGTGGTGAAAACAAAACCAAACATAATACATCAAAGGCGAATTCCAACTTAGAACGTAGCCGCTCCGAAGTTTGTTTGAGGCGCAGGAGTTATCACTATCGGGACAAATCCTTAGACGCTCTCGAAGAAAGAAACGAGAACGACTTTTGTGTAAAACCGATTGTTAGAAGACCCGAAACAAGAAAAACAAACAAAGCAAGACCACAGTCTGATTTCTTTCCCGAATTTTCGCTAGTCAAGGAAAGGGATGGTTCTCGCCCAAAACACGAAACAACTGAAGCGGGAAGACGAATGGGACGATGCATTAATAAGTTACGTCGTGAAATGGTAGGAGAACTGAGCGAGTGTATCATTGGCATGTGGTTTTACTTTGAACACCCGCTAATAGCAACTGTATCACAATTAATTTGTCTGTGATTAAGCACATTACGAGGAATTAAACATGTAGCGGAAAGATTCTATCTGCTGTTTCACAAACAAAACTTTAACTTTCACTTTTACATGAGCGTTTATCGTCATATTATCAAATAATTCGTCAGACATCACAATGTCAACATGAATTTTTGCCAATAAAATTTCACCTCCCCTCCAGTAATACGATCTCCTACGCCGATCTAGCGCAGTGTTTACATAGGATATCTCCCATGACTGATGTGAAATATGTTAATCATGATTTATGTGTGTTAACCACAAAAACTGACAGTCTTACATAGCTACATTCAAGGACTAAAAAAAAGTAAAAGTCCTTTTTTTACGTCTTTCGTCAAGTCTACGTTCGACGCACACGACGTAAATAATGAACACTGAATTATTGTACAGAATCAACACCGCTGTACACGACTACCGTTAATCTCAAATTAAGAAACAGCAAATGGAAGTTTACCTTGATGTTCTGTATAAACATTTTCTTATGCAGTGAAGCAATGTTAATGGGTTTTAAAGAAGGCAGTCAGCTTCAGGACCGTCTCTAGAATGTTAATTGGGATAGTGCTAAGTTATTCATATATAAATTATTCAGTTGAGCCTGATTTACTATTTTTTTGACAGTGAACTTGTTTTCAAGATGTATTATTAGTAATTTATAAAAAGAAATAAAAGACGGTTTTCGTGTTTGCACAGGCTTATGAAAACATCGGAGACGTTTGTGAAAACTTTAGGTATGCACTGATCAGCCCTCGAGTTCTCCCAAAGGTCTTTCTGTTTGCATAAGCCTGTGAAAACACAGAAAGAATCGTTTATTTTTTGAGCAAAACTTCAAAATGCAGTGTTGTAAACTGGACAATCATCAGAATTAAACATTACTTTATATGTAACAAAGTTTCATTTCGCTAAAGAATTGAGTAATTGAAAAATTGAGTATAAGTCACGCGTTCAATAGATAGCCGTATTCATGAGCTTCGTGCAAACGCCAACCTGCATTTTCTTTCTATTATAGATCTCCTTACAGAAGCAAGATCAAGCACTCTTGAAACAATTGACATCATTGAGCGGTCATATACAAGATCTGAAGGAGTTCGTGATGGCACGAAGTTTTATGTATGGATCGTTTCAAAATTTAGACGAGATGAAGCAAACATCTCCCTCATCCGATCAAACCTCTTCAAAAAGAGAATTGTCAAGCGCGAACAAGAACAATTCAGTTCCTTTTAAAGCGATCAGAAGTAACGTTAACGGATTGCTGGAGACATCTTTTGAATACGAAGAAGATGCCTGTGGTACTTCATCCTCCCCTGAAAAAGCAGACTCCGGTAGACGAGAGATGACGAAAAGACGACCGCTGTCCATAGCAGTTACGGACGTCTCAAAAAGAAGAAAATCGTGGCCGCAACGCTTGGTAAGGCGATCTGTAAGCTGTCAACATTTGAGTATTAGACAACGGGAAAACATTTTTAGCAATTCACATGAAAGTGCGCACAAAAACGGACCGACTTCAAAGACAGTTTCACAGACAGACTTAAAAAACACAAAAGTGATTGTGCATGATAATCACATGAAGCAAAAATCGCTATCTTTGTCTCATTTAAGAAAGGTAACGAAAGGAACTGATGGTTCTACGAGTGAGAGCGAATGCTCGACCTCGGGATGTTACGGAGACTCGTCCACCGGAAGCGATGCCGACTTGGAACGAATGTATTTTGGCACCAGAACTCCAGCAATTTATGAAAACAAAGATATTGTTCACGAGTTGAACAGTTCGCATTTGAAAGTGGTGGGAAGGAACTTTCGACAAATGGATGAGCATAAAAAATTTGCGCAGAAAATAGTTTCAGTATAGTTTTTAATTCGATTTATAGTTGTTGCATATGATGAAGATGCGAGAAATCGAGTGAACGGATTTAGCTGTGACGGATTAACCTAGTCGGTCTGCTTTGCTGGATGTGATAAATCGAGTGGATTTACTTATAACGGACAAACGTGGGTGGTCTGTTTTGTCGATTGTTGAAGATTAAGAATTTAAGATATGATAAATTAATATCTATAATCCTAAAAGATTTAACAAAGAGAAAAAGATCTTCACCATGAAATCGTGAATTGAAGTTTCTTGCTTTGTTTGGAGGTTCCCCGGTCGATATGCATGCCTCTCATGATATCACATACGTGTCTTTTGCTATTTCCGCTTCATTGCATCTGTGCAAGGTCACTCCAAAACCATCTAGTGAGGAATGTATGAGTATGAATACAATTGTCAAAGCGGAAATAAAGTTTTTGAGCCAGAGACTAGAGATACATATGATGAAAAATATTTTCACGAGCTTCAACAAAACCAATGAAAAGGAATTAACTATTGCTTGCAATTTCCTGACAATAAGAATTGAGGATATTCTTTTCATATTCAGATCACACTAGCAACATTAGTCAAAACGACTCAAACAATAAAATTGGCTCATACAGACTGTCTTCTATTTCGTGCTTTCCTTAACTATAATGGCGATACAAGTTAACGAAATGGAACAATGTCAAATGATGGCAAACTCAGAGAATGGCGACGAAACTAAACGTAGCTGGAAAAGATGGATTTTGTATTTGTGTTTACTTCTGACGTTGTCATTGGTAGTAGCAGCAGGTGTTATCTACTATGAAGTTTACAGGTTTCCACGAATAAACGACGAATTACACCGTTTAAGGAATAGCAATCAAGAAGTACTTGCTTTGTTCCACAAAACGAAAGCTGTTGAAGAGAAGAATTTGAGATTTGAAAACGCGACTCGTCGAGATCATCTTGCTTTGAAGCGAGCCTTGAATAAAGCGGAGTCAGATTTACAAATTATGATTCGTACTGAAATACGACAAACTAATGCAAGTTCTCACTTCGCTCTGAAAAATGCAGTCAAAAAGTTGCGCTCTGCTTTCGAAAAAGTCGAATTGGCAATTAACAGCACCAACACAAAACTTGAGGATATTGCTAGAATATCAAATAAACAAACAGCAATGGAAGCAGATTTTTCTAAAGCGAAGGCAGAATTCCAAGAAAAAACCCGGCAACAAGACGTTGAAATATCTGACTCCGACCAAAAAATTGCACGTTTACAGAAGAAGATCACAACTTTGCAATCTACTTTGGATTCAATTCATTCAAAACCAATCGATATCTCCCAAATAAAAATGGAACTTTCGTCATTGAAAAAGACTGTCAATGAAATGAAGAACACTGCAATACATCTATTCAGTTTCAAACTATATCATGCATTTATTTGGGCATGTGGTGTAGCTTTTGTGTACATTTTATATTAATGTAGTTTGAACATATGAACTCATTCACCTCCGCGCGTTGATAGTGCGTAATATTAGCTACTGGCATATTGATTTATTTAAAATTGTTCCAGATTGTTGTTATGTCTACAAAAAAGTATTAAAAAATCGGCCGACTTTGAGGATGATTTCCGTCTAGATCGATAAAATTTTAGCCTTAGTTGTTGCTTTATTTGCATAATTGGCTTTAAAAAACCTTTTTGTTGAGAAAGTTTAACAATATTGTAGTACATTATATTGTACTGCATTGCACTGCATTGCACTGTATTGTATTGTATTGCAAAAACTGTAGCTGAATAAAGCTGAAATGCAGACTAAGTTTATATAGTAAAATAAAGACGACAGGCGTTTCTTACTCTTGCGTTAATTTATAATTCATGCAAATATACCTGTAAATACTTAGTTAAATGGACGGACTTTTCACGGGAATAAAAATTATTAACCCTCCCCTCCAGCAGATTTTGTTCAGTTTCTACAGTGCTTTTAGTGTCTATGAATAATGATGCGACAAAGACAGCAGGCATTCTGCTAACTGCTTTGTATTAAATATAAGTAAACTACAAAGATGAGAAACAGTAGAACAATGTTTGCTATTTCCTTAACGATTTGCATCAAGTGGATGGTGGATGGCCCGTCGTATTTGTAGCTATATTCACTTTCTTAAAAATAGTTATCTGTTTTAGACATTTCCTGTTATTATCGTAGTGATGCATTATATTTCCTTTCAAATTCCTTCCCAAGATGGATTTCCTTACCATTTCCCCCGGAAAACTTTCCTTCAACTGCAGGCTTTTAGTTTTATTCACTGTCTAATCACTGCACATAACCATTGCGAAGTTTTGGTCATGATAATTGCTATATAAATATAAAATTTTATACTTTTTATTTATTTATTTAGAAATCTGGCTAGTGGCTACGTAATACGTCCATCCTGAGGGACTTTCCCGCGAGAACTTGAGAGGCAAATCAATCATACGCAGTTTGTCGCAACTGGCAACAGCTGAAAAGTTCAAGTAAGTTGATTCTGTTGTGGAATTTTCAAATGTATTATAGCCTAATAATGGATACGAGTGAAGACGAAAACTTGTTGTTAGAAAACAACACTGAAGATCCAGAACCACGCAGCAAGAAAAAGAATCATCAAAACAGTTCCGCGTTGCGGCATGACAATAAATTTTTGTCGGTGTTAACATCTCAACGCTTCGAAAGATTTATGGCAGTTGTGCTTTTCGTTATCCTTCTTGTGCTTTTCGTTATCCTTGTCGTGCTTTTGCACCAATTACAATCACTACGAAATGATAACATATGCTTAAACAAAGAAGTCGAAATTCTTAAAGCGGAGAGCAACAAAGCAACAAGTTCAAATATGAGTCTTGCCCTTCATCAAAATCAATTTGAACTGAAAACGCTTTCAAAGAATTTAGGTATAGAACACATTAACCAGGAGTTGAAAGCTCTCCATGTCCAAATTTCGAACCTAAGCAAGATTGTTTTGAAAAGCGGTAAGATAAGTACTCCTTCCTTGAATAAGGAAAAATCAAATAAAACCAAAATGAATGCCATTCATTTGCAAAACAGCATGTTAAAGGGGAAGTCAGAGCTCGGAACAACTTAGGCTCAAATGAAAGAGTATTGTATTATTACTTTGCATACCAAGTCTAAAATCTTTACGTTAAATACAACTCGAGAAATAAAGCAATGAAACTGCGTTATTTTGCAAATATAAATGTACATCCGAGCGAACCTGCGATCAAGCAGCGGAATTACATCGTTACGTCACTGCGCGACTCTGTAATCGAGCAATTTCGAAGAGAATAGAATAGATATTTTGTCTGTCAATTTTAAAGTCTTCTAGGTTAATGGCGCATTTAAACGATTCTTCGAGCGATATTTTGACCTGTTCTAACTTAAAAGATGGTAAAGAAATTTCAAAGATAAATGGAGGGTTTAAATATTATACTTTTGAACTGGTTAATGAAACGGGGACATATTTTTCTGACATGCTAAGACGAAAGCAGAAAATATGTGTATTGAAGATTCTAATTCAGAGTTTTAACGACACCACAATTTTCGAGGTATTTGTATATTTCTATATTACATTTTATATATATATATATATGTACTCTTTTATCTGGTTCACCATATTTACAGTCCTCGAAATCACAGTTTGTTTATTAAAGAATTGTATTAATATGTAGGCCGTGCCCACATACTTGGCAGTCGCGGAAGATTATTATTTAAGTGTTAGATAACCGGTTGTGTAACTCTCCGCTACTTAAGAAACTGTTCCCACTTTGTTTTTCTGTTTTAGTACACGGTATTCTGTGTTGTAAATTGTAGGTAAATCGTAAAACCTTGCTGTTGATGCCATCTTCAATTTCTGAATTTCAAAGCGCTGTTGCTAACTTATACTTACACCGAACCTTATTCTAACCATAATTACTACAAAGCCCATGATGGCGTAAAATTACTGGCAACATGGTAGCTATTTCTCAAGTAACGGGAGCGACATGCTTCAAATTGCCATGTGGCATTAGCTATAGAATAGCATGTTAATTATCTGCACGACTGACAAAAGTAGGACATAAACACCTAGTTTTATGTATAGTAATAATAATATAAACAATCACTAGCCAAGCTAGCTTGCAAATTTGTCCTGTGATGTTAATTTCTTAGCTTTACCATTATTAATTTCTTTAGAACCAAATTTGCAGGCTGGCTTTGTCTCATATGTAGCTATAATTTGTTCAATTGCAAAGATTACATTTTGTCAGAGTAATAAACTATAGGATACCTGGCTTGACTGTTTTTTTGTAGCAGCTAGTTGTTTGCTGTCATATTATCATTTATTAAATACTTAATTGACTGTTTACTTGGCCTATATAAAAGCCAGGTCTGTCTAGTCATTCTCTAACAAGAAAAATTTCTGATATTTAAAATTGCCAGGTATTCTATAATTTAGCCACACCTATGTGTGTATTTCAGCCATTCGTGATCGGTGTGCTGCTATCACTTCTTTTTTGCTTGGTCTTGGAGTAGGTGCAATATTCTTTGAAGTTTAACATGCTTGTCTGATGGTTGAGGATTCATGTCCACATTGAACTCTACCACATCATCCATCAGTTGCAGTACAAAATCAAAACACTTTTTCTCCAACACTGGTTTCACTATCCATTTTTACGTCCCTTTGGGAAGACCACCTTATACCTTTTTCCCTTCTTCCTTACCTCTGGTGACTGTTGCTTGCCTCCTTCCAGTGTTGGAGTTGTGATCAATCACAGCTAGTTGAGTACGGGCCACCATTCCCTTGTATGAGAAGTGTTTACGTTTTGGTACATATTTTAGCAGCAAGGAATGGTAGACCTCAAGGTTGCCAGTATGGTGAAATTCTGTAAGCTGTTGTATATCTTTTAAAAGCTTTCTATTCAGAACAACCTCCTCCAATGCTATATGTGGGGCAGATCCAGCCTGCAACCATTTTGTTTTTCTTTCTTTGTTTTAGATAAAGGGCCATGTGCACATTTGCAAAATGTTTGCTATTTCTCCAATTATGTTTGTTGACTATATGATGTAAAATGGACACCCATTTCTCATGGAGCACTTCAGCATTTCCCTGACAACTTTGTGCACACCACCAAAGGTGATTGGATACAGACTGAATCCACTCTAGTAGCTCATGATTTTCTTTTTCTTTGCCTTCTCTGTCAATTTTTGTCACCCACTTTGAGAGATGCCAAACATCATATTGGTGCACTATGGAAGGGTACCTCTTTCGCATTTCAGAGGTTATTTGAATGTGGCGGTCAGTTGTCAATGATCTCACTTTCACACCTTGCTCAATGACATTGTCAAGTGCTCTTTGGCATCCTTTTTTCTCCATTGCATTAGAGGATGAAACTTCAGAGACTTGAACAAGAGAAAAGTCAATAATTTTCTCTGAAGTTTCATCCATTAAGGAATATGTACCATATTTTGCGCTATGACCAGGACTGTCTGATCTACCATCACCACATAAGTCAACCGGTTTCATTTTGTTTTGATGGTTTCAATAATTTTTGTTGTTTTTATAGACATTGTCAATGACTGGGAAGACAATCTTATTTTGAACTTCATAAAACTGATCTTTATTTACAAAGTTTAAATTAATTGCATTTGCAAATTGCTTGGTGGCTTCATAGGTTCCTCCAGTCATGATAGTTGCAGCAGGAATTAAAATATTACCTGCTGGTTTATTGTGCAAATATGGTTGAGACTTCCACTGGTAAGTATGATTATTGCTACATGTTGTTTTTATGGCAACCATACTACCAATATGGGACTTCTCAATCTCACAAAGAGAACCACATATTCTACATGTTGCGAACAGCTTATCAAGCATGCTTTCAAAGACAATGAATTTTCTTTGATTTTTTAGTTCCTCACCTTCAGATTCCTCATCTGTATCTAGTTCCTCAAGATAGGTATAATCATCATCACTATCTGATGCAGCAATATCATCACTGCTTCCTAAAGAGATTTCTGAATCAGATGATATAATAGGAGTTGTTATGATAGGAGTTGTTGTGTTAGGAGTTGTGGGAGATGTTACTGGTTTTGGTGTACGACTTGAAGAAACTGCATTTAAAGAGGGGGCAACATTTTTTGAAGCGTTTTTATTTTTTAATGGTTTCCTTTTTCTTTGTGCAAGAGTTTGTATGGCAACTGTCCTTTGTCTTGGTGTATCACACTGTGCTTCTGCATCAATGAAAACTTTTGGCTCACATTGAATCTGGGCATCCTTGGACAATGGACTGGGAGGCTGATCTTCAATGCATGTTGCAAGATTTGTATCTTCATCTAGTGATTGTATTATGCTTCTAACTTCCTACAAAATAGTCAAACTTCTCAACCAAGAGAGTACAAAGCTAATTGTTTAAAGAACAGTTCAATAACTTCAAATATAATCTATATGGTTGCAATATCCTATTTACCTCATGTCTTGCAATTCTATCTCTCATTTGTTCTCTTCTGTGTGACATTTTTCGCTCGGGTTTACGATTTAAAATGGAAATATCGATGGTACACTACTAGGTTTTAATATCTTTTTCGATTTCATGCCGAATATCTCCTTTAGAGAAGTACTAAAGCAATCTGGGGTGAAATGGTCGCTACATACGTAACACGAATTTGGCTTCGGTATATTATCACGACGAACCCGTGCAAGCCATATTTTTTGCATTGTTGGGTCGTTTGGCAATCGATGATACGATACATCGCTACCTTTTGTTTTTCTAGATCCGTTAGTGCAATTAGGCACCATGCAATGTGGCATTGTTCCGAAATATTTAAAGTAAACAAAGTAATTGTAATTGTGTCGCTTTTCCTGATATGTTGTCTATTTGAATATATATACGCTCCCGCGAAAGCGCGCAGTGACGTCACGAGACTTTACCGCTGCTTGATCGCAGGTTCGCTCGCATGTACATAATAGCTGATACAAAATATACAAAATTTCGTGGTTTCATCGCTTTATATCTCGACTTGTATTTAACTAGAAGATATAATATTTGGTATATAAGGTAATAAAAATATAATCTTTCATTTGGGCCAAAGTTGTTCCGAACTCTGACTTCCCCTTTAAGAAAATGGAACACAACGAGGCCCAACAGACTTTCGAGACTATGGAACAGCACAGAAGCAAAATACGAAGATATGAAAAAGTTGATAGGCAAGCTAAACGAAACTGTGAACATCAAAATCGCTGATGGTTTGAACACTTTGAACACCAGAGTACAAAATATCGAAGAAAGATGTAAGTCTGAAAACACCTCTCGTCGAAGTCAACTTCTTTCAAGTAGAACTGAAACCGTTTCAAAAACTGGAAGAGATAAACAACAAACGACAAGAAACGGAGAAAATTCTAAGGCACAAAGCATTAGAACCTTGATTCGCCAATACAATAAAAGTTTGAGTTTATATAGTAAATGCCAAACTGAAATGAATAAATTTGAAAAAAGTAAAAACAAACTCCTAAAAGTAGTAGCAGAAAAACTGAAAAGTCTGGAAGATTTATCGGATCTGAAATTGAAAGTGCACAGCACTATTTGTGGCGTCCTCTTTTTTATAATAATAGTTGTTCTTACATACTTATGTTGTAAAAAGTGATCAAAATTGCAGCTTGGTTGACATATTTCACCGTGTTTTTTTTTTGGCATACACAACCAATGCAAGTGAACTGAGCGTATCAAAACTGTCCAACATATAGTCTAACTGCATCACACATACAATGTTTACGCATAAGTAAACATTCTTTACAAACTGGGCTTATTCTTCAAAATAAAACTACACATAACAAGTAACAACTATATCAGCGCAAGGACTGTAGATAAAAATATTCATTTTTTTGTCTTTTCTGCGAATATATTGTTAGTACATACTTTATGTAATATGTATAGGTTGTAATGTAAAGTGCTTTCAGAATTGCACGTCTTTATAATGTAAAAAGAAAACTGCCTTGTTCAAAATACCGTTATTGATGTTTTCATGTCATCCGGAGAACAATGAGAACAAAATCTTCAGAAGGATTCTAATTGACCAATCATAGTGCAGCATCTTTTATGTAAATAATGTAGTTTTATGTGTTTAATCTAAATTGTTGTCATGTTGTTTAACTGTTCTAACGTAGAAAATAAACGTACGAAGAAAAAGCTAATGTTTTTGAAACAACCTCGAAATCAGCCTGAAACCCAACTTTTTTCTACCTATAACCTTTAAAATATCATCTGTATCCCAATTACGCGATGCAACCTGTGTCAACCACCAAAAAGCGTCGCTCCATTTCATAAAGAAAATAAAACATCGTTTTCGTTAACTTTGGCTTTCCTATATATCATAATGTATATATACATTAATATATATAGAGACATACCACATGCCCAACTGAGTGTTTTATATATACTTTGTAATTTCTATACGTGTAAAAAATTTTTTGATACAACAGCTGCAACAATGACTTATGCAGAACAAGAGCATAGTTCACGATTTGAACAGTTCAAATTTGAATATGGTGGGAATTAGGGGACTTTGGACAGATGGATTAGCATCAATAATTTAACCGGAAGATAGTTTTACTTTCAGTTTAATTTTTCAATTCGATTTAAATTGTTCATGATGTGATAAATCGAGTGCATAGATGAAATGTAACTCAACAGCATAAACCAGTGCTGTAGAAGTGGGGAGGGCGCTTGGGGGATGAGCCCCCCTTCTACCTTTGAAATGGGTAATTTTTCATAATTTCATGGCTTCAGCTTCGTCAAAAGCCCCCCATCCGATAAATTTAGTTCTACAGCACTGGCAAAAACCTATATTTGGCTTGCTTGGCTGAAGATTAAGATGCAATGAATCTTGTTGATTTAATTTTAACGGATGAACATTGACAGTCTTCTTTGTTGAAGATTAAGATGCATGATAAATCAATATCTATGTCTGTGTGTAGAAAGTTTAACAAAAAGAAAAAGATCTCCATCAAATATTTCAAGTGAATTATGGAGTTTTCTATTTCTTTAGATGCTCCCTGCATGGTCGCTATTAATGGTCGATTACACCGATGCATGCCTTCATGACATACGTGTAAAGTTAGCAAATGCAGATTAAGTCTTTTCCTCAGAAATGAACTGCATCCTTTATGTGCTCACTTTAAGGCCAAGCGAAATTATGAAAATAAGTGCAAAGAACACGACACTAGTGAAGATAACCACAAGAAATTGGTATCCGCTCAGAGCAATAATGAAGAGAAGGTAAACTCAAATTGGGCCACAAAGATGAGTTTGCGCATAAAATGTCTCAGTCACAACACACACATGTTCGCCATGAAAGAGATAAGTTTGAGGTATAATGTAAATTGCAAGCTTAGTGATAACTTTTTACTTCAGGCACGGCTAAAGTTATCGAAAGCGAAAACAGCAATGGAAAATGCAGGTAGGTTTTTACAAATAAAATGCTCCTTAGTTCTTTCATATTCTAAATGAATTCTTCACTCCAAAGATACCAACTATCAGACAACAATAAAGCAATTAGAAGAAGCACGTAGAGAATGGGAGCGTGAAATGGAGATTTGTTGCAATGTATGTACATATTTAAGTACTTAACAAAGTGACTTGTACAGTATCGAAGCAACTGAGTAAACATTACCTGCTTTAAGGTGTTTCAAGAACTTGAGGAGGAAAGAATATCATTTCTCAGGGAGAGTATGTGGACATACACAAACCTTGGATCAGGAAACTGTGTTAAAACAGACGATGTAAGCCATCATCCAGAAGTAATTTGTGCTTGAACTCAAGGTCCCTAGTGTGCTATTTAACTGCAGTTTTGCAATTGTAACTAAAAGTTGTGATGCTAAAATATAAAGTCATTGTTGTTTTAGATCTATGAAGATATTCGTAAATCATTGGAATGCTGTGATATTGACAGTGATATATACTTTTGTCAGTTCCAAACAAACTGGAAGTGAAAGGCCTGGTACTCACTCCACTCTTGTACATGCTGTTTTGATGCACTGTTGTAGAACAGAAAAAATTTTATTGCTATAAAATGATTTCATTTTTTTTACAGATGAAATTTTTTATGAAAACTTCTACACTGCACAAAACGATCAAAAAATAGCCCTGCCCACACACCAACGAGCTAATCATCATAAGAATGGAGTTGACCTGCCACCAATACCAAGCAATTCATCAAAAACCAACGGTAATTTTGTAATCACTTCAGGAAAATTACCAGTTGCTGTCGCATTGACATTCTTTATGGATATTAAATAGATGATGACGAGGACGACCCAAACTACTCAACAGTGAGTGACCTCAAGACACCCAAACGTGCAAAGTGGGTGAAAGCTGACTTTGATTACAAAGCACAGGGTGATGAAGAACTTAGTTTTCAACAAGGGGACATGATAAAAGTCTTACATGAAGAAGATGAAACATGGTGGTTTGGGGAATGCAAACATCGTAAAGGGATGTTTCCAAAACGTTTGTGTCAGTTGTGAATAAATGAATTGGTAATAGAGACAAAAATTTTTGTTGAATTGGCCTTCGCTTTGAAAATCATTCGTAACCATTCATTATAGCAATCGATAAAACTAACATTGTAAAACATCACCCAAAATCAGCAACATGTTAATGATAGAGTATATCACCATGCATGCATTGTGATCTTATACAATAACTTCATAAATTTAAATAATAATTAGATCATTTTAAAATTGAACGTAGTTAGGTATTAATTATGAATTGAATTTTACATTTTTGCAAAATTCAATTAAATGTATACTCGAATTGAGGAATCAATACCATATCAAAAATGTTGACCTACAAACTAAATACATTATACTTGTTCCCATCGTGGAATTTATAAAGTAAACACACTCCAAAAATCACGATTAGGGATTGATCTAGTTTATAGAGTCATGCAATTTCCACTACAGACTTTCAATATTACTACCAACTTTGAACTTATACGTTCCACTTTGACTCAGTCCTACCTGCACAATTTTCTACCCAATAATATTATTATAACAGCCTATGGTATATGCATACCTTTTTCATTTTTCTGAAGGGGGACGTTGAGTGAAATCCACCCCCCCCCCCATGGAAATGATAATGGAGATTGATTTAGTAAAAGAATTCAAATTTATTATAATATTAAACAATGATTTAAATTAAAATTCTTTCACTTTGTGAGAGAAAAGACTCTTTCCACCAAAACAAAGGTTTTATGAAGATGTTTAGGGTTAAAAGTAGAAATTACAATCCATAGTTATTTCAACTTGCATATCGATGTTATCAGACTGCATACAAATCGAAGCGAGGTGCGGAGAAGTGGTCATTTCACTATATTGGTTTAATCTTGAAGTGCAAACCAATAAGTGAAAATACAAGACATTTAAGGTCCTGAACTAGATAGTATAGACACCTCAAACCATCTGCGTCGCTAGAAAATTAAAACTGTGTTTTAGATCCTTGTCTTAAAAGGCAAAATTCCTATCAACTTATGTGTGAAAGTTTTGCATCTCTATCAAAGAGTGCACAACGATTTCAATTTTCTGTCGACTGAAAAAACACAGAATTTGTTAATTTATCAAATCCTGCATATTCATGATCAGTGTGCGAATTAGTTCAGAAAAAACGATGTGCAATTTTTTTGACAAAAGGGTTTCTTTATAGGCATAATCAAATCGATATTACATTAACTATTATACAGCGCTAATTGCTAAATTAATATTTTTAAACTTGGACAAATTCACATGATTTACGACAGTGTTTTTCGTTAAAATTGCTGATTTTTGCACATCGTTTGAGAAAGTGATGTGCAATTGTTTTCATTTTAGCTAAACCGATGTGCAAATTGCACATTGCACATCGTTAATTTGCACACTGTTCATGATGTGTGTACATTGTAACAACAATTAATTATCGCTTACTTGCACTGATTGACATCAACCAAGGAACCAATTTTTGAAGTGTTGAATGCGATGTGTAAGCCATCCATGACTATTTCTAATTCCTACAACAACAAATGATTCAATAAATCAATTATAAGACAACACTGGACTGAAAAAGTTAATCTACTTAAAAAAGACTAATAACCAAAACATAGAATAAGGAATACACAAAAGGTTGCTCTAAAGTTACATGTTTTTAGATGTAGATCGTCTAAGTTAGTAGAGTCCTGAGAAGGAGTATTGGTGTAGATGTGCAAGTTTGGACAACCTAACAAGTAGTAATGTTCAGAGTCAAGTGTTGCTCTATTGAAAATTTTTTGTGCCATTGATATCTTACTAAAGACAGCTAGTCAATCTTCTTTTTTAATAAATAGGAACCATTAAATCATGGCTAACCACAGAGACAGTTATCTAATTAAATATACAGCACCAAGTTACACAATAAAGTGTCCTTTCATATAATGTGTCATTACTAATTTTTTTGCCTTGGTGGGAGTTCAGAGAAAACAAGAAAAGTATTGATATGATTTTAAAAACAGTCAATTTTTTAATGAAAATGATTTTGAAAACATTTATTGAGTCTTTTAAATTGGTCGATTTGACTTTTGCTGTAAATACAAAACACTTGGGCAAAAACGTCAATGTGATAATATAGTTATTTGATGACAATACTACATGACATCCATCTTTAACTATTATATCACACACACAAACCTGTCGACCAACTCTATCAGGTTGAGGCCAAAGGGAATCATCTTCTTTCAAAATCTGGAAAAACAACGAATACAATAAGTTTATAGTCAAGACACATAAGTTTATGGTCAAGTGGGATATAAATTTTAACTGTTGCAAGTGGTTGAAAGGAAGTTACATGCATTAAAGTCATTTTCTTAACAAAGGAACAACAAAAGCATGTCATAGTTATTTTTTAGCAGTTTCAAAAGGCCTTAGTAATGGCAATAACCTGAATAATATCACACATGTAAATGGACTGCACACAACTGTACAGTTTATACAAGTTAAGGGAAGGGACAAATATGTTTCTGCCAAAAAGAAGTAACATGACGTCTGGGAGAGAGGGGCTTTTCAGACATGACCTCTTTTTTTTCTCGAAATATATGCACATAAACACTGAGTACTAAGAATTTTGAGAGCCAATATGACAGCAAATATGAGTTAATTACCACAAAAAATGTAGTTGATAAGAGATGTTGAGTGCTGTGTTTTGTGAAAAAATTTTTCCAGTTATGAGTGTATTGAATGCACACATGAAATTGATGTAATCAGTGGCAAACGATAAATAATTATAGTGGATAAAGTCAAACCATTATCACTATTGTAGCCCGACTTCTTTGGTAGGGGGTAGGGGGGTTTGTGAGAGATGTCATATTGATGTCTTTGGCAGAAACGTATATTTGACCCTCCACTAACCTTGGATATGTAAAAAATTTGTCAAGATATAATACAAAACAACTAAACTACCTAAAATATGATTAAAATTGAAGCCTTTGTGTAAGCTAGGAAAGGATAATATAACAACACTGCAACAAAAATATATTTACTATCTGAAAGTAGTTTTCTACTTACTTCACTGTCTTCAATAATACGTTTCAATTCGTCCATCACACTTTTGGAGACATAAGCCTAAAAAAATTACAATTTATTTCATATCAAATTCATTCAACGTTTCTCCTTCCATTCGTTTATTTACTAACAACTGAGTAATTCAAAATTGAACTTTTAATATCGTTTCTACCTCTTTTTTTATCATGGTGTCGTTTTTGTAGTTTGAATTATTCGCGTATCTCAACTTCCCTGAGAAAAATAAAGAAGCAAAATTATTGAAGCCACGACGGTTTTGAAAAATGAAATAACTCCAACTGTAGCACTACGAATTTAATTTCATATTACCGTCGGGTCTGAACTCAAATTCGAGAAATTCATGACCAAATTTGCCTTTATGTCCAACATAATATCGAACGTAAAAATCCGCCATTGCACTTGTTTGTAAAGCCACGTGTTTCCAAGTCGTTTCCAGTCCACTTTTACCTCAGTCGAGCAACGTGGAAACTCAAAAGCGAACGCCCACATAAATTATTGTCGATTTCAGTTAACTTTTCAAACGGCGGTTGCCAAGTTACTTTCTAATTTTGCCAACTACATTTCCAAATATGGAATATTCGTTATGAACTTGTCAACTTGAGTTGACAAGTTGTGTACTTGAGTAGTGAAGTTGGGAACTTGAGTACTGAAGTTGGGAACTTTAGTACTGAAGTTGTGAACTAGTAGTGACGGAGAAATTTTTGAATCCCATGTTCTGAGTGGCCCCGGCCCACACAATGAGGATTTTGTGCATGTGGACCTGTGTGTCAAAAAAAACAACTGAAAAGCTTAAAAGAACGTCACTAAAGACATGAACGCGCAAGATTTGCAAAAACGTGTGGTGGAAATAGTTAGTTGGACTTCCAATTGTTTATCTGACGTTTAAAATTGTCGCAAATAAACATTTTCAGAATAAAAATTGTGTCACCGAGAAGCATTTTGGAATTACTTGCGCTTCTCCATTGAGAACATGAAGCCTAATTTTTTTTTCGAATCGCAGATTATTTCGAATTTTAGTTTTTAAATGTTGATTTTTCAAATCATTTAGTCTAAATTCGAACTTAAATTGATGCAAAATGAATAATTGAAAACGGTTTTTAAAAAATTTGCATTTTAGCGAAGGCAAACGCAAAATAAACCGCGATTTTATAAATGCTATTGTAGACACCAGCCGTCGTGGGCGAGCCACACTGTTCGATAATTCCCTGGATATTAGTTGCAATCCAAGAATTCTATTGTTAGATAAACTATTGGAAGTCCAACTACCTCTTTCAAAAAGTTCTTTTACAGAACTTGCAGGCTGATGACCTTAGCGACGTTTTCCTAACTGTTGAATTTATTTTTGATACACCATGTATGTTAAAGCCAAACGATAATAACAGTTGCAAAGCCTTCGTACGGTGTAGAGATCACTCAGTAATCGAAGAGAAAAACTATTTTTCGTTCTTAAACAAAAACATTGACTGAAACCTTTTAATCAAATCAGTAAGTATTAAAGCATACTGCCTATGAATACAAAGTAGGGACTTTCCCTCATAAACTTTCATTTTCGACCGTTACTCTCACCATATTAAGGTTATAGCGCGTGTTTGGTTTTACACGTTCACATATTGCTGTTTACTTCGTGCTTTTGACTCAGCTTTCCGATAGAAAAATTTTGAAGGTTCGATACAAAAAGAAAACGAACCGAGGACCGTCTCAAAGGACGGTTCTACTAATAAAAGCTTTTCGAAGAGAACCATTTTTTGTTTGTGTGTACTCATTGCGTTGTTTGCGATGGGATGCCATCTCAGCTATGAAACAAGAACGAGGCACAAGGAGATCAAGCATGAGATTCATTATTTGAAGAAGCACGATAAAGAGCTACAAAAAGACCTAGAAGTTCTGAAGATCAGACAAAATCAAACAAAACGCCTTCTAAAACATTCGGTCTGGGAGGGTTTCAGTGGTAACAAAAAAGACCATTATTCAAGCAGTCCGAAAGCTTTGTTTGACAACAACCAAACAAATAAGAAATTTAATAAAATCAAAAAAAATTTGAATGGACTTGTTCGAGTAGTCACGAATCTAACTGTGGCTGTGTAAAACAGGAGAAATTTGTCCCATACAAAGATTTTGCGCTTGCAAAGTTTATTAAGTCGAGTCAAAGTCGATCTTAAACGTCTGCAAAGGAAGGTGAATCATTTGAATGAATCGATTTACAAAGACACACGGAAATATTTGGTTTCTGCCACACAAGACTTGAGACATGATATAAATGGTTTACAAAATTGGACTATCCTGACCGCTAGAAATCTAAGCGAACTTTGGAGACGTTGGAATCGAACGGACACAGAAGTAGAGGATATTATAAAATTGATTCGTCAGCATAATGAAACGTTTCACTTTAAAATCGCCTATCATTCTGATGCTTTGTCCACCAAAATAAAAGATGTCGAAAAGTAGCAATCGATGTTTGAAAACAAAAATCGTAAAAATGAACTTGAACTAAGGCGAGCCTTGAATAAAAGTGAGTCAACTTTACAACGTATGATTCAAAAGCAAATACAACAAACCAATGAAAGTTTTCATGATGTTCTTCAAAACGCACTCGCATTTCTGCGATCTTTGGTCAGAAAGGTGGATTTGAAAGTTGACAGAATCAACATAAAACTACGCGATGGAAACAGATATATCCAAAACGACAGCTGAATTCCGAGAAAAAGACCGGAAGCATGACACAGAAATTTCTGACTCCAATCAAGACGTTGCACGTTTGCAAAATAAGATCACTGTCTTGCAATCATGTTTGGATTCAAAAACAAGAAAGATGGACGAAATGCAAAGTAAACTTACATCAATGGAAAAGAAGATCGATAGAATGAAAAACACTGCAACGCCACAGGCCGATTTCAAAGTATATCAAATACTTATTTGGGCATGTGGTCTAGCTTTTTTGTACACTTTATGTTAATGTAGATAATGAGAGTGAACTTTCAAATTTACTTGAAAGTTTTGTTTAGTGCACATAAAAAATGAGTAAGTTTCAAGTTTGTTTAATTAAAATAACAAAAGTATAAAGTGATTTGGCACGTGGTACAGCTTTCACTAATATAAGAAAATTTGAAGTTTATACAACAAAACGGAGATGATAGAATTAAGGTCTTTAGCTTTATACTTTCGAATTAGTCTACTCACGTAATCTGTAAATATCTTAGAAACATTGCGAATTAAAATATAAAAAGAAAAAACGCTAAAAGGTTGTTATCCGAGCTCCTTCCTTATTTGATACAATTTTCCTTCAGGATATACACGTCATAATGGTAGTTTTCACTTTTCTTTTTCCCTAGCTGCCATCTTGTCAGCAACTTTCTCGGATGCTGCTGTGAATGTTTGTGAATTCAACGAAGAAAGAATTTCTCCAAGCTAGTCCAAATTTACTACTTATAGACAGATGAGGTATAATCGAACTATGTTTACATAAATTTTTGGACTGCCGGTCGTATATGTGATTCTGCAATCGCATAAGTTTATTTCCTTTTTTCACAACAATTTCTTGCCATTTAAATTGCCAAATTTTCTTTATCATATTTGTACTATATTAAATTTCGCGTCAAATTCCAGCCTGCAAGTTTGGTCGTGTTGTATAAATTTTAAATATTATCATTTTTCATTTATTTAGATATCTGGCTTTGTACAACACGTTCACATTAAGGGACTTTCCCTATAACAGCAGACGTAACACCGACTCAATCACGCAGATACTGTTTATATGACAGCAGATCAAGTCGGTTAATTATGTGTTGGAATTTTCGATCAGGTTATCGTCGCCTGAACAAAAATGAAGAAGGGTTGTCAGAATATGAAGGTGACTCACAAGAAGTAAACACGGAAAGCAATTGCAGATCCAATTCATGGTTGCCATCATGGTGTTTCAATCGATCATCTCAATGGAATAAAGTATGTGTCGCAATTCTATTTGTGGTAATCATCAAAATTGTATTTGTGGTAATTTTGGCACTACTTTGCTGTATTTCTCCTTTCATCAAACAACAAATCAAGGAGCAATTCGATATGTTTAAAAGCAACAATTTAAAAAGTCGAAATTATAGTCATGCCCTTGATAACAATAAACTTGAAATGAAAGCACTTGCTAAGTATTTAGGAATAGAAAACATAAGTCGGAAGTTGAATTATCTCGAAGACAAAATGTCGAACCGAAGCACGACGGTTTGTGGAAGGAGGAAGATAAATATTTCTTGCATGAAAAAGGACGAATTCAATGAAACCATAATGAATTCCATACATATGCAAGACACAAGAATACGAAACTGGACGACAATGGAGCTTAGCAAACACTGGAGACAATGGAACAGCACAGGACCAAACGTTGATGATATGAGGAAGTTGATACACGATAAACTTGATCACGTTGTTGATAATCTAACTTTGATTGTAAAAAACAGCAGAAATCAATCAGACATGAAGATTCGGCGCTTACAAACGTTACTAAACAGCACCAAAGATAATGTCAAATTTCTGCAACACAAAGTTATTCTTTTAAATGAATCGATAAACAATGACACAAGGAAATATTTGGTTTCTGCCTCAAGGAAATTGCGGCATGATATTAAAGGACTACAAGATTGGACAACTTTGACCACTAGAAATCTCAGCAACAATCTCACCAACTTGCAATCATCTTTGGATCTAAAAACAAACGACATCTCCAGCATAAATACGCAACTTGAATCAGCAAATTTAAATATTACTGACTTAAACAAGAAAGTTAGAAGTCTGGAAGAATCATGGAATAAGACAATGATCGTAGTTGCCTTCAGTTGTGGTGTGGCTGGTTTCATTCTTGCTGTAATAAACATGATTATTCTTATATGTTTATGTTCATGTTGTAAAAAAATGAACAAAAATGCACCCTGACTGCAGTCTAGTGTAGAAATATTCATTCTTTTGGTACAAGTAATCACATCAAGTGCGTCCAACAATTTGCAGGCCTACCAAGATTTTACTTTATATTATCAAACCACCAACGCAACTTTGATATATATTTTTCTTCCAACTTTTATAGAGTAATCTAAGCTCCAATGTACAATATAGTAATGTGCAATGAAAAAATAAACGTTTCCTTCCCATTTCAATTAAACAAAACCTAACTTGTCAGTGGAATACATTAATAAGCAAACAGGTTCTAAAAAACCCATCCAAAAGTTCGCTTCAATCTTTTCAATCTATCCTTCCATCGTCAAGGTTTAAAATAACAAAATAATCTCCACCTAAGTTTTAGTGTTTCTCGCCTCCTGAAACATGAAAGAGTGGATATCAGATTTCTCGGTGTGTTAGGAGAGAAATTTTCACTCTGGTCTATTTGTAAGCAAGTACAATATGATGAGTCGTTTTGCATGCATGTGTTCACTCACGTGGGATTGATCATTGCCCAATCATATATATTTATTTTCCTATATCCAGTGAAGATTTGTGAACCTGATAATCAGAATTATACAGTATTAAAGCCGATAGCAGTTGCAAAGCTCGTACATTACAAATCTCACCAAAACCCAGGAAAAGAAGTGATTTTCGTACTTAGACAAAAACATAGAAAATCATATGCTATTATAGCATATTGTGCAAGAATATAAAGTAGGGACTTTCCCTTTATACTTTCATTTTATACCATCATGCAACTTTCACCGTATTAACGTCATACCGTGTGTTGGTATATTGCTTCGCATATATATTGCTTCTTACTTCGTGCTTTTGTGTTAGTACTCAGATGGAAAAATTACGAGTTTTCGTACCGAACAAAAACGGAAAGATGACGAATGACAACGATGATTCTACACCTAAAAGGTTTTCGAAGAGATCAATTGGTTGTTTGTGTCTACTGATTGCCTTGTTTGCGATAGCTGGTTATCTGAGCTATGAAATTCCAAGACACAGGGACCTTAACAACGAGATTCGTTATTTGAAAAAGCGTGATAAAGAACTAGAAAAAGACCTAGAAATTCTCAAGATCTCGCACACCCAAACAGAGCGTCTTCTTAAACATATGATGCGTGAGCGTTTCAATGGCGACAAAGAAGATCATAATTCAAGCTGTCCCACAACTCCGTTGGCCATCAACGAGACGCATAAGAATATCAATGCAATTAGACAAAATTTGAATGGACTTGTTCTGGTCGTCGCTAATCTAACTTTGACTGTGTCAAACAGCAGAAATTTGTCCCATACGAAGATTTTGCGCTTGCGAACTTTATTAAATCGCGTCAAAGTCGATCTTAAACGTCTGCAAAGGAAGGTGAATCATTTGAATGAATCGATTTACAAAGACACACGGAAATATTTGGTTTCTGCCACACAAGACTTGAGACATGATATAAATGGTTTACAAAATTGGACTATCCTGACCGCTAGAAATCTAAGCGAACTTTGGAGACGTTGGAATCGAACGGACACAGAAGTAGAGGATATAATAAAATTGATTCGTCAGCATAATGAAACGTTGCACTTTAAAATCGCCTATCATTCTGACGCTTTGTCCATCAAAATAAAAGATGTCGAAAACAAGCAGTCAAGGTTTGAGAACAGGACTCTTCGAGATCAACTAACTTTGACGCAAGCCTTGAATAAAAGCGTGTCAGGTTTAAAACGAATGATTCGTAAAGAAATACAACAGACTAATGCAACTTTTCACAATGCTCTTGAAAACGCAGTCGAAGTGTTGCGCTCTTTGGTCAGAAATGTGAATTTGAAAATTGGCAGAATCAATAGAAAATTGCGCGAAGACATGGCTTCTATATCAAACAAACAGACTGAAATTGAAACGAATTTTTCGAAAACAAAAGCTAAATTCCAAGAAAAAGACCGGAAACATGACTCAGCAATCTCTCAGTCCAACCAAGACGTTGCACGCTTGCAGAACAAGATGACCATCTTGCAATCGTCTTTGGATTCAAAAACAAACGAGATCGTCGAAATAAATTTGCAACTTGCATCATTGAAAAAGACCGTTAATGAAATGAAGAACAATGCGATACCGCTGGCCAATTTCAAAGTGTATCAAGCACTTATTTGTGCATGTGGTACAGTTTTTTTGTACACTTTATTTTAGGCTAATGATAGGAGAGGTAATGAACACGAACTTTCATTTTTACTCTTAACTCTTGTCCGCATAGAAAATAACATATTACTTAGCAAAACAGAGATGATAGGAGGACTTTTGACATTAGTCTACACATTTAACTTATAAATATCTTTGTAACATTGGGAATTAAAATGTGAAAAGTAAAAAATAAAGGTGTTATTATAGCCGTCTTCAGTTGACACGATTTTCCGTAATTAAGGATGTACAAGTCATAATGACAGTTCCAGCTCTTCCTTTTCTCTTGCTGTAATTTCTTTATTTTCTTGGATGCTATGAGTGTTAGCGAATACAACAACGACAAAAGGACTTCTCCAAAGTAGTGAAGACTGACTACAGATGAAGAGTAATCGGCCGATGTAGTCGTATTTGCATTTCTTTTTTCTTAAAAAAGATTTCATGTTTTTCCTTCAATTTATTACTACATTTCCTAGCACAACTTGAAACATCTTCTTTATTACCTGGTGATCCATTAAATTTTCCATCAAATTCCTTCTAAGACTGATTACTTGCTATTTCTCCATGTATGAAAAAAATCTTTCTGGACATTGGAAGCTTTTATTTTTAATCACTCGCCTTATTAAGAAGCTCGTCAGTAGCTAACCCAGCACGCAAATTCAGTCATGCTATTTAAATTACCATCATTCCTTTCTTTAGAAATCCATTGTTTTGACAATTAGTAAACATCGAATTATTTCATCGCAGGAGCAAATTAAATCCTAGCTATATCACTGATTCATCTTAAAGGGGCTTCCCCTAAATAAAACAAACGTTATATCAATCCACAATTACGTAGAACAGTGTTGCGGCGATCCAGGTTGATCAATTTTGAATTGAAGTTTTTAACTAATTAAGATATCGAGTGTTAATTTAAACGAGAAAGGAGATGGGTAATACATGGAGCTACAACACGTTACCAACTGATGAAAAAACTAACATAAAAAAGGATAATCGATGGTGTTCAGCGCTACGCTTTTTTATCACGGTGTTCGTGTCAGTGGTAATAAGTGTATTTGTGATGAACGTAACGTGCAATAACATCAAAGTCGACGAAGTAAAATCACCAATGAAGGACAACATTTACTTTAAGAAACAAGTCAAAATTTTGGAAGAGGGGGGCAGAAAAACGACGAGCTCAAATGTTCAAAATTGTAGTCGTGACCTTAATACCAATCAACTTAAAATCAAAACGCTTGCTCAGCAAAAAGAAATAGAACGCAATAAACGGAAGTTGAATGCTCTTGTTGACCAAATGTTGAACCTGAGCAAGACTGTTTTTGAAAGAGGGAAGAAAAATAATTCTCGCTTGAAAAAGGAGGAACTTGATGAAATCAAAATGAATTTCATAAATCAACAAGACAGAATGATTATGGAATTGAGCAAACAAAGGAGACGATGGAACCGCACAGAAGGTAAAGTTAATGATATGATGAAAGTGATATACAATACACTTGATAAGATCGTTGATAATCTAACGGTACTTGTGACAAAGAGCAGTAATCATACAGAAACAAAGATTCTGCGCTTACAGACATTATTGAAGAGTGTTACAATTAATCTAAGACTTTTGAAAAACAAAGTGATGCAAACAAATGAATGGATTAATAAAGATACATGGATTTCTTTGGTTTCTGCTACCCAAAAACTACGGCAGGATGTGAATGAGCTACAAAATTTGACAATTCTGACTTCCAGAAATCTTAGCTTACAGTGCAGACGTTGGAATTTCAGTGATGCTGAAGTGGAAGACATCCTTAGTTTGATTCGTCAACAGAATGAAACATTGATGTTCGTTGCTTTGTCCACAAAAATAAAACATATTAAACAGAAACAATTAAGGTTTGAAAACAAGACTCGCCGAGATCAGCTTGATTTGAGGCAAGCCTTGAAAAAGAGCGAGTTAGGTTGTAAAAAAACGATTGAAGAGGAGATAGAAAAAGCTAAAACAAGTCTTCAAGGTTCTTTTGAAAACACAAACGACGTGAATTTGAAAGTTGGCGAAATCAACACAAAATTTCAGAAAAAGATGACTTCGATATCAAACAAACAGAAGACAATGGAAAATGATTTATCTCAAGCAAAAGGTGAATTCCAAGGAAAAGACAGAGAACATGACCAGGCAATTTCTGACTTCATTCTGGAAGTGCAAGGATTGAAAAGCAAACTGACCAATTTACAATCGTCTTTGGATAAAAAAACAGACGATATTTCCACAATAAGCGATCAACTTGCGTCAGCGAACTCAAATAATATCGACTTAAAGAAGAGAGTAAAAACTTTGGAAGAATCATCGCATCGCATGACGATTGTACTTGCCGTGTGTAGTGGTGTGATTGGTATTCTTGCTTTAATAAGTATGATGTATCTTTTCTGTAAATGTTGTAACTGAAATGATCAAAAGTGAGTGGGTTTTTTTTCTGCGTTATAAAATTAGGCGACAATTACCAAAAGGAATTAGATGAACAACATTATTTACTTTTTCTTTTCTGCTAACTTATATCCAGTTCAAATGTAGCTACCACAGAGTAATATGCAATGAAAATCAAACTTGTACTCACCATTTTAACGCTGACAAACGTAACTTATCAGCGGAACACAATAATATACGAAAAAAAGATGAAAGAACTCGAAAAAAACTTTGTCATGTACCTTAAAATCTATCTTCCTAGTTTCTACATGTAAGTAAATATTGCGTGAGCATGTGTCAACTGTCAGTTTACATTATTTTATGTTATATTTCCACTTATCTAGTAAAGTTTGAGTGTTCAAACTGAACTCAGTATAAAATTAAAGTTGTTTCGTCGACACATATTCTAAAATTTATTCAGCATCATTATAAAAGTTTATAACTCTCCTTCCATGAAATGTGTGTGACGTGTATGCATTCTGCCCCTTCAGTGTCTACAAGGTCACCCCAATCACATAGTGTGGACCATTGGTAGAGACAATATACAAACATGATTATCAGAATCAACGGATATATTGAAGCTAATTGACTGCAGTAGTTGAAAAACTCGCAAGGTATAAGATATCTCGGTAACACAGAAGAATAATCTTTCGTTCTCAAAATACAAAAAAAAAACAGTGAAAATGTTCTGATTTAATCACTTGCTTACGTTATCCTGAAAACAGACATTCTGTAATACATCCACTAGGGGTATTCCCCTTCATAGTTTCATATTACCCAGACAAAAACAGCTAAGAACGTTACTGTGTGCGCGGATATTTGCTCGCTCTGTGTTTTACTCAGTGTTTTCCTTAATATTTAATGGAAAAACTCGAAGTTTTCATTCCAAAAGAAATTATTAAGATGACAAGGGAATCAAGTCAAGATGCTTCAACTAAAAGCATTTCGTGGCGATGGATTTTTAGTTTTGGACTACACTTTACGTTGCTTGTAGCTGTAAGTTTACTCTGTTATAGAATCCTTCACATAAACAACAAACTAGACGCTTGGAAGCAGGGTGATGAAAATCCACGAAAAGAGTTACAATCGCTGAAAACCTGGCAAAACGAAACGAAACGCTTTCTGGGACATTTGATGCTGCGTCCCAATGGTGACAAAGACCATTATAATTCGAACAATCACAGAACTTTGTTGTCCTACAACGAAACGAGGAAAAACGTTGATGCAATCAAGAAAAATTTGAAGGAGCTTGTTCAAGTCGTCGCTAATCTAACTGTGAAATTTGTCGCATACGAAGATTCTGCGTTTGCAAACTTTATTAAATGTAACGTCAACTGATCTTAGACGTCTGCTAACGAAAGTTATGCATTTAAATGAATCGATTCACGAAGACACAAGGCAGTATTTGGTTTCTGCTACACAAAAGTTGAGACATGATATAAATGGTTTACAAAATTGGACTATCGTGACCGCTAGAAATCTAAGCGAACTTTGGAGACGTTGGAATCGAACGGACACGGAAGTAGAGGATATAATAAAATTGATTCGTCAGCATAACGAAACGTTTCACTTTAAAATCGCCTATCATTCTGATGCTTTGTCCATCAAAATAAAAGATGTCGAAAAGAAGCAATCGATATTTGAAAACATGAATCGTAAAAATGAACTTGAATTGAGGCGAGCCTTGAATAAGAGTGAGTCAACTTTACAACGTATGATTCAAAAGGAAATACAACAAACCAATGCTAGTTTTCATAATGTTCTTGAAAACGCACTGGTAGTTCTGCGCTCTTCGGTCAGAAAAGTGGATTTGAAAGTTGATAGAATTAACATAAAATTGCGCGATGATATGAATACATTATCAAATAAACAAACAAGAATGAAAATAGATTTCTCTAAAACAAAAGCAAAATTCCAAGACAAAGACCGGAAGCATGATACAGCAATTTCTGACTCCAATCAAGACGTTGCACGTTTGCAAAAGAAGATCACTGTCTTGCAATCATCTTTGGATTCAAAAACACGAAAGATCGACAAAATGGAAAAAAAACTTACATTAATGGAAAAGACGATGAATGAAATGAAAAACGTTGCCATAGGGTTGTCCAGCTTCAACGTTTATCATATACTTATTTGGGTATATGGAATGTACTATATATTTGGGTAACTTCATGTTGATGTAGATTTCAAGTTAGTTAAGACTAAGTAAGCGAAATGGAAACTAATATTAGTTTTATACAGAATTTTGGTTCGCATATAGAATCATAGATCGCATGACAGCAAAAGACCGCAGAGCATCATTAACAAAAATTGAGCTGTAAATATTAAATGTATACGAATAAAGTGAATAAAGATATTATCATTCAAATGCTTTAAAGGCGTCATTGTCTTTCAGCAGTTGCCTTTAACTAAACACTTTGTGGTTTTACAAGTCAATTAAAAACAGCGCCGTCCCTCCTCCCTCCTCCTATTTCTTGACTTGAAACCAGGCAGTTCTCATCTAAGGACTTTTTAGTAAACAGCTGATGCGATTTCTGTACGTGGAAGCAAGCCAACCTATTTGACAAAACTTTAGAGGGTAATCCCAGTTGATCGGGATTTTCAAGACGGATTTCCCTTAGTGAATGGAAGATAATAATTGATGTGAAACGATGAGCCATGACAGGTCAAAAAAGTTCCAGCAATTCAGCCTTATAATCTACTTGAAGATGAGTGTACTGTGCATGTTAAGTTTGAGCGAAAACAGAAACTTCAATAGAGAAGCCTTTACGTGCACAATGTTTAGATATCATGCAATTTATGATAATGAAGCTGATGACGTGACAAGACTTTAGAATGGCGTTATTCGATTCATGGGTTGGAAAAATGTTGTACAATGGATAGTTGGGGGTGGTGGGGGTGGGTTATGCATTATTCTTCCTGTCAAGTTCCTTTGCAATAAATCGTTTTCCGCGGATTACAACATGCATGTATGAATTTGAGAACTATGCGGTCAACTAAGTCCGCATAGGAAACATTTAACATTGATTTCTCAAGCCTGGAGAGTGATATGGGGGAGTAAAAAGTACTATCTCGCCAATTTTTAGTAGCTATATGTTGTTGTTTTTGGTGAGGAAATTACATTCATTCTCAAAAGCTTGAAAATAAATTCGGACATACATATCAACTTTCAAATAACTCAACGAAATCACGCCTACAATGGCGCGGCTTTAAATTCGCGAAACGCCTCAAATAACTTCCCCCTTTAGATAAATCCGGCCTATATGCCTCGAATTATACGATCTTTGCAAGCAAAATGAAGAAGATCGTGAAAGTAGTGAGATAGAGATTTATGATTTCATCGTTTAGATGAAAGAAAAATGCGTTAATACCAGTTAAAACCCAAGTGTTGAAATGCATTTAGGGCAAATCCGATTTCCGACATATGTTGTACCTAAGACAAGCTGTTCCAAGCGAAGAATGTCACTCTTGGCAAGGTCACGTGACAGGTACAGTGAGCTACCATCAAATAAACAGCCACGTTTCTGTTTTGAAAATATTGTTATTTGTTCGTGAACAAATGCACTTCGCTAACATTCTTTGCGCGAGTACGAGTGTTAAAACAAGGAGAACATGCGATTAAAAGCTCAAACGGTGGAATTTCGAATGTAAAATATCAGACCACGGAAGCTACAATCTTCATTATTCGTTTCGTTCGTCAATGGATACCGATAGCGTGGCAAGATTTCTGCCGGAAGAAAGTGAACGAAAGCGGCCATTATGTCGACCAGGTCGCAGATTCTTCTGCATTCTTATATTTGTCGCTTTCGTAACGCTTACCGTGTTGTTTTGCATCGTCCTCGGTCTTGTAATCAACGACAGAAACAAACTCAAGGCTCTACAACTGAAATACAACGATATACGTGATGTCAAAGAAGGCAAAAAGGGACTTGCCACGTCTAAAGTGGAGCTCAAATCATTTATTGATGCTAAGATGAACTCTTCCATGTCCACAACAGCAAACAAACTCGAAGCATACTTTAATGCGCTTGATAACAGCTTGCAAATTCACGAGAGCGCTAATAGGCAATTTGAGATAAAAATGAACGCAAGTTATGCAAATGTAACGAGGGACATAGCGAAGCTCGTGAATCGTACAGGTGATATCATCGCAAATTTAACGCTTCTAAACAATTCCTCGAACGAAAATTTGGCAAATTTGCGCAACGTATTAAAAGGCATAAGAGATGACCTTGACTTGACACGCGAAAATTTAACTCGAGAGGGGGCCAGTGTCCGGGAGAATCTGGCACAAATTAATTCATCTTTTGGTAAATCGGTGAAATATCTTAAAAAGACTTTGAATAAATTGAAAAGCTCCAATGCCAAGGAAAATCAAGAGCTCTGGAAATACTGGAACAGAACAAACACGGAATTCGAGAAAGCCTTGAAACAATTGGATCATCACAATTCGACGTTGCATTTGAAGATTGAATATCATTCGAAAGCGTTCAACTCGGAAGTAAAGACGATTGAAAAAATCATAAGAAATCTAAAAGAAAATAATACGGTTGTCGCGTTTAAAGACAGGCAAATGATCGGAAAACTTCAAAAAAGACTGGAAGAAACAGCTCGATCCTTGAAAGATCTTTTTAGAAAGAACACGTCGACTCTCGACGGAAGTTTTCGGAAAAAATTGAACGACTTCCGGCTGGTGTTCAACAAGTCGGTTGAAGATTTAAGCGCGCGGACGAAAGCAGAAAACGAAAATCTGCGAGAAAACATCACAAATCTCAAGTCGATAGATGAGACGATCGTAAACAACATGTCGAAACTAAGTGCTACTCTTGTTACAGAGAACAAGCGCCTTAATTATAATATTTCCGCTTTGGCAGTCAACATAACAAACTTGAGGAACTCGTACGACCGCATGAAGTCCGACTTGAAAACGGAACGCGCTCAACGCAAAAATTTGGAAGAGAAACTACACAATTTACAAATTACTGTAGATAAACTACAAAACGCGAGTGCGAACGTGAAGGAAACATCCTTCTTGCTGTGGATAGCTCTTGCTGTAACATGTTATATGGGAGAACACGTCATATCTTGACGATAGTATACTTCAGTTCCTTAGTCTTGTAGAAATAATCTATTCTTCTTCATGCAATTTTGACAATAAAAATATTTTGTTTAATTTAAATGTACTTCAAGGACGCGGGGAAATAGTAAAGTGGAAACAGTGTTGTTGCCACTGGGCAATGTGATGCGCAAGCGCAGACATCTTTCTAGGCGCAAACAGTTGGGATTAGCAATAGTAAAATTATTTTTACTGTTTTTAAGCAATTATTTCATCTGAGGCGATATTTTAAATCATTTTCAAGGAAATCTTTTCCAAATTTAAAATGTTAAGCATATATCGACTTAAAAACCATGACCAGCCGACAATTTAAAGAAGTATAATAAAAAACAAATTCCGAAGAAGCAAGACATCTTGAGATACCAAAATATGAATCAAAACAAGACGAGAAGTAAACTGTAAATTTTCGACTTTATTTCAAAGTCATCCTCAGACAGAATGATGACGTTACGCAGTAACCAAGGTTCACAGGAACGGCGCATGCATCCTAGGAACGACGATAAATCACATATCGCATGCAATATCACTTGTATGCTATACGCACGGACATAGCATTAGGCCATCATTATCGACAGGTTGCGCTGGAGTAAAGAACAAAATTTTTTCCTCATTTTTCTTTTCCACAGAACTTGATTCGGTGTGATAATGTGTGAGACAGGGTGGTCAGGCTCTCAACGATTGAGATCACTTACGAACCTGAACTCCAAGTTGGTCAAATACAAACTGGCCGCAACCCCCCCGTCTGCACCTGACCTTCCACACACGTAAGTACATTTAGTGATGACAACTTATATCAACAAAGAGTTGAAAGTTTTCACGTCAACTTCCAAAATCAAAACACATGTGAATTGGACACACGTAGTCGACCCAGTCGCAATGTGACGTCTTTTATGAAGACCCCGTCTTAAATCTTAAGCATGCAGTCCAATATTTCTCAAGCCGAACAAGAAAACAAACCCTCTGCTTCAATTAAATGTTTCCAAAGTAGCCACTAAAAAGAACGCTTTCATAAGTACTAAAAGGTAATCTTATATAGTCTTCTATCGAGATGATAAGAGGGTCAGAGACATTTTGAAAGCCTCTAATCAGAAACAGAGCACAAGTATAGACAGCCGAGCTTTTATGCTCTGTTACAATTAATACACTTCTGTGTTTTATGTACATGTCATGTTCAATTGATATAATATTTTGTGTTTAAGAAATTTGCAAAAAGACTAAGTTAAAAGAAGCACCCTCTTTTCTTTTTGTTTCATCGTAAGGGATAGAAGAATTTAAATGTCAATGTCTGCCTGGCATTTACTGCATCCTTAACTAAATTGAATAACCATCTTGTTATTGAAAAATTTACCCGACTGATAACACCACTGATCCAACTACTCCACAGTTTCACATATTCAACATGATCAAAAGCAGCGAAAGAATAATTCACTGAAATGAAGGTTATTTAATTGAAGCAAATTTCTTTGCTTCATCATTATCAATGATTGATAAGGAAATACTAGTCGTTTATACAGGTATGTTCGTGAAGTCACGCAAAGAGTCAGTTTGATAACAATGACTGAAAAAAAACAACATATAGCTTCAAGTTCAAGTTTCAACTCCCATAGCCAAGAAATTGAAATGTTCGGTACAGAGATACGTGCTTACAACTGTACACACAAAAAAAATGAAACAGAAACACCGTAAATTTAAGAGCATATAATGCAGTTCTTTCTATTTTATTTCTACTACTTCATCTAATACATCTCATTATCATCATTTGCAATAATTATTTCAATCATTCATTCAACATGCGTTTTCTGTTCTTATTGGTCAAAAGGTGCCCACTGTAATATTCGCAGTAATTATGGCAGCCATGACGCTCTACTACAAAGGCCTTGGAACGGTGAAGGTGTTCACGGTAAAAAACGCACGAATATGGAATTGAGGTAATGTCATTTCATCTAAAATTGGCAATTCTTGGAAAGCAAACATGATGTATCAGGCGGCTCTATTTTGACCAACCATAAAAGAAAATACATGATAAATGAAAAATAACATTTGACATTTTTGACAAGATATAGTGGCGAAACAAATGTTTGATATATCTATAGTTAAAGTTCATAGTTCATTTTCTAACATTTCAATTGGACAAGAGATTTACGGAAAGCGGCCCATTCAGAAATGGTCATAGCTACCATAATTAAGCGCGATCACATAACGAGCAGTGGGCGAAGCCAACCCGATGTTTTACTCTTATAATGCAAATTTTTCAGCAAAACTATTCACTTCTTTCGGAAATTTAATCCATTCATCCTTTTTTCAGTGATTGAACACAAAGGTATTTGAATTGTAGAAGTAAAAAACGAGCTGGCTTCGTTAATGATAACGAGCTTGCATTTGAAAAATAACAAAGCAGCGGATACTATTGTTTTAAACTGCCTTTTCAAATGTAAAATCTCCATATGATGATCGTAAACAGTATTATTTTTCAACTATTACAGGAACTTATTTATAAACTGAAATAACCTAAAAAACGCACCACGCTGTCAAATCTGCACGCGACATGTAGAAAATTGCAGTGGGAAAAATTGGATAGATTTTCAAAGTAGATAAAATTTCAAAGTACAAAAATTGTGGTAGAAGATTCAAAGCAATTTTCGTTCAAGCTTTAAACTACCGCTACCCAAACGTTCCTTGCTTCAGTTCACTATTAATTTCAAACATCATAAAAACAGGAAGGACAAGTTCGCACATACCTATACTGTCGAAGATCTAATAAACGCCCAGGCGTTCAAAAAATTCAAGGGGATCGTTACAGATGCGAGGCGTTTAATAGAGAAAGACGTTTTTATCATTAATTTATAATTCTATCATTTAAGTGCGAAAAACTAACAGAAAACTATTACTAAATACAGTAAAACCCACATATAAGAAGTTAGATTTATTTAAGTTAGCCTAAACAGGTTCTTATATAAATGGAGACATTGACCTAAACACTTCTAGCTTTCTAAACAAAAAGTTTTTTCGGTTGATGTTGGATTCTGACTTCATTTTTATTACTCTGTAAAGAGTTTATTTTCTTTGAGTTGTGTGTATTTGACATGGGGCGTTTATCAGATCACTTGCGATACTTCCGCATTGATTTTACACTTTTAGCAATTGCTGTGCATCATATCATTAAATCTAACTAGAAATTAGTGTATTGAGATATATAGCATCAAATATTAAGACACGACGTTTAACGTCAATGTGCTTCCGAGTAATCAGTTTTGTCCATCGTGAAAAAATCTTCAAGCTGCCATTGAAGCGTTTCAAAGGTCGGCCTATCATCAGGTTCAACTTTCCAGCATTCCAGCATTATTGCATACAGAGTTTCTGGACAATTTTTCATTTGTGGCATGCGATAGCCCGCTTCCACGTTCCTTAAAACTTCCGCGTTGGCCATGCCCGCGTACGGGGTGCGCCCACGCGTAATGAGTTCCGTCAATAAAATGCCGAACGACCATACGTCGGACTTTATCGTGAACTTATGATACATCGCTGCCTCGGGCGCAGTCCATTTTATGGGAAACTTTGCACCTTCGTGTGCTACATACTCGTTCTCGTCAATAATACGACTCAATCCGAAGTCGGCAATCTTCACAATGTTTTTGTCGCCGACTAGGACATTTCTCGCCGCGAGATCACGATGTATATATTGGCATTTTTCCAAGTACGCCATGCCTTTGGCCACCTGTGCAGCCATGTCGATCAGATGCGGTAGCTGAAGTCTTTTACCTTTATCACTCTGCAGGTACTCGAGAAGACTACCGTTGGTCATGAGCTCCGTGATAATATAAATAGGATCGCCTTTGGTACAGACCGCGTAAAGTTGAACAAGTTTCGGATGTTTCAGTTTCTTCATGATCTGCGCCTCCTGCAAGAAAGCCTGGGCACTATCTTTGGTCGCATTCGTGCCCGCTTTGAGGGTCTTCACGGCAACAGCGGTCGTCCCGTTCCAGAGACCCTGCCAAACCTCGCCGAACTGACCCTGACCAAGTTTATTGAGAAGACGAATCGAGTCACGTGGGATCTCCCATTTGTCGTCGGTATCGTGCGAGAGACCAATGGTCGTTGGTACATCTATATGTGGACACGCTTTTACAAGTCTTGTACACAATCCGGTAACTTCCACTCGGTAAAAGCTTACAAGTTCCTGTAGCGTCCGGAAGGTCTCGTTTTTCGCGATGAAATATCCCCCCCTGTCGAGCTTACGAATACGGTAGTGTTTAATGCTCTCGTGGTCACGCAGCGAAAGCGAAAACCCCCCTGGATACGCTTCACTGTCCCGAATGATAAACGAGCCATGGCTGCCGTGATTTATTAAAAGTTTTTCAGCGTCACATCGCTTCAGTGTGCCAAAATACCAGCTAAAATAATAATATTGGGTTTTTTTCGATTAGTGTTGTCTTGAGAACTCGTAAATAAATAAAGATAATGAAGATTCATGCACGTCTTGCTTATGCCTGACATTACTGTAGGTTGGACCTTTGTGTAGGTTGGACCTTTGTGTAGGTTGGACCTTTGTGTAGGTTTGATCTTGGTGTAGGTTCAACTTTAGTGTAGTTTGGATCTTAGTGTAGATTGGATCTTAGTGTAGGTTGGATCTTAGTGTAGGTTGGATCTTAGTGTAGATTGGATCTTGGTGTAGGTTGGATCTTAGTGTAGGTTGGATCTTAGTGTAGGTTGGATCTTTGTGTAGGTTTGACCTTTGTGTAGGTTGGATCTTAGTGTAGGTTGGACCTTTGTGTAGGTTGGATCTTAGTGTAGGTTGGATCTTAGTGTAGGTTGGACCTTTGTGTAGGTTGGAACTTACTGTAGGTTGGATCTTAGTGTAGGTTGGACCTTTGTGTAGGTTGGATCTTAGTGTAGGTTGGAACTTACTGTAGGTTGGATCTTAGTGTAGGTTGGACCTTTGTGTAGGTTGGATCTTAGTGTAGGTTGGACCTTTGCGTAGGTTGGACCTTTGTGTAGGTTGGACCTTTGTGTAGATTGGACCTTAGTGTAGGTTGGAACTTAGTGTAAGTTGGACTTAAGTGTAGGTTGGACCTTAGTGTAGGTTGGATCCAAGTTTCCCCTAACTAAGAAATTTTGATAGACCTATACAGTCTGAACCCTTCATCCTTAAGACCACAGAAACAGAGCATGAGTATGGAAAATTGAGTTGCTTTGTTCAATTTTAATGTACAATGTTAAAGATTAAAAAAATGGAGAACATTCTCTGTTTCTCAAATCAGTTAAAATTCAACAGTCTGCAGATAAAAAGAACATTAGATCGGTAGAAAAAAGGCTGGTACCAAAGGCAATCTTTCAAATAACTGTTTCTAAGTACCGCATCATGTGCCACTTCCAGTCATTGTATGAAATGTTTGACTTCTCCTACATCAACTTCGCATATGGTAACTTGAAAACAGAATTTGAAAAACTCCCAAACTTTAAATAAAAACTTAAAGATAAGCAATGAAAATTAATTTTCCAACAATGAGACCAGCAATAAACCTTTTCAAGAAGTGCAGTCTTATTGTGACATCACGGAACGGTACATAGTTTAACCTGGAGTGTTACCATAACCCTCAAGTACAAACACAGGTCAATGGCATGTCCCCTACCATCCACAACTGTATTCAATAGTCAATCAGTTTCGCAAAATCCACACGTTCAAAATAGCCAGTACAGAAAGATGTCATAATTGTGCTACTCCATGCAAGTTAAAGATGGAATTAATTAGTTTAGAAGGTTAAAATGTTTTTATTTTATGAGAAAGTGAAAAAATATTAAATTTAAAACAAAGATGCGTAACTCAATCATCATTGAGGTTGAACTTATTTAAGTCGAAATATATACTTCAAAGACATTCCACAAAATCGTTGTCGACTTCAACAATAGTTTTGCATAAATGTTATTGTTTGCAATACCATCGCAGCATCAATAAATACCAAATTACTTTAGTATTTTAAAATTACTATAGTGGACAATACACAACACATTGCCACGTAAAAGAAGCAAATAATATATTTTCATGCATGTACGCGTGAAGGGCTTGTTGAAATGGCGATAATTACGACACGACTTGCAACAATACACGGAAATATTTGAGACACATAGACACGACCCGAGAAAAACTTTTATGTACATTTTCTCATTCGGGAAATTCGCAAATATCAACAGACGGGCTCAAGAGGGCATTCAATATTTAAAAAACATCGGGAATGTAATAAATAGAAACAGGCTTGTTTATTCGTATTGGCATCGAAATATCAGAATAACAGGAATACTTTCATTGAACAACAAACAGAAACCCTGGTACTCACTCTTCAGTTTGCAAAGACGTAGAAGGAGCGATGTAGTTGCTTGGAACGTATCCCGTTTCACCAGACATTAGCGATTTAGCTTCCCACCATCCACCGTCTTTGTTATTGATGATTTCCATCTTTTCGCCCTTCTGGAAACTGAGATCGTCATCTGTTCTTGCTTTGTAATCGTACAACGCGACATATATAAGCTTATCGTCATCTCCAGGCGATCCACCATCATTCTTTCGACTATCTTGTTCAACATCATTTAAGTTCAATATACTCACAAAAGGAAAGCGTTTCGTCAACTTTAGGCGACCTCGGGGTCGCGATAAGAGATTGCCCATAGAATATCAAACAGTAACTTCGTCTCTTCGCACTATGCTTGTCAAAACATCGCTATTTCTGTTTAAATAACTTCACAGGAACTAGATGGCGACAAAGTTCAACTTACAGGGTGAATTCGGCAACGAATTTCAGCGAGTTTCCGCATTTGCCCTCACATTGTTAAAATGCTCGACTGACTGAATCAACCACAACTGACGGAAGTGCCAACTCACTGATCTTAACACGAGTCATACCTGGATATACAATGACCAGGGTTTGCCACTTGTCTACATTTATCTATAAAACAATTAAAAAACATAATAATTTAACGTAACCTTGCTATTACACGTAACGTATTTCCTCTATCTAGCTCCTTGGGGCCGGTTGCACGAAGCCTGGATAGCGTTATCCATTGGATAGCAAAAATTTTCAAACTGTGAAAAGTGTTTATATTTTTCGTACGACAAAGAAATTTCATAACCTTCGAAACATTATTTTATTTCAGTGATTGTTCAGTTTGAATCTCATATTTGTTGTTTTTGGAAAGGTTTTATGAAAGTATAAAAAACTTGCTATCCAAGTGCAGCTGGCCCTGTTGGCTTAGGTACTCTTTTGCTACCTTTCAAGTTGGGATTGTTAGATTGGGGCACACTACAGTATAGGAATATACAGTAGGACCACTTCAATGTGCAACTGGCTGCTATATATTTAATTAGTTTACTGGCTGGTGTTTGCCATATCGTCAATCCTATTGTTACACAATGCAATTTACTGGCTGCCAATATGGTAATCACATGCACAATAAGATATGCGTAGCATGAAAAAATTCAATGGAGTGGCCCTACTGTATGTTCTCTATACTGTGATGGGGAGGCCAAGGGCTAATAAGAGATCTGACTGGGCTGGGTCACATTGGTTGCACATATTAATTCACACCAAAAATGCTTAGTGCGATATCAATTTCTATTTATCAAAACACCAAATCCAGTTCGTGCATATTTATTGGTAAAAAATAAACATGAGGGCATTTTGTGATATTTTAATTTACAGTGAGTGAGGGATAAATTGAAGGGAGAGCGAGTGTGTTTTGCAACCTTTTAAGTGGAGTTAATGGAAGTAAGGAAAGTCTGAATAGAGGTTGGAGGATGGGGTTGAATGGAGGAAAGATGGTAAACACAATACCACAATTACCACCCATTTTTCCTTTTACCAACTTTTTTTTGGTACATTTTCTCAGATAATTTTGGACTTTATCTCTCTACAATGTTGTGTTTGTTATTGTTTTATTCGGGAATTATAGTCCAAATTTTTAAAATACTCCATGCAAAGCCCTATACTTGTAGTAAATCATCAAACCTTACCAAAAAATTGCCATGATAAAATGGCAATCCAAGATCACTTTTGGGGATGGATAAAAAACAAAAAAGGAGATTTTCCATTCACCTTGTCCCAAATTGGACATTTATGATATATGCTACCCCTACAATTCATCTTTCACCTATCCCTTATGGTCAAACTGTCACAATCAAATCCAGTGAATTATCTCCACTTATTCCAAGTACATAACATCCTGCATAACATATATCCAATAAAAGTTTGGATTGAACTTTAGCATGTCCCGGGTCCCCTGCAATCCACAATAATACCCAATTGACAGTCAGTACCCAAATGCGCTCCTTATCAATTCAACTTTCAAAATGGCCGGCACAGAAAGAGGTTCAAATCGTGTTATCCCAGCCAGACAAAGGATCGAGTCTGTTAGTTTAGAGGGTTTGGTACGTAATTAATATTTTTGGGAGAAAGTATAAGGATGATTAGGTTTACAGAAAAAGATCAGTTACACATAAGTTCCTCTTTAACTTATTCGAAAATTTCAAGATTTAATCTCAAATAAACCTATGTAATGTAGTACTAGTAATCGATCAATCGTGCCATTAGCAATTTACCATCTTCTACGAAAGGTTTTTTGTACTTTGTTCTGTAAGTTGTCTAAACCACGTCGTATTGGTTCCGCAAAAACCTCGTGCAAGAAGTCACAATTAGCAGATATTATAGTTTGCAATTTGCATATAATAATATGCTTTTCCCCGTGCTTAGGTTGTTCTCAAAATCATACAACATTGTCAAGAAGAAGGTGCGGAAGGAGATGTTGTTCAAGGTGTTTTGTTGGGATTAGTTGAAGGAAACAAACTGGAAATAACAAACTGCTTTCCTTTCTCACAGAATTCTGAAGAAAATGATGAAGAAGATAGTAAGATTGTTAGACAGATCATTTATCATGCCATGTCAATGTAAATAACCCTTGGGTATTTCTTTCAGTTGGCTATCAGATAGAAATGATGCGACATTTAAGGTCTGTAAATATTGACCATTTGCACGTGGGTTGGTACCAGTCCACATACCTTGGAGCATTTGTGAATAAGAATCTACTCGAATCACAGTACAGCTATCAAAACTCAATTGCAGAGTCTGTTGTGCTTGTATATGGTCAGCAATTGTTGAATTAACTGTATTTGGTTCGCAAGATTTGTACTTTCACATACAAAATTTGATAATTTCCTTTTCTAGACCCATTGAAGACATCCCAAGGCATCTTATCATTCAAGGCACTTCGTCTTTCTCAAAAAATGATGCACCTATTTGCCGATAAAGAATTTACTCCAAACAGGTACCTACTATTTGAGAAATCTTGTGTGGAAGACATGTTTATGAAATTCTTGTGTTCATGTAGTTTAACCAAAGCTGGCATGAAGCACGACGAGATGTTCGAGGAAATACCACTTGTGATAAAGAACTCTAATTTGGTGAACACATTGCTATGTAAACTGGATGAAAACTTAACAGAACCTGAACACAAAGACTTTCTATCTTTGGCAAGAGGGTGAGTACACCAATAAAACACTTGACTGGAATCACATGACTTTGATGTGAAACTCAGTGGAGTGCATAAGAATGCAAGTCTAAGCATCAGATAATCTGCAATACATAAGACTAACATTTTTTTTCTACAGGGTCATTCCGGTCTTTGCCACACTTCAGATCAAGACAAATGAAATCTTATCATTATGTCTATAATTTTTTTACATGTTTGTAAATGTAGATCGTCCAGGTTGGTATAGTCCTGAGAAGGACTGTTTTTGTTGTTGTTGACTGACGTTTCGACAACCTTAGCGGTAGTCATCTTCAGAGTCAAAATGAAGATGACTACCGCTAAGGTTGTCGAAATGTCAGTCAACAACAACAAAAACAGTCCTTCTCAGGACCATACCAACCTGGACGATCTACATTTACAAACATGTAACGATACTCCCGGGTTCAAACCATTTACTTTATAATTTTTTTGTTACTTAAACTTCGTGATTACTGTTGCAGGAACTTCATCGAGAAGAACGTTCAGCTGTTAATGGAGACAGTTGATGAACTTGCACAAGACACAAATAAATTTCACAACCATCAACGTAATTCTGCAAGACAGCAACAGCAAAAAGATGCTCACCTGGCGAAAAGGGTTCGTGCTTATGTATTCTTTGTTTTGTGTCATTCTGTACATCATGGATGGCTTTAGGGGAGGGATGTAGACACGAGAGTTGTGTATTAGAGAGATGCCAATTTCCCTACCTAACATTAATACAAACAATTAAGCAAAAAACAATTGAAATTACTGTTTAAAGGACCACACTTTTTCAAAAATCTCCCAATCACGATAAAAAGGTTACAGAATTCAACAAAAAATTCTGACATGGTAGAGGAACAAGTAGCCACCAAAATGTAATCCAAACTAGAGCATTCCTCCTTATAGCAGGTAAAAACTAACCTGAATCATGTATAAAATTACGACGCAGCTAAGTCAATCTTATCGTTCTCTTATGATGAATCCTTAAATGAATCCATTTATCCCATTACCGGTCCCTTTGATGAATCCTTAAATAAATCCATTTATCCTTATAATTCTCTTAGAAATCCTTAAGCCAATCCATTTTTCTATACCGTTCTCTTATGAAAAATTCTTAAGTTAATCCATTTATCATTACCATTTATCATTAACTTTCCCTTACTAGAAATCAGAGAACCAAGCGAGAAAAGAACGAGGGGAACGACCGCTACCCGAAGACGATATATTGAAGATGTTTAAACCGTTACCAGTTCCCTCTCGGCTTGAAAACCTTCTGCTCTCCGGTCAGGCTGATAACTATTGCAAAGAGATAAACGAGTTTGCATCGCAAAGTTTTGCGAAACTATTTCTCTCCGAAGCGTTGCAAGATGCTCAATGAGTCTTTTAGTACGTTCTAAAAAATAAATTATCATACAAAAACAAATGAGATGTGTAAATGTTTTGTTACTGCACTGTCATTCAGGTGAATGTCTTGTCCTCATACACGGTGAACTGATGTCGAGACTTAAGTCTCTTCTTACTCTCATATGGAATGTCTTCATCATAATCTTGTAATATAAGGACTTAGATAGCGTTCAATTCAGTTAACACTTATTTAGATATTCTTGCAACGCAAGTCTTCATTTGATCTTTAGTTGACTTAATCCATTCCCTCAAGATCAGCGTTTCGTATTATTTATTATGTATACACGTTGATACACTAGTTGATCGGTCTCTTCGAATTGTAAACTTTGTTGCCGCATGCATCAGTGGAACAACGAGCGTATTTTAACAGCAACGCGTTCAGTGACTGACCTGGCGACTCGATATCGCTATATGAAGAGAAAGTTCTCGTCTTAACCATTGCTGGTTTAACCATCAACATATTCACAGATTTGGCAGGAGGACAGTTCTCGTCTTAACCATTGCATTGTGAGCCAAAACATGCTCTATAATCACCCAGGGTAGTTGATAAAAATGAACACATACAGTACGGGGGTTTCAGTACAGGGTTTCAGACCGAGAAGTACATGTACGAACAAATATCTTTCCCTTCATGAACATAACATGAGCACAAGGCTTTACAACATTAAAATCATCCTTACGTCAAATAAGGTCGAATGTCTTCAAATGTCCATTTCGCACGAGTTTTGAATAATTTGTTGAATCTGTAAGAGACCAAAAGTAAGCTTCGATATAGTAATCCTTTCGTTGGGGGTGTGGTGGGAGGTGGGCAACACAGTAACATTTCATGACTAGAAGACTTACCTCACTGCTGGATCCGATGGAAGATTATCACTGGGAAAATGCCAAATAACGGGAGGAGTTGTCGTCATGTCTACAAGAGCTATGCCCTTCATACAGAAAATAAAATTCTATCAATTACGATCAAAAGACGCCACATTTATATCCATAACATAACCTCACTTTGAGATATTCTTCGTCAGCATGCATTCCATCTGGGACACTTTGTTTCCACGTGTCCATGAACTCTTGATAGTGAAACTTAAATCAAAAGAGAATACAAAGTCAACTGCACTGAGAAAATATTTTGAGAAACTTTTGAAAGTAAACTTACCCTTCCGGCAGGTCGTAAAAGAAATTCGGCAAAAAAAGAACAAATTTTTGCTTCGGATAGTTTGTAATAGACTTCCCCGACAGCTGTAAAAAATTCCAAAATCAGGGATGGATCTAGGATGACTATTAGGGGAGGGTTGCTCTTGTTTAGGGTATATACTGTTGACTAATTTGTAGGTGTCACCGCGTGGCATTTCAGACATTTTTTTGTTGAATTCTGATACGATTGGGAGATGTTTTCTAGAAGTGTGCTACATTAAACACGAAACACCATGGTCTTTGCTTCATTGCTTCGTATATAAATATTTTGTAGGGAAATCAATTGGTATCCAACTCGCCCCCTCCCCTTCCCCAGTAATCCACCCCTATACTGAATATCTCTTGTATCGTGAAAGAGTATCTACTAAGGATTTAGACTATTTCCGTGGAATTTTCTGAATGATCGACCAAACAATGTGCTTGTTCTTTGTCGTGAAGAAACTGAAAAAATATATTACTTTTTAGATCTTTAAGAAAAGATTAATACTTTTTGAAATAGTAAAACGGTATCAAAATAAGTATAATATAAAACAAATTCCGAAGAAGCAAGACATCTTGAGGATTGCAAAATATGAATCAAAACAAGACGAGAAGTAAACAGACAGAATGAGGATGACTTTGAAATAAAGTCGAAAATTTACAGTTTACTTCTCGTCTTGTTTTAATTCATATTTTGCAATCTCACGATGTCTTGTTTCTTTGGAATTTGTTTTATATTATACTTCTTTAAATTGTCGGCTGGTCATGGTTTTTTTTGTATCAAAATAAGTTGTTAAAGTCTTCCTTATTCTACTGAAGACGTCTACAGGTTCAAAGTGTTGGTGTAGCAAATACAATATTGTTGCTATAGCCGTGTACTGTTAAGGTAGAATCATTCAAAAAATGCATTGGAAATTTACATGTCTTTGTAAAACAAACAAATATTCAATATCATTCGATGTAAAAAGATATTTCAAAGCTAAGCCGACAAAAACCTTTCATAAATTAAGAAAAAAATAACTGACCTTCGTCCGTTTCCATAGATAAAGGTTCGCCATAGCATTGCAAACAATGTGAAATGACAAATCTGTCAAAAACACAAACAGTTACTTAGAAGGAGCTGACGTGAAGCATTTTCACACGCATTGAATTCTTGACATCGCTCGATTGGCTTTAATTTAGGTCAGAATTTTATCTGTCCGCGAGACCGTGGTTCGGTGTCTTAGCATGCACCACTGAATATTAACCAAAATTGCAAACTTCGGAAAATATAGAAAAGTTAAAACCGGGAAGAAAATAGATCGTGAATGACAATTTCAAGAAATAAAAGATGTTTACTGTGTTTGCACCAGTTAAAAATTCAGCGAGGATTTAAGGGATGCTTGGTTTAGTGATTAGCCAAAATTCGGCCGTTAGAAGCCAATTGTTTATTAACCTACTCATTAGTAAAAATGGATTTTCGTTTTTGACAAACGGTTAGAAAAACTGTTTTAAAAAGAGCAAATACCATGGCAAATGGTCAAAGTAATAAAGCAGTAGTTCTTAAAAGAAAAGTTGAAAACCAGAACACTAACTCAACAATTTTAAAAGATAATGCGCATTTAATAAAAACGACAAGTTTTTTTTAAAATAAACATGTTTCAACATCTCATCTGCCATCTTTAGTATTATAAGGAATATTATGTATGTGACGAATATATATGAGAGTGATGTGATACTGTGATACATTTTATACACTCATGAATAGATTATTATATTACAATGAAATAGTGGTTAGAAATAATGATGAAAATATAGTGTTAAAACGAAAAACTTGAACGTTGAGATTAGGGTTAGTTTTGTTAATGTGAACTGCTTCGTTGATTTTGAGTGCGGATGTAGTATCTGCAGTGTCGATGATTTTAAAGCAAGCGGGTGAATAGTTAGTTTTGCATGAAGGTGATTTAAAAAAGTGTCGAAAGTGACCCTGAATACTGAAGATGGCATCATGAGATGTTGAAACATGTTTCGTTTAAAAAAAACTTGTCGTTTTTATTAAATCCGCATTATCAATAGTGCTTTTACACAGTTACGGTAATTCTAAAAGAGCTGTTTTTAAAACTGAGAGTATGTTTAAACATGTCACCATGAAAAAGTCTCTACTTTACTATGGTTAGAAAATATAATTTGAGTGAAATTAACCTTGGGTAGAGTTCTTCCAACACGTTACAAGTCTCCTTAATGGGCACGCGGTCATAACTCCATGAATTTTCGTCCAAGAGATTGACAATTGAATTTACAATCCTCTCTCTATATTCGGCTTCAAATATCCGCCAGTTTCCTTCATAACGAACAAATCACAATGATTTTGCGTCAAGTTGTTATAAAACAGGACCGTGTACATCAAAACCCCGCGTATAAAAACCTAACTTAAAGAATCTGTTAGGGCAAAATTTTTGGCTTTTTATACATAGATACGTAAGATTTCAAGCAGAGTCTTATTTTATTTTCATCATTTCAAAAGTGTTGAAGGTAAAATAATTAACTCAAAGAAAACAAACACTTTACAAAGTAATGAAATGACTCAGAACTCAGAATCCTAGATAGTCCTTATCACCATAATATACCACACCCAAAAATGACTCATTTTTCCAATGGAATATAAGAACCTATTTAAGAACTTGTTAAACCTAACATCGCAATGACCACAATATAGAAAAGAACTCGTTCGGGCTAACTTGAAAGAATCTAGATTGTTATGCGCGAGATTTTGCCGTATAAAGCACGTCCCTCAAAAGTGCATAATGCATGTACGAACCAAACATATTTTGCTAAATTATAGCAACAAAGCTAACCGTCTATTTGAAGAGCGTCCAACTTTTGCAAACCGTTCCTGAGTTCTGTTTCACTTGCCTGAATCTTTTCGCGGAGGTCCTCCATTGTGTACTGGAACACATGGAAAAAAGGAGATTTAGGTTTTGTAGAACAGTGAGTACCATGACCTTTTGATAAATAATTGCATCAAAAGGAGACGCGAGAATCTTTGAAAAATTCCAGGTGAAGTCTGTTAAGGGTTTAGTTAGGTCATACGTTGATATACGAATGTTCATTTAAGAAATAAAAGATGTTTACTGTGCTTGCACAGGCTTATGCAAACTGAGTAGACTTTTGGGAGAACTCGAGAGCAGATCACAAACGTCTCCAAGGTTTTCATATGTCATTGCAAGCCCGCAGTAAAACATTCATGCGAAACAGACAAATGTAAAACAAACGTTTTAATTTTCCTCTAAAATGTATTCATGATTGATTTACAAATTCTTTTTGATTGATTGATTGATTGATTTGATTGGTTGACCAACAAGCCTACCAATCAAGCTCCTCTTTCCCCTTCAAATCAAGTGCCTCCTCCCCTTACAACCAAATATCCCTTCCCCTTTCAATCAAATACCTCCCCCCTTTTCAACCAAATGTCTCCTCCCCCCTCCAAGCAAATGTTCCTCATCTTTCCAAGCAAATGCCCTCATCCTTAAACAAAATCCACTTAACCCTCCAACTATATACCCCTCAAAGCAAGCCTGTTATCAACTGCAAACAAAATGAACTCCTAAGCTCCAATTAAACTTTTTAAATGCTTACAACGCAAACAAAATAGGTTTGTGAGTTTGAATAATTTACTCATAAAAACTCTCACAAACTTGCTGGGAAACATACCATGGTGACATTGCTTTCATTTATCTGTTTTTCATAAATTTCTCCTTGATAGGCAGTTTCTTCTAAAAGTTTCTTAAGTTTCTGTAGTTTAGGACGGCGCAGACGTAACTCATAATAATTAGATACACAGCCACGTATCTAAATGAGAAAGCCCTCCTAATTCCAATGATGAATGAATAAACTGGATTGCTACTTTCCAAGTAACTTTTTGGAAAAGCTGCATAATCAATAGTTGATGCCTTCATCATGACATGTTATTTAGGAAATAAAAGAGTTTGTACAGGCTCATGCAAACTGTAGAGACCTCTGATAGAACTTCAGAGCAAATCAGTGCAAGCATGTGACCAAAGGTCGAGGAATTACACCTTGCCAAGAGTTCTCACAAATGTCTTTAATGTTTGCATAAGCCAGTGGAAACACAAAAAATATTTTATTCCTTTTCAAAAATAAAAATAATATGAAACATATAAATTTCCTTTAACATGTATTAATCATTGGTTTGCAGATTCTTTTTTATTGGTTAATTGACTGAGCTCAGAATCAGATACATTTGCACAGCCTAATGTAAACTCAGTTTATAGACCAATCAGCACACATGTTTTATTATTGTTATTTTATAAAGAAGTTTCATGAGCAATGATAAAATATCAATAAATTATATTCAATACATTTCTATAGTTTCTCTTCACTGAAAGACATACACTTGACATATATAGACCCCTCACCCCACATATCAATAGTTGCCCATTACATAATAATAGATTATGCCACATTACAATTGGTACTTTACAAGAAAACAGGTACCATACCTCACAATCCCTTAGATTTTCTGCAGTTGTGAATTCTAATAATAATGATCAAAAGAAATGTCAATGGCAAAAGAAGTAAGCATATTTGATGTAGTGCATACCTTCTGTTTTTGGAAAAACTGTGTTTGTCGACAGCAACATAGTGTTTGATTGATCTGCCAACTTCAAATCAAATGTTTCATGCTCTGTGCATAAAACTGCATCTTCCTGCACTTCTCCACGAATGATGATCCTGGAATAAATGAATTGTCGCGTACAATCAGAGAACCATGAAGCAATAAAACAAAAGGGTCTTGGCTCCTTCTTAACAAGGACATTTCCCTCTTCTAAACATTTTTAATACACATTCACAAATACCCAAGATGTGCTATTTCACTAAAGATTAAAAAGAAATGCAAACAAACAACACGGAAAAGTGGATACTATCCATCCCATTCCCATCTACATACCTTTCACCATTTTGAAAGCTTTCCAAAACTCCCGAAGGCAATTCCAAGAGTTTGAAATCTTCGCTCATCAGACTGTTGGAAAATCTCAAAACTTGAATTGTGCCATTTTCTGTAGACACTCCGGCAGCGTCTGCAGACTCTTTTACGTGTTCCCAACTCCTAATGTCCATTATGTTTTATTGAGTTGATGTATTTCATTCACATGTTCACATATGTATTTCTACCAGTGATTTCTACACGTACCAACAGTCTAAAACTATTTTCAAACTGTAACCAACAACATTCGGCAATTTAGTATAGTACAATCCTATACAATCAAAATATTTCACAGAGATTTTCAATTTCCCTACGTGTGTTTACCACAATTATTTACCATGATTCAAATTTTGCAGAAACCATGATGCAGATAAACACCATCAATGCTTCCATTTTTCAAAACACGATTTCCTGATTTCATCATTATTTACCTTTGCTTCTCAAATTTTGTGGTCTCTGAATTTGTATTGGTTCCTTGATGTTGCTGCACGGCAACGCTTGGAGACAAAGGGCTGGATGCAAAATTTTCAGTCATAAAATGTTAATACAAATGTCAACTTTCTGTCTACCTTTCTGTCTACCTTATGTCTACTGTCTACCTTTTCGTCTACCTTTAGGTCTACCATTATTACTACCTTTATGTCTACCTTTATGTCTACCTTTGTGTCGACCTTTGTGTCTATTTTTATGCCTACCTTTATGCCTACCATTATGTCTACCATTATTTCTACCTTTATGTCTACCTTTATTTCTACATTTATGTCAACCTTTATGTCTACCTTAATGTCTATCTTTATATCTACTTTTATGTCTACCTTTATTTCTTCTTTTATGTCTACCTTTCTGTCTAACTTTGTGTCTACCTTATGTCTATTTTTATGTCTATCTTTATGTCTACCTTTATGTCTATCTTTATGTCTATCTTTAAGTCTACCTTTATGTCTACCTTTAAGGTTTTTATCAATTTCCTTACAATCTCAAAATGTCACTTTAGCTTGCTTTGTTATCGTGGACGATTTTTTATGCGAAAAAACACGTCGCTTTTAACTAAAATACTACACCAAAAACCAAAAAAGTAATATTCAGTTTTTGTTTCAAAATTCATGAATACAATTCGTTATTTCCATTAAAAACTACCCCTACCAAGGAAAGTCCACGGGGTGGAGGTGGTCACGTCACTCGAGAGAAAATTATTACATGCAATAGACAAGAGATAAAATTATTCACTGAAAACTTCAAAAAACCCCAAAGTACCATTGAATCCAACCTACAAACGACAAAGTACATTCATCTAATCTTGGTCTTCCGTGGAAATATTCGAGAAATGCTCGGCAAGGTCCGCAGCTCGTTTGTGATTAAAGCCACGTGTATTGTCAGGCCCGAACGGTTGACGGACTATGGTAAATCTAGAAGGAAAAAAATGACTTGCAAAAAATTTTCCTTAAACAATCTAAACAGTAAGCGTTCTTCAAATTCAAGACATCAATAGTTATTTAAAATTTTCATAAATTTTAGTCAACACAAACCAATAATAAAAGGAGAAAGCAAACCTGTGGGTGTGAGTGCTAAGCAGCGCGTGTTTATGCACTGGGGTGTGTTTATGGATGAGGGGAGGGTACGTAGCCAACCTCGCTAAGCAATGATCTCATGCTACCCACGTGGTAATTTTGAACAACACAAGAGAACAATCAATAACTGCTTCATAGATTATTCTGTGTTATACTGCCCAAACCTTGGCGCGATGCATTTTAAGGACGAACCACAGTGGGACGAACTTGTGATTTGTTGTCAGGTGCATAAGTTTGGAAACTTTTAACTTCACATTTTATGGTTAAAAGTTCGCACACGTCAATTTCCACTTCATATGTGGATTCCGCATATCAAAATTACAACATCACCTTCATAAAATATAAACTTACTTCAGCGACTGATCTTCTCCACTGCAGCCCATACTTCGACGTACGAGACGCTCGGGTCTTTGCCTTCCACTATATTCAGAGAAAGAGATCAAGGCTTGAAAAAATCACGAGCCATGGTAGCATGCGGGTAGCGAATTCTTTGGGCTCGAGGGAGGTTATTTTCGAAGTCAATGTTGAACACTATACACGAAGAGTGTTTGTTTTGATGGAGGATACAACTTTTCATATGTTTGGTTATTTTAAAATTGACAGAAATCGTGCATAGGAACCAGCTTCGAAAAATTCAAATATTCCAGATCATTTTGAATAAGACACGAGCACATAATACTTCAAAAAATAAGGAGCCCTCGACTTCAAAGCATACCACATTGTGAAGAATACACAGGACGATGGTTTAGGAAACTTTCAAAAATGTTTCTAATTTCACGCACCTTACTATAGAAATCTTTGACGCGCTCATCTTACCATTGCGAGCATTGTGAACGATTGAAAACTCAACACTGTCACCAGCCTGTAGAAAACGTCATTAGGCACAGATAAGGGGCTAATTACATGAACAAATCGTGACATAAACGTATGATTTGAGCTGCTAGGAACGAAATCTCATCAAAAGAATAAAGATTCGTATTCCTTACCAAAAGAACGCAGCGGATAAAACAAGATTTAACTAGATAGAGCTGCTCGGATCAAGGATAATACCCTGAGACTGGATCATAAGCCTCAATCCCCTTATCATATCCCCCACTCCTCCTTATTATAAGCCCAACTCCTCCTTACCATAAGCCCAACTCCTCCTTACCATAAGCCCAACTCCTCCTTACCCCCTCCTCCTTAACATAAGCCCCACTCCTCTTTATCATAAGCCCAACTCCTCCTTACCATAAGCCCCACTCGTCCTTATCATAAGCTCCACTCCTCTTTACCATATGCCCCACTCTTCCTTATCATAAGCCCCACTCCCCTCATCATGAGCCCCCTCCCCCTTAGCTTAAGCCCCACACCTGCTTACAATAGTGCAGGCATGGAAATGTACAAAAGAGACACTGAGTCATTTAATGGTATATTCGAGCAATGGCATAATAGAATGAAATGCTTCAGTATGAAAAGTACAATCTTTATCAAATTCACCAAACTTAGCGCATGCTCAGAACTTAGTATTGTCGACATTTCGTCAAGATAAATCAAATGAAACAATGATCTTTCCTTACCTTTATAATAACATCTTCATCGACGACCTCGCTCGTATGGAAAAATACATTTTTCGATTCGTCCGTTTCGTAAGCAATAAAACCATACTAAATAAGAGAAAAAAGTCCTCTCAAATTGTTTATCTATTGAAAGTCGAGTGAAAGTGGAATGTCAACGAGGAGTGAACAGCCAAAGTTAAATGTAAATGTAATAGTGAAAAAACCGCCTGAACTGAAACTGAACTACGTATTTTCGTGGAGGAGACACCACTTCGAATTTCAAACTGTTTTACGACATTACCTCTCCTTTTACAGACTCAACAACAGCTCTCAGACGCTCTCGCTTCGCAATGATCTCGACAGCAAACTGCTTATCAGAGGACTCCACACAACCGATACGAAATTCAACCTCAACGAAAAGAAACGAACAATGAACTTTTGACACAACTGTGCTTGTAAAATAGAAGTTGGATCAAGTAATTACGCGAACAAAAAATGGATTATTGATCAGCGGTAATGAATTTAGTGGGAAAGGGAGGAGGAGGAGGAGTCGGGACCGCAACTCTCGAAAACGACATTTAAATATCACCCTTATTGTTTGGAGGAGGGTGCGCGACCTCCTCTGGATCTAAATGGATTATTGATCAGCGGTAATGGCTTTTAATGGGAAAGGGAGGGAGTCGGGACCGCAACTCTCGAAAACGACATTTAAATACTACCCTTATTGTTTGGAGGAGGATTCGCGACCTCCATGTTCTTGTCAACGCCACCTAATCCTAGGAGTTCATTTGCGTGTAAGGAACTTACTCAATACATGCAATTCAATGTTATCAGTTCAATTCACATCGTTAAATGTATTCGCAATTCAAGCAAATACATTTGGAGATCCGATTAAATCACGTAAAAGCGGGAGAGGCTTGCAACCATTCTTGCAACCATTATTTCAACGGGCATTTATTAGAACCCGAAGAGTTTTTTCCCTAGACGTCATTGCCGGCATGCTGGTGCACCAATTGAAAATATTTTCAAGTAAAATTCCTTCGTTCGTGACACCCACATACGTCTTCCTCCATAATTATTTCTTGCCCTGGATTAAAGTTTGCTTGTTAGAATTATTTCTACGTCGACCTAATACCTTTTCCCCACATTGTAGTACAGTTTTCTTGTCGAACAAACCAGTGATGCCGTAAGGTATGACACAAACCGAATCTTCGTCAAAATCGTTGGAACTATTCGACGTGTCGACGATATACTGAATGAGACCTTGGTATTCCGGTTGCTATGAAAAACGTACATGTTATTCATGTTTTACGAGAACATACTCCTTCATGTTTTCATGCGCAATACAAACATCAATAAGGCCATGCAGAGTGGATTACGTTGGTGGTAAAACCGCTGAACATTACCTGTGGACCTGCACGGCGCAGCGGTCGAATGATTCTTCCCTCGAATACTTCAGATATTACAGACTGCAAGATACAAGTCATTAGGAACGTGTTTCGAGGTTGAGAGAACATGCATGCTATATATGAAGTTTTTGAAACAATTTTCCTAGGTTAAAAAGTAGCAAGAAAATGTTTTCAATCTTCCTTGTTTCTACTTGATTGGAGTAAAAAATGTTTAACTTGCCAAATGTCGTATACGAGGTCACACGAATGGCAAGTTTTTATCATCAAAATGATGCGCACTTTCTTATATTTAAGCAATTGAACTTTACTATGACCGAGTACCTCTCGTTCGATTGTACCGCTGGGCAGTTTCACCACCTTCTCAGCAGCGACTTTCCCGCTCTTCGAAGAAGTTTTAAATTCCACCTCGTCACCGACTGCCAGATCATCGATATCGCCTTCAAATTCGCTGTTTTAAAATTTTGCAAGTCTGACGTTATTTAAAACAACACATCTATCTTATTTTAATTTATTTGAGTTTCATTTTTGCTGCAATTTGACAAATTCACACCCGTATTTGACAATACTCGTTCAATGAAAGTACCAAATGCTTATTTTTTGTTTTCCTTGCTATGTTGCATTGCCAACACACTTCGCTCAAAATTGAAAATAAATACATTCATTTAATCATTTCAAAGGTGTTCAAAAGGACACAATTCTTTTCTATAAATTCAACTAAATGTTTGACCACTCAAAAAGTAAAAAGTTTCACAAAATACAGTAAAGAAAAATTATCTGAGAATATAGACCACAGAAAATTTAAGACTTGGCAGTGAACACAACATTATCACCAAAATGCGTCAATTTTTCAATATCTACTTGTTTACAAGCACATTTCTCCTGCAAGCCAATAGAAATAACGAAAGTCAACTATCAACTATTTACCTAAGGCTGTAATTGTCAGTGTAATGCGTCGGAAAGAAAATAGAATAGGCGAAAATTCAACTTACGTAAAACGAAAGAAAATATCCTTCTCGTGATCAGCGTATTCAATAAATCCAAAAGTGTCCTTCAACGTAGCGATAAATCCCTAACAGGAATTAAAAACACAGTGTAAACATTCCCAAAAGTAGCTAAAGCATGTCAACCGCATGTAAAGTTCTACAACGCAAATAAAAAGGCTATAAAACACAGGATTATTTTAAACATGAGAAACGACATAGATCATTCTGTTGCATTAAAAGCATTAGGATGGAAGCCACTAAACTGAAACGTAAAAAAAAACAATAAAAAACAAAATCAGAAGTCGTGTTTACATTATTCAACGAAATGGAGACCAAAACTACTCAATGATCTGTTTACATATAGCAATGAGGTGACAAACTACAAACTTCGGAACATTTCAAATACTTATTGTCTACCACCACCGCGCGGACAAATATCGTACAAAAAAGTTACATGTAGGAGGGAGCATAACTCTAGAATTATATTCCTAAGGAAACTAGAGACAGCGAAGGCTTCTCCTCCTTTCAAAGCAAAATCGCTACTTCCTTGACAACAATTCTAAATACTAAACTTATTTGACTGCTAATATACGTAAGCTCGTTAGTCAGTCAATGTGATAGTATATTCTCTCAAAATTTTGTAAATAGCTTTAAGTTCTCTATGTGTGTGTTTTTCATACGCCCCCCTTCTCCCCGAACGGATGAAAATCAGTTCCGTTGTCGGACTCAGCGCGTGCGTAAATAAAGTTCTTCTATCAACCTATTCATCTATTTAATGCTATTGAGTAACTCCGTAGTCAAAAAAAGCTAGTTACGTCATCACGTACCTGATGCTTGACATCACTATTGCGTTTCACAACAGCAATATTAACAGCCATTTTGTAACCAGTCCTTTCGCTGACAAAATTTGAAACTCGACCTGTTTGATAAAAGGCAAAGTAAGATGGACATTCGTTTTCCAACTGCAAATGGTAGACATACCTGATCGCCAAACTTGGGAACGCTACGAAGATCCGATTCGGTTTGAAGCAAAAAGGGCAAGGTCACTTTCTCGTCATCCACAAAACAAGAAATCAAACCACATTCACTGTCTCTGTTTTGTAAAAAACAACGAGCTATTACTAAGCACTCACTTTTGATTTTAAAATGTTATATACTCATTGTATACTCCAGTCTAGTGTCTTCATCAGGCGTGATCTGATGTTGCAACTTGAGTCCCTATATACTCTAGTATAGTGTCTTCATCAGAAGTAATCTATTGTTAAAACTTGAGTCTCTATATATTCCAGTCTAGTGTCTTCATCAGGAGTGATCTGATGTTGAAACTTGAATCCTTATATACTCCAGTCTAGTGTTTTCATCGTGAGTGATCTACACGAGTCTTTATATTCTCCAGTCAAGCCTCTTCATAAGGTAGTGTCCTGATGTTCAATTTTGAGTTGTCCAACTTTCAGGAGATATGTTATTAAAAGAAAATTGTGAGAAAAATAATGTTAAAAACAAACCTCTCACGTTCGCCTTTTCTTGGACTTCTTCCTATCCATGTCATTGACTCACGTTCAATCACACCAACGTACCACTCATCCATTGACGGCTGAAAGAAAAACAGTATAAAACACGATCAAATATGGAACGCAGCACTACGTATCCTCTTGTAATCCTATATGTACAACACAAGTATTCAAAACAACAACTTTATCCTTCAGCAATCCCTTGTGTACACAATAGTATGAATACAATGGCTATTTTATTGGAATACTGCAAGTAAAGAATAACTATAAAATATCCTGCCATATACTTGTACAATATGCAAGCCTAACCTTGACCAACACCTAAACCCAATCCTAACCAAGTGTTGGGCAGTCTTTATGGCAGGGTATGGTATAATTGTGGCCACGGAAACATTCAAGCAGTAATGTAAGCAGTAATATGATTGGTTGATACACTAGGGTGAATATATGATTGGTTGATACACTAGGGTGACTACATGATTGGTTGATACACTAGGGTGACTATATGATTGGTTGATACATAATGGTGACTATATAATTGGTTGATACACTAGGGTGACTATATGATTGGTTGATACACTATGGTGACTATATGATTGGTTGATACACTATGGTGACTATATGATTAGTTGATACACTATGGTGACTATATGATTGGTTGATACATTATGGTGACTATATGATTGGTTGATACACTATGCTGACTATGATTGGTTGATACACTAGGGTGACTATATGATTGGTTGATACACTAGGGTGACTATATGATTGGTTGATACACTATGGTGACTATATGATTAATTGATACACTATGGTGACATATGATTGGTTGATACATTATGGTGACTATATGATTGGTTGATACACTATGGTGACTATATGATTGGTTGATACACTAGGGTGACTATATGATTGGTTGATACACTAGGGTGACTATATGATTGGTTGATACACTAGGTGACTATATGATTGGTTGATACACTATGGTAACTATTTAATTGGTTGATACACAAGGGTGACTATATGACTGGTTGATACACTAGGGTGACTATATGATTGGTTGATACACTAGGGTGACTATATGATTGGTTGATACACTATGGTAACTATTTAATTGGTTGATACACAAGGGTGACTATATGACTGGTTGATACACTATGGTGACTATATGATTGGTTGATACACTATGGTGACTATATGATTGGTTGATACACTATGGTGATTATATGAGTAGTTGATACACTATGGTCACTATACCTGGAGAGTTATGTTTCCCCGTGGTAAGATTCTCACACGAATCGCATTCAGCCTTCCGGACACGTGATCCTGTAAACGCGTTTTAAAGCTGTAGAAATCAGTCAGTCGACAAAAAATCTCAAAATGCATCTTTTTTCACGAACCTCGACGACACTGAACTCCACTTCATCGGAAAAGTTGATTTCTTGTTCCTATGGAAAATAAAACAGCAACTGCATCACGACAAGCAATAATTTTGAGACGATCATACACTAACTAAGGCTTTAAAGTAAATGATTTGAAGTCGGGAGTACCGTTGCATGTGTGTAGTAGATCGTCCACGTTCGGGAAATCTTGAGAAGGATTGTTGTTGTTGATGTTGACTGATGTTTCGACAACCTAAGCGGTAGTCATCTTCAGAGTGAAGCCTACAGCGAAGGTTGTCAATACTCTGGTTATACGGCTGACAGTCAACACCAACACCTAAAGAACTTCTCAGAACTTCACTAAACCTGGACGATCTTCATCTACAAACATTTAACGATACTTTAAACTAACATCAGCAAAGCTACTTTCTCCATCGATTTATCTTGACATACTTTCACTGGCACATATCGAGCTTTACGTAGCAAACGATGTTCTAACGTGGTTAGAAGAGGTTGATTTGAAAGGTTTTTTGCTTACGATTGCCATAATAACAAAACTCACCGCATCAATCAACTCGCTGAAATGAAAGAATAATCTTGTATCTCTATCGCAACATTGAATGAAGCCATAGCCGTCTTTCAAAGCCGAAACAAATCCCTAACAAGGAACAAAAAATCGTGTATTTAATCACATTTTACCACCAACAATTTTTACATAGCTCTTTAAGAAGGAAACGAATTTAAGTCGATTCTCTGCACTATAGTTACAAATCAACAATCATAAAATAAAAATGCCCAATGCCAATGCCCATGGAGCACAATGTTAGCGTTGTCGAAAATAAAAGGGGATTAAATGTTTTGACGGAGAGTGGACAAAATACTCATAGATGGGGAGGGGAAAAGTTCAAACCATAACTCCAAGCAATTAACATTTGCCATCACCGTGATAAAGGTAAACAATTTCGCGCAAACTTGGAGAAATGGCTTCCTCATGACGCAGTCTAAACACTAGCACATGTAAATGAGAATTAAAAACCTACTCTTTCTCTGACATTGCATCCATTGCTGCTTTCCACTTCCTTGATGAGATGAATTTCCGTTGCTCTTCTTAAAGAATCACGCCGATCTGCACGAAAAGAAGAGAGATGTATCGCTTGACTGAGTGGCTAAAAGATGGAAGTATGCTTTATACTCCCGATATCATGGGGAAAATTTGTTAATTTCTTTCATTGTATGGACATGTTGCTATATCCAACTGGAAACACTCAAAGGAAAACTACAGTTTGAAAGCTTGGTTATTCTGTGAGGTACAAACACGTTTGGTATTTTCTTTAAATGTTCAGACATCCAAGTTAAGCCAGACACCAGAACATTTAATCAACAATAAGGAGGACAACGAACTAGTTTAAAACAAAATGTTACGTCTAAACATGGTAATGCCTGAGCAAAGGAAGACTAGTGGAAGTTTTAAAGAATTATGTTGATGGAGCAAGCCTCACCCATTGTTACAGTAACGAAAATATTTTTAACTAAGATTAGATATGAGGCTGTAGTAAAGTAAAACTCCGCATATAAGAGCCTAGATTTTAACAACCAATTAGGCTAACATTTCCGAAGGAAACTTAAACTGATCTAACTTTATTTATACTAGATATCTCTATCAGTTCTGAACAGTTCTTACTGTAAAGATCATCTCTTTTTGATCCAGTGTTACTGCAGAAAGAGACCTAAACTAAACTAACTTTATTTAGACTAAATATCTCTATCAGTTCTAAACTTTTCTTTCTAATGATCCAGTAAAGATCATATCTTATTGATCCAGTGTTACTACTAAAGGAAACCTAAACTAAATTTACTTTATTTTTACTAAATATCTCTATCAGTCCTAAACATTTCTTTCTTATGATCCTGTTAAGATCATATCTTGTTGATCCAGTGTTACCAATGAAACAAACCTAAACTAAACCAATTTTATTTATGTTAGATATCTCTATCAGTTCTAAACTGTTCTTCCTAAAGATCCAGTAAAGATAAGCTCTTATTGATCCAGTGTTACTACAGAAGAAACCTAAACTAAACTAACTTAGTAATTTAATATTTATATTTTAAGTACGATTCCCGCCTGGTTTATCGATCGTAACTTTATCTATATATACTAGATATCTAAATCAGTTTTGAACTGTTCTTCCCCTAGATCAACAAAATCATCTCTCATTGATCTTGCACATGTTGAAATAATACCAACAGTTACAACAAACCATATTTACCTGTAGCAATTTTAAAACCAACAACATCCCCAGTCAAGACGGTGAACTCCCCCAAGACATCTTTCTCCCAATATGGCAGCTGTGAACTACCATCGCTTGTGTTGTACAATATCACACCATTTAACGGTTCCTGTCTTTTTGTCCGACAATGTACTTTCTCGATGGTGCCTTGAAATGTGTCTTTGCTAACATCATCAAACTTCACTGTACCTTCTGGTAGACGCTCCACTGAGACTGCAACTTCTTTACCCTGTGAGCATGTGATTGACATAAGTACAGACGAGGGAAGGGGTAGAGAATGTCCGACATTGAGCAATGGCTACATAATACATAACTAACGTACATATCTATTTTGTACAACAAACTGGACATCATCTCCTATCAACAAATCACCAATATCCCCAAGAAATTCACTGTAGTGGAAAAATATCTAAAAGAAAAATATAGTATAAAACTTCAGTAGACTTTTTGCGCGAATTGCACTAAGATATACAGAAATATTTTCTTTGTTTCAAGGTGAACCTTTCTCGATTTATCTGAGTAAAATGCGAGACTTTACAAAGAGGAAAAGGCAAGTCTTTAATTTTCACCTTGATCAAGCTAAAGGTTTAAGCCCGGGAGCATTATTACATGTTTGTGCTTACGTAGATGTAGCGTCGTAATAATTGGCCAAGTTTTTACAAACAAACTTTACGAATGTTACATGTTTGTGCATACGTAGATGTAGCGTCGTAATAATTGGCCAAGTTTTTACAAACAAACTTTACGAATGTTACATGTTTGTGCATACGTAGATGTAGCGTCGTAATAATTGGCCAAGTTTTACAAACAAACTTTACGAATGTTACATGTTTGTGCGTACGTAGATGTAGCGTCGTAATAATTAAGTTTTACAAACAAACTTTACGAATGTTACATGTTTGTGCATACGTAGATGTAGCGTCGTAATAATTGGCCAAGTTTTACAAACAAACTTTACGAATGTTACATGTTTGTGCGTACGTAGATGTAGCGTCGTAATAATTGGCCAAGTTTTACAAACAAACTTTACGAATGTTACATGTTTGTGCGTACGTAGATGTAGCGTCGTAATAATTGGCCAAGTTTTACAAACAAACTTTACGAATGTTACATGTTTGTGCGTACGTAGATGTAGCGTCGTAATAATTGGCCAAGTTTTACAAACAAACTTTACGAATGTTACATGTTTGTGCGTACGTAGATGTAGCGTCGTAATAATTGGCCAAGTTTTACAAACAAACTTTACGAATGTTACATGTTTGTGCGTACGTAGATGTAGCGTCGTAATAATTGGCCAAGTTTTACAAACAAACTTTACGAATGTTACATGTTTGTGCATACGTAGATGTAGCGTCGTAATAATTGGCCAAGTTTTACAAACAAACTTTACGAATGTTACATGTTTGTGCGTACGTAGATGTAGCGTCGTAATAATTGGCCAAGTTTTACAAACAACTTTACGAATGTTACATGTTTGTGCATACGTAGATGTAGCGTCGTAATAATTGGTTTTACAAACAAACTTTACGAATGTTACATGTTTGTGCATACGTAGATGTAGCGTCGTAATAATTGGCCAAGTTTTACAAACAAACTTTACGAATGTTACATGTTTGTGCGTACGTAGATGTAGCGTCGTAATAATTGGCCAAGTTTTACAAACAAACTTTACGAATGTTACATGTTTGTGCGTACGTAGATGTAGCGTCGTAATAATTGGCCAAGTTTTTACAAACAAACTTTACGAATGTTACATGTTTGTGCGTACGTAGATGTAGCGTCGTAATAATTGGCCAAGTTTTTACAAACAAACTTTAAGAATGTTACATGTTTTTGCGTACGTTGATGTGGCGTCGTAATAATTGGCCAAGTTTTTACAAACAAATTTTACGAATTTCCAAACATAAACTTGTTGCTGTCGTCAGCTACCACAAAAATACGTCAGTTGAGTGACGTGACTGTTTGCAGACTGAAAATTTCCAATCCTACTTCAAATGCCAATCAGAAGTCATCGTGTGTAAAATAAATTACAAATGATCAAATCGTATACATAAGTGAAATAACAGATAGAACTCATTTTGCATTGAACAATAAATTATCAATATTGATCTACAGTTAGCAACTGCAACGGTCCAAACACAAACCTCGTTCACTTTGTCAGCTCTGTCGATGAAGCCAAACGATTCCTTGAGCGAGCAGACAATTCCTTGAACGTAAACAGGAGGCAAAGCTTCGAGCAGCAACAACTCCACGGCACAGCATTGTCCATTTCTATAGAGGTTTATGAACTGTAGCAGTGCATCAAACAAACAACTATTTGGACAAAGCTCGTAAATTGGACGTGGTTCGTGTAAATAATAAACTAACGTTCATGTTATAAGCGTTAACCAAAGCGTTTTCCTGTGTGAGGTAGCATATCAAAACGCAGAAATAAGGAGAAAGACTTCCCCAAAATAGAAAGAACATTCTTAAGACTGCGCATTCATTGCTTAACCACGTAATGTACTTCACGCGATGAAGCACGTGATACAATTTAGAGAAACAGTACAAGCTTTCGACGCTAAAGCAAAGAATATAATTTACCTTTTGTTTTCCAGGATGTAAAAAGACACAGTATCACCTTTGTAGATGTGAGACTTTGATAAAACATCAGCTTGATGATATGGAAGAAAAAACAATTCCTAAAAAATAAAGGAGCAACGGTTCGAATCATAAAGATCCACCCCCTGACCGTGCAGACCTGTATTATGCAATGATCTTAAACTCCACCTCCCTGACCGTGCAAACCTGTATTATGCAATGAGCCTAAACTCCACCCCCTGATCATGCAGACGTTTACTATGCAATGATTTTAAACACCACCCCTCTGACCGTGCAAACCTGTACTATGCGATGATTTTAAACACCAACCCCCGACCGTTCAGACCTTTATATTGCAATTATCTTAAACTTAACCCCCCTGACATTGCATACCTGTATCATGCAATGATCTTAAACTCCACCCCCCTAGCCGTGCATACCTGTATATTGCAATTATCTTAAACTCCACCCCCCTGACAGTGCATACCTGTATCATGCAATTATCTTAAACTCATCTCATCTGATCTAAACCTAATCCCATATTGCAGTATAATTTTAACTTATCAAGGGCGAGAATACAGTGGCACTAGAATAGCCTCGATAATTGTGGGGGTGGGGAGGGTAGTCAAGGTTTATGTAGGAATGCATGTCAAAAGCCTAAAATTAATTTAATACGGCAAAATATGCATAGCAAGCTTTTTATGGTGTGGAGGGAACGATCAAAATCCAAAAAGGAAATAAGGGCGAAAACCTGTTTCAAAAAGGATGAAGGAAATGTCAATAATTTGCAGGCAGTAATCTACACTTTCCCTTATCGTCACGTCACTAACTTTCTTGCCTGTTTCAATTTTGGGATTTTTGCCCAAAGCAACTATTTTACCCACTGGTGTGTTCTGTACTTATTACCCAATCCATAAATGTTCGATACAAGATGTTGAGTAAAAAGTTTGATACTTTTTATATTTTACATTAATTCTTCTCTCAAACCCCACCCAAAAATGACTTAAGTATTAAAGTTAGCCACGTAAAGATGCATAAAAAATGGAAGAAGTTCAAACAGTACTTACTCCGTTCACTTCATAACTAACGCGACCACATTCGGACTCGCCATTGCGAAATAACTGCTACAAAATAATGATGAAACTTTTTCGAAAACGACATCACAAACATTCAAAGTACAATAAAACAACAGGAATACGCAACTCAAAAAATTCATACACGACCATTAACAACGAGTAATTTTAAAGCAATATGCATAATGAACAGTGGTGTAGCAAGCATGATAACTGGGGGGGAGGGGGTGAGCACACATCCATATATTCCACATATGCATGTCCTGCCGTATTGAGATCCATTGTGTTACATGCATAAAGACGTGCATAGATGAATTTGTTATCTACCCACCCCTCCGCATCCCTTAATTAACGCGTTTGCTTCGCCACTGACTATTACATTTTCCCAGCTAATTGATCACGATGAAAATCACCTGTTTGGGGTAGCTGTGTCTCGACAACCTGGCCTCAACTTCCACTTTACCAACAACTCTTTCCTCGCTCTTTTCCTACAATGGAAACATAAATGGATGATTCACCAGACGATTTCTCAATTTCTCGTAAAACTTTGTAAACAAGGATGAACGTGCATACACGGCAAGCGTCAAAAAGTACACAATGTGTGAAGATCACTTACTTCAAATGTAACAGAGCCTTGTTCCAACTTCACCACTCGACATGCAATTGGTTTACCCTTACGAGAATCTGATGTCACTTCAAACTCCACACAGTCTAAACAAAAAAAGATTTCATCGACTGTCAATATCAATCGAAATGTTCTTTACACATTAGATTATAGCCCAGAGCAGTGGCCTTTGCAATAGCAATAGAGACAAAGGGATAGGCGGTGGGGGGTGGGGGTGGGTGGGGTTTGCAGATGGGTGAAGGATTACAGTGTGAAATTCCCCAACAAGTCAATGATCAGTGGTTTGTTCTGACTAGGTAAATAAACAAAAGTTCTGCTTCGTTTTACCCTACAATAAAACAAAGACTATACATGATTTTGAAAAGTTGTTTTATAACTAACAGTAACTTTTGGACACACTTCTTTTGCAGACAGAGTCCTTCAGAGTACCCATCACATTCACATTAAAAAGACAGAGCAGTGCAAGCTAGAATAGCAAAGAACACCCTGATACAACATCGTGAAGGCACGTGAATGCCACGTGTTGATAACATGTACTGTGGTGGGATTCAGATGGTGGGGATCAAATTTTAAAAGTATACAAACAAACATATGCCCTGGAATCTCCATATAACTCTCATGCCTTGAGGATGAGCTTCCAATATGTGATAAAGTCTCCACCACTGATTATGGTAGGGAGTGAAAAGTCGCACACATAACAAGTAATATAAGAGTCGTTGAAGGGTGAAAATAAGCAAAATTTACAAACCACCAAGTTCCAGTTCACTTGAATGTCCTTTGTACTGACTGTAATGAAAGAACACACGAAGATCCTGTTCAGCACACTCAATAAAGCCATAACTTTGCTGCAAAAAAACATGCATAAATGTTATAGAAGAAAGACTGAATGTGCTTTTAGAGGGGATGAACTTAGAGAATATAAGAATAACATTATGGAAGATGTCATTAATACACATGTTGATGTCAAAGCACTCATTGCTGGTCAAATGTAGTACAATACAGTCAAATGTAGATGAATGTATTCAAATGTGGTTGAATGTACACAAAAGTAGATGAATGTATTCAAATGTAGATGAATGTATTCAAATGTGGTTGAATGTACACAAAAGTAGATGAACGTATTCAAATGTACATGAATGTATTCAAATGTGGTTAAATGTACACAAAGTAGATGAATGTATTCAAATGTAGATGAATGTATTAAAATGTGGTTGAATGTACACAAAAGTAGATGAACGTATTCAAATGTTCAAGAATGTATTCAAACGTGGTTTAATGTACACAAAAGTAGATGTATGTATTCAAATGTAGATGAATGTTTTCAAATGTGGTTGAATGAATTCAAATGTGGTTTAATATCCTCAAACAGGGTGTAGATTAATATTACACAAATGGGCATGAATTTCAGTTGAAGGTATTTTCACAATCTTAGGGTAAAAATTGATACAATATCTGTCATGTTGGATTAACGTGCCTATGTGCGATAATGGGACTTGATATTAGAATTATCTTAAAACATAGATTACTGAGGCAAACAGTCCGAATGGAAGTTTCAATAGAAAGCTTTTCAAATTGACCAGAACAAAAAATAAGACACCAAACAGTGCAAAACGGTTACAGCTTCCTCTACAAAGGCTATTGAAATCAAAACATTTTGGCAAACTTTTAGATATCATGCAAATACACTTTTAGATGAACAAAGTGACGTATTTCTTGTGTATTAAAAAGTTTTTCGGTCATAGATAAATTTTTTACTTCTTCATTGTACATCTTATTCTTATCTTGCAGGAACTTACTCTACAAAAGCAACACCTTTGTAAAATGACAGAATCTGCAGCAAACTTTTGCATTTGTCAATGTCACATAATGATCCATGAAAAAATTTCAAAAAAGTCGAGAACCATTTTATTGCAGTAATTTGGGTCATGGACCAGTGCATAAAAACTCCATACTAAACTGACTTTAAATTGTTAAAATAACTTACACAAAGTTTTTCAATGACACCTGTTTCCCTGTGTCTTACATGAACACCATTTGAAAGGTAATGGTCACCGATACCATAGTCCTGAGACCCATTTGTTCGCATCAAATGTTTCTAAGTAATAAGAAAACATTATAGAATGTTCTAATTAGTAAGAAAACATTATTGAATGTTTCTAATTAGTAAGAAAACATTATAGAATGTTTCTAATTAGTAAGAAAACGTTATAGAATGTTTCTAATTAGTAAGTGAATTTTAGTAAGAAAACATTATAGGATGTTTCTAATTAGTATGAAAACATTATAGAATGTTTCTAAGTAGTAAGAAAATGTTATAGAATGTTTCTAATTAGTAGGAAAACATTATAGAGTGTTTCTAAGTAGTAAGAAAATGTTATAGAATGTTTCCAAGTAGTAAGAAAACGTTATAGGATGTTTCTAATTAGTATGAAAACATTATAGAATGTTTCTAAGTAGTAAGAAAATGTTATAGAATGTTCCTAATTAGTAGGAAAACATTATAGAGTGTTTCTAAGTAGTAAGAAAATGTCATAGAATGTTTCCAAGTAGTAAGAAAACGTTATAGGATGTTTCTAATTAGTATGAAAACATTATAGAAAGTTTCTAAGTAGTAAGAAAATGTTATAGAATGTTTCCAAGTAGTAAGAAAACGTTATAGGATGTTTCTAATTAGTAGGAAAACATTATAGAATGTTTCTAAGTAGTAAGAAAATGTTATAGAATGTTCCTAATTAGTAGGAAAACATTATAGAGTGTTTCTAATTAGTAAGAAAACATTATAGAATGTTTCCAAGTAGTAAGAAAAGGTTATAGGATGTTTCTAATTAGTATGAAAACATTATAGAATGTGTCTAATTAATAGGAAAACATTATAGAATGCTTCTAATTAGTAGGAAAACATTATAGAATGTTTCTAAGTAGTAAAAAACATTATAGAATGTTTCTAATTAGTAAAAAAACATTATAGAATGTTTCTAAGTAGTAAAAAAACATTATAGAATGTTTCTAAGTAGTAAGAAAACATTATAGAATGTTTCTAATTAGTAAGAAAACATTATAGAATGTTTCTAAGTAGTAAGAAAACATTATAGAATGTTTCTAATTAGTAAGAAAACATTATAGAATGTTTCTAAGTAGTAAGAAAACATTATAGAATGTTTCTAAGTAGTAAGAAAACATTATAGAATGTTTCTAAGTAGTAAGAAAACATTATAGAATGTTTCTAAGTAGTAAGAAAACATTATAGAATGTTTCTAATTAGTAAGAAAACATTAACAGCAAAATGAAATGAAAATAAAATTTTTCATAAACAAAAAGCAGTAGAAAGTACCTTCCACGAGTCTGTTGCCATGTTTGACTCACCAAAAAGTGAATTCTATTTGTTACAAAGGCTGCCAGCAGTTTAAATGATAACTTTTTGCAAAATAATATATATGGTATATGTATAAAAATTCTCCTCTCAATTTTCCTAATTCACCGAATAATATAATCCATTTGCTGCACAAAAACAGGAGGCACAAATCTGCTGTGAATAGTTTAGATTGTTCTGTGTAAGCTATGACTTGCCAATATGAAAGTTTCCTTAACATGGGCTGTGCAAGATGATATGGATTTGGCAGCTTTCTCTATAGAATTTGAATTGGCGTTTCCTCATCTTTTTCTGCTTTGCAGACATTTATTCCTAGCAAATAACCAGAAAAAAGTAATTTAACACATTTCTTCAAATATATCATTTGCTCATCATCTAATAACATGGGACATTCAATTACATGTTTTGACTTATCAATAGTGCTGTAGAATATTTATTATCAAGAGCAGCAGTAAACAATCAATAGCACAACATGTATATACATACTTTGTAAGAAAAGAGAAGTGTGTCAGATTGCAACAGACAATGTGCAACAGTTTATACCTGTTACAACAGACTATCTGTTGCACAACATATACATTTATTTATTTAAATGTCTTCTTATCCAAATCATTCAAACTTTTCTGGAATTGAATGTGCATTAATGCGACTTGAATATTAACAATTGTTAAGCAGTATAAATAAATGCTATTGTCTACTGGAGCTCTTGATTCTTCCTTCAAGTTAATGAATATTTTACTGTTATACTGTAAGGTAAAATAGCATAATTGAATGTTCAATCTTCTTCAGTGATGAGCGAATGGTGTAGCAGCATAACACGGGAGTAACAAGAGACAAATCCCACAAAATAATTTACAATAGTGAATAGTACGGAATCAAGACACTGCACTGGATTCCTTGTGATAAAGACTTTAATTGTTATATACAGCAACATAGCTATTGTAATTATACAAAAGATCAATCTACACTAAGACTGGAACAGATAAGGACTAAGTTTCGACATTAAATCAATTTTCACAAGACACTAACCACAAGACAAAAAATATGTTAAAACTTTCAACATGAATCACATCACATAAAAGCGACTCATAATTTTGAAGTCAAACATACAATTATCATGTCCATATAAATCAGACAAAGGACACGCATTTATTTGTATCTAAGTCGAAGCACATCTAAAGTAATTTTTCAATTTGGAAATTCAATTCTGAGATGCACTTCTTGAAGACATCAAATATCAAACGAAAAAGTTTTTCATGAGAATATCAAATTGCTTGTCAGTCTTTGTTTCTTAATTTAATTCAATAGTGGTCATTTGAAGAAACCAAAGCGTATAGTTTTAATTAAATTGGATGCCGCAAAAGCAAAAAGCAAAAGGAAGAATACGAATAGCACACAAATACAGGCAAGGAGAATATTTTGCCGTCTGCTGAGTCTTTGTTAATCGGCTTTGTCTCGAAACATGGTAACTAATGATTGTCAATTTAAAAGGTAAAATTAACGCCAACGGAGTACAAAGTGAACAAAATTGTAATGAAATATTTAAGAACTGACAAGTGATGTTGAAAAAGAAATCAATACCTTTTTGAGGACAAAATTTCGTCCGTTGCCACAACACTATCCAAATTTTTACAATCCGCCATATTTCATGACATCAGTGAACTCTTGAAAGTTGAAACACCGGGCACTTCCGGTCATCTGTAAATGTGACGTATTAACCGGAGATACTCGTGAGAGGGTCGGCTATGTTTTCCGTGACTATTGCCTGATTCGCTGATTCGCACAAGTCTTCGATACCCTCATAAAGATACCTTCATGTTTCGCTGTAATTGCTCTGTATTTTCGTATTTGTAACAAGTTGATATTTTCCGTAAATAAAGCATAATTCGAAAGCAAATGTAAATTATGGCCGCATTTAAACAGAGATCAATCTTTCGGTGGTGTTTAGGCCGGTGTAGAAAAACGAGGAGAGGGGTTAACAACAGACTATTCATTAACGATTAACTTGAAACCACTCGGCTCCTTCCTTAGTATTCAACTAAAGGAGATGTTTTGCAATCGAGCTTTCTGAAACATACATTTTTCATGTTTTTTAACATTTCGAGTCGTTGCTTCCAACCCTTTCATCTTCTTCGTTAATCACTAATATACAGCCAAAGTACAACGTAAATTAAGAGATGACAGTGCGCACATATTCATACATTTTTCACAAACTCCAAAATACATAAATGCATAAATTACTTAGCATGCTACGCCACTGTTTGTTTGTAATTTAACTTTATTTCTTATTTAATGTATTTAGATAAAAAGTATTACAGCCATTATCCTATTTCAAATATTGACTACATCCTTAGTCTAAAAATTTGATGTTATGTTCCAAACTGTTTTCAAATATTGTTCAGAATCACTCACTCTCGTTCTCTCTTACAGTTAAAAAGGAAATAAAATTTTTTGTTTAATTATATTCTTTTATAGTACGCTAAATTTCAGAAAACGTCTTATAATATCGCGTAAAAAATTCAACTTCCCCCATTTTTGAGAATTTTAGTAGCCGTCGAATGACTACAATACGCAGTTCACTGCACGGTAGCAGAGTTTGAATTGATCCTAACAAAAAGAATGCCCAATATGACAAGAATAATGACCAAAACAGCAGCTACAGCTGCACCAGCAATAGCTCCAGTGTTTCCACCGTCTACAAGATAAAAACGAATGACAAATCATAACATTACCAACAAATGTTGTCTTTCAGCGATCATTTTTCTAAAGCTGAGGGTGTAACCGCTCTCACACCCCATGTATTCATCCCTGTTAACTATTCATGATTTATTTATGTATAAATTAGGTTTGCAACGCAATAAAATTAGAGAAGAGGTACATAAAATCAATAAGGCAGTTATTTGTTGAAATTAAATCGGCTGTATCATCAAACAAAATTTATATTCGTCGTTAAAAATTTTCAGGCATTTTACTATACTGAAATTTGCTAAGATCTTGAATCATTGCACTTTAGACATCGATAAACTTCCCTTAAGCTATTGAAAGTAAACACAAACCTGAAGACTCCTGCTTTTGGGCTGTTGTTGCCACTGGACTCCAGTCAGTGGAATAATAATCACCCTGAAACGAAGTGAACATTTATATTTGAATAAAAATTGCAGCAATCAATGCAGATAAAATGTATAAAAAACATCGCACCTGATCATTAATGAAAACGCACTGAAATATTTTGTAGTTAGTGCCAGGCTTTAGCGGGCCATTATAATAATTTTCACCATTGGAACGCCGTGTTGTGGTTTCACCGTCACCAAGTGTAAAATTAGGCTTAAAGTCTCTGCGAGAGACTACAGCAGCCATATACGGCATTGGTTGTGCGGAAGATATGGCCTTAGAATAAGTCACTAAGTCTGTGTTTTTAAAGTTAGAAGGCAATCGACTCTCTTCTGTGACATTTTTCATCGCGACTACATAGAAATATCTGCAAATTGAAGGCATATTTTTTAAAATACATGCATAACCTCTGCTTTTGTTAATCGTTAAAATATATGTTATGCATGCATCCGAACTGCCAAAGAAAAGCGACGAGCATCAAACCTTTACCCACAGAGATATTTAGACTACTTAAATCCCACATAAAACCAACTGTCCTATACTTAGACATGAATCCAAAAAACTCAAAAAATACTTTTAAGTTCCTTTACAATACATTCAGTAAAGCACATAGTTACCGGTATTCAAAATTTGGATTTTGCAACAAGTAAGTCAACGTATTTCCAATCTGCTTGGTGGACAGTTCAGGTGCCACTAAATAAATAAACTTGAATAAATTTATCATCTTAGTCAAACATGTACAGAATCCATAGACAACTTACATTCATTTGTAAATACCCATGTACCATTGCTGTAACATCCAGATCCCACTATTGTAGAAGCTAAAACACGAACATAATATTTTGTCCCTGGTTTCACATTATTTATGTCCAAACGCTGTTCCTCGATCATATACTTCATTGAACAGGTTTCATTCTCCAAATGTGTAATACAAACAGTGTAACTGACTATCTTTCCATTTGTTTTGTTCTTATCTGGTGGCTCCCACGTAACTGATAACGATGAACTGCTTAAGGCGACAATTTGAACATTTAAAGGTGGACCTTCGGGAACTAAACGAAAATAAAAACATATGTTTTAAAGATTTATGTAAAACATTAAAAACACTTTAGAAAGAAGTCCTAAAAAGTGTGCACTGTCATTGTTAACTTAAATATAATACAGTATAAGAAAAACATGATTGAAATAAATGTCGAGCAGAAAAGATTTGAGCTTTCAAATGTCGTCTATGGCAATAACACCATTAATGCAATAACAGCCGATATGTATACACAAAAACTGATATGAACTCACCATCTTCAGCAGTTCTAAAAGTAGCTGTAGTTGATCTACCAAAGCCTTCAGAATTGCCAGCGGTTACATTAACTTTATACGTTGCGTAAGGAACAAGATTCGTAATGTTGTACGGTTTTTTGTCAGTTACCTCCAAAGTTTTATCGAAAACAATCATAGTATCCTTTAGCAAAATCAATACATATCTTGTGAGAGGATTCGAGATATTTGTACCAAGTTTTACACCAGTGTTTTGGGGATGTTTCCATGATATCTCGAGGTACGTCGATGCAGATTTGGTTGCAATGAGATCTGTTGGTTTGTCTGGGAGTAAGTCTGCACGATAAAAGAAAAATCTACAAATTGAACCATGTAGCCCTTAAATGAAATCAGTGTTCTGCTTTTCTTCAATAACACGTGTTAAACTTAACTGCATGTTGAAAAGGCTTATTTCATTAGAGAAAAAATACTAACACTTCAGCCTTCATGGAAAATTGTTCACTTTTGTCAACTAACACTTATTTAATTAATTCTCAGAGAAAAAAACTTTATATATTGAAAAATTAAGTGCTTACAGTGCAAAGTAAACCTGGTATATTTTTTCTACCTCTTACCTCCACCACAAATTTCAATTCGTAAACACGGTGCACCAACAAATTTCAATGGAAAGATTCGCAAAGCTTTTGATTTAAGGCCACCAGAAAACTTTTCTATAGCCGCATCATTGTAACCATTTTTGTTTCCTAGATAAATCTGGAATAAAACAAAAAAAAAGTAATTTTCGTGTATTTGCAGAGCAAGGTTAGAGAAAAAGCAGGTTTGTTTAACGCAGTCCAGAGGAGAGTAGTTTATGCATTCTCTATGTATCTCTTCAAATCATGTACATAGCTACAATTTAAGGTTTATAATCAAATTCAAGATTCTTTCGTAGTGCTGGAGTAACCAAGACAATCAACACAGTGACGTAGCTAGCCCATTAATTTTTTCGTGCTATATGTAAATTTTTCAGTGCTCACTTACTGTAAAAACTATGGATCTCTAAAGAAATGAATAATGATAATGATCTGAAATTTACATAGAACCAGAATTTTTCGTGCCGGCTACACCACTGAATCAACATCTGCACACAAGATTGTATATAAATAGCAATTTAAAAGTTTACTTAGTTAATAACTTCATTCCTTTTTTAAATTTCCCATTAAATTTATAGTATACAAATCCGAAAATTCTACCGTTACCTTCTGGGATTTTTCAGATTTCCAGTTCACACCATCAATGTTTGTCTGCAAATGATATTTAGTTACAAAGCTTGAACTTGAACTGTCACCAAAGATTGCGATAACGTTAACTGTATAAAGACTTGGGAAATTCAGTTGAAAATAATGATTGCCATCTGCAGCAGGTGCACACCATGAACTACCACTGGATATTCTTGCTTTAGAAGCATTACGACTCTTTGGGAAGGCAGTAAACCAAGAATCTGGGAATATTTCTGCGTTTTTTAATAGAGGATTATCACAAACATGACCTTAAATAGAAAAGGAATTTGTTAAAATGCATTAAAACATTAGAACAGGTTAGATTTGCTAGAGAGCAATGATGCAAACCGATATTGTTCTCCATTCACGAAAAATCGTAAAAATTAAAAATTGTTTTCTGAAGAAAGAAAAAGAGAGAGTACACATGAAGTTTTGGAGGAATACGACTGATTTTTTATGCTTTTATTAAATAAGGTTTAATTCCAGCTGGAATCAAGCAGCTATGACAAGAAACCGTACTTATCTTGTCAAATAACAACAATACGGTAGCGATATAAATTCCATTAAAGAGTGAACGTTAATCATCGTGCAGAGCAATGACAATTGGACATTTTTTGAAGCACGAAATGAACTAGCAAGAAAAAAAAATTTAATTCCCAGTATTCGCAGCAACCCTGTCTGAATTATTCATTATCCAAGAGTAGCAATCGTTTATATTTTGATATATTTGTAAAAGAAGAATTGTGAAATTCTCCAAGCAGCGTAAAATACAGTGACACTACTATGACAGATGTAAGTCTTGATGATAGAGGTAAGTCATGATGCTTAACAAAAGACAGATATAAGTTGAGAACACAAAAGTAACACATTTATTCCTTAAATTCTTCGCTCAAAACTTCATAAGAATGTGTCCTACAATACGTTAACACAAAAAATTGAACGAGAATGCTTACATGTAACGTACGAGTATTGAGAGCAATCATTATTTTGAGTGATAGCACATTGGGATAAATCATTCACTCGAGCATCACATTTGACATTTCCAGGTATAAACGATTGATGCATCAAAGATGATAGTGACATTGAGCCTTCCACAGATGCTGCGGTAGGATAACCAAGTTGTTTACAAATAATCGTCTTTATTTTGTGCAAAAGACCTTTGTTGCAAATGGTGAAGTTTCTAAACTTGGTAATAACATTCACGACACCTTCGTTCGGAAGATTCGACTTAGACAGGCGTACATCCATAACTACACAAATTAAAATTATTTTTTCCTTTAATTATGATCATGGCACATATCTTAAAATGAAATCTGTGTTTTTAGAAGCGGTTTTATGAACATAAATATGACAAATCCCGTCCATGAATAAAATATATACACGGAGTTTGAATATTAGAAAAACACAGAAGATGACAATAACTTAAAAAAAATTATAGTCAGAAAGCACTTAACCAGAAATGTTTTACACATTCTGATGGACACAGTATCTTATAGATTTACAGTTAAAGTTTATATGCACTGTTTTGATTTTCATTTTTAAGTGACAATGAACTGCAGCAAATAAGTTGAACTGAGAACTTTACTTTTGTGTTGTAAACACGAATCACAACAAAATGTGTCCAAGTGGTATGTGAATCATTAATGAAACCAGAACAAATACTGTTTTTACAGGTGAGCGCTGCATTTAGCTTCCCAATTCATATGAATTGTAATGAATATGTCTTTGTATATATATGTATATATGAAAATTCTGTAGTGGGAATTCATGAAAATAGGAATACAAATGCAATTGTAAATGTCACTTTTGGCCTACATAGAATGACCAAAATATTTTAAAAATGAAATAGATTTGGTAAATCAAAGTGACTGGAATAAGTGATGTTTCCATGAACAAAGTTTGCATTAACAAACTAAAAACACAAAATTGACCAAACCTTTAAACTGAAGCAAAATATTGAAAACACAAGTTTAAATGTCACATTATATAAAGACACAAAATTAAACCATACGAGATAAAACTATAATTTAGTTAACGATACCCGACGAAAATTCAAATTTGTTTCAATTTTTCTAAATTGATAACGTACATAGTTTAAAAATAAACACCATACCATTGCGCATTAAGGTCAAAACTTGTCCCGAAGCGCTTAAATCATAAGCAAAATATAATCTGCCTGTATAATACTTACGATTGCAAATTTTTCTGTATGGCATACTTGTTTCGTTACATTGATATTCAAAGTAAAGATATTTCTCAAACCAGGACAAATACTTGAAGGAAAGTGATTATCATCAACAGTTATATTACATTTTCTTTCACCATCACAGTAATTTTAAGGTCACATGTTACATCAACACTACAATTGTGGTCATAACTGGAGCCACAAATGCTTTTCTCAATCCACGATATTCTGCAACTTTTATCACCATATATTGATCATTAGGACATCCAATGTTTGTTATATTTTGTCCAGCACATGTCACTGATCCTATAGAAGACACACAAAATATCCATACAAACTTATTTGTTAATTCCTGTAAAATAAAAGTGATTTGATAAAAATGAAAAGTGTCATGGCAGTGACCTCACTGGCGCCCTTCTTATATCTGTGGCTTTGCAGTGGCTTTTAATCAGAGTCTAAGTAAATATATGCTGGATGAATATTCTCATTTGCCAAAATTAAATCGCCGATCTTCTTCATTTTACAACTAACAAGTTTAGGGATCTCCTTCTATACAATTATTATAGCAAAGAATAGACCACCCCAAAATGTTTGGGTTATGGCATTGATGGCTCCTGTCTCATTAAAATTTCTATAAAATAACCCCAAACGAATTCCGTTGAATAGTCTCACAATACAATTATTTGTAATTAGCTTCATGATTGAGCCAGATTGTAAAAATTTAAAATTAGTTGTCACATCAAAATAATTCAATGTTAAAAAATATTGGAAAATTTCAAAATTATGATAAAAATATCAACTCATATGAATTGTAATATATATATATTTGTAAGTTTGAAAATTTGTAATCGAGGTATTGAATACATTTAAAATCCGGAGAAACTTTTATCTTTTATGTATATATATTTGTATATATATGCAGTGTATATGAGAATTCTGTAGTGTGAATTCATGAAAATATGAATACAAATCCAATTGTAAATGTCACTTTTGAACTACATAGAATGGCCAAAAGGTTTTAAAAAAGAAATAGATTTGATAAATCAAAACGACTGGAAAAAGAGATGTTTCTATGAACAAAGTTTGCATTAACAAACTAAAAACACGAAATTTACCAAACGTTTAAAATGAAGCAAAATATTGAGGACACAAGTTTAAATATCACATTATTTAAAGACACTAAATTAAACCATACGAGATAAAACAGCATAAACAAACCACGCCTGGTGAAGACACCCGACGAAAATTCAAATTTGTTTCAATTTTCTAAATTGATAACGTACATAGTATAAAATGAACACCATGGTATTGCGCATTAAGGTCAAAACTTGTCCCAAAGCACTTAAATCATAAGCAAAATATAATCTGCCTGTATAATACTTACGATTGCAAATTTTTCTAAGGCATACTTGTGTCGTTACATTGATATTCAAAGTAAAGATATTTCCAAACCAGGACAAATATTTGAAGGAAATGATTATCATCAACAGTTATATTACAATTTCTTTCACCATCACAGTAATTTTTAATGTCACATGTTACATCGACACTACAATTGTAATCAAGACTTGAACCACAAATGCTTCCTTTTCTTAATCTACGATATTCTGCAACTTTATCACCATATATTGATTATTAGAACATCTGACGTTTGTTATATTTTGTCCAGCACATGTTACTGAGCCTATTAAAGACACACAAATAATAACTAAATTCATATCTATACAAGCTTATCTCTAAATTCCTGTAAAATAAGACTTGATTTGATAAAAATAAAGTGTGTGATGGCAGTGACTTTACTGGCGCAATTCCTATATCTGTGGCCTTGCAGTGGCTTTTAATCAGAGTTTAAGTATATATACGCTAACTGGATGAATATTCTCACTTGCCAAAATTGAATCGCTGATCTTCTTCATTTTTACAACTGACAAGTTTCAAGACGCCAGGTCCTGCCATACATTTATTATAGCGTGAAAAGAATAGACCTCCCCAAAATGTTTGTGTTATGGCATTGATGGCGCTGCATTCTTCACTAAAATTTCGATAAGATAACACCAAACCAATTCCGTTGCCGTCTGACAGACATCTTGCTGTATCCAGCTTCAAGATTGAGCCAGATTGTAAAATTCAAAATTAGCTGTCTGTCAAAACAATTCCATGTAAACTCCAAGATGGAGTCCAGGGTAGTTTCCTGAAGGATCATAAACACAACTCTTTGACTGAACATGTTTGATGAAAAGTCCATTCATACCTGAAAAGGACAATGATACATGATAAAATTATTGAAAATATCACACTCTACAAAATATATATATATAAAAAATAGGACTTTATCAAAATAATTTAGCATACTGAATTCTATCAATATAGGAAAAACACTCCAAAAATGTCATCTTGAAATTCAAGCTTCTAAAGAATTAAATAAACCAATTGCTGTTGAGAGTCATTTTAAAATAATGGCGTATGCAAGACTTTAAGGCATCCAGCATGGAGCATTGAACTAAAATACATGGAACGCTACCTGTAATACAAAACCCTAACAATTTTTTGAAGCAGTGATTTTACCCCAGACACGCGAGACTTTACTCCAAACATGCGTATGTAGTCAATGAATTATTACTCCGCAAAAGAATCTCGAAACACTAAACACGCGTGTCTAGGGTAAAATCTCGCGTGTGTGGCGTAAGATATGGCTTCAATTATTTGCTTGATGACCGAAAAATTTTACAAACAAGTTGAAAAGTGTAGTATATCAATTAATACAAATTTTACGGCGCACGGTCTGTTATGATGGAATGAGGAGAGTAATCGTTTGTTTACACAATTTTAGTGATATATCGGGCCACATATGGAATCGGTTTCTTTTTAAATTTTTTAAGATTGTCGGCTGAACCTGGTTTATCAACTTTGCCAACTCCTCTATGAACCTTAAACTGTATAAGTTTCAATATGAACATAATAGCCCAACATAATACTTTTAAAAAAGCCATCACAATAATAAAATAGAGAAGAAAATAGAAAACATACAACGAACTTTATCCCACTGGTACACGTATCGCATACTTTATGGACTCCCTAAAATTCATAAATCCTCCATCCCTCTAAGACCAATCTTATCTAGTATTGACCACTACTCCTACAAGCTAGCCAAATTCTTTATTCTTTCCTTACACCAATCTCCGCCAACCCTTTTTGTCAAGGACTCTTTCTCTTTTGTCCAAGATCTTTACAAAGTGACATTAACGCCAATAACGTTGTGATGGCGAGCTTTGATGTTAAATCATTGTTCACCAACATCCCAGTGGATTAAACAATCGCCATAATAACTAATCACATCTTCTCCAATAACACGTCCTTTCAAGGCCTTGACCGTTCACAATTCACTCAACTTCTCTCTCCGTCAAAACTGTCATTTCTTCTTTAACGGCCAAGTTTATCAACAGATTGATGGTGTGGCTATGGCAGCCCCTAGGCCCACTATTTGCGAACATATTTATGGCCTCAATGACAATTCATGGCTTCACAACTGTCCCTCCACCTTCAAACCCTTCTTTACCAACGTTACGTTGATGATTGCTTTCTACTCTTCCGATCATTGATCACATACCTCTTTTCCTTACCTATCTCAACCACCAACATCCTAACATCTCCTTTACACCTGAACTGGAAAAGACAACACGCTCCCCTTTCTTGACGTAAAAATAACTCGCTCAAACGGTAAGTTTCCACCTCCGTGTATCGTAAACCCACTTTCACTGGTCTCTTCACCATTTCCATAGTTTCATTCCCATTCAATACAAACGCTCTTGATCTCCTCTTTACTCACAGAATTTTCAATCTCTGCTCCAGCTATGAACACTTTCATACCGAACTAGAAGTCGTTAGAAAATTGTTCACCTTAAACAACTTCCCTTCATACATATTTGACAATCATGTTCACCGCTTCCTCAACAATACATTTGAACCCAAAGATCTTATTCACACTGCTCCTAAGAAAATCATGTACTTCTGTCTCCTTTTCACTGGCCTACACTGTCTTCAGATTCGCACTCAAATCACTCGAATCTGCAATACTGCCTTTCCTCATATCAACGTTCGCTTTGTTTTTCGTTCTTCCAGGCGTCTCTCCTCTTTCTTTCCTTTTAAGGATAGGGTTCCCAAGCTCCTGAGATCTGGTGTTGTATACTCATTTAAGTGTCGATGCTGCTCTGCATCGTATGTAGGTCAAACCACGCGTCATTTACACACCAGAATATCAGAACACTTGGGAATCCCTCCCTTAACAGGGAAGCCTTCCTTATAACCACCACCATCTGCAGTTCTTTCTCATATAAAAAATACATCTCACCCTGCCGATTTTAATGATTTCTCAATTCTCTCTTCCTCCGACAATTATGACCTTATGATTCATGAAAGCCTTCTTATATCCAAACTTAAACCCTCTCTTAACAACCAAGGCAACTCAATCCCCCTTCACCTTCTTTAATATACCGCCATTCTCACTTAATTCCGTCATCTAAACTTCCTACTCTTCTCACATGTAATTTAACACCCCATAATATATGCTTGTATTTAAAACCTCGTGTATATATATTAACTCAATTAATCTGAAGATGTCTTAAGTTAAAGACGAAACGTAATTAATAAATCCTTCTCTATTTTATTATTGTGATGGCTTTTTTAAAAGTATTATGTTGGGCTATTATGTTCATATTGAAAATTCGCTTTCCGCCTGGCATCTCTAATGATTTTGTATAAATTTCCATGTCTCATAAAATTCCAAACACTTAAAATAAAATTCATGTCCAGGGTTATACAAAATCGTGAGGCTTTTTACGGGTTTATACAGGTTTATACATAAAGAGGAGAGATGTATGCAAATATGTACAGGATATTATACAGAGGGTTAATATACGACAAAATTTATTTCTACTGATGTGACATGTAAACATTCTCCCGTGATAAATATTTAACAATTTTGGATGAAGTTGAGCATGATAATAAACAACATATACATACCTTGTATGTACCTTGATTACGTTGTCCTTGTTCACGTTGATGACAACATAACAAGTGTGATTTTTCCACCGTATAGAACATACTTATAAGGGATTTTGTGTTGTCCGATTCTAAATCTATAAATGGGGTAATGTCTTGATTTTTCTGTTCTTTCATATATGTACTTATGTGAACATGTGAAGTCTTCTGGTTCTTCCCAATTTACGATTCCAAAATTACGATCATGATAATTTCCAAAGGTAGTAAATTTCACAACAATCGGGCTACATCCACATGTCCCTAAAAAAATTAAGTTATTCTTAACTGGTTGTCCAAAGTAAAAGAACAAGTAGAAAGTGTCCCTCATTTTGCAACAAAATATCTCAAATTATTTGCATTTAATAGACAGTCTTCCGTAAACCTAAATAGACAATAACTACAGACTCTTTTATATTTCTTTTATATTACTGCACGTATTATTGTTTTTGGGTGTACTGTCATATTGCTTTCCTGTACGTGGCACTAAACAGATGAACAATGAACGAGAGATTATGCTGTGTTAATGCATTGAAGCTAGTGTATCCAAATCAATTGAGTACTTTGACATGTTCAAGGGATATAACCCCACTTTGACCAACTTATAAAGAACATGGAGCCATTTGCCGCTTTTTAAATGAGGATTGTTTGGGATTGTTTGCAAAGTACAAAGCCAATTAATGCTCTGCAAAGTGAAACGGATATTTACTTTACCTTCAAGAGGACATATTTCACTAAACTTTTTAAATCTCTCCAAAAGATATTTCTTCTCTTCAACACAACAACGTGTATGAGTATCGTTGCATTTCAAATCGATTTTAATTTTGTCCGCGACAAATTTCTTCCATTCTTCCTCACAAAACTCAAGTTCTTCATTCCAACCCATTTTCATGGCGAATCCTTGACGAAATGACAGCCACATTAACCACCACATCATTAAACTCATCATTGCTTAGTTCTACGAACATACAGTAAAGTTGTAAACTAATTATAAAAAAAAATGTTTATTTTGTTTTCAGAGGCCTATGAAAACCGAGGAGACATTTGGAAGAACTGGAGAGTAGATCAGTGCAAGCCCGAGACTGATGGTCGAGGGTTGCACCGTCTCCGAGGTTTGCATAAGCCAGTCGAAATACGAAAAATATCTATTATTTCTTTAATGAAATTACAACAATGCAAAACAGTCAAGTGTAAAACAAACGTTTTAATTTTAATTTTTCCTCAAAAATGTCTCCATGATCGACATGGAAGTTCTCTTTGACTAATTGTTTGTTTTAATTCATTTGATTGATTCAGCTCAGAACTGTTTTGCACTGGCTAATGCAAATACGGCTATAGACCTCATCAGTTTTATTGTTTTCGTTTTATGAAATCGATTGTTGGATGAGTGTACATCCCTTGTGTACATGAGCTATCACAGAAAGCTTTAAACTTATAATTAGAACGACGACAACATCGTCACAATTACATCTGTAATGCAATTAGCCTACGAACAAAACATACTTACGGACAGTATATGACCATTATGTAAAAAATCCAGATCAGCAAAATTGGGTAGTTAGAAAATTGTTGAGAAATGGATTAAGTTAATTTCATATGGCTCACGGCTCTGTTAATGGTATAGCGACTTTTTTAAATACAGTGTAGCTTTTATAGTGGTAAGTGGAAATAAATTTTTTACTTGGTTATCTTTTAATTAATACTTTATTCTTCTTACTGTTCGGTCTATAGTTCAACTTCTTGTTTTTCAAGAGATGTATTGAACAATGAAAAAAGGCTGTTAATTAGATGGCGCTAAGAGAGTAAAGAAATTGAGACCAAAGCAAACTAAATCAATGCAGATGAAATACTATAGACACAATTAGGGACCTTGTACGATGTAAAAACTCTCTCTCTGAATATAAAAATAAATTCAAAATTTACAGTTGAGAAATTAAGAAAATAAAACTTTCAAAAGATAATGATCAAGAAATTGTGCTAAAAAGGGCGCTGGATGTTTATATTACAGGCACTGCCGAGCTTTTTTTCTATTGGAGACGAAGAGCTGACGAAATAATCAAAAATCGATAATAAGAGCAGCTAAGGAGCTTCGGGTTTTAACGTTTTCATGAGATTGTTTACAACAAAATTTTTTACAAATTTCACAGAAATATTATTGCAAATCATGGAAATATTATGCAACTTTTTCCATTTTTTAAAATTTGTCGTTATTCCTTTGTTTTCCGTTATTTGCCGACTACTTGCTGACAGTGACTATTTATCTGAATTGAAAATTGCAAGTGGATTTCTTTCAAATTTTTCATCAATTAAATTACAGTGGAAGATGTAACTGTGAGATTTGCGAAAACACATATGATAGAAAGAAACTTCGAAGAATAAGTAATTGCTGAGAATTAAACATATTATCACTTCGGTAATTGACACCTTGTGCTGTCATGGAAACGAATTCTATCCTAGTTTGAACACTACAATTAGATTCTTCATTATATTAGCTTTAAATTGATATATGACTTGTATGTACTTTAGTAAAGGTAGGCTTTTATCATAACTCTATTTTTTTATTGTTCGCTATTTCATTTTTTCTCTAAAATAAACTTAAGACTTAAAAGGTTAAATGCTAGCAAGCAACGAGGATAAACAAACATTCGTTTTACCATCATCTGTAGCCAATGAAATTTATTACATCTTACCTTTTGTTCTTTTATTGTTAGAATTAAAGAATTTAAAGTTGTGATCACGGATTGCAACATATGAATATATAAATTTATGAATTAAAGTATGAATATGATAACCGCTCCCTATGAAATTTATTGCATCTTACCTTTTGTTCTTATATTGTCTTCACGTCTTTGATTAAAAAACACAGACAATAAGGCAGCTGCAGAAATGAACCTTAAACAAACAGAGAAAAGTTAAGATTCGTACGAGTATGTCGAACAACAGAGTTATGGTTTTCGCAAAGTTTCACTCGTAACTGCTGGCCAAAGCTGTTTCCTCCAGTGTGCAGTAGCGTGTATTGAGTATATATAAACATGCACTTATGCCATCTGCTCCAGTTATTTAACATTTTATAGAATTTTTTTGCGTCAAATCCTGCCCTTTACGAATCAACAGTAATACTTTAATTGTGTTAGGAAATATGAATGCCGTGGTTTGGTTGACGAAGTAATGTTATAGAAGATAAAGTTTTTGATAATTTAGAGAATTACCTCTGTTTATAGCTACGAAGCAACGAAGCATAATTAATGCATCTAAAGTGAATGAACACGGAAAAGAGGTTAATGACTTCAAGTGCTCAATGATGAAAAATTATACTGTTCCCATAACATTATCAAGTTTTTAATTTTACCGACAGTAAATTCAATTTTGTTGACAGTCAATAGCAAAATTTCAGGAAACAAATACAACAACTTGTGTCGAACCTAACTATACCGTAAAATTTACAACATTAAACCAGGTATTTTTCTATTGTCTACAAGTGTTTGTTCAAACCATGGACACACAATAAGACAGCTGCACAAATACAATGAAATATTGCAAGAAGAATAATGTTTTAAGGAATAATGACTTATGAATAAATAAAGTTTAAGCGATTGGGTTCAGCATAAAAGAAATAAGAACAACATCATTTCGATATAAATTTTAATTTAGTAAATGACAAACTTTTAGTTTATACATTGGACGGCCACTTTGTGGGCTATTATCAAACTATACTAAAACGAGCAAGGATCATTTTACTTAATCATTTTTGCATATTTTTCGTAATATAGCTATGATAATTAGTTCTAAAGTGTTTTTCTTAAGTCTGCGTTCTGATGTGAAGAGTTGGACAGAAAACATGAAGAAACAAATAAATTTCAAAAAACCATATTAAAATTAGTTGTATTATAAGGCCCTTACTATATGGAATCATGAAATCTTTAAAGAAAAATATCGGATCAGATATTTCTTTATGTACACACCGGCGGGCTTGAAGAGTGAATAAGCGAAGTTAATAGAAGGCTTATTATAAAGCATTATTTAAACTGAAAGGAAGCTTTCTTTACTTTCCTGTCCCTGCTGTTTTGAAAAGTTTGCTTTCACTCCTGTTTTATTTTGTTTCAAAACTTTTCTGTTTAATTTACAAAATTTTTACATTTTCTTGTAAAATTACCTGTATTGAACCGTCGGTTTGAATTTTTATGGATATGAAAGACTGTAAATGATTATAATTCATTATAATCAGCATTTAACTATGTAATACGAGTATTTCGCCATATTACTCAAAACCGCCAAACTTGCGTTATTAAGCCTTAGTTCCTCACAATTTATGTCGTTGATAACAGAAATAGTTATCTCCTCGAGTCAGAAACATTCTTGTTACAAGCTAACTTGTGGAGCCAGTGATCAACCTTCGAAAACTTTAACAATAAATAAACTAATGTATGCAGTTGTAAAATTATACATATCTTCACGCAACTAATTCAAACACAGAATTCACAATTCAATAGCTAGATGAATTTGTTTATTCCATCACTGACCATGAACAATGTACGCTTCAACACAATCGATGGTTGTAAATTTGAAATAAGTGAGCTCAAAATTTGATGAAATTATTGTCAAACGGACATTTAATCACTAATACCCTGGCACAAGTATATTTATTGCAAAAGAATTAAATACAAATAATACAGAATTAATGTGTCGTAGCGTTTAAAAATCCTACATCTATGTTTGACAAAGTTATAACTAGTGCTATATTTAGTTTAGCAGGGAGATATATTTGAAAAAATTGCCAAAAAATAGTTTCTTAGCAGTTTAATGCACTGAAATACATCAACGACTTGGACAACTTTAACGAGATTCACAAAATGGAAAATGTTCTAAAACGATCAAAACCATCACTAGAAAAGAGAATTTTTCTATAATTATCATATAGATCGAATTAACAACACGTAAAAAATTGACTTTCGAAACACAAGGATTAAAGTTCGTTGCAAAGTTCCCTCATTCCCCTCCGCCGTGCATGAAGAAAGAAGAGCTTTAATATCTGCAGGATTATGTGAGTTGTTAGGTGAACATGCAGTTCATGTTTACATAACCACACAACAATGACAGATCCTTTGACTTCAGCAGTTCTTTTTAAACCTTCCACTTGAGATAAAACTTCTGCCAAACCGGGATTACTGCTGTTAAAAAACAAGGAATGAGGTTAAGAACAAACTGCTCATTAACAACTTGATTGTCCTCATTTAAATTTAACCACCTTTACCTTTGTATGTAACAAAAGGATGTTTTTGACAATTGAGCCTCCTGACATATACATCTTTCATGTTTTGTAAAATCTTGTGTACTTGCTTTTACCCATTTATTCTTCATCGTTAATCACTAATCTACAGCTGTACACAACGTTCCTAGCACTCACGGTCAAATTGTCGTGAAATTCAATTAACTCGATCATTTTGAATGTTTAAAATGAATATCATCATGACGATAAGAAGGGAAAACAGGAAAGGACAAGAACAGCACCATTTTATTAACACTAAGATAGTTGTTGACAAAGTCAACTCCATCCACTAAAACTTCCTGATTCTCACGTCATGTAAATTCATGTGTTGACAAATGTACAACTATATCACGAAGAATACTATCGAACGATTTACGCGCGTGGAAAATTTGAGTTATCATATCAGCCGCTTTAGCTAACTAAACATATACTTTGTAAACACAACCGCAGTATTTGAGTTTTCTTATAGCGAATTCGAATATTCTATCGATTCTAAAATAATTCTCGTCTACGATGCCAAATGATCAAATCGTACCTCCAGTGCCCACGTACAGGAGTCTTATATTGTGATATCATTGGTAATTAAAGAGAGCAGATTGAGTAAATGTATTATAACAAGAAGTCGAGTAGTAATTATCCTTTCTAAAGCCAAGTTCTTATTATTTCACCAAATTACAATCATTCTAAAATAAGTTTTATGAACAAAGCAAACGGTCGTTAAACCAACCTATAGGTGGAAAATTGAACGTGAGCAACCCTCGTAGAATGTTTGCTTTGAGCTTGTGATTAAACTAAATTCAAATTTGAATTCAGAACTATTCACTCTCGTCAAATGTTGTCAGTAGTTGACGTATAACTCCAATACGCATTTTACTGCAAGGTCGGTAGCAGAGTTTGAATTGATCCTAACAAAAGAATAGCCAACACGACAAGAATGATGGCCAAAACACCAGCCACAATAGATTATATGATAATACATAACGTGAGAGAAAAGTTTTACTTGGTGGTTAATCTGTTTATTATCTTTACAAATGAAAACTTTTATGCTAATATTGTTGGTGCGCCTTCCATCATCACAATGAATTATTCCAAACACACAAGCCGAGTTCTTTTAAAATATCTCACAAATAAATACGTGCATATAATGCAAAGGCAAACCATTTGCCAGATTTGAATCTTATAGAAACTTACAAGCAGAACTATAAATCGTTTGATAAAAGCACTAAATGATGTTGAACTTTTAAATCCTGAAAAATGGATGGAGAATAGCAAACAAAGCCATGTTTTGTTGTTCTGGACCACACCATTATTTTTATATTTCTAAAAATTTATTTTTTAAATTTTGTCAAAGTTATGATTAAGAATCCTGAACATTAAATTTTAATTTGCTTATTTTTCAAAAGTCAATCTTGTGATTTTACACATCTCTTCAAATTTGAAAGTTATAAACCCACAAAAGATCCTTTTCTATCGGGGCAACATTTTGTACAACAAACCCTGCAGTTTTTTACACAGTACGTGTTATAAGTCACATATAACGTAAATTTTACAAACTGCATGTTGTTTGTCATAAATTTTCCTTTTTATAAAGTACGTGTTGTTATAGTTAAAAATACCTATTTATCAAACAATTTCCATAAACGGCAGATAACTTACATCCATTTGTAAATACCAATGTACCATTGCTGTAAACTCCAGATCCCACTTTAGTAGACGCTACAACACGAACAAAGTACTTTGCCTCTGCTTTTAAATAGTTTATTTCAAAACGCTGTTCCTCGGTGGTATAGTTCATTGAACAAGTTTTATTCTCCAAATGTGTAACACAAACAGTGTTACTGACTATCTTCCGTTTCTTTTGTTCTTATGAGGTGGCTCCCACGTGACGGATAACGAAGTACGCACGGGGACAATGTTAACATTTAAAGGTGGACCATCGGGAACTGAACAAAAATGAAAAACGCATTTTTAAAGATTTATGTAAAACGGTAAACTTTAAAAAGAAATCCTAGCCAGTGTACTCTATCATTGCTAATTTTAATTAAAGGCAGTAAAGAAAACATGATTGATACAAGTGCCGACCAGCACACGATTTGAGCTTTCAAGATTCGTCCACGACAAAGTGTTTCTTTCTTATAGCACCATCAATGCAAATACAGCCGTAATGAATGCGCATAAAATAATATTAGCTCACCATCTTCAGCAGTTCTAAAACTAGCTGTAGTTGATCTACCAAAGCTTTCAGAGTTGCCAGCGGTTACATTTATCACATACCTTTGTAAGGGAAAAGATTCTCTAATTTGTAAGGTTTGAGTAGAGTTGCCTTCCAAATTTTCTTAAAAATAAAACAGTATCCTTCAGCACTATTAATCGAACTTTAGTCAGATATTTCAGGAGATTTGTGCAAGTTTCACACCAGTGTTTTGGGATCTTTCCAGGATATCTTGATGTATCTTGATGAGACTTTTTGCAGTATTATGTGTTGGTTTGTCTGGGAGCAAGTCTGTGTGTTAACAAAAAGTACAAAATTTTACCCGACGTAGCCTTTATATTAACTCAGTATTCTGTTTTTCTCCATTAACAAGTGTTAAACTGAACTGTTGAAAAATCTTGTTTAAATAAAGCTTTCAACAGAGAAAATAAGTAACACTGCAGCCTTTAGGCAAAATCTTGTTTAATACGCATTTTACAGCACGATAGCAGTATTTGAATTGATCCTAACAAAAGAAAGCTAATACGACAAAATAATGATCAAAACAGCAGCTACAACCGCACCATCAATAGCTCCAGAATTTCGACCATTTATAAGATAAAATTAATGACGAAGACGAACGTAAAAGACTTAAAAGTGCAGAGGGTGGACAAAAAGCAGCCCAACCATAAATGACACATGATTACTTAAAGATATCAACAGATTACTTTATATTACATAACGAGAAAAAACTGTTTTACTTGAGGTTCATTTTCATAATCTTTAGAAATAAAGCTTATACATTATATTTGCCGTTGTGTGTTCCATCTTAACTATAACCAAAGAAACACATGTGAAGCAGTTTTAGAATATCTCATTAATAAAAGCGTACGTATTATGCAACGGCAAGCAAAACCTTTTGCCAGATTTGAGCCTTATGAAAAACTCATAAGCAGGAATTGAAATCGCTTGATAAAAAAAAACAAAAAACTGAAAACCCCAAAATTATGTTGAACTTTTAAATGCTGCAAAATGAATAGAATGTATAATCAACGAAGCCCATCAAAAGCCTGACATGTTTTTCCATACCAAAATTATGATTACAACATTATTCTTGCTATTTCACATTATTTATTTTTTATTGCATTGTCAAAATAATAATTAACGATTGTAGTATAGTTAAGCAAACTATTAGTATTTCGTACGTCATACTACGTATATTATAATTAAGTAATGATCTGTATATAAGTAACATGACTAAGCAATAAAAGGGAGAAATCTCACATTATTACATCTGGCGACAAAGATTATTAAGGGACGAAGAAATAAGATTTGATCCTGACAAAGATACTACATTTCCAACATGACAGCTTTGCCTAGCTTCCCGACATTCAACCTAGAAGAACCAGACCTTAGAAAATCTTGGGGAAAATACGTATCAAGATTGGAGAATTTGTTGTTGGCAATGAACATCACAAACGCCGCAAGAAAGAAGGCGATGCTCCTGCACTATGTCGGTGAAGAAGTTAATGAGATATTCGAAACTCTAGAAATTGACGAGCCAGATAGAGAAGAAGATGTATTTAGAAAAGCGGAGAAAGCGTTACGAAATTACTTCACTCCACAGAAGAATATAGAATTCGAAGTTTATAAGTTTCGTCAAGCGAAACAACTCCCAGGAGAAAACATATCAGCGTACTATACGAGATTGAAACAATTGGCCAAATCCTGCGAATTTCATGAACAAAGCAAAGAGATAAAAACTCAGATCATACAAAATGGTTCATCTTCAAAATTGTGGAGAAAAGCGTTAGCAGACCCCGAAATAACGATGGAGAAATTAATACAAATGGGAAAAACAATGGAGATGTCAAAAACACAAGCAGAAGGCATCGAAAGCACGAATCGAATTTGGCATAAAAGAAAGCAGTTCAAGACGCCCACGGAAAAAACCTCAAATGCTTTCGAATACTCATCGAAGATCAAATGCAAATTTTGTGCTTGTGAACATCGTCCAGGGAAAACAAGTTGCCCGGCATATGGAAAGAAATGTCGACAATGTTTAAAGTGGAACCATTTTAAAGTTTGTTGCTATGAGAATCGAAGAGGCAAAGAGCTGATGCAAGACAATTATCAAAGTTCTCGCGCTGAGTCTACAAAGCGAAACGGACAGATAAAACGTAATCAAGTAAGACCTCGTCAAGTGAATGCGGTGCAAGAAATAACGTCCGAATCAAGTATGGAAGATGAATATGTATTTTCAACGTTGACGGCGCAGCAAAAGCTCCCGAAATTTAAAGTTAAGATTAATGGTACTCCTGTGTCAGTCATGGCAGATACCGGTTCCAGCGTAAACCTCTTGGATGAAGTGAATTTTAACAAATTGAAGAAAAAGCCAATATTGCAGGAAGCAAATGAGAAAATCTTTCCTTATGGGTCGAAAAAACAACTCAATTAAGGGAAAATGTCAGTGTGTGGTCGAAACCGATAAACTATATGGGTGGGAGACATTTTTTGTTGTTAATGGGAATACGGGTTGCTTGATAAGCTGGAAAAGTTCTCAAAAATTGGGCCTGGTACAAATAGTTGCATCCATAGAAGGAACTACAAAGTCTAAACAGGAACCCGTTAAAGAAAAGGCACAAGAAAAAGTGAGAGATATCAAAGTGGAAGAGCTAATTAACAAATATCAAGAAGTCTTTCAAGGACTGGGAAAATTGAAGGGTTTCAAGTTCATCTACACGTAGATAAGGACGTACAACCTATGGCACAAACTCATCGTCGGGTGCCGTTTCATGTGAGAAAAGACTTGGAGAAACAGTTAAAACGAGACGAAGAACGCGGAGTCATAGAGAAAACGGATGGACCAACACCTTGGGTTTCACCAGTCGTGGTCGTACCAAAACAAAAAGGGGAGGTCCGAGTTTGTATAGATATGCGACAAGTAAACAAAGCAATAAAGAGAGAACGACACTTGACTCCGACGATTAGTGAAATCATAAGTGATCTAAATGGTGCTGTATGGTTTAGCAAATTGGATTTAAATCAAGGCTATAACCAGTTAGAGCTCGATGCAGAATCAAGATATTTGACAACCTTCTCAACACACATTGGTCAACGGAGATTTCGACGTTTGAATTTTGGAATAAACTGTGCTGCAGAGATATTCCAAAATGCCATCAGAGAAACGTTGAATGGACTGAGAGGCGTGATTAATATCAGTGATGACATTATGGTGTTTGGCGTAGACGAGAAAGATCACGATGCAAATTTGAACGCGGTATTACAACGAATTAAAGATCGAGGACTAACTCTTAAGAAAGAGAAATGTCAGTTTAAGAAAAGAAATTTAATATTCCAAGGGTATGTGTTCTCAGAGAATGGTATTGTGCCGGATCCCAATAAAGTGAGAGCAATTAAGGAATGCACAAATCCTAAAGATGTAGGAGAAGTACGAAGTTTGTTAGGCATGACCAATTTTTGCTGTCGATTTATTACACATTACGCCACAATTACGGAGCCGTTACGTCGACTTATCAAGAAAGATGCCCCGTTCGTGTGGACAAGAGAACAAGAAGACACAATGAAAGCCCTACGGAAAGCATTAACAGATGGGCCAGAAAGTGCGTATTTCGATCCGGATAGTGATACGGATTTTTCACAGATGCTAGTCCAGTTGGTATTGCAGCAGTCTTGGCGCAGAGGAAAAAGGGAGGAGAAAAAAGGAAAATAATTGCTTACGCTAGTAAATCACTAACTACCACAGAGAAAAATTATTCTCACTTGGAAAGAGAAGCTTTAGCCATAGTATGGGCCTGCGAACACTTTCATTTATATTTGTTTGGAGGAAAGTTCACCATCGTCACTGATCACAAGCCGCTAGTGAAAATATATACAAATCCATCACCAAAGCCATCTGCGAGATTAGAACGATGGGCTTCGCGATTGCAACCATATGATTTTGAAATCTGTTTTCAACCTGGAACTGAAAATCCTGCAGATTTCCTCTCACGTCATCCCTTATCTGATGAGAAACTAAACAACCGGCAAGAGAAAGTAGCAGAAGAATTTGTTAATTACGTTACACAGAACTCGCTTCAAAAAACAATCTGCAGGAAAGATCTGGAAGAAGCTACAAGAGAAGACATTACTCTTCGAGCAGTAATTCAAGCCATTGAAACAGGTAGATGGTTTGAGAGTTCAAAGATGGTAGGAGTAAATCAAGCAGAATTCAGTTCATATGAGAAACTTAAAGATGAACTTTGCATATCTTTGGGTATAATTCTACGAAAACATCAAATAATCATACCAGAAAGTTTACGAGAGAAAGTAGTGAACATTGCTCATGAAGGTCATATGGGAATGTCCAAAACGAAAGCGTTATTATGTGAAAAGGTATGGTTTCCACGTATAGATGAGTTAGTTAATGAAAAAGTTAAATCGTGTTTAGCCTGTCAGATTACAACTCCAGTCAGTGAAAAGGAACCATTGAAAATGTCAGAGTTGCCAAGATCTCCTTGGAAAGAACTAAGTATGGACTTTGGTGTAGGTCCTACAGGCACAGGTGAATATTTGTTTGTTTTGTATGATGATTTTTCCAGACATCCCATTGTAGAAGTAATCCGATCAACGTCCGCAAAGACTGTTATACCCTGTTTGGATAAGATTCTTTCGGAGTTCGGGCTACAAGATACGATACGTTCAGACAATGGACCGCGCCATTCAATAGCAAGGAATTTTACGAGTTTTCAAAGTATTTGGGATTTAAACACAGAAAAGTTACTCCCGCCAGCGAGCCAACGGGAAGTGGAAAGATTTATGCGTACTATCAAAAGACAATAAAGGCTGCGATAATGGAAGGAAAAATTGGAAGCAGAAATCCACAGGTTCCTGCGAAATTATCGTGCACACCTCATAGTTCGACCAAAATCTCTCCATCTATGGCTTTATTCGGTCGACCAATGAAAGTACGTTTACCTGAAGAACCATTTTATGAAGATACAGAGGAAAGAATTCGAGTACAGGATGAAAGAGCAAAATTGAAGATGAAATTACATGCAGACAATAACAGGAACGTAAAGACAAGTGACATTAAAGTAGGTGATATGGTGTTAGTAAAGAAAGATACGACCACTAATAAACAACAAACACCCTATGATGGTAAGCCATGTGAAGTCGTGGAAAGAAAAGGTTCAATGGTAACAGCGAAGAAAGATAGAATGTTGCTTACTCGTAATTCGTCATTTTTCAAGAAGATCGAAAATGGAAAAGTCTAGAAGAACCCATTGAGGAAAGTATAAAGGAAAAAGAACGGCGGTATCCTTTGCGTACAAGAAAAGCCCCTATTCGATACGGACAAGTTGAAATTTAATTTAGAGATAAAAGTTATTTAGCTATAAAAGAAACAATTAATATTTTCATAAACGAACTTATAGATACAAAATACAAAAAAATTATATTTAATTAGTTTGGGGAGAGGTGTAGTATAGTTATTAAGCAAACTATTAGTATTTCGTACGTCATACTACGTATATTATAATTAAGTAATGATCTGTATAAGTAACATGACTAGCAATAAAAGGGAGAAATCTCACAATATTACAACGATCATGAACATTATTTTCAAATATTTTCAACAGGCACTCTTTTTATTTTTACACATCTCTGCAAATTTGAAAAGTTATAAACGCAAAAGATCCTTTCCTATTGGAACCATTTTTTTGTTCACAACCCTGCAGTTTTTACACTTTGCACTTGGTGTTTTATTATACATTACGTGTTATTATAGTCACACATAACGTGTAAATGTTTAACAAACTACATGTTGCTTTTTCATAATATACTTTTGCTTTTACAGAGTACGTGTTCTTAGTTAAAAATAACGTGTTCTTTATCTCACGTTACGTGTAGTTTGTTACACAGCATTTGTAAATTGTAAACGTTGGATGAAATTTGAAATTACATGAAATTTTATACAAGTGAATTGGAAGTTTTCGAAAGATTTTGAATTCAAGTTCGTGTAGTCCTAATTAATCCTAAATGGCTTAACCATTCACTATTTATATATGGTATACTTTAGGTTTTGAACGCAAAGAATTAGAGTAAAGATATACAAAATCCCCGAGTCAGTGGTTATATATAACTTCTTCTGTACCATAAAACATAATCTCTATTCATTGTCAAGATATTTTAGGAATTTGGCTTAAGTAAGCTCTGCAAAGATCTTGAAGTATTACACTTTGAAATCAAACACGAACCTGAAGATACCTGCTTTTGAGCAATTGCTGCCACCGGACTCCAATCAGTGGAATAATAATCACCCTAAAAATAATAAAGATTTATATTTAAGTAAAAAATGTTGTTAACAATGCAGATAAAAGGTTTTGAAATGATCTCACCTGATCATTAATAAAGATACGCTGATATATTCTGTAGTTAGTGCCATGCTTCATTGGGCCATCATAATAATAGATCGCAGTTTTTTTGTCTTTTGCTAGGCTTGTGTTTTCGCTATCACCGCATGAACTCGGACTTAAAATTTCTGTGAGACATTACAGCGGCAATATAAGATTGGTTGTACGGAGGACATGGCCTCAGAATAAGTCACTAAGTCAATGTTTTGAAGTTAGAAGACAATGACTCTCTTCTTTGCCATATTCCATTGCGACTACGTAGAAATATCTGTAAAATGGAAGGCAAAACAAATTGAAAAAATACATGCATAACCTCTGCATTCGTCTATGATTGAAAAGTATGTTATGTATCCGCAATCATCAAAGCTTTTCTCAGACAGATATTTAGACTTCCTAATCCTTCATGTAACCAACTGTCCCATACTTAGCCTATAACTCGAAAAAACTCAAAAAATACTTTTAAGTTCCATGCAGCTTGTAATAATTTACACTAAAATACAAACCGAAATTCCAAAGTTGGATTTTGCAATAAATAAGTCAATGTATTTCCAATTTGGTTCGTTTGCAGTTCAGGTGCAACTAAAATTGACACTCGAATAACTTTATCTGTTTAATTTCATCTTTACATAAACGATATATAACTTACATCCATTTGTAAGTACCCATGTATTATTGCTGTAAATTCCATATTCCACTTTTGCACACGCTAAAACACCAACATAATACTTTGTTTCTGCTTTTAAATAGTTTATTTCCAAACGCTGTTCCTTGGTGGTATAGTTCATTGAATACGTTTTATCCTCTAATTGTGTAATAAACAGTATAACTGATCTTTCCATTTCTATTGTTCTTATCAGGTGGTTGCCACGTGACTGATAACGATGAACTGCTGATGGCGACAATTTTAACATTTAAAGGAAGACCTTCGGGAAATGAACATAAAATAAAATACAAATATTTTAAAGATTTATGTAAAACAGTAAAAAGTTAAAACACAACAAAAGAAAAACATGATTGACACAATTGTCGACAAGCAAATAATTTT